ATTTTAAAATTAAAAACATCTTTTAATTTAAATTTTTAATATAATGGTTAGTAAATTAGTTATAATTATTAAATTTTAATATATTATTATAAATATTTCTTAATAAAATAAATTTAATTTCTTATATAAAGTATTATAAACTTTTATATCTATAAAGGTTTTATCTTAAAATTTATAAAGTAATTCTTAATATAAATATCTTAAAATATTTATAAATAAAAATTAAAAGTAACTTAATTTATAAAAATTTTTATAATTTTAAAATATAAATATAAATAAATTTTACTTTATTTAAAAGTAATTATAAAATTAAATTATAAAAAAGTATTTATAATTAAAAGATATTTAAATATAATATAAAATCTTCTTATTCTTTTAAGGTAAAGTATAATTATAAAGTATAAATAAAATAAAAATTATAATATAATATTTCTTATAAAATAATTTTAATATAAGTTTTATAAAATAGTTATTTTAAGTAATTTTATATATAAAAATTATATAAAGATTTTTAAAAATATTTTTATTAAATAAAGTCTAAAAAAATATAAAAATATTTTTATTATTTTATAAGTATAGTTTTATTAAGTTATAAAAGAGTATTAAAAATAGTTTTAAGTATATTATTAATAGTATAAATAAAAGGTATTATATAACTCTATTTTAATTAATTATAATAGGCTATTATTATTTTATTTAGAAAGGTATTAATTAACTTAATTAGGATTAAAGATTTAAACTTTATAACCTCTAAAAATTTAAATATAAATAGTGTTAAATTTTAATTATTAATTAATAGGCTTTCCACCCCTTTATTTATATATTAAATATTCTTTATTTAGTATTTAAATACTTTCATTTAATAAAGCCCTTTATAGTCTAACCGTTTTTAATAATTATATATATAAAAACAGTATTTCTTTATTAACTATCCGGAAATGTATTTTTACACTCTCTCTGTTTAGTCGAAAGGCGAGGAATCAATGCATCTCAATGGAAAACAGGAGCAATTACGTCTGGTGGGAAACAAGCCAACAGCCTACTTAAGTATATAGTATGTCCTCTCACTAGAATGGGTGAAAGGACCCTCATCTCGAAACGCTTGTGTGGAAACTGCCTCATTGGCAATGTTCACAGGTGGGTGGCCATCATCAAACATTGAAGCGGTCAGGAGTTGTCAGGCCGTCTTCTCGATGTCTGGGCCAATCAAGGAAAGTAAAACATGCGCAGTCACAATTGCTGCAGACAAGACCTGCTCGGCCACCTGGACAATTAGCCGCACATGTGGTCAGCCCTGAAATTTGGCCCCGGGGTGGAAGCCAAGATGCGGGCCACAGTCGAAGGGTGAGCACGTTTTTTGAGCAAGTTTCGGGGGAGCATTTGACGGAGAAGGCACAGCTGGACGGCATACAAGCCGGATATTAGTTAGTGGAGCCAGGCAGGCAGGCCATAATCGAAGTATCTGTCTCGCACTTACACAAACTCTCAGTCAAGAATCCTCCACGACCACTGTCGTATTGGCTGGGCTGCAAGAAATGACAGCCAATAATACATGCGGAGACTGGTAAAGACCGGAAGACATGCATTTTTAATCTGCCAACACGATCACCCGTGGTTCGTACATGCATCCTCACTATCTTCTCTGGTGCGTCACTTGGCTAAATCTTACCACACTCCAGTTCAACGACAACTCAAGAAGTTGAGAGGCTCGACGCCAGTTGACACCAGTTGACACCACCCAGATTCAAGGGTATGCACACAACGCCTTTGCTGCAACTGCCTCGATATTGCCTCACAGAGATCGAAATCGGAGCTGCACCCAATGCTTCCATTCACTGCTCTATCCGGACTCCTAGGAGTGGGCCAGCAGCAACCATATGTTCGAGCATGCCAATCAACTTTCGGGGACAAGACTCAGGTCCACCAAATCACCTACTGGCGTTGCTAGTATGTCCAGCCCACGTCAGGCTTGAATTGAACACTGTGGGTATTTCCGAAGTCTCAGAGACAGTCTCTGGATATCAGCCGTGAACTGCGTGCCTTTTACCTCGCACAAGTGAGCGATGGTAGAAATACGAGGGTCTAAACCCGGGGAGCATTTGGCGACTCAACATTTGAGTCTCAGACATTCCCAAGCTTCCGCTGCACTGATAGGAGCTGAACCCCTTATAAGTGGTAGCCCCATGCTCCTGAGGAGGCATCTCTACCTGGGTACGCAGATCTAAGAGTCAGTCCACCGCCACACCACTTGGGCGGCGTCCACATTCACAGCCACCTGGTTGCTGCAGTGCAAGCCGGGCAGATCGCACAGCATCACGACAGGCACTCAGTTTAACGGCGGAGTCATTCCCGAAGGAGAGATAAATTGAGCGGAATTCTGCATTACGTCAATACCACATGGGAATATCTTCCGCCAGTGAAATGCTTCAAGGAGCTCTTAGCACCAAGATGGCTAGCTGGACGGCCCTCTAAAACTGCGGCGAGCCTTTGTCACAAGACCGACCCGTTACAAAAACCAGATTATTGCTGACAAGGCAGCCCGCATTGCACAGGGGACAGTCATCTAGTGTGAAGGCATTGAATCGTGGAAGACCAAGCACCGACAGCTTGTGTGGGTCATGCCGTGTGGCCCCGTCTGGGCATCACAGTGAATCATATACGATCAGATTTGGGTGGAGATTCGGTGGTAACGCGGCAATGTGCGGAAAACGTCTGGAAGAATATGAGGTGATAGGTCGGGAAATAGAGACCCATCGCTGCGCAGATTGCCCTGTAGGTACTTACTACTAAATACTCGAGGCCTCGTCCTGCCCCCGGACATCATCGCTTACGAGATTTGTGGCGTCCGGAGCTGAGCATCAATTGTGGGACTGGGCGTCCATTGTTGTGATGAAACATCTCGGTCAACCAGCGATGGTGAGCGCGGCTGTCTTCCGTCTTCCGTCTTCCATCTTCCGGACGAAGGACTGTTAGATGGCACGCTCATGGCATAGAACCTGCTTCGCTCACTGCATGTCGCAGTTTTATGCCCCTCCCCCTTGCCCCCACGCCCAGCCACAAACTCATAATCTGGGGTAAGATTCTGCATTTGCTTTTGATTTGTATTCACAGGGAGTACTCCCAAACCCTACAGTCACGATTTATTAGACGCTTGCACACAACAACCCCATGCAACCGATTCAACTTAGCCCGGTCTTGATCGAGCTTGAGCTGTCCGAGATATGTCTCTCGGCAACGGGCCTTAGGTCTCTAGATATGAGCCGAGGGGGTGAGGGAACCGAGACGTCAAGCGCGATCAAGCTTGTCATTGGTGGACAAGGGACGAGACCACCTAGGTTGACCGTGCTGCTTGTGCTACCAGCTGAAAGTAACAGGTGCATAATGAACAAGCCTCCTCGCACGGCAGCACGGCGGCCGTCGTTCCTGCATTTGACATCGATCCACTTCTGCTCTAGCTGCATATTGCTGCCTCACGGCCCTGACGGCGTGGACCGAATGAGGCCCATGTTTCAGCCGAATCTTGGCCATGAGACATTCATGGATGTTTGTTTGGCAAAGCACACCTGCGAGGCGTTCGAGAACGGTTTCGAACGACGTTCACAAATCTTTCATGAACTCGCACACTTGTTTATATACAATTCCTATTCAAATTCGGGCTTGTCTTCAGTAGTCTATCGCAACCAGTATGGACCTCCACCCCGAGTCCTTTGCCTTCCAGAATCAGGTCTCAGTCTTATCGGACGGTGATGAGAGCTTTAAAGGTCTGATCCACCAAGTGTCGGACCACGTGTGCCCATCAGAAACACCCAGCAAGCCACGGTTGTGTGTGAAGGGCGAGAGGCTCGGCGATCAGCACGACTAATAAGTATTGTTTGCGGGAGGTCAGCAGCCACCAGAGGTTAATTTAGTCTGGCCTGCGACGTCGAATTGCGCCGCTGGTCCTTTGAATCAGACATTGCTTTGGCAAGACTAGAAGCAGGGCTCCGTGCGATGTAACATGCATATTGACAATTGACATCTGTTTGGGCGATCCCTTGATGTCGTGACGGCGGTAACACAAGACTAAGGCATGCAGCTGCCCGCATAGATCAGCTCCCACAGGCACATTGCATCTGCGTCTGCAGGGCATGCAAAGTCACCCACCCCATGCAGTCTCTCTGACTCTCCACGATCTGGGCCCTGCCTCTCTTCTGGTCGCAGCATACTAGGGTAGAGCTGCATGGACTGTTATTGACTGTCTCGCCATCATGCCGTGGTGCAACATCGCTTCGGACAGCGGCCACGGACAAGATGACCAGGGTCGCGGCTACAGAGACTCTGGCCCACACGAGCGCGGACTTGAAGTACGCGGCGACCCATGGGGATATACCAGGAGGGAAAAACCGGGAAATCGCATACAGACACCCGTAATCCGGAACTTATTTGTCCAGGATGCCAGGATATGATCCCGCAGAGTATCAACGGCCGGTAGCCGAATCCCGGACATCACACGCTCCAGGCATCGTACGCATCTGACAGGGCCTCGTGGAAGATCCGTTTGCTAAGATAAAAATTAGTACTTTGGAAGTCATCCCTGAGACTAGTCAATGCATCTCAAACGCACTTGGCAGGTATCCATCACATTCTTGCTTCTGTTGTCCCTTGCCTTCCTCAGTACTAAGCTACTGACGCACCTCTCAGTCCGTCTAGGCCGAATGTTTCTAGATTTAGAAACAAATAACGAGGCCTCTTGATATCTAATGTTTGTATGTACCTCAAGAGCAGAGCTTATGGGCACTGTGCGACTCTTCGGAAGGCTTGCGGCTGTCGTATCATCCTGGGGCTTGAAGCTTCGGGGAACTGACTGTCTGATATCTCACAGAAAAGCCTCCTATGGCTTTTGTGTCCAAGTATTGGCGATCTACAGTACCTGTGGCTCAACTGGATTGTGACACTTGGACAGAGCCGGTTGCGCTTGTTGCTTCTGCATGTGGCCTGGCCCAGCGATGTCATCGGGGAGCGCGACAGGGACATGGACAAAAGCAGTCACGCTCCGCCTCTGGACATTGAGATCCACCACCTTGGCGGAAGGGTACATGCAGTCCCTCGCGACAGACCTGCGGAGAAATCTGCGTGGAGGTGAATCGCCACAGCGGCAGCCAGTCAAGTGTGCTGCCATCCGGCCCAGCCTGGCCGTCGTATGGTTGCCATGGATATGCCGTGCCTCCGTTGGGTCCTAAGCCTGAGATGTCCGTGCTGCCCTTGGTAGAATACGAACGGAAGTAAGGCGTGCATGAGTATTAGCTGCTCCTGGAATTTCTTGGATATAAAGTCCACTTGATCCTGCTCGGTGGATGTTGAGTTCTTCCTCGGCTCCCCAGGCTTCCAGTTCTCCTGAGCTCCTTTCTGCCCTTCTTGAGGCTTGACACTCGTTTATTTCTTTTTACGTCTATCCTGTCATTCGCTCTGCAATTGGCCAATCTGCTGTCAGAGATGGGTTCGATACTTCGTCTTGCTCTACTGAGCATTGGGTTAGTATTCCACACACCTTCTGCGCACCCGGGTCCTCGGGTCTATCGAGACATGACTGACACATGGAATCAGGACGGTTCAGGTTCTCGGCTACGAGGAAAGAAACATTCAGCCCAAGAACATCAAGCACAGACAGTATCAGTATATCACGACCGTCACAGAGACAGTGGTGGTCAAAGAACCTCCCACCACGGTGAGCGTCTATGTCGACGTCCCTTGCGGTCCATCGTCGTCCTCGCATCTTCCCGGCACCGGCACCGGCACTGGTGGCCTACCCCCATACTCTTCGAGCTCCGCACCATACGGCAACGGCACGTCTGCCACGTCTGCCCCAGGCACAGGAACCGGCTCGGTCTCACTGCCTACTGGTGTCTCGTCATCGGATCCCGTCTCAGCCTCCTCGTCAAAGCCTGCTGGGACCGGCGGCACCGGCCTGCCCCCTCCTGCGTACACCTCTGGTATCTATACCAACGCATCGTCCGCAGATCCAACCTGGACATCACAAACATCTGGAGGCTATGGTACTGGCACGACGCCACCGTCTTCATCAGTAGCCGCCACCAACTCGTCGGCCGCAGCACCGACAACACCCACGGGGACAGGCTCCAGCGGCACGGGCACTGGCTTCCCAGGTGTCTCGAGCTCGTCCGCTGGGGGTACCTATCCCAACACGACAACGCCGCTGACCTGGCCCACAACCGGTTGGTCTGCCACAGGTTCTGCACCCTCCTCATCGCCCACCTCCAATGCCACATTGGTTCCTTGTGGGTACGGCGATGACGACTGCGATGGCACGATTACTGCCACCATCACCATGAGCTCAACTATCACAATCGACCCTAACTCAACTGTCACGTCAGTCGGACCGATTGGGGGCTCAACCACTAGTGCAATTTCACCTTCGGCCTCCACCACTGGCCCTCACAATAATTCATCGAGCAGCACGTCCAGTGAGACGATAACGAGGACGATAACCCACACACAAACGATCTCCTCGTCCAGCAGCACGGGAGGTGCTTCGAGCGGAGTGACCACCTCCGCCGGTACTTCGAGCAGCCTCAGCTCCAGCTCCTCCGGAGCGAGCAATAGTACGGCGGCAGCGACCGCGTCATCCTCTGGTCCTTCCGCGCCGAGCAGCTCATCCTCGGGGGATCCTACCACATCGCCAGGATCCTCTTCGCCCACCGTGGGGCCATCGTTGTCAACAACTTTGCAGACCGTGACATCGTTGACATCCTCGGCATCCAGCGCGCCGACATGGACACCGCCGACATATGGCGGCGGCGACGAATCTGACGAGGACGACGGAGAGGATGACGGCGGCTACACTTGGCCTTTTCCCTATGGATCCGGAAAGCCACGGTGGAGGGCTGAGCCACGGTCTGCCGAGGATGGCCATGAGCAAGCAAAGCACAAGAGGTGGTTTGTGAACTGGTGAAGACAGCGGATGATCCTCCCCTGTTTCCTGCCCTGCCTCCTGCCCTGTATTCTTGTTGGATTCTGAACCGCTGCGGGCCAGACCCGGTGGAACTGGCCAACGCAACGGTTTCATTTCTTGACACTCATTTGCCCCATTTGGTCGCTGCAAATCGAACCGAGCTTACGCATCGACCACCGCGCGATTTCCTAGATTGATACTGTAGCACACTTTACTTGACTTAATCGTTGCCCTCGTTGGCAGTCAATATAATTCGTTTCAGCGCCATGTCTCTGACTCTTCTGAAGCCCAACGATGGAAGTCGTGGATTGTGAAGGTTATGGAAATACCTTAAAAGATCACACACTGTGATGCACAGTCATCACTTGCATAGTAAGGAGCTCTGGTGGCAGTGTTTGATACTGAAATTGTGACTCTGGTGTGAGTTTTAGATTTTGCGGTAGTACACACCCTGTTGTTGCCTCTGGGTGAGCATGCACGCCTCAGTTTGAATCACAACGGCCAGCACAGTTGGGGCTGCCTTGAGATCGTGTGTCGATGCCTCTGTTCTGCCTCTCTGACGCACAGACATCACTTCTTCGTTAGGTTATGTCAACCCTTCTGCCCCGATGCTCGCATTGGGCCCAACTGCTTTGGCCGACCTGCGAGGAGTCGAATCTGCTGGTTTAGAAGCAGCTGCCGATGATAGGCCTGATGCCAACATATAAAAACAAGCATCTCTCGCACGCCTCAAGCGTACACAGTATTACACGCTCATGTCTTTAGGTCGTCTATACTCGGGCAACTCAATATAGGAAGCGTGATAGGTCGTCAAAGACAGGAGTTGAGTACGCCCGAGTTGGGGACACCGTCTCGGACTGGATAAATGCTCTCTTGTGTCGTAGCCATCGGCACCTCATCGCCGCGACCGGGACTCAATCAACCGTCGGGCTGTTCACTGGTGGTTATGTCTCCACACTCGGCCTTGTGGTGAGTGAATACCGCGTGGGCTTTGCCTGCCCACCAACACTTGCTGACCGTCAGACCGGCCTGTTATCATCCATCTGGATTGCCGAATGGATAGTTGAACTTGAGGAGGCCATTCAGGCCACCAACCCAACCGTCATCATCGTCGTCATCCTCACCATCAGAAGACAGCTGCCCCTTATGCAGGTCTCTGATGACGCAAGGGACGCCGCCGAGCCAGTTCCCGTCCTTGCCCTTGGTGATTGTCTCGCCCTGGATCCTTATCTCCATGCCGGGGCTCGCACCAGCCCGTCTCTTTCCGTCGATACTGACCTCGAGCTCACGGCCTCGGTTCCTCTCGCTGAGCCGGAGTACGACCTTGGTATCGAGCGGGAGGACCAGCGGCCTGAAACTTAGGCTCCGGGGACAGATCGGAGTGATGAGGAGCGAGCCCACCAGAGGATGGACGATGGCGCCACCAGCGCTGAGAGAGTAGGCGGTAGACCCCGTGGGCGTGCTGACGAGGATGCCATCACATATTGCCTCGGTCAGGAAGTGGTTGTTGACGTACACGTCAATCATGGCGAGATGGGGCTGACCACCACGGTGGAGCAACAGCTCGTTGACGGCGTGGAAGGTCGGGGGGACCTTGACGGGCGGAACCCAATTGGGATTGCTCAGAGCAGCCTCTTGCTCGGCGCTCAAGGGCATCAGGCGTAGCCTCTGGTGGGCCTCGGCGGTCGAGGTTGGCATCAAGAGGCCGTTGATGTTCTTGCCCTCGTCGTCGTAGACGCCGACCTTGAGACGGTGGCGAAGCAGGATCTTGGGGCGGGTTGCGCCGGCGGCTATACCGCTGGTGTAGACCCTGGTCCAGGCGTCCTTGTACTCGGCAAACTTCCACTCGCCGAGGAAGCCCAGGGTGCCCATACTGAAGGACAGGATGGGCGGGACGGTCGAGTTGAGGGAGAAGAGGCTGGCGGCGCGCAGGATTGTGCCATCACCGCCGAGGGTGGTGACGAGGTCGATCTTGTTGGGGAAGTGGGTGGAAGGGTCGCTGCGAGAGGGGGTATAGATGGGGAAGGGCAGGTGGTTGTGAATGCGGGCGGCAATGCGGTTCTCGAAGACGATGTTGGTGTCCGGGTAGTTGTCGTGCAGGTGCTGTGCGAAGCGAACGGCGTCCTGGACAACCTTTGGAGCGTGCAGCTTGGGTATGAGGAGGATGTTCCGCGGGGGCTGCTGCCACTGGAGGTTCAACAGGCCGATCGAGGTCTCGTGATACAACGGGCTGATCCTGTCGGGAAGAGAGGCAACATCTCGGATCTCACGCAAAGGAGTCGAGGCCGAGAAGGGGCGGGCGGGCGCCTGGCGACAGCACCAGGACACGGGGGGCCAGCGCGCGAATGGCGGCCGTGGATGTATTGATATTGATGGTGATAGTTTGATCATTGTGTCACCGTGGGCGGAACCGTGGCTGGCTAGGAAGCCCGGCTCTCGTGGCGGTTGGTGTTATAAGTGGGTGGAGGCGGAGCGAAGGAGGAGGACGCGACATTTCGAGGGGCCGTGACAGCAGCTGTGGGTTCTCGGGCGGGCGAGCACGGCTAGCAGCAAGAAGAAGGCACGGTGCCCATTGCGATGAGGTGGGTAGGGGCAGGCATGGTGTTGTGGCGGAGGAGACAGGCAGTGACGAGGAAGAGAGGGGTCGAAGTCGTGGTTGGAGGAGGCACCAGCACCCGCGGCTCGATGTTGGAGAAAGCTTGGACTTGTCGAGGTTTTGATGCAACCCGCCGAGAACGGCACCGGTGCACCTGCTGTGGAGCAAAGTGCCTGGAGCTACTTGGGCCAAGCTCCCTGCACATGTGGCGGGGCATTGGTGTCCCCACCGTCCTGGACGGTCCCTTGGCCGGAGCTCGCGGAGCTCTGAGCCTCTGACATCAACCCATATGCAGGCCACCCACGGGACCACACTAATAAGGTCCCAGTTGCAGGTTACAAGCTGCCGCCAGTCTCGAGGCCATGTGATGTGGTCATCTAGATCAGCATCAGCAACCCCTCTACCGCTTCCCTCCTCTCCTCTTCTTCTTTGTCCGCCCTGCAGCTGGGAAGGCAGAAATGCCCCTCCCAGTATGAGGAAGAGCCTGTGATCACCGTCAGTCATCGTCACACGCCAAAGTTGGACGGACTGCGCCGGGTCCGCTTTATCACCACCAACACCAACCACCCAGCCATCGAGCCATCCTGCCGCCGGCCCTCCCGCCTCTCTTGCGCACGCGACCACTCCTGCCTACCCTATAGATACTCTCGACCGGGCGGGCTCTGTTGTAGTTAAGCCAGCTTCCCCTCACGCCGCCTTCCCGGCCGCGTCCCACCGCCCTACCACGATCGTATCACTTTAGCCTCCCATCCGACTTTTCCACAACCTGTACCCATCCTGTCCGCCAGACGCATCATGGCAGCCGAGCTGCGGCAGAGGCCTGTCGCCGTCAAGGACGAGCTGCCCGCCCCGGAGCTCGTGCCGGGCCTGGGCGACAAGCACCGAAGACCAGATGTCGCACATCCTTCGGGAAAGGAGAAGAAGAGCCAGCTCACGCAGTGGTTGAGGGGCCTCAGCTTTGTCGCCTACTTCCTGTCCTGTTGTGTCGCGTATGCTATGCCATTTGCCCTTTCCGCCCTCCCCTTTCTAGCTGTGGCTGACCCCCATCTCCCGTACCAGAATCAACATCACCCAGTTTATCGGCGCCCCTCTCTACGTAATCAGCCGCGATGTCTACTACGCATACATGGCCCTCACCAAGGAGTCTTTTGGGCTCTTGATCACCACCATGACCAAGATCTGGGGCCCCACCACCATACGCATAAGCGGCGATCACTCCGTCGCCGGCCAGATCAGGCGCACACCCGACGGCCGCGTCCATTTCTCCTTTCCCGAGCGCATCGTCATGATCGCCAACCATCAGATCTACACCGACTGGCTTTATCTGTGGTGGGTCGGCTACGCGAACTCGCCACAGATGCATGGCTACATCTACATTATCCTCAAGGAGTCCCTCAAGTACATCCCCGTCATCGGGACCGGCATGATGTTTTACGGCTTCATCTTCATGTCCCGCAAGATGGCCGTCGACCAGCCCAGGATGGCCTACCGCCTCAACAAGCTCAGGACCGCCCACACCGCCCCCGACGGCACTTCCTTTCTCAACCCCATGTGGCTGCTCCTGTTCCCCGAGGGCACCAACCTATCAGATAATGGCAGGGTCAAGTCGGCCAGGTGGGCCGAGAAGGCCGGCGTCAAGGACTGCAAGCACCAGCTGCTGCCTCGGAGCACTGGCATGTACTTTGTGCTAAAGGAGCTCAAGGGCTCCGTGGAATATGTCTATGACTGTACCATCGCATACGAGGGAATCCCGTGAGTACCACTTCTCTGCCGCCCCTCCTGACGGGGCCATCTCCAACGTGCTTCTTGGCTAACGCATGCCCTTTTGTCAATGATGTAGCCGAGGGAGGTACGGCGAGGAGTTCTTCGGCTTGTCCAGTACTTATTTCCAGGGACAGGCGCCCAAGTCCGTTAACTTCTACTGGCGCCGCTTTCGCGTTGATGAGATGCCACTCGACGAGCCGGAAAAGTTTGAAACCTGGCTGCGAGAGAGATGGTATGAGAAGGATGCGCTCTTGGAGACGTATACAACAACGGGCCGGTTTCCGAGGCTGCCAACCGAGCCCGGCAAGGCGGACACCGAGGTGCCCGATTTTATCGAGACTGAAGTCAGAACGAAGTACTGGTGGGAGTTCCTCAGGATATTTGTCGTTCTCGGTATATTTGGCCTCCTGGGGAACCTGGTCGTCAAGTTTTGGTACAGGATGTCACGCATTGTGTCTTCATGAACCTGTTCATCACAGGAATACACCAGCCACCGCACCATCATCGGGATGCACACGGTCCGGAGAGACCGGCGAATCGCCGCACAGTTTACTGGAGTTTTCTTTTGGTATTTCCTTTTGGGGTTTTCTTTTAGGCTGCCACGCGAAAGAGGCTTAGAGATAGGTCGCACTGCTGGTTAGGTGTTGTTGGGATACCACGGTTCATGTCGGTCTGGGTCGCTGCTTCAAGTACCTTGCTTTCCTCGAGAGCATTACACCTTTCCGAATCATATGGTTTAACAATCAATTCATGGATATTATCATAACCCACAAACTCCACTCCCGTCGACTAACTGAAACGTATTCCCGAAACCACAAGGAAACTGCGAGATTTTTGACCGCCGAGCGCTCATTTACCATGTTTCTTCATGAACACTCTAGAGTCATCATACGCGTTCCAGAACTCAAGTATATGGCTTACAACCACCCAAAGACCCAGAGTCACCGAGATGCGCTTGCTGCCATTTATTCGCAAAACACATTGTTATTTGGACGATTTGCACGCTGAGAAATGTATATCATGACTGCCTGCTTCAAAGAGGCTGGATTCAATTATTTGTAGGCTATATACGTAGTTCCTTCCCTGGACCCGTCTGAGAATGTGAAGCCAAACGAAACGGATACGATAACTATTCCATGAAAAAGATTTTGCGGACGACACGGCGGTCGATTGAAACACACTGTGGTATCAAGTCTGAGCCTGGTGCCTTGTTCCCTGACCCCGGAGCATCCAGCTCTACCTCTGAAGATCTCGCATTATCTGCTATGTTCCCTATATCCGCAACAAGAAGATAAGTCGTTAACCACATTAAAACCAGAATGGGAAGTTCTCGCAAGGGCCTTGGCCACTTGCTGCTCGAAGAAGAGACGGCGGCTGCGAATACTGGCCGCACAAGAGTTTACCCAGGCATTCAAGCCCAAAGTGTCCGGGAGTCATGCGCGTCTCGCGGAATGCGTCGAAGGCAGGGCCGGTAAAAGGCCGTATCGTGCACCAAAGGCGGTCTATCTGCTGCACCCCGCCTCTTAGACCATTAGAGGCGCGATGGTGACGACGACCCAGTGTACAGCAGCCTTCTCGTCCTTCAAGGGCGTCCAGTGCGCGACGAACTTCTCGTCGCCCCTAAAGATGGCCGACCGCCGCGTCTGTAGGCGCAACTCCGTGCTGATTGGCATGCCGGCGCGGGTGGCATTGCGAACCCTGGTCTTGTACTCGGACTGTTTGGCCATCATGTTGACGCCAAAGAACCTGAACACATCGGTGCCGGCGACCATGGTGCCGGCCATGTTGGCCGGGTTGAGCATCTCGACGATGCCCTCCGAGTAGAACTCGATCACGAAATTGTTGGCGCGGACGACCAGGAACTGGTAGGAGTTAGCTTGGGGAAGTTGTGATGGACAAGGAAAGGATGAGCCCAGCGGCCAGTTGCTGACCTTGGAGTAGGCCGTGTAGAACTCCTTCATCTGTGAATTCAGGTCCTGTCCCTCCATTCGTCCCAACACACCGTTTTCCATGCCAGCGTCAAACTGCGGTATGTGCGCATTGTGTCCGTTTTGGCGCATACCTAAGGCTTTGAGTATGGTCTTGCGCGCAGATGTCTTGTTGTGCTGCCCATTTGTGGGTGGCAGGGGCTTGTTGACATCAGCCACGTCGGCCTCGCTTGCAGCGGAGGTCGACAGGACCTTCAAGACGTCGACGTTGCTGTGGATCGTTGTGGAGCAGTTGACCTGACCGCCAATAAAGAACTCGATCTTGCCTCGCTGATTGTATAGTGGTGCTGCGCTGAGGTTAGATATTGAATTGTTTTCAACTGTCATTTGTGGAGCATTCTCGGGAGGAAGGGCGCGCCACGGCATGTTGTTTGCAGCTTACCAACGTAGAGCAAGTTCCAAAAAGGATCGCCATTCTTCTTGTAGTTCAGCAATAGTTCCACTGACTCCTTTTCCTCGGCGATCGCAGTCTTCAGGCGATGCACTGGCTGCCTATCCGTGTGAGCCCCTTGCAGGAAGCGACAGTTGCGCGGCACACTGAGTTGCTCAAAGTCAGCACCTAGAACGTGCGGCATAAATAGGCACTATGTTACGGCCTCTAGGTCAAGAGCTGCGCATGAGATCTACTTACACCTCGCTACGCGAATATCCCGTGGTCTTGACGAAGCCATCAGAGGCAAAAACGATGGGGCTGCGCGCAAGTCAGCATCATGGCTCCTTTCCGGGGACTATACGGGGGAACCAACTTGTCTGCGATTCTAGGGTTCGTTAAACAGAAGCAATCGCCAAGTCCCTGATATTTGAACCTGTCGGTTGCAAGTGCCCGTGTTGCGCTCAAGGCCATCTGGTGCCTGACGAAGCGGGGATAGACGTCCTGGAAGACTAGGGTCTCGATCTGGTCTTGTAGCTCGGTGAAGACGGTCTCCATCGAGGGAAAGGCGCTCGAGATGAGCGTCTTCATCTCCTTGTGGGCTCTCTTCAGCAGACTGCCATTGACATTGATCTGGAAAGCTGAGCCGGGGCTGATGAATTGCTTGTGGATAAAAGCCATCTGGCTGGCGAGGTTATTCAAAGTTGTCCGGTACTCGTCGACCTTGGCCAGGAACTCGACGTTCTCTGAGCAGAGACGGCTCTCGCTGAACTTGAGCAGCTGATAGGCGGTCGTGGGGTTGTGCAAGACCACCTGGAAGATCTCGGAGCTGAAGAAGTCGGGCATGCTCTGAGAGGCAGAGCTCTTGGCGGTCCTGCCCGAGATAGAGTTGCGGACCGATCGTACCGAAATATCGTCGTCGCTGTATCTCCTCCGTATTGGGCCGCCCGAGACGGCCTCGTTAGGAGACGACCCGATGCCATTGCTGCGCGAGGAATAGTCGTTGTACATGCCATCGTCGACGCTCCTATACGTCTTTTGGTGCACGGGGCGCTGGGGGACGGGAGGTATGGTCCTGTCGACAAGTGATTTCTTGGTTTCGGCATCCTGGTACATCTGGAGATGGTCGAGGATGGGAGTCCTCAAGCCCTTGTAATCACGGGCGAGGTTTGCCGTCCTGGATCGGGCGGCACGGGAGCCGCGTGAGTTGTTGCTGGCGACGCTGTCGGCCCTACCATCCCTCTGACGCGGTCTGGCGTTGTTGTGAGCCAGAGGAGGGCCCCCTCTGGCCTCGTGGGCGCGGGTTGCTCGTGTATGCTGGTCCAGACGGTCCTCGTAATCATCTTCATCGTCTTCACCGCTGTCCTCGGGGCCGCCAGCCCCATGGTCATCGTCCGTGTCTTCCTCGTCATTGTCTGGGAAATCGTCGTACACAATCCTCCGACCGTTCTGGGTCGGCTTGTGTGCGATCGGGGGAGGTGTCGCCGAGGGCGCCGGCGGCGGGAGGGGCGACCTTGCCCGCCGCTGGTTGGACGCCCGGTGGGCGTGATCATCGCCATTCTCGACCCCGTCATGAGCCGTCTGCTCCACGTCCTCAACAATGACCGGGTGCTGGGGACGTGGCTCCTTGAGCTCTGGCAAAGGCTTGTCCACAACCGACGGGATGCCCACAGTGCCGCTGTCCGGGCGCGATGAGTGCCTCAGGGGCACGTCGACAGAGCCAAAGGTGTCTGACCCGTCTCTTGTGTGGCGCGGGGAAGACTTCCCCGAGGCGACATGTCCAGCACGTGACCCGGGCTTGCTGCGCGGCAGGTCTGCCGGGTCGGCGTCGCCCCGGTACCGCACGGCGGCATTGCCGTTGGCCTGGCCATGGGTTTCGTTGGCGTCGCGGGTTTCAGCCATGTGGTCCAGAGCACCACCGTCCAAGTCCTTGTGCCTGAGCGGCCTGGATGGGGAAAGACCGCCGTTGAAGACGCCGTAGCTTGCCTCGCTGTTGGTGCGCGTCAGGACGGAGCGGGTGGTGACGGAGAAGGGCTCCTCGAAATCGGCGCTGTCGGACTCGTCGTCCCAGTCAAAGTCTGTTATAGTGTTCTTCGCAGCGGTGATTGCGCCGCGGTCCACATGTGGGAGGATCCGGTCCAACAGCTGGTCATGGTCGCTGGTCATCATGGCGCCGGTTGGAGGCGGCGGGAGAGGAGGAGGGGAATCCAAGGTAGATGTAGGGTGCAGTTCCAGCTGATTGTGGCCCGGCCTGGCAAAACCCAATGCTCAGGTTGCATCAAGATCAGGGGCGTCGGGACCTTGAATGGCTGGACAAATGGGCGAGCAGAGCACACGATGCGCAAGATATTGGCCGTCACCGTCGCTGGTCGGCCAACACTCGCGGGCTCGCAAGCATCTCCATGAGCTCTTGGACCTTGGATGATGGAGGACCACCCCACCCCCCATCAGCGTACGGTCCCTGTCCCTGTCGGCTCCTGCGTCCAAGTGATGGTCCCTGCTCCCTGGCGACGACAGCCGGGAGCAACCCCGTCCAGAAGCTCAACGCTCATCTCGCCGCGGCCCATCCTCAGGCTCCAAGCAGACCGACGGAGCACAGCGACGGGACAAGATACTGTGCAGACCTCTCTGCCTACTCCGTACTCCTCTCCGTAGTCAGGCTCGGTCAGGTCGAAAACAAGTCTTGCAAGGTTTGAGCGGGGCCGAGGATGCTGCGAGAATGGTGAGGATTTTGAGGAGCAGGGCAGGGACAGGGCAGGGCTGCGATCCACAACCCCCCAAGGCCCCTCCCTTCCCCTCTGGCCCGGTTGTGGGACGAGATGCGGCGATCTAGTGCAAGGGTGCTCGAGCCCGAGTCTTGACCTCATCCATCGGTGGGTGTGCAGCTGGTGTGGTGGTCAGGTGGTATCGTGTGGTTGCTGTGCGGTCGCAAAAGTTGAGTGCCGAATGCAGCAGTCAGGCTATCTCCGCAGGTCCCGCGAGACCCGTGAGCCAAGTGTCTGGCCGTGCTGCCCCGTGCGGCTGTGCCCTATTCCCCAGTTTCCCAGGCCAGGGCTCCAACAACTCCAACAACCTTGCAGCACCTACAGCCAGACATCACACAGCCAGACATCGCACAGCCAGACATCACACATGGTGAGGCACACGTAGCACACGTACAGGACGTGGGTTGGGTGCAGCACTAACCAGGTACCCATACTGTGTGGCACCTCGGGCCCGGGGGCTAATCTCCTAGTGCTGCACAGGAGTTGAGGAAAGACTTCCGAGGGGTTCATCTCCCGCGACGGGGGACCAAGATGCAACGGGGGACCGCTCCACGCCCGGGTGGCAGGGTGGACATGGTTCGCAGGGACGTCCCCGTGTGCTGGCTCGCCGTCTAGCGTGTGACCCGACCCTTCCTGCCTCCCTTGCCTCCCTTACAGCCTCAAAACCCCTGTGGGATGGATAATATCCCGCTGCATCACATCATATCCATAGCACAATATTTCCGCATATGGCATCTCTTTCGCAAGCACATTGCGACACATATCATGGGTACATACTCAAGTCCCTAGGACGACCTTTTCGCCCGGCACTCGACCAGCTCGGCGGCACAAGGAAACTCTAGGAACACAAGAACAGCAGCAACAATGTTTAAAGTTTCGGCAGTCTGTGTGGTCAGGCGCACAAACTGGATCAAGCGAATGTCGATAACCTATAGACAGAGTACCCGGGCTACAGACTCTGCCAGACAAACGGCGGGATGGTCTGGTTGTCTGGCTCACCTTGCCTCACCTCGAGGCACCCGGGACGAGTCTGGAGTTTGGGGACAATTGGGACGATCCCGCAGATCTGCAACAGTAGATCCGGTCCGCAGGCCGGGGCATGCCCAGCAGATCCCCAGAGGAAGGAAGTAGCCTACCCAGGTTGTAGACTACTCAACTACTCCGTAAGTAGATTAGATACTAGGCTGGTTGTGTCGTGCATGTTGATCCGGCAAACCACCTCCTTCCTACCTAGGTACATACCGATGTACATGCAGCCAGAATTGCGTAGGATGCATATGTATCCTTGGCTATGCCAAAGCGTGCTGCAAGTCATGTCTTCACCGCAGTCTCATCACGCACTGTCAATGCATTTTTTTTTTCAGCGGGCACGTCACCGTCCTCCCGGACCAGGAAGAACCTCGCAGCGTTGGCCTGCTCGAGTGTCTTGACCGAACCTGAGCAATGTCCCCGCTCATTGCAGTGCACCAGACACCCACCCACCTCGAACCCTTTGCCCCACACACTATGCACATGTTTAGTAGTATATATACTACTAGTAGTAAGGCCCCTAAGGGTAGTCCGCGGTGACTTCTGGCCATCCCAAAGGCCCACCTCGGCTCAGCAGCCCGAAAAGGATCCCACTTGCGAGGCGCTCTTCTGTCCTTGCCGCGCCACACGAGACAGAGACACAGACAAAATCCTCGAAGCATCATGTATCGGGTCTGGGCTGTCGCTCACTTCCAAGGTCGTATGTAGAGTCTGTGCGCCGGAGATGAAGCAGCCTCACAGAATCCAGGTATTACCTGGACACCCAGATGGCAATGCCGCAATCAGCGCACAGATTTGCTGAAATGTCCAGGGCACACAAAGACGATCATTCAATTAACAGACAGGGGAAATGACGTGTCTTCCGTCGGGCAATCACCACGGGAGAGGGGCAGCCCGGTCCGAGGGCCCTGGTCTGGTCTCCTCCCATCGCAGAAATCGTCCCACGCCCAGTACGACCCTGCATGGCGATCGAGATGAGCGAGCCAAGTTGACAGGGGGGGGTTTTCCTGCATGTCCCGCATCTGTCAAATATAACGGCCAGTCCGCCGGTACGGAGTACTCCGTGCTGCACACAGGCCTGACAGGTCACTTGGGCACAATCTCAGTTCTAACTTCTGGGTCTCTGCTTGTGACAGATCAGACAGGGTCGCAGATCAGATCTGTATGTGATGCTTTTCCAGCCAGATCTGGGCGTACAACACTGTTATCGTATACCGAGTACCCAACTCACTTGTGCTGAGCACCTGGGCAGAACAGGAAGGACCCCGCCTGCCCGCTCGTCAGGACACCCTGGTCATTGTGGGTCTTTTTCTCTCCTCTGTTTTCCCTTCTTCATCGCTCCACACATATACCAAGCAGGTGGGCTCGCATGTCGTCTTCCGGGAGCTGCTGTCTACGGGAAAAGCTTGCTTCAAATGTTTGCTTTTGGATGTCTCGGATGGCATTTTGACAGGCACGCACCAAGACGTTGGCGAGAGGGCACATTTTCAACAAACGGGAGCATCCGTACCCAATATATCTATACCTAAGTAGACTATTTGAGGTCCTCCAGGCCGGAAAATAAGTCAGTGTCTTATACTACTACATATGTCACCATATGAGCAGTACTTCCTGACCAATATCATGACGATTATTATTGGGGTCTTTCCTTGAACTTTGAGTTTAACTTAAAGCTACCCCAGGGTACTCAAAGCAACGTCGGGACTAATTTGCACAAATGTTGAACGTGAACGCATCACACTTAAATCGCCGCTCGGTATTTAGATGGCATTTGCTGCGTCGCGAAATATACCGTCTGCTCATGTTCTCAACCTCAGTCCGACTAATTAAAAATATGATGCATGACCTTCAGGATAAAAATAGCCTCAGAGATGAAAGCCAATCAGTCCACATTAAATCCCATAATCAACACACCGAGATATGAACGTCTCCAGTAATTGACTTTAGATATATCTCATGATAACCGTGGACATGGACGCTTTTGTGGCAGAGACTAGTGGGTGGGACAGACACTCCGTACTTACCTACCTAGGTACTCAAGTATTTGACCCTGTCTGGATCCAAAGCTAGCTTATCCTCAAGCTTGCCCAGGTGGAGGAGGAACCGTAACCACAAACGACCCGGAAAGCATTTTTCCAACCCCCACACCAAAATCATTCCTTTGGCAGCCAGTAGTCTCATGTTCGATTACAAACACTGCACTGGATGTACAAAGTTTCGTGTAATAACAGGGTCAGAGGCGAGCAATATGACCCAATCGCTATATCGTAACACCGCTTAAGTTCAAAGGATTTAACAACATGACACAAAAGGTGCGAACAAACATAATGATTATTAGTATTTGAATTAATCACACCACACCATAGAGGTACCTACCTATCCGTCGCGATGTCCTTAATAACGGCACCAAGAACCCTTGCCTTACTGCGCATAAGCAAGCACAATGGTCACCTCCCACAACAGCCTCCCAAAACAGCTCCATCCTGAACAAACCGCTGCTCATCTACCCCTCCGTCTTCAGCGAAACCTCCGCCCCAGCCATTGAATCCCACCTGAGATCAGTGGGCGTCCTCGAGCCCAACGACGCCACCAGCCAGCAGCCACTGTCCACGAAGCAACACACACGGCATCTGGAGGTCCTCTGTGTCTGCTCGGGGAGCGCCAGACTGTGTTTCGGCGGGGAGGACAATCAAGGGAGGGTCGAGCCCGTCGTTCAGGCCAGCGACGTCATCGTTCTGCCCGCTGGAATGGCCCACCGATTGCTGGACAACACGAGTACGCGTGGCTCCAGGTTTCAGATGGTCGGCTCTCACCCGAAGGAGTATGACTGGGATATGTGCTATGGGAGGGTGGGAGAGGAGAGGCAGGTTGATGGCACATTGATGTGTATAGGGACTGTGGCTTGGTTTAATAAAAAGGACGCCATCTACGATGAACAGGGCCCGGTGCTCGATGCCTAGACGAAAACATGATCGCTGGGGAACTTGGCTACTTGAGATAGTTTGTAGCGACGACTTGCAGCCAAGTGATATCTGCCCATCAGGAACGTGTCAACTGACGGCGGTGGGAGATGGAAAGGATTTCTCTAATGAGGAGCCAATGAATCTTGTCATTCTGTGTTGAGAGAGGCACAAAACGCAGGGCTCGACTGTTATCTCATAATCAAGTTTTCCTGGACAGGCACTGTGCTTTCTTTTAGGTAAAAAAGCAAAGCAAAGGGGAAAATGGAAAATGTTGCGTCTTTGAGCGTTTATCACTGTACGGAGTGACCACACGCTTGGTTAAGAACGAGACCACGTAATAAAGACTGTGTGTATTCAACAACGGCTTAGAAGAGCATCCATCAATTCTAGGTCGTAATCTGAGGCCATCCTGCTCCTTCATGAGGATAGACCAAATGCGCCTCTGGAAGACACAGCGTCCATGGAATCCACACGCAGTGCCCACAACCTAGACGGACCGCAGTCTCAAAGCCCAAGCCCTCTCTCGAGATATCGGGGGATCATTAGCCTCGAATTTCAGCAACAAGAGCAATCGAGTCTTGTACAATAACCCAACAAACCACACGAATCTGCCGAAGTTCAATGGAAGTCCAGATGCACGCCACTACCGGTGCTCCACGTTTCGTGCTCGTCTGCCCATCCCGTGGTGTCGACCACGGCTGCAAGCGATTTCCAAACCATCTTTTCATAACGTTGATCCGAGTCAGTACGGAATGCCTAGCTTCCAAAGTCCCTCCTCATCACAGCTGATGTGAAAGCAACACGCCGCCAGCGATCGGTCATCAGAAGCGAATTTTCCGTTTCCGCTGTGTTGTCGTCCACTCGTACTTGTTCTCGGGTGGCACGCCGTGGGTGGCAACTGGTTCGGCGTGCACCGTGCCAAGCTCATCCTCATATTGATGCGTCATTTGAAAGTGGCTTTCGAAGTGTGCCTTGCGCGTCTTCTCGGGGATATGCTGCTCGGCCTGCTCCGGGGACAACACGCCGCTGCGATATAAGCGCAGAGCACGCCTCGGGTCTCCCCTGGCCTCCCCTCGGGGATGGCGTCGCTCTGGGCGGGTGAGTCGCTGCTCCTTGTCCTGGGAAGCTTTCTCTGCCTCCTTCTCGGACTTGCTTATGCGCGAATCCTTAATGCGCTTCACAATTCCCTCGAGAAAGGCCTCCAGGACCTTCTTGTCGCTCAGGAGCTGGGAAAGCTCTTCACTGGCGCTCAAGACTGGATCACCCGAGACCGAGGAGTCGGTGGAGGCGAGGAGATCACCAGCACAGCTGCTCAGCGCGGGCTGACTCTCCGAAGGGACTGGCGAGCATGGTGAGCTACAAATATCCGAGTCAGGGGGTGTAGGAATCTGCGTGAGCCAATGATCGCATCCAGGTGGCTCTGGAAACAGTGAGCAGTTCTCACTATCGGTTTCGCTGTGCCACCAGTTTTCGCCTTGAAAGTCACACTGAACGCTGTCGTCAATGAAATCATCGTCGCACTTGGAACCCCAAGAGGATTCGGATTCAGAAGTGAAGGATTTGTCGAGCTGGTCATTCCACGAGATTTCCTCCGTGGTCCAACTACCACTCTCTGACAACGAGCTGTCATTTTGCACGTCCCAGATCGATGCGTTCGCAAGTGTGGCTTGAAGCCTCTGATTGTCGTTGTATTCGTTCCGCATAGCCTCCCAGGTTTTGAAAGCCTGTGCCTTGACTGGAGGATCCGGGTGATGATGGCTGCGAACGCCCACCACCGTGATCGGCAGAACATCTCCGTCACGGTACGTTTCGCTGTTGTCGTCACTGGACTCGGAACCGGTATCTTGGCCTGTTCCAGGCGGCTTGAGGCCCCGCTGCGTGTAGACGCGGTACACGTCCTCGGGAGTCAAGCGCTGGACCAACTTCTCCTCATGCTCGGCAATGTATTGGAGGTGTTTCTTGCTCAGGCCTCGCACAATTTTCATGGCTTGGAGCGAGGGGGAGGGGCGAACCCTGCTGTCCAGGACCGCACGAGGCTTGAACCAGCAGCTAGGATCGACTTGTAGAGGAACGTACATCTTGGCAAATAGCTCTGGGGAGGAGATGTGGACCTGTAGCAGGGAGTCGATAGAAATGAAGAAGACACAGTGGTTCTCAAACAGCTGAGGGACCACTGCCAAACACTCGGGCCGGGGAAGTGAGGTTGCAACTGGTGTCCACCCAGATGGACAGGTCTGTACTGAGCTGCAATATTTTGGCAAGCCTGGTACCTGATCGTTGGTTTGTTGGTTGCAAACTTGAAAGGAGTGATGGATGGAAGTGAGTCAAGACCAAAGACTTCGGGACGGCGATGTGGTGAGATGTGTCCCTTGGCTGGAAGAAGTGCAACTGTTCTGCAGGTGGTTGATGGCTTTGGCTCTCAAAGCAGTGACTGAGAGAGAAGAGGGAGAGACAGAGAGGGAGAGAGAGGTTTTGTGTGGGTGAGTGTGCGCGTGTGTGGATTCTGAATATAAAAAATAAAAGAAAACGACGGCAAACAGTTGTGCTGAACGGGGAGAGATAAGCTTCGGCTCAAGCCAGTGACTGGCGCTCTGCTGTCTGATTCAGAGCCTGGGCCCGTCTTCAGACCTTTCAGGATCCTGTCTGCAGTCTCTGTGCCTGATTTCGAATTAGCTGATAGGCCAGCAGACAATGGAAGTGACAATGGTGCAGTCAAGGTGAGGTACACGTGCCTTCCTATTGGTACCCCTGATGTGTGGCTGCCTCCCTATTTTTGCTGGCACGAGAACGATGACTCGCCCTGCATGTGCCAAACACTTCACCGGCAGCCACAGGCTTTAGAAATGATCACTGAGCTGAAATTGGGCAAGTGTATGGCCAGTGGCCAATTCCTGCTGCTCAGCAAGAAGCCTCAAGCCAGAAGCAGTTGCATGGGGCTGTGGCAGGGAGAGTACCGGAGCATCAGAATGCCAGACCTGCAATGTAAAATTGACAGCCAGGTGATTCAGATTTCAGGAAAAAAGATGAGGCAGCTGGAGCTAAAGAAGTGGCACAGGTGTGGTGGGAATCGACATGTTTTTTTGCAAGGAAATGGACCACGACACATGGTCCGAGGCAGACCTTGTGCCAACAGCCATGGTAAGGTCTGTCCAGGGCAGGGTACATCTGAGCAGTTTAGGGTTGCTCTGATCAGGGGGTATCAACTTGCATTCATTCGTATATACTTGCAGGACCGACCTCATCACCGAGGTACCTGTTTGCCCACATGTCCAAAAGACCATCCAGCCAACGCTTCTAGTGGCCCTCCCTCCTGCGTAGGAATAACTCTACAACAGTCTTCTGTTTGTCCTCCAAGACCTTGCGCTCCTTGTCTCTGGCTGGCATTTCAGTTCGACAGACCAGAGGTCCAAAGATATGTGCAATTCTCTGCTCCCTGGCCTTCCGTCTTTCCAACGACGCAACAGCCTCCACTACTGGTGTTGCCGCTGCCACAGACGGACCACCTCCCGTCACACTTCGCCGGATGCTCATGGACCTGCGGCTTATCGCCCCGCCAATTGCTCCAATACCCCCTCCAGCGCCGCCTGCCTGATGCCCAGACCCAGCAGACTTGAGGGCATCTAACTCGCTCTTCTTCAGCGGCGCCACTTCACCAATGACTTTAGCAAGAGTGGTTGTCAAGAACACGAAACAGATGTTGTGGTTGGGCGTGGTCATTAGGATATCGAGGATGGTGGACTTGTCGTCTTCTGTGCTGTCTTGAGACAGGCTTTTTGCAGCCGGGCCCTGGCCAAGCGCTCGGATGGGCGCATCTTCGATCTTGGTCCATATGGATGTGTTAAGGATACCATCCGTAAGGCCCTCTAGGAACAATAAGAGAGCTTTCGCCACGGCTTCCAGCCGCTGACACGGATCTGCCTCGGGAGGGAATGCGTCAGCGATCGGCTGGTCTGTGTCCAGGGCGTCAATGACGGTGGAGACAAGGCCCGCACGAGGCTGTGCGACAAAGTCCTCAAACGGCCACCCTGGCCTGTCCCTCGGCACTCTATATGATCCGAGCATCTCCTCATCCGCCAGCGTCCGCTCGGTTAGCATCTCGACTGCGTCGACCAGCTTGAACAGCTCCTTCGGGGCGGACCGGCGGACGTCGAGACTGGGAGGAATCATGCCCGGGTTTGCGCTCGCTTTCTCGCGAGGCAAGGACTTGACGAATGCCCGGATCCCGCCATCGGGGACCCTGATGAGCTCGTCAATCGACCTGCCGATGCAGGTTGGGGCCCAGGAGGCCCGGACTGGCAAGAAGTGGTCTCGACCTTGGTCGACCCGGAGTACAACCACCTCCTCAAGCTTCTCCCGGCCCTCGTTCAGCGCCCTGGCCTGCGACACTTTGTCGATATACACCCCAAGCGTGGCATTCACCGTTTCGCCTGGCTCTAGTGTCACTTCCTGTCCAACGTTCTTTGGATTGTCGTCGTGGCAGTCGTCTCCCGACTGTGTTTGGTCAAGCGAGGTCGCCAGCCAGTGAGCCGACTCCGACCCGTTGCCTTGTGCGCCGCCGGGACTTGGCCTCTGGACAAAGCTGACCGTCGCCGGAACGCCGCCGGTGTTTGCGATCGTGAAGTAGGCGGCTTGCCTCTGTTTGAAACTGACTTGACCGAAATCGACCAAGTCGTCGGCGGACTCTTGCCCTTCCCTGACGATGGTGACGGAAGGCCGGCCTTCGTTTTCAGCGCGGTCCAGCTCACGGGCCACCTGAGCGTAGATGTCAGCTTTGAGTTCTGGGACAACTGCATCGACCTCGAGCTCAAAGACAGCAACAAGAGGCTTGTGGTCGGAGGATGTTATTCGCTGATGGGAGGTATAGAGGTTCAAATTGATCCGGTCCAAGGCGTCTGCGGCAACGGCATCCGCGGCTGTATCCTCGCCGTTCTCATCATACTCGTCATAGTCCAGACCGGGCTTTCCAGCAGGTGTCGTATCTCCGTCACTTTCCGGGTCATAGTCAAAAAGAACCTCGTCGTCGTCCCCGGCTTGATCAATGCCGCGAGATTTCATCTCTTCGTCCCTTTTCCGAGCTTCCGCCTCTTCCGTGAGCTTCCTTTCGTACTCTTCTCTGTCTCTTTTGGTCCGGTACATGATGCGATCACACCAGCTGGGGGCTCTTTTCTTCTCACTGGAATCAAACAAGCCCACGGTGCCCACGTCGTATTTGTATGTTGGCAAAAAGGTAACTGGGCCCTCACGCCAACCGTCATGAAACAGCTTGCGCTCTTTTCTGACCCGCAGCAGTTGGTCATGTGGCAGTAAAGAGTCTAGAGTGGCCTGCAGGGATGCAGGGTCCTCGTGAGGGTCTGGGTCGAAGTCGTCTGGGTCAGGCAGGGACAGAGACTCATCATCACTGCTCTGCTCAGTCGAACGCGTTCTCCCGGAGGCATCGTCTGTCTGTTCATCGCTGCTGTCGGAGGTCCTCCCCACAACAATCACGTCCTCCCCGTCGAGATCCTGAGATTTGGTCCTGGCCACGTCATACTCGCCTTTCGAGTGGAGAGTTAGCAGGCGGCGGATGTCGTCACCTGGTATACCGTCCAGCCTAAAGTTCAGGTCGCCGAACCAGAAAGTAAAGTCCTCGTTCCCGATCCTATCCTCGTAGTCCTCGTCGTCGCTTCCAGGGATGACGGCAGGGTCGAAGCGGGTTCTGTCCATGATGGTCCTAGCATCCCAACAGCGACGTTCGACGGTGGCGGGGTCGTTGCCGCTGGACAAGTGGGAATTGACAAAGACCATCCGCGTGGTCTCCCCGAGAACAATGCGTGCTGCTGTCGCGCCTTTGTTTCCGAACCAGCCGCCCACGCCCGTGCCGACGGCCTTGGTGCTGATGTGCCCAATACAAGGGGTCAGGTCAGGCGAGGCGTACATCAGAAGGAGGAGCCCGGACATCTGCTCTGAGCCGATGAACTGGTAGCCTTCGGGAAGGGCAGCTTCCAGGGCCAGCCGCCACTTGTCGGTGGGATTCGTGTCCGAGTAGACATACTGGGTGACCGGGTTGAGAGTGACAACCTCCTGTAGACCCAGGATGTAAAGGTCGATCTTGTCGCCTCCCACCACGCGAGCAGATGCTGGTGATGGGGAGCCGGCGGCTTCTGGGTCTTGTGTTTTGATGGCGGGGTTCTGAAAAAGCCCAGGGGAGGCCAGATTGCCGTCAAGGCCTTTGCCGTCGACGAACCAAGCTGCCAGGTCTTTATCGGTACCAGGGCAGGCGGCGACGTTCCATGAGCCAATCTTGAGCCTCAGGCGACGGGGCCTGGTGTACTCGGCACGGCGCGCATAGACTGCGCGGCTCAAGGACTGAGGAGTCGATAGTACCAGCTCCACAGGGTCGGTGACCTCGGACATGGAGTGCCCGTGGCCCGCTGATGATGGCATGTCGGCGGGCTGGGAAGGGAGGGCGTTTCAGGGATTTGCCTTTTTGCCTGCTGTGAGTCCAGGTGAGGAAGGAGGAGACAGCCAGCTCAAGGCCAGAGCATGGTCGAAGAGGGCGCCACAAAAAGGGCGAGGTCACGACAGCCCCCGGTCTTGGGATTATTATAACCTGGGCCGTGGCTCCCTGCCAGTCTGCCAGTCTGCCAGTCCAGTCAGGAGTCAGGACAAGAGCAGACGTCACAAGGGCGGCCTCGGCGGCAGGGCGGGCTGGCGGGCTGACAGCTAAGCTCTTATGCCTGCCCCGCGCGTGGACAGGCACCCCTGCCCTGCCGACCCCACCAACTAACTCTATTGTCTGCATTACCACTCGAGCCCAACGGCCTCTTCCCCAACGTCACCCGTCCACCACCGCCTTGTCGACGTCGCGTCGACGAGGTCGAGGCAGCCCGAGCTATTCGAGGCAACCAACTGCTGATTGTTCATTATTGTTGCCGGGGCCCGTGTCTACCACCGTGCCAAGTCACAGCAGCCTCGCAGCGGAATCTCGACACGGAACACCATCTTCAACCATCAGAAGCCCTTCTTCGCACCAACCGTGGTTCCCACCATGGGTCCCTCGACACCTCGAAGACCGCAGAAGCAGCGGAACCATCCCGGCAGCGCGGCTGGAGGTCGCCCGGCAAACAACCTCCCTACAGCCCCGGCCGACTACGAGTCTGACGCCTTCTATTCCGAAGCTCCAGTACAGCCGCAACAAGCCATCCCGCCGCAACCCGCCGCCGCCACCCAGACCCAGAACGTGAACACCATCGACCAGATAAACCTGACCGTCCTCAAGCGCTACGTGCCCACAATCCAGAACTATTCCGCAATGGCCCATAACGCCACCCTCTTCACATGGAACATTGAGACGGGTGGCTGGGAGGAGACCGGCGTGAAGGGCCCCTTCTTTGTCTGCAACCAGGAGCACCAGTTATCTGCCACTGGCCACTTCGTCCCACGCGGCTGCGCCTTCATCTTGAACCGCAGCAACCCCGAGAATGCCGTTTTCGACCTGGCAACTATCGCCGAGTGCGAATTGCTCGAGGGCCAGCTTCTCTCGACCATGACCGATGCCGGCGAGGGCTGGGGTTTCTTCATGGACATGGGAAAGGCACAGGAGACCTGGGATGCTTTCAGGAAGCTGTGGCACAGCGTGCGGGCTGCAAGCCAGGCCTGATCTGCAAACTGGCGGTAGAATTCCCATCTTACCGGCCCGCACTGTTTCACCTGGTGAGTGAAATAGCTCTTGGAACGAAACGATATGACACCAAGATTGGTTTGTCATGCGTGTAGGATACTATCGTCTTCAAACAGTCCCGCTTCTGAAACTAGGAGGGGATGCATAAGTGTAGCATTCAACGTGGAGGAAATTAAAATCCTCATGTTTCAAAGACATCCATGATAACGATAATTGTGTTTACACGAGCACACACAAAGGAAACATGAGCGTCTTGAGGGACGCAAAAACCCCCCAGAACTTTGAAGTCTGCACTGATTCAGACTCATCCACCGCGTCAAGCATCCGGTAGAAGAGATGGATCGCCACCACCCAATTTATCGGGAATGTTCACAAAAAGCTTCTTCCATATTTTGTGTACGTCAGACTGTGCTACCGTCTCTAGAGTGCTTGCAACGGCTAAAAGCCGATGTGAATACTCTGCGAAAGACTGGGTGATTTGGAAGGCAATAGACAGCACACCACAGCACACATTGGCAAATCGGCCGTTGCAACTGGTCATCAAATCTGAGGTACCTGATTTATGTAGCACCCATTAACTACCTAGGTAGTGATATAGATAGGCCACATGGGCCGACATCTGGAGCTTAGACAGTATAGCAGCTTCTAACTTGAATTTGTCAACAGTCGATCTCACCACATTTCGAACATCGACATAGTTTGAATCTAATCATGATGAGTATTTGGAAACAGAATTATCGGAGTTAAGAGGGGTCGAATTTTCGTTCAGATAATCAGGGATGGACGATTGCCTCAAGACGATACCTGAGGAGTCTGACATAACACCAGTCAGTCTGATATTTCCCGCATTGACAGTGCATAGACCGTCATCAGCTTCCTTATGCCAACAGACGTTGGCTGTGTCTTAAATAAGAACAGTCTTTGCATAATATCCGCGTCCAGCTTGAATTGGTCATTGGTATCGACTACTCTGGCCGAGCTTCGTTGCAAGTCGCTGACCTCGGGACATATTTCTTTGGGGAGCTAAGCGAGACCTGGAGGCACCTAGTCAAGGTGTGAACCAGGTTGCTACCTCGATGTAGTGTTGTTAGGAAGATGATTGTTGTGTACAGAGCCCAGACTTTCCTGCAAGTGAAACTGGCCGTTTTGAGATCCAGAAATATAGGCCTAGACAAATTTGGCTTCCGATACTGGCAGTCCTGCGTGCCGCAAATCAAAGGTTTCGACCAGTCAAATGTACCAGATCCCGCTGAATGCATTGAAACGCTGACGCCGCTCAAGGAAAGATATTGTTAGATCATGACTATCAAGTTGCTGCAAAGGAGCTGGTAATCACCATCAACAAGTTCCCTGGTGATGAGCTCTGGAGGGAATTCCTCTTCGAGCGCGCGAGTGTATAGAGTGCCTGTTATCTTGGTGCTGGAATTTGCACGACAGTCGCTGTTGGGTGGACGATAGGGAAGGAGGTTCATCCAGCCATGACAATAGCCCTGGTATTTGTCTGGGGCGTGACATAACCGGCTTGTTCACTGTAGATTTGCCCATTTTCTCACCAGCAACCATGCTACCACCACATCGTGATGAGCGCCACGCTTTTTGATAGATCCCGTAGGGCTCATGATGTCCCGGGCACAAAATCAACATCCTAGACAACGGGCCTTGCGAGCGTTGCTGCTAGTCTCACCCGCGGCCTGGCCGGAGCTCACAGCCGAAATCTCGAAGAACTCTCGGCCTAGGCTGACGCGTGTCTCCTTCGAAAGCTGATAGGTCAGGGGGGCTAAGCATCGGACCATGGCTTCCACTCTGAACGTCCGGCAGCCAGGCCAGATGTGCGGCATCTATGGGTAGCTGATGAAGCGTGCTTAGATTAAATTTAAATTTATTTGTATTAAGCAAGTAAATGACACAATATTATTTGACACGGCGGATATAGCCTCTGGCAGTGCTATATGAAGCCCGGTTGTGGTTGTGCTGCTGTGACAGGCGGAGGTGGTGGTTGGGCTGCTGTCACGGGTTGTGAGGTTGGCGATGTCTTCTGCTGTGAAGTGCCGGGACTCGATGTCTTGGCCGAAACGGGCTGTCCGCGCTTCATCATCCTCCCGAGCACGGTAACCAGCTCGCAAGCATCGTTGAACATTTCGTTGTCGATGCCTTCAGTGGCCTCGTAGACCTCGTTAATAGTCATTCGGGCTACCTTGCGGCTCTCCTCGGCGTCATGAGCGCACTCGTAGAGAAAGGATGAATACTCAGTCCTGACTGACAACCGCAAAGAGTGAGAGCCCCATAAATGCTGATCCGCGAGAGCCACGGCCTCTTCGAAGGACCGTCGGGCCTGGGGGAGGTAATCGCCGGCCGGGAGCAGGAACGCACCAACAGCCTCGGGCCCGAAACCCGGTGGTGGGGCGACCGGCCCGCCGCGGGAGTAGGGCGTGGCTCCCGAGCGCGAGCCCTCGTCGCTCGCTACCCCCTTGCCCTTGTCTATTTTCGATGGCGGCGCACCTGGGACGGTAGAGGTGGTCGCAGGGTCTGGGGTAGGCATGAATTGCGACGATACCGGTGGCTGGTTGTGGAAAAGCACAAAGATGTGATAGAAGGATGCCCGTAGCTTGTAAGCCAGCACCTTGAGCTCGCTTTGCCTGTTCACCATCGGAATCACATACTGTTCGAGCATGACCAGCCCCTCCCGCGCGAGCCATATGATGTGAAAATAAAAGTCAAGTGCCTCGGTTGGCCTCGTGGGCTCAACTTTGCGCTGCTTCCTCGCCTTGACCAGGTGCTGAGATAAATTTATGGACAAGCCCAGGATCTTGAAAAGAATTGAAGAGAGCAGAGGATTTGTTTGCTCCTCTGCCTTGGCAAACTTGCCAAGGAACTTCTGATCGACCTCGGAAGATGCCATTGACCAGTAGGTCAGGAGATGGGACGCGGAGTCGGTAATTGGACGGGTAAGGTGCCTGTGACGTGTGGAGATGTTGTTGGCTCTGGATTCATACTCCTGCTGGTGTAATTCGACAGAACGTCTCGTCCAAGTATAGGGAAGGTAAGGAGATGATTGCCGCGTTGCTGCGAGTAACACATAAGGGGTGTTGTGGTGGCAACAGCTATAGCCTCGTGTACAGCAAGCTCATGTGTGCGAGATGACCTGGAGATGAGCTGGCCTGGGCGACACCCTGGGTGGCTGTCGGCTGTGTTTGCGCGTGTGGCGAGACCAGTAGGCGATGAGAGCTGCTGGCAGGGCGTTTCTGAGATTCCCACGGTGCGAAGCGACAATGACGACAAGCAAGGCAAGCGCGTGCAGACGGAGGGCGAACAAACAGGCCGAGGCTGGCCAACCCGGGAGCCGGCGCTGACGTCCTCGTGGCGGGAGGGCGGCCACAGGCGGTGAGTTGGGCAGGCTGGAAAGCCGGATTGTTGCTGGGATTTGAGTTGAATAGTGGACCAGAGAGCAGCAGGTGGAGCTCTCAGGGCTGGTCGGGCCTGGCTGAGCCGTCGAAAATGCGGAAGAACGGACGAGTAGTTGATATCAGGCGACCAAGATGCGAAAGGTCGCAAATGACAGCAAAAGAGATTGGGTTGGAACTCGGGGTTCGAAGCAGGGGTACGGAGGGAGATGAAGGATGCCAGTGGAAGAGGCCTTGTAGCCGCATGAGCGCCCCGGGGTGAGCGAGCGAATGCTGCAGCAAGTTATGTATCCTTAAGGGGGCCCAACTGACGACACAGGCAGGACCACAAGAACAGTTCCAGCAGGAATCAGAGTGCCGTAGTAGTACTCCGTACCTGGGGAGTCAGTCGCAGGTGGAGCGTTCGATTAAGTACTTGCATGAACGAAGGAGCCCCCCTGCGGTGGAAGCGCCCGAGTCTGAGCCCGAGTCGGAGGTTCTGGTCAGATGCAATGCGTGTGAGGTGAGTCTGTGTTGCCGACTCTGCCCACAGAAGCACCGCAGCACAATAACGTGGACGTGAACGTGTATTAGAGGGTACCGAGCCGAGCCGTACCGTGTGCTTGACCAGGCCGGGTGAAATGTGGTGTATGCATGGGCGCACAGGTGTTGTGCTGTGTGTGGTTGGGAAGACCGAGGGCAAAGAGCAAGCAAGAATAAGAATAGTAATAATAAATAGTAACAACAATGAGCGCAGCAGAACAATGGAGCGAGCGACCTTGACCCTCGGGACTAGATCAGGTCAGGGCAGCTGGCGCAGGAAGCCGCACATGTGTATGAATGTGCGTGCGTATATATGGGCTGGATGTGCGCAGCGTTCATGTACCTGGGCAGCGAAAAGAAAAGGGAAGAGAGAGCGACAGATACAGGGGGAGAGAGAGAAACAAGAGAGAAAGAGGCAAACTAAGACAGACAGGGCTGCAGGTACCTGGTCCCAGGTACCTGGCTGTACCGTATTATGCGCGCGCAGTTGAGGGAGAATGATGAGGATGATGATGATGATGTCGAGGTCAACATGCCGGTATTACTGCCCATGAGGATGGGTGGTGGTGTGGTGGTGCAGATGCGAGGTGAGTTGTCCACGGCCATTGCTGAGCAAGACCCAAGACTTGGTCAGGGCAAGGAGGAACTTTGGCACCTTGCCTGGGTCACGGAAGGCGGCCTCAAGCAAGGTCCAGGCTCGTCAGGTTTGGGGTGTCAGGTCAGGGCGGGCGTCAGGGCGTCAGGGTACGGAGCATGTACCTAGGTACCCAGGTACCTGATGCCTTGATGCCGGGTCCGGAGCAGGGAAGGACCCCCTTGCGCAACAGGTAGGCCAGTTCTGGGTAACAGCGACCGCAGCTACTGCAGGCCCTTGGGATTTAGACCTCCAACTCGTCAGGGCCCCCATATGCAGGCTCACAAAAGTCAATTGGACACTACAACAAGCGGGAGGGCGGTTGACGGCGGTTAACGGCAGACAACAGCGCAGGCCAAGCTGGAACAACTGGTGATGGGGCAGTACCTACTCACACTAGGTGCCTATGTACCTAGGTACCCAGGCATGGACACGCGCGCGTCTAGGCAAGCTACCTAGATAGCTGCGGGTGGGTGGCTGGCTAAGTAGGTACCAAAGATGCAGGAATAGGCAGGCAGGTACCTAGGGCAGGGAGTTTCTAGCGGGCGAGGGGGATTGATGAGATGAGACCAAGGAAGGCCCGCCCAATGTGTTTCCTGCTGATGACACAGGCACAGACACAGACACATGCGCAAACGTTGAGGGACCAAGAAAAAGCGACGGGGAAAAAAGCAGAAGCAAACGACGCCCATGTGGTGGTGGTCTATTTACACAGCAGTTGATCCTCCAGTCTACTTTTGCCCGGCACCTACCAAACACAACAGTTGAAGTCTTGATTCAGGACTTGAGGGCTTCTTGGAAGAGTGCTCCGTACCGACGCAACTCGAGATCGGACGCGAATCGAACCCCTCCCATCTCCGAAGCAGACAGGGGTCTGTTCCGTGGGGCGGGACGCGCAGGGCAAGGAACGCAGGCAGTGTGTTGATCACCCGGAGCCGACTCGCTTGACCATGGCAGACGTTGTTGCTGTTGCTGCTGCTGCTACGACGGCGGGTCCGTGGTCCTGTGTTCCCGTATTGCTCTGTCGTTGACTTCTCGGGTCGGGCGTTTTCCCTCCAGCAGAGTCTGTGCTGCCCAGGACGGGTGCTCCCATCTAAAATGTCTCAGACAATGATCCCATCAGGGCTCGTGGCCCTGCTCACACGAAACACGCGGTTCAAAGACACTGCTACCCTCCCTGCCTCCCTGCTGGCTTTCGGCCAGTCTTCAATACCGACCGAGTACAGTCGCCCACGTGCCACGACGCCAACCACTTCGCGCACCCTGCTCATCTCCACCACCGCCGACGGGCACGCAAACAAACCTGCGTCGGTCCAGAATTGCGCCTCCGCCGTTCAACCATAACGCCTGATTGTTCCACGGACCCGGCCCGCCCGGTCCATGTTGCAAGCCTTGCATGCTTGCCACGAGCTCATTTAGTGCCGTCTCTCTGCTCTGCTCATTCCCTCCCGGGCTGGACCCTGTACCGACGGCGATCTGATTTTAGGCCTAGGGACGGCGCGCCACAAGCCATGGCCAAGCCAGTCCAGTCTAGCAAGGAACCAAGTTTGGCGATTGAGCTTTCCAGCAGGCCAGACCACCTGCCGCAAAATGGTGCTCTCACCAGGCAGGCCTGACCTTTTCTCCAGTGGCGGCAACCCCAGGTCTGGTCTTGATGCCGAGGCCTCTCTGAGGAGACCCAGCCACCCAGATTTTTATTCTTTTTGGCGCTCGTGGCCCATCGATCCCTTGCCTCCTCCACCATGTAACGCCACGCGGCTGCGCAGCTGGGCAGCTGGGCCGCTACAACAACCAAAAGGGTCGACCTCAGCCCTCATAGACTATCCTCATCAGCCTGTAGGCTCGACCTTGGGTCCATCTGAGCCTCAACTCCCAGTGCAGCCTCGGGTACACATATGGAGCAAGTCGCCACCAACGTATGCCCGAGGCCGCCCTGGCAGCCTGGCTGTCCCGCACTCCGACGACCATCTGTCCACGATCATGGGCTCGGGAGCTACCACCACGGTCACGGTTCATGTACCGCGCAAACTGCCGGGATCGTGGACCGCAAACATCTGCCAAACAGGCGGTGAGCACCAAATAGGGAGCACCGTGCCTCCTTCAGCAGCTACCTAGCATCGGAGCTACCTACTACCCGGGCATGCCCCGATCAGTGCGCACCGTGAGCCAGCAGTCTGGCAGTCTGTTCGCCTGCTTTGGGATCTCCAATGCTACGCCTATTTCCCCGGGCCAGCCCCTCATCTCACCTGCGGACGTCAAGTGTGATTTCATCGTGATTCTAACACCTGGTCTGCGCCCGCTTGTTAAACTCGTGCTGGGAGCGGCGCGGGCGGCTGCTTGCACAGTATAATGCTTGCGCAGTGCCGTCTCCTCTCTGCAGAAGTGGTTGTTTGCCTGTTACATCGCAGCTCTGGCAGCCCGGGATACCCTTTGGGCACTCAATAATGATTTGAAAGCGCGGCCGAGCTGGAGCTTTGGGGCCCCTGCGGCCTCTAGCCTCGCGAGTGGCATAGGATCCCATGCCCTGAGCAACCGCGAATGCCCATGCCATGCCCGAGCCAGGCTGTTTCTCATTGGCGGCAGACAGCCTACCCGACAATTCGGATACTCTTGTGGGCTCTGAGCCCGCATTTACCTTGCAGGCCACGCATATGTGGATTTCTCGCTGGTCCTGAATAACAGAGAATGCTCGCCAGGGCTTCACAAAGTGGGAACAAGTTCGAATAGACACACAAGCGGCTGTGAATGCTTCTCGTCACTCAATTAGGAGACCACTACCACATGTGGAGACATGAAATACAAATTCTCCAGCGTGATGGTCTGGTCAGCTGTTGATCTTTCCAATTGCATATATCCATCCAGAAAAGGCGGACCACGGTCACACTTCATCCAGTTTGCTACAGGTTATCACTGATGAATTAAGTAAAACTCTTGGCAGCTTGCGAAGTGCTAAAGTACGCCTTCGCCCATGCCACGGGTGGTTCCACCACACGGTCACAAAGAAGATACCATGAAAATCAAGATGCCCTCACCAGCTTCGCTTCTGGCATGGTACCCGCACGTACTGATGTTGCGCGTGGGTCTGGTTCAGTTTCATGGCCAGACGACACCGCCTATTTCAAACCCATCTAAGACCAGCAGCTTCCACGAGGGTACCATGCACAAGCTTCAAGCCCTTGCCCACCACTACGGACACAAAATGATCGAGCTTTCCCACCAAACCGGTGAAAATGACTCTGCCTCAACTGGCTAGCGACTCAGCTGTGCCTAATTCATCAGTTGAATATTGGACGCTTGAGCTCGTCGAGATCAATCAGGCAATGCTGTAGCAGAGAGCTTGCAGATGATAAGCGTGGCGGTCAGGTATAGTTGCAGAAGCGTTACTATGTGAACGACAACAACATTGAAGATCGGGCATCAAGCGGCGAAGGAGCAGATACCCCGGCGCTCTTCCGGATAGCGTCGTCCGCAGTGTCCACGGGTGCACGATTCCATATTAGGCACCCGAATCTATTTGACGGTATTCTCGCTTAGACAACGGAAATCAACATTTCAGGATGGTTCGAGCCCCCACATGCATAATTTATGCTATCAAGCTTCGAGGATGGCCGGGAGGACTGTAAACCCAGAGCACTGGTGTCCACCATAAGTGGGCTGACGAAGGGCTGTGGAGAGAAGCACCAGGCAAAGCCCAGGGCTTGACTTCTACTCTCATTTCGGGACCAATGTCCACCACAACTGAACATTATTGATGCCGCACATGGAGGCCGGTTTATCGCGTTTCATAGCACTGCTGAGAAGGCGGATTCCTGCGTAATATGCTAACAGTTCTCTCAGCTGCCATTGAGAAATATCAGGCAACCCGAGTCCACCAAATCCAGCGAAAGGTTGTACGTCACATTCCAAGACACTTCCACAGCCTGGTCGCCGTAGGTGAGAATATCCGTCTATAAGCCCAACCCAGCAAGGAAATTGTATCCGTATAATGTTGCGTAATAGGAATTGACATTGCCCAGAGCCCGAGAATATATTCTCCAGCCTGGGACTGATCTGGTTTCCCAAACCCTTCTATGAGCACCCCGACGCCTACGCTATGCACGAGTGATGCATCTGACGAAAGCAGAGCCTAGTAGATGAGTCTCTCCCGCAAGGCGGTCCTCTTGTCGCTGCCGAAGCCGATGCGGTCCAGGTACTTGTCCAGGCCACCGTGTTTTGACTCGAGGTGGTGTACAATGCCTTGCACAAAGCCCGGGGCGGTCTTTGCAAAGTCATCGCTGAGGCCCATCTCCCGGATCTCAACCAGGCGCGACTGCTCCTCTGAGAGCAGCTTCTCGTCGGAGAGGTGGTAGTCATACTGGATGGCCTCGACAGGGACGCCGCAGATGAGAAGGGCGAGGACAACCATGATGCCAGTGCGGTCCTTGCCCTGGGTGCAGTGGATGAGGATGGGCAGGCCGTCGAGCAGGCAGGCCAGGCCGGTGGCAACCTCGGGGCCCGAGGCGTCGAGGGTATCACAGCCGAGGCCGAGGAGGCCGCGGGGGTTCATGACGTCGCGGCCGAGGACGGCAATGGCCTGCATGCGGTAGCCGGCGACGTAGAGGAAGATGAGCCTGAGGAAGCTGGGCCAGCCCAGCTGCCTGAGCATGTGCCTCTCGAAGCCGCCGCCGGTGATCTTGACCTCGCGGTAGTCGATGCCGTCGATCTTGACGGGGCCGGCGAGGGCGTCGTTGGACCGCAGCAGGGCCGGGATGGCGGCGTCGCGGGAGCGCTTCCTGGCGGCCTCTGCGTGCTCTGTCTTTGTGCGCAGGTCCACGACGGTGCGGATGGCGTAGTGGTAGCGCAGGCGGTCGCGGTCGGCGAGGGTGGCCTCGTCCGGGCGGGCGGCGCGGAAGAGAAGGCCCTCGCGGATCAGGCGGCGTGACAGCTGGCCGTTTATGGTGGCGCCGACGTCTCGAAAGTTGAGCAGGGCGCGGAAGCCACCGTCGTAGAGGGGGGCCGAGGAGGAGGAGGAGCTGGCCCCGGACGAGGGAGAGCCTGTCGGTGACGGACCCATCTTCTGTGCTGTCCTCAAAAGAGATGTGAGGGCAGCGAGCGTATGGTCCTCTGGCTTCTAAGTTCTTGGCTCGATGATCCCACGAGACCTGTGATGTGGAAGAGCAGGCGAGTGAAATATGACTGTTCCTGAGCAAGCTACGGTGTACAGGTGGAGAGAACAAGCATTTCAGGTTGAGCGCACCCCTGCTCCTGATCGTCAATCTCGCCAATCTGGTTTTTGAGATGCACTGTGTCTTGTCGCTGCCATACACAAACTACCTACATACCTAGGTATGTACTGCAAGTACAGTGCTGCAGTCTATCTGGCTGCAGTCTGTCCGGCTGCAGTCTCTCTGTACACGAGCATGCCATAAGAGGTATGCTGGCAGATGGAGCATCGTCTGGCCATGACGACATTTTCAAGGATGTGCAATAGCATACCAACCTGGTAGTATAGCATGACATGGTATAAGTAGCTAAGTATAGCACCAGCACGTGTGCAGTGGGGCTGGGCCAGACACACGGAAGCAAGGGAGGCTGCGGGACTGGGCAGGGTTCGCTGGGCGGGCCTGGGTTGTGTGTCTATTCTACAAACTTACCGTCGATCCGGGAACGGGGAATAAATAACATATGGGCCCAGCAAGGCCGGGCTGCCGGGCTGCCGGGCTGGGCCCGTCTTGAGGATGGTCGGCATGGTCCTTGGGCCCCTCTGGACGTTATGACGTAGGCCGGTTCTTTGTGCCTGTGCCTGTGCCTACACATGGGCTGGTGTGGTGCGTAGCCTATCTGGGAGTGGTGCGTGCTGGCGCCGGTGCTGGTGTTGTCGAGAGGGGCTTCTCCTTCTGCTGCTGCCCCTGAGCTCTGGGGTGGGAGCGGGCATGGTCGGACGAATGAATGGGATGGGGTCTAGGATGGATCTGGGGCTGATCGCCCAGGAGCAAGAAGGGCTGGACCAGACTGTTGGATGTTGAAGTGGTGGTAGAGTGGTAGGCTAGACCATCGACGACCACAGTAGCACTGTAGTACTGCTCGGTACTCACTCTTGCACCTGGCGCCCCTTTCGTCACTCCCTTCCCACACTCGGCACTCCCAAGCCGCACATATCCTCGCCATCCCTCTGTGCCCTCTGTGCCCTCTCAGCCGCCTCTCTTGCTCCGGTCACCTGCTGTCCTGCCGCCCCGCCCTCAACTCCAGCTCCATCCGTCCTCAACCATCGTCACCATCGCCGTCCTGCCCCAGTTCTTGCTCCTGTTCCACCCCCAACACCTCCTCCTCTTCTGCTACTGCTCCTGCTCCTGCTACTGCTGGCGACTTTCCGGGGTCACCTCGCACATGACAACAATACAACCTCGCGAACCGGCCCGAACATGACATCTGTCAGCGCTGCCACGCAGACAGCCACACATGAGCTGCAGCCTGCACCCGCACCCGCACCCGCACCCTCCACAGCGGCCCCCACAGCCCCAGGTATGCCCTCCGTGATTGCGATTCCGTGTTTGTGCACACTCCCGAGCCCCGACTGTCCCGGGTGCTCACTTCTCACATTTGTGGTATCAAATCCCGCCTCTCTGCCCATCGCTTGTGGGGTGCGCATACGGGAGCGACATGTGCCCGACCCGGCCTTGCCTTTGACGTGCAGGTCCGACCCATGCGCCCCGACGTCATCCCTGCCGCTCCCGCTCGCATTCCACAGCCCTAGGTCTGGCTACCTACCACAGCAAGCTCGCTCACTCACCTCACTCACCTTCACTCACTTATTACACACTAACACACTCACTCACTCACTGCTCACTGCTACTGCTCACTCCTCCACTCCTCCCCTCCTCCCGGTTCCCCACGTACAAACCCCTGGACACCCACCCAGAATAAGACCCTGCTCAACTTCCTCTACATCCACAACCTCGTATCGCCGTCCCGCCTGACCTCGTCTGTGCTCTCCTTCCCCACAGCACGATACCCTTCTTGCATCTGCTTTCAGCTCACCCTCCTCCTTTCTTTAAACCCAACCTCGCTTCCGTGTCCGTCCCTGCTTACCTTGAACCATTATCCAGTCGCGACACCCTCAACCGAGAAAGCCGCTGGGCATGACGGGCGCCTGAAACACGCAAGGCCACAAGACCTGCCATCCTTTCCATCTCTCGGCCTCAGGGAAGGGGATGCCGCAGCAAGCGCCGCAGCCTCATTAGGCTGGGCCTCCACCAAGCCAGTAGCCCTCTGGGCCCCCGGCAGCGACTCCCACGCCCATAGGGCTGCCACTCTGGCAACCGATTACAAGATGCCTTCCGCCTGGCAACCAAACCCCAGCTCCTCCGGCTCCAAGACTGCCGCCGTGCTTGCCGCCGAGAATGCCACCCGCGGCGACAGGCAGTCCTCGTCCGCCCTCCTGCCCGCCACCGCATGGGGCAACTCGGCCGCGAACCAGGCCTTCGCAGCCGGCAGGAAGTCCCCCCGCGACTCCGCCGCACCACATACTATGCCCTCCCTCGACAGGCAAAAGAGCCTGCGCGCCGCCCGGGGCGCAATGGCCGCCAACACGAGGCCGCGCTCCACCTCTACCCCCATGACCTATCCCGACTCGGCCAACGCCGCTGCGAATGCCCTCAGCGCCGCCACCATTGCCCACCGTCCCACCGCCGCCGGTCCCGCCACAGCCGCAGGTGCCTCGCCCATCACCAAACTGGACCGGCAGATGTACACCTCCAACCCGCCAGTAAAGCCCGAGGTTGACGAGCGGAATCGTGAGGCCGTGCTTCATGCAAGCGCGGTCGCTATGGCAAAAAAGATGTACAGCACTCAGCAAAAGGCTTTCGACAACGCAGCTCGTGGCAACGAGCAAGGCGGCTCACGGCCCGGGAGCGCCGACGGCCATCAGGTCCGGCCGATGCACTTCAACAACCTCCAGGAGGCCGCATACAGGCTTGCCCAGGAGCGGCTGGCAAAGCTCCAAGACGAGCACCAGCGAAACAGGGGCTACCAGGACTACTATGGCGCCGGCGCGTCCCCCGCCTCCCCAGGGAGGAGGTTCACCAAGTTAGGCAAGGCAAGACGACGCTCATCTAGTGACAGCGATGTCGCCCGTCCGGGAACCGAAGACGACCGACAACGATCCAGGCAGATTCACAAGCAAATGTCGCTCTTTTCCACCCGCCTTTCCGAAGTGGACGAGTCCCAGCGCGCCAGGGACAGGGATGCCCTGCTCGCGGCGGCGCAAAGAAACGTCAAGGCCGCCATGGAGGGCATGGACGAGAAGGTGTCCCGTGACACCGGCCGGGTGACCTCGGCGAAGCTCAGCGAGTGGGAGCTGAGGGCGCATGCCACCGCGCAGGCGAGGAGTGACGAGCGCAAGGGGGGTGGTCCTGCTGCTGGGCAAGTCGACCTCGGTGGCGGCCAGTACATGGACCGTGAGAGAGTAGAGGAGATCGCGGCAAAGAGGGTGCAGCCCCTGCTTGATGAGATCAATGAGAAGGCCGAGATGGAGAGGAAGAGGATAGTGGCGTTGCGGGAAGAGCAGGAGAAGAAGAGACTCGAGTGGGAAGCCGAGAAGGCGAGGAACGCCGAGGTGAAGGAGAACCAGCGGAAGCTGAAGGGTGAGTTTTTGTCATTCTCTGTAACCCGGGTGGGGATCAGGCCTAATCGACGACTTCGCAGAGGAGGAAAAATCAAGGAGAGACGAGCTCAAACAAGAGGCAAAGGCAAGAAGAGAAGAAGAAAAGGCGGCCAGGGCCGAAGAGAAGCGTCTGGCCCGAGAGCAGAGGGAACATGAGAGTGAAGGTCCTCCGGGAGCAGCGCGACAGCCCAACGAGGAAAGCACATCGCATAGGCACCGCATCCTACCTTTTACGCCCAAAATCCAAACCAAGTCGTCATCCGCAACCAACGCCAAAGGCGAGCCATCGCCCCTATCGCCATCTTCAAATACCTCACCCGAGTCGGCAAGCGAGTCACCTACCAGCCGCGTCAAGAACTGGCTCAAGTCACGACTTTCGAAGCCCCGGGCGAAGTCGATCTCGGGGAACAACGCCAAGTCCTCCGATACCGGCAGTGTCAAAGCACCGGGCGGGTTTCTAGGCGGCCACAGGCTCAAGCGTCTGCACCCGGACGGAACGGGAAGCATGACGAGCCTGGGCGAGGAGAGGAGCGCCAGCATGAGGGAGGTTGCGCTCGCAGGGAGGGCCAGCGCACCCGTTGTCGCCTCCGACGAGCCGGGGGAAAGTAGTGGCAGCAAAGCTACCGCCCCGACCACTGCCTTGAGCGGCACTGGGAGCCAGCGGAGGACTGGCGGATCAGCCAGTAGTGACGACGGCACTGTTGGCGACGGCACCACGAGACAAGACCGAACAGACATGTCGAGCTGCGCACCGGAGCTCGAGGGCATCGCACCACCCAAGGCCCTTCTAGATCCCGCCGTGGCCGTGAGCGGTATTACGCCACGGAGCAGTGTGGGCAGCGGCAACAGGGACTCCAAATTCATTGAGATCATTGACTAAGCAGACCTATCACGATCTCGGGGGCGCAAAGGATAGGTACTGGGGCCGGAGGCCAGGATCCAGCGTTTTATTGTTCTTGTTGAGCATTGGGACTATACAGGTGAATATTCGATACCACATGCGAAGCACTGGAGTTATTTGGGTTACGTATAACATGTCTTTAGCGACCATCTTTTGCAAGCTGGTCGTTGCGATTTGTGGCAAGTCAATCAAGAACTGCGTTTCGTGGAAGGATGTGTCTACACTCTCTCACCAAGCCGGGCTGATGCAAAATCAACCAACAACAGTAGTAGACACATGGCAAGTGGCTGATGGCCAAAGGCCGAGTTCATACAGACCAGGCTGCATGGACGAACTAGAATTGGACGATAATAGGATGTCTTCAACAATATGGATTATTCAGTATGTAGGCGTGCTATATGTCATGCCCGATAGTACGACAAATTTATGGCTTTGTATGTGCTCGTTGAAACCGACTGAGATGCGAACGGCGGCCACCTTGCTGGCCACCAAACTCAGGCCCAAATCCAACCCCTAAAACGCCTGGCAATGCATCCAAAGAACGCCGTCAGCCCGGACCCGAGACGGCCCGCCTAAAAGTTGCTGGGAACGTGGTTGCCGTCTGAGTGGAGGTGGCTCCTGGTGCTGCTGGAGCCCTCCTCCATCTTGCGGACCTCGGGCTTGCGGCGGGCGCCGTCCCAGGTCTTTGTGCGGTAGTTCCCGCCGTGCTTGGTGTAGACGGCCGGGTAGAGGTCGACGTAAAAGGAGAAGACGTAGAAGCTGAAGACGACGGCGATGACCCACTCGAGGATGGCGGCGGGGTTGTAGGTGCCGCGCGAGGTGAGGACGACAAAGGGGATGGCCAGGGCGATGGTGATGAGCACAAAGGCCAGCTTGATCCAGAAGGAGATGCGCAGGATGCGGTGCTGGCGGTGGCGGATGCCCAGGCGCTGGTACTCCCAGCAGATGAAGATGGCGGACAGCAGGTAGCCGACGATGAAGAAGCCCAGGAAGAGGTCGTGCAGCCTTGGGTGGCGGGCCGTGTCGAAGATGCTGAGCAGGATCAGGCCGACGGTGCCGAAGATGGCGCAGACGATGGTCAGGCCGGACAGGATCTTCTCGCCTATGGTGGTGTTGGGGACGAGGCGGCCCTTGTGGCGCAGCCAGCGGTCGCTCAGGAAGGAGATGTCGAAGAAGACGGTGGTGATGACGCTCCCGGTGATGAACAAGGGCTTCAGCTCCTGGGCGCCTACGTCTGAGATGTATGCGATGGTCTGGCCGCCCTGCATGGACGGGTAGACCCTGTAGTTGGTGTCGATGACCCCTTTTGGTGGAAATTTATATTAGCAAACGCGCCCGGGCCCAGTGGTACAATGTTGTGTCGTATAAATGCATCTCAATGAGTACACATACAGTGGAGAAGCAGGCCAAGCAGGGTGCCAAGCCATACGAGGCCGGCGAAGATGGGGAAGACCCAGTATGACAGACGCAGCATGACGATGTTGTGTCTCTCTGTCGTGAGCTTAGGCTCAGGGCTGTTGTGCTGTAAATAAATGCTTGCTATCAATGCTTGCTACCGATGGCTGCAATATATTGTGTTCATGCGTTCACAGTCCGAGTCGGGTTTGGCGGAGGATAAGTGTGGTTTGCCTAGATGGGAGCGATGGGAGCAAGGGAGGCGGGAAGGATGCAGCAAGGCAAAGACGAGCGAGCGAGTGAGTGAGTAAGTGAGCGAGGGACGGCAACAAAGTTAACTGATGCCACTGCTGACTACCGGAACGCCTGGCTGCCCGAGCCACTGGGACTGACGTGTACGGGAGGGCTGGCGGCTTGGAAATTTCCAGTTTTTGCACACTCCTAACAGCCTGGTGTTGTTACGTCGTTCCTCCTGGTACCGCAGTGGCAGACGGGTGACGTCAGACATGCCGGGTGGATCCGTGTCCGTCTGTAGTCTGGACTGGTGACCTCTTGATTCCGCTTATTACCCGGGGGTCAGACCTTCGGTTACCCCCTATGCCTCCCGGTGTAGGGGGTACTAAAACCCCCATATAGTTAAAACCCCTATATATTTAAGAAGAATAAAACACTATACTTAAATTAGTTTAACTTACTTAAATAAAAATAATATAATATAAAAAAAGTAGTTTTATAAACCTTATTTTTTAAAGAATTTAAATAAAATAGATATAAAATTTTAGGGTTAAAGTTTAACTAAATTTTATTATTTTTTTTATATTTATATTATTATAAATATTAATTTTAATTAATTTTATATAAATATAAAAAATATATTATTATAATTTTATAAAATAAAAATATTTATAAAATAAAAATAAAATTTAAAATTATAGTTTTATAATAAACTTTTAAAAGAATATATTATTTAATATTAAATTAAAATAAATAATTTAATATTAATATAAAAACTATTTTATTATAATTTTATAATATAATAAATATTTATAAAATAATTAAAAGATTTAAAATTAAAGTTTTATAATAAATTTTAAAAAATATATTATATTATTTTATATATTTTTCTTATTTATTATTTAATATTAAACTAAAATATATACTTTTAAAAATTAAAGTAATTTAAAAATAAACTTTATTTAAATTTAATTTTATTATATAACTTATAATATAACTTTAATAAATAAATATATTAATTTTAAATATATTTATTAATTAATTTAATTTTAAAGATTAATTTATTATATTTTATAATTTTAATTAATAAAAATAAATATAAAATAATTAATATAAATATAAAAAGTAATATTATATATATAAAAATATATTATATATATATATATATATATTATATATATAAAAATATATTATATATATAAAATAATTTATAAAATAAAGTTTTATTATATTTATTTAATAAATACTTTTAATATTTAATATATAATAAATAAATAATTTATTTAATAAATAAATTAATAAATAAATAAATAAATAAAAGTTTATTAATTTAAAATTAACTTTAATTTTAAATTAAAATAATAAAATAAAATATTAATATTTAAATTATTAAATAAAATTATTAAATAGAATTAATAAATAGAATTAATAAATAAAATTAATAAATAAAGTTAATAAATAAAATTAATAAATAAAATTAATAAATAAAATTATTATTTTATTTATTTTATTTATTTTCTTTACTTTATATACTTTATAGTGGTCCGCAAAAAGTTTGTACCCACCCTAAATTCTAAAACCTAAAATCTAAGATACTTACTTAATATCTAAGCTTACATAAGCTAAATAATATTATAAAAATTCTTTTATCTTATTTTATCTATTAAATAATAGTATTAAAATTTTAAAATAATTAAAAATAAATATTCTTTAATTTTTAAATAAAAAATAAAAAGTAGTAGTTTTTAAAATATTAATTTTTAAAATTAATATTACTATTTAAATAGTATAGGTAGATTTATTTTAAAGTTTTATAAAAATACTTAAATAGTTAAGGTGTTTAAATTTAAAACTATTATTAAAATATCTTTAATATTCGTTATTATTTATAAGTTTTAAGAGAAAACTTAATATTTTAAATTTTTAAATTTTTAAAACATAACTCGTTAGTGGCTTTATAGAAGGTTTTAGTGCTTAAAATCCTTAACAATTATTAAATTCTTCATTTTATCCTTTTTTAAAAGTATATAATTAGTTTATCTATATATATAAAATTTATTAAATTTAATAAATAAAATTTTATTATACCTTAGTATTATATATAAAAATTTAAAATTATAAAAAAATTCGTGTAGTGTTTTATTGCTTATTAAAGTTAGTGACTTTTGGTGTAAAATAGGTGTATAGGTACAGACTTTTTACGGCCCACTATATATAAGTTATAAAACCTTAACTTTAGAATTTATTTCTTATTTTATAAATATTCTTTATCTTATAAGGATTATAATAATATATTTTTTATATTTATATAAAATTAATTAAAGTTAATACTTATAATAATATAAATATAAAAAAGTAATAAAATTTAGTTAAACTCTAACTTTAAAATTTTATATCTATTTTATTAAAAATTTTTAAAAAATAAGGTTTATAAAAATACTTTTTTTATATTATATTATTTTTATTTAAGTAAGTTAGACTAATCTTAGTATAGTATTTTATTCTTCTTAAGTGTGTAGGGGTTTTGGCTGTACGGGGGTTTTGGCACCCACTACGCCAGCAGTGGGTTCCTCGGAGCGAGAGCGAACCCACGGGTATGTTTATCTTAATGCCGTGCCCGGGCCCCGGTCCCCTGCACAACACTGACCCCACGGCCTTTTTGGTTGGCCACAGCATCTGCTCACTAGACTATAACCTCTTTCTTGCCTTGCCCTTTGCAGACAGCAGTGGGAATGATGGGGCCAGTTGACCAGGTGCATATCCAAGAAGCCTTGGTTTATAGGCCGGTTGACTAAATGCACCATACTGTATGGTCTTGTGCAAAATGTCAGTGTCATAAAGTATAACACCCCGTAGAGAGAGACCACCTGCAGACCACCCAATACGGAGGTACTCCCACTCCGGGCGCTCAGGCACTCCCGTCCCCGATCTGTGTGCGGTACCTGGCCGCGGCAGGGGGAGCACGGGCCAGTCTCTGCATTCAAGCATGGGGTTCCGACCCACAGCTGTGGGCTGCACGAGGGAGGCGGCCAACTGCCCCGGGTGAACCCTGACAAGGCTGAGAGCTACATCCCCGAACCACAAACCACGACGCTGACCCTCTCCTCAGCCTCAAGCCCAGTGCCCGCCTTGCAGTACGGCTGGGCACTTGTGAATTCATAGCCCATTGCATTCGCAACACGACGCGACGCAACGCAACACAGCGCAACGCAACGAAAGCAACTGCCCCCTGCTTCACGCCGCCATTCGCATTCGCACACCATGGCTGCCTCGCCCCTCGTCCTCCCCCCCTCCAACCCCTTGCAGTCCTCACTCAAGCCTGTCGCCTCTCCCCTCCGCCACCAGTCCTCTGCCGTACCATCCTCAAATGGCACGCCACGCTCATCACGGCCGGCGGGCCCGCCAGCACAACAATCCCAACCCTCGCAGCCTCCGACCATGGACCTGGCCGAGCAGATGAACATGGAGGAGCGGAGGAAATATGTCAAGAGCAGGAAGCTGGGTGAGGGAACCTACGCCATAGTCAGCCTGGGCTATTCCCGCGCCGACCCCTCGCAGCTTGTCGCCATTAAAAAGATCAAGAAGCAGAAGGAGTACACAGAGGGCCTCGCCCCCGACGCCGTCCGCGAGCTCAAGCACCTCCAGGAGCTCTCCCACCCCAACATCATCTCCCTGCTCTCCGTCTTCTCCACAAAGGACCAGAATGTCTGCCTCGTCCTCGAGTTCCTGCCCCTTGGAGACCTCGAGATGCTCATCCGCGACGACAAGCACATCCGCTACGGAACCGCCGACATCAAGGCCTGGATGGGCATGCTGACCCGCGCCGTCTGGTTCTGCCACGAGAACTTTGTCCTCCACCGCGACATCAAGCCCAACAACTTGCTCATCGCCGACGACGGCGAGGTCAAGCTGGCCGATTTCGGTCTCGCCCGCTCCTTCAGCGACCCCTACGGCCTCATGACCTCCAACGTCATCACCCGCTGGTACCGGCCCCCGGAGCTGCTCTACGGCGCAAAGTACTACAGCGGCGCCGTCGACGTCTGGTCCGTCGGCACCGTCATGGCCGAGATGATCCTGCGCGTCCCTTACCTGCCCGGCAGCACCGAGCTGGACCAGATCCGCCTCATCTGCCAGCAGATCGGCACCCCGACCGAGGACAACTGGCCCGGCGTCACCAAGCTGCCCGAGTACATCAAGCCCGCCGACGGCCCCGCCGTCGAGGGGGTGCGCACGAGGCAGGACTTCCTCGGCACCTTCGGCACCGTCGGCGAGGATGGCGTCGACCTGCTCATGAGGACGCTGACCCTCGACCCGCGCAGGCGCATCACAGCCCGCGAGATGCTCGAGCACCCCTGGTGGCACGCCGAGCCGCGCCCTTCCCGCAAGCAGGACTTGCCTCGCAGGCCTGAGGAGAGGATGGGCGCTGCCCTCAAGGGGCCGGCCGGCGTCGTGGCCGGCGAGCAGGACCGCAGCGGCTCGGTCGCGCGCAAGCTGGATTTCGGCCGCCCGAGGGACTAGCTGCTCGACAGTGCCGTGTCTAAGCCTGGGCCGGCCTCAAGCACAAAGGCCCCTGCGAGCCGGGTTGGCGGCAGGGCCAAGGTACATAGGGGTCAGCCGGGTCAGAGAGTTGTGATATGTAAGCATTTCCGTAGGCGTTCGGGTAGAGACATACCCCGGTTTTGGGGGGTGGGGCAACAGAAACATGTGTGGCTTTAGAGAGAAACATCATTCCAATAAAAGCCTCCTATCCTCATTGTCAAGTAATACTCTGGTACCACAATTGATAGATGGTATCCTTGGAAGGGGGGTGAGTTCTTTCACGCTCTCCCTTCCTGTTCTTATTCCAAGGAGTAAAATTCCGACGACGCCAAGAAGTCACTGTGCCTCATTTTCACATTAGACAACATTCCATCCCGTACATGGCCCTCTCGACATCCCTCTTGACCTGGTACCAGTCCGCCCTCCGCTCCGCAAACTCATATACCTCCTCCGCGCGGAAGACGCCGCCGAAGCGGTCGCCGTCGGCGATGATGGTCGCCATCTCCTTGGAGTGCCGCGGGTCGATGAGGTAGATCTGGCTCAGCTCCCGCAGCGCGCGGAAGTAGGCGAGTAGGTCCTGGTTGCGCAACGTCTGGATGTACTCAAAGTACAGGGTGCAGTCGGCGATGAGCCGCGTGGCGCCCTCGGTGGACACGCGCTGCCGCTTGATGTGCTTGCACACGGCCGTGAAGAGCCGCAGCCCCACCTCGCCGTTGAACACCTCCAGCATCGTCTTCTCCGTGCTGCCGACGAGCATGCGCGTGTGCGAGCTGACCAGGTCCACCACGCGACGCGCCGTCTGCGTCGGGGACAGGTCCGCGACGGCCGCCGAGTGCCTCTGCCCCTGCGTGGTGCTGCTGCTGCCAAAGGACGCGAAGCTCGCCGCGCTGGACCGCTTGTCCTGCGCGCCGAGGCCGTTGCTTCCGGCAGCGCCGGGGCCCGCGGGCTCGGGTCCCACCGGGTTGTAGTCCGTCGGCAGCTGCGTCGTGGCGCAGATGTACTCGACCTCATCCATGAGCACGTCGATGCCCTTGTTCAACCCCGCTGCCACGCTCTCGTCCAGCATTTGCTCGAATTTCTTCTTGGCCAAGCCGCTCTGGTCCAGAAAGTCGTTTCGGTCCGCGATCCGTGGGGAGGCCAACAGCTGCTGCTCGTAGAAGACGTCGATCATCTGCGAGATCAGGTCGCCCACATTGACCAGCTCAATAAATGTCACCAGAGGCGCGACCCCACCCTGGCTACCGTGGTCTGTCACCTCGCGTGCCTTGTAACCCGCAAGGTGGTCCACGGCCTTGTCGAAACCGGGCTTGATGTGTCTGTAGCCCAGGATACGGAGAAGGCTGACGAAAATCTGTGCACATTGCTCTCGCGCTTCTTCGCCGGCCTGTCCGCCGAGCTGGATCAGCACGGCGGCACGCCCCAGGCTCGTCTTGGCCATGTGGACGAGGTTCAGCGCCACCTCGATACTGAACAGAGACTTGATTCCTTCTAATCGCGAGGCCATAAGCGCAGCCTTTGCTGCGAGCTCGTCTGTGGGTGCCTTTTCCGGAAGGGGGCTGGTTGTCCTGTCCGGTACGCCTGCACCGGATGCCTGTGATGCCGAGGCCTGAGGAGCCAGTGACGTGCCGTTGGAGTTCGAGGCCGGTGTGGATTTGGTCGTGGTAGAACCAAAAGGAGACGTGAGCAGCTGTCCGGGCAACACCGTGACGGGCATCATGATGGTCTTTTTGAAGGAGCTCAGGAAGTCCTTCTTATCCACGGGCTTGGTGAAATTCGACATGTAGAACGACTCGACTGTTGCGTCCTGCTCCGATAGTTTCCTTTCCCAATTCCCAACCTCCTCCTCGGCCTTCTTTTGAAAGAACTCGAGCTCGTCCTGCAGATACAAATCCAGGTGTGGCTCTACGACCCTGTACGCTTGCTCTTTCGACTTCTCCTCGCTTTCCTCGGCCGATATCTGTGGTACTTCGAGGGATCTGAGGGATTGCAAGCACTGCTCGAATATGCCAGACACCGCCCTGAGGTAGGATTCGATGTTGCGCTCCCGGGCCTCGTCGAACAGCGAGGTTGCATAGTCCATGATGGTGTCCTCCCTGACCTTGTCCACGAGCGCCCAGAACACTTTACCTGGATTTGGAAATATCTTCTCCACGACCAGGGCCTGCTCATGTAGCTTGCCTGTCAGGATCTCGAAGAAGAGTTGTGACGGCCCCAGTGTTATCCCATCCGCAGGCGCCTTGTTGATGCAGTCCATCGGATTGGCAAGGACTTCTCTGTCCGAGAAGATGGGGTGCTTGTGGATGAAGAGGTCGACACCGGCCGTGCTCTTCAACATGTCCAGGACATGTGCATACCGCCTCATGCGGCCCTCGACGTCCCAGAACTCGTAACCCTGCTCGAATTCCCTGAGCACGGCGCTCTCGAAGATGTTGGTCATGCGGGTAAGCTTTTCCTCGCGCTGAGCCCAGCCCGAAGCCCAGTCACTCTTGGAGAAGACGTGTAGATTTGCCAACATCTGCGCCTGGCGCTCGGGATCCCTGAACGCCTTGAAAAGGGCCGGGTCTGCATGGCTCTTGGCTCGAACCAGGTCGAAGTAGAAAGGTCCCAGTGCACCGTAGACTTTGCCATACTCCTCTCTCGCATGGCCTCGCACGCTCTTGACGTTCTGGAGCACTTGTAAATAGTCATCGGGGTCCTGAAGCGGATCCGAAAGAGGCTGCCTAGGAGGCTGCGAAGTTCCGGTTACGGCCAAGGTCTCGAAGCCATCACGCAGTTCCGGCACGCCACTAGCTGGGGCGGATGCTTGAGCAAGAGTGCTACTCCTCCTCGCCCTCCTCTCCTGCTCGATGGAAGCGTCGAAAAACACGGTTGTGGACTGCCTCTTCGCGGCACCTATCTGTCGCCCGGCATCGGCAGCGCCTTGGCTGTTGGCTCCGGCGGCGGCGGCGCGTTCCTTGGCCTCCCTCTCCTGGGCCTCCTTCCTCCGGCGCACGGCATCGTCGAAGCGGCGGCGGGCCTCGAGCTCGTTCCACAGACCCATGCTCTTGAGGCGTGCGACCCATCTCGTGTCGTCGTAGACCATCTCGCGCATGCGGCTGGAGGCGCGGGCGAAGCGCATGAGGTCGGAGACGGGCAGGTAGTCGAGGATGGTGACGAGGATCTCGGCGGGGAGGGCGGCCTTGGTGTCGATCATCTCGGTGGCACGCAGGGTGTTGAGGATGCTCGTGTTCTGGGGCCCTGGGGCCCTGCTGAACCTCGACATGTTGGCGGCGTGCGGTGTTTGGATGTCTGGCCTTGCTGGCAAAGGGCGACTCGTGCACAACAAGAGGGGTCGAGATTCGAGATCGTGTGAGCTAGCCTTCAGGTGCGGCCGTGACGGCAGCGATAGGGCAAGACGGGAGAGGTTGCGCGTAGTCGAAGCCAGCCGCAGGAGATGACGCCCATTGTTCTCACGGCAGGGCAAGGAGACGATTGTTCGGACGAGGAATGGGCAGGGGCAGCTTAAGCGTGACGGAGCGCGGGAGTGAGGAGGGGTCCCCACCAGACTAGACTCGTAGGCAAATACCAGGCGAGCTTACCCCTGACCGCCCGCATGCATGCGACAGGACCTGGCTACCTGGGCAAGCTGAGTGGCAGGGCTGGGTGCGGATGGTCCCGCCCCCAACCGTTCAGTCTCGACTGATGTGTTCATCCCACTCCTTTGTGAATGTGATTTCTCAGTCAGAGTCGCTCTACACATTCGTAACCGTGCCACCGTTTTTGCACCATACTCGCCTGGCAGCATCAGCGACCGATTCTCACTGCACTGACTGCGCAGCTTGGCTCACGGAGTAACGAAGTCACCATGTCGTCCTAAGCATGTGCATGGTTTATAAGTGTCCCACAGTACCTCTCGACAGAACGGTGAATGCCGTACGTCTGATCGTCTTGCTATGATCTGTCTAACAAGTGTCAAGGCCGGTTGGTCAACACCTCCCGCTGGCGAGCCCAGCCTGATGAACTCGGACCAACAGTGTATGCCGTCTGCTTTCAGTTGGTTCAAAGTGTCAAAGCGCGAAGCTGTCCTACAGGCCACCGCTTTTCTGTAGGCTGACCGATCTCACGAACGATGCTGCAGGGTAGAGCGGTCCGCTGAATTCCATATCGTACCTGCGGTAGACTTAGCTCCACCGACGAGCGGGAAACGGTGGGTGATTATTGTATGGGCATACCAGTAGTTTACGGCCACACAGATGCCCTCCTCCGAGCAGGATTGTGACACTTTGTGGTACCTGTCCAGATGCCGCTGCAGGTCAGCACTGCCCGCCTCTTGGGGCAAGTCACCAAGAAGTACACAACTCACCACAAGGCCGGGAGATATAACATATCCCCTTGTCGCAGCGTGACACGCACAGGCTCCGCGAGCCTGGAGTAAGGAGTCGCGTTCTTGTCCGGCCGGTCTGGGTCCCAGATTGCGAATGGCACAGAGCAATCCTCATCACCCCCGCCGCCATCCATGACAAGATGCAACAGCCCGTCCTGCTGGTCGCGCACATATGTGCCCGCGCGGAGTGGCTTCTCATTGACGCATGGGTAGCAATGCGGAGGCATCAGGACGAAGTGCTTTTGTCCCTGGACTTGTACATAGATGTTTTCGTAATTATCCTTGTGGAGGGCTGTCACTGAGCGAGAATTGCCGACCCTTGTTTTGAGTGGCCGATGCGTCAGGCCAGATTTCGTGGTATGGGAGGGCGCCGGTCAGTTCCGCCTTGCATTTGACTCACCACATGTTGATGGCATCGGGCTCTTTCTGTAATGCTATTCTTGCAAAGGGTATGTCACGCTGGACCTGATCGAAGATCGAGACATACTCGTGGCGAAGGTTGTCATTTTCTGAGGCGATATGGATGAGAAACTGGCGGCGGCGGCAACAAGGAAACAAGAGCATCGCTCGCGCTTACGAGTCTGAGCATATCGTATCTCACTGCTCGGGGGGAAGGAACCGTCTGTCTCCTGACGCGCGACGTACTCGACAAAATCCGAGAAGGGCTGATCTTCCTCCCACGGTTTGGCAAAAACAAGCTCGCCCTTGTCATCTCTTGTGGGGGCATCGGCGTTCCTGACAGCGTAGAGCCATGATTAGGTCGTCATGCGCACGGGGCACACTCAAGGGGGGGACAGAAAGTGAGATGCTACAAACCCGTAGGGAGTCACGGCGACATTGACGGTGTGGTCGTGTAAGAGGTCCTTGAGGCGAGCAAGGTTCCATGTCTTGGTTGCAGTCCAGTTGCTGGCCCCTCCCCTTACGACAAACGGCGTGTTTCTCGAGACATATCTCATGAACTCGAGCGGGCTTGGTTCCTGATGGAGCTCGTCAACGACGGAGGCATTGAGCTCATTGTAATTGATGAGCAGCTCAGCCAGGGGGTCGGGGACCGGTGCCATGGGCGCTAGCTCGGGGCCGGCCAGTTATAACGCGGGACCTCAGCTGTGTGGGAAAGGTAGGGGTGGTAGGTGCTGTGTGGTGTGTGGTGTGTAGAGTGTAGTGTAGTGTTGCTGGCCCGTTCCGAGGGCGGTGCTGCAGCCTTGCGGCAAGTTACTCGGTATAGAAAACATGGTGGATGTTTCGGTGCAAGTGGGGCCCCTGCAGTGCTGCATGTGGTGATCTGGGGACGGAGCACGTGGCAGGAGACTCGGTACAAGATAAAGTCGCATCGATGAGGGTGTGGTGGGTGCAGAACCGTCAGGAGGGTTAAGGCCCGGGTTGTCGGGTTGTCGGGAGGGACGGAGAACCCAATCAGAGGAGGGGTTGGGGCAGGCTAGCGGTCCAGTTACAGGGCACTGGGTCGCGGGGTTACGGCAAAATCGGCTGATGATAACCCAAAGTGGCCTGACAAGAGGGCGGCTGCTGGGTCCTCAGCAGGGCTGCAACTGGGTCTAGGAGCCGACAGGTTGCTTTTCGGCGCCCAAGGCTGTGTTATGTATGGCAGTTTGCGGCCACAAGACGGCAAATCAAGGCGGAACCCGGAAGACGGTTGGGGTTGAGGGAGGTGGGATGATATAAGACCGGCTGGAGATCCTGTCGTCGGATGTCGATGTGGCCAGGCAGCATACTCACCACCATCGACCCGAGCCATGACGAGCCGTGACGAGCCGTGACCAACGCCGTCCCCTCTGCCAGTGGGCCCCAAGCCCAAGACGCGTGACTGTGATGTGATGCGCCGAGGGCACGCTCGACACAGCCGCCGCCATGGAGGACAGAAGGACGGGCAAGCATGGAGCACTGGAGGGGATGTGATAAAAGTGAGTGGCGACGAGAAATGGCAAAGCCCATGTTGTGTGGCGTGAAGGTCGGAAGACCTGATCACATCGATACCTACCCCGAGCCACTGCCTCGCCTCTCAGAGTTTCTCGCCAAGGAAGGAAGGCTCTTTGGGTTTCTCAAGACAGTTCACTCGTGGTCACGCCACGGCTGCTGGCCATCCATGCCGAAGTACGGAGTACATACACACACACGCTCGCTTTCCCCCTTGACCACTCTCAGCGCACTCACCTCTCTCTCAACTGCCTCACATCCTCTGCCATCGTCATCCATCATTGATACCGTCTACCGCTCCTCCTGAGCATCGAGGCACCGGGGTCTGTGTGAGCTGAGACGAGGCGAAGCTGCACGTCACAACACGGCACAGGACAGAGGACACAGGATACAGGCCAGCCGAGGACTCGGACACCGATCGCCAAGGCACCACCGCACTCGTCGGAATCTGGGGAAGACTGGGGAGACCGCAAACCCTCGAGCCAGTGTAGCATTCTGCACCTGCCAGTTCGTTCCCCTTGCGCGTCCGTGCCCCACCCAGCCCAGCTGCCCAGCTGGCCCAGCCAGGACAAACTCTGAGTCTCTTCCTCATCCTGGCCGACTCAATACGCAATACGGGATCCATTTCATCGCTACGAGCTGTCTCCTAGTCTCCCCGTGGGGCTGGGGGGCCTGGCCTGTGTGACTGCATAGCAGCACGCCCTGGCCACGGCTGAGCTACCACAGCTGGGTGCGACTGTCTCCAAGCTCCGTCTCCAAGCTCCGTCTCCAACCAGAGCCCCGAGGGGGTGAGAACAAAAAAAAAAAAAAAAAAGACACAGCACCAGCTGCTACGATACACACACACACGACACCCCTGCATGCGCCTCCGCCCCCACCCCCACCCGCGACGTCAACTCGTCCAGATCCCTCGATCCTTGCCTGCCATACCAACTAGCAAAACCACCCGCCGCCGGGGGCGACCAACCAGCACCTGGCACCTTTTGAAGCCCAAGGCGGTTTCGCATCCAGTCTCCCGCAGACCACCGACAATTGCGGAATAGTCGACCTGGGGTACTGACCACGAGCCTTTCGTTTTGCTTCGCATCTCACCGCACCATACATCGCTCCATACATCGCTCCATATCGCCCTCGCGCCTCACCACCCCGGCCCCATCGCAACCCGCAGGCCCATCCCTACTCGGAACAGCCTTCCGATCCGTGGCTGCGGTCGTTTCGGCCTTTCCCATCTCCCCTAAGCTTAGCTGTTCTTTTTTACAACCCCCCTTCTCCGCTCTACCGTTCGATCCGTGCCTGTCGCATGCACACGCAGAGTGCAGCTGCTGTGTAGTTACAAGACAGTTCTGGCCCATCGACACGCCAGCATCGACAGGAACCCACCTCTTCCTGCCCGTTAGCAGCCCGGGGCCTCAAGGGGCAAAGAAGCTTGCTTCCCGTGCGCAAAACGCGGAGAGCCGCGACGATACCAAGCTCCGCCGCCGCCGGCTCGCATCAGCTCGGCTTGCTCATCTTGACTACACCAGACAGCAGCATTCGGGCCATTGTGCACAGAGTCGTCCCGTGCCGGCCGTCTCGAGAGCCCACACAGCACTCGGCTGCTCTGCCGTTGTCATTGGGCGCTGGGACCCCTCGCTATCCATTTTCCGGTGGGCCTTGGCGCCGTGTCGTCTCCCTTGGGCCGGGTCCATGGTGCCGCACACCAGCCGATCCACTGCAGCTTTTAGACTCCAGCCCATCAGTCCCAGACGAGCGAGCCCGCCCCAATCTTTCGCAACGGCCGCCCTGCACCACGAGACCATTAAGGTTCCGTTCTCCTCTCGCGCGGCGGAATCCTCCTCCTGTCTCCCGCTGTGACTGGGTCTCAGCAGCCTCAGAGGACCCAGCTCGATTGTCTTGTCATCTTTCCCAATCCCTCCGCCACCCCGGAGCATCAACTCTCAAGTCCGTCTCACAGATCTCGTGTGTCCACCCTCGGCCGGTCCTATAGTCAGTTGCTGCATCAACAAGCCAACGCAGCCAGACCGCTCTCTTCATGTTGTGCTAGTCTTGGCCCTGTCCGCACACACACAAGTTTCGCCATCTTCGCGCCAAGCATGAGCTGTCCACCGTTTGCCCCTCGCTCTCCTAACTTCCGCTTGACCCTTGGGCTTTCTCGGTGAACCTGCTTGTGATGATCTGGTATCTCCTCTACCCGCTCAGAGGGTACGTCTCCTCCTCCATGTGTCTAACTCCCCGCCTTCCGCGCGCCCCAGCATGACGTGAACTCTCGGGTTAACCTGTGCTACAGGACGACCGAGGCCCCTCTGTTGCCACCAACCCACCCGCTTCGTAGCGCATTGACCAGATATGGGAGATACGCTGCACGGCATGTCCTCGCGACGCTGCTGATATCTGTGGCCGTCGCCGGTTTCCTCATCTACCCTTGCCCCTTTCTCTACACGACCGACTACACCGTCGCTGCACCTAACCTTCCGCTCCATGTCTGGACCGATGCCCAGCCTGTCGACGACAGGCCGGCTGCCCAGCCCGATGTCATCATGCGCACGATTTGGGTGCACGGGAGCTATATGAAAGCCCTCGACCGCGACGTGCTCTTGGGCGCCCTGGAACTGCAGGATGCGATACTGGGGCCTACCACCGACTTCGATCCCCGCCAGCCCACCGGTGGCGTTCCTCAGCTTGAACCGGGGGCCGACCTCACCAAACAGGAGAGAGACGCATTCCACGTCATCAACGGCCTCACGAACCAGTCATGGTTTTTCCACTCTCCTCTCCAGTACTGGGCTTGCGACGCCGACAACATCGCGCGGGATACGGACTTTATCAACACGGTCAACGAGAAGAAGACACAGCCAACTTCGGTCAATGTGACTCTGCGGCATTCCATAGTCTTCAGCGGCAAGAAGTTTGAGGACAGGCGGCTGATCGCTGCCGATGCGCTGGTCATCACCCTGCTCCACCTCCAAGACTCGCCCGTGGGCAAGCAATGGAGGAAGAAGACTGCAGAGTCTGCCAAACTCATGGCAGATAAGTGGGACGTTTTCCCGAGGGATGGCGTGACAGCTGGCTCTCAGCTTTTCGAGTTCCAGTTTCGCCCTATTTCTATCCAGGATGCCATCCTGCTGTCTTTGGCTTACTTGCTGACAACCACTTACTTCTTGCTGAGCCTCTCCAAGATCAGGGCGGTCAAATCCAAACTGGGCTTGATCGTAACTGTAGTCGCACAGATCATAATGTCGATCATGTCCAGCTTGACTGTGTGTGCTCTCTGCAGGATCGATCTCTCCAGGATTCCGAGGGCCGCCTATCCTCTAGTCCTTATGGCGATGAGTTTGGAGAATGTCTTTCGCCTGATCAACGCCGTCATACTCACCCCGTCCGATCACAACACCAGCAGCCGCATTGGCTATGCCTTCGGCGAGACGGGTCATGTGGCGCTTGCTAGCGTGGCCCAGAATCTATTGATTCTCTGGGGCCTGGCCAAGGTGGTCTCCTCCGGCGTGTCCGCATTCTGCACCTTTGCAGCCATCGCAATCCTATTTGACTTCTTCTATCTTTCGACGTTCTTCCTCTCTGTCCTCAGCGTTGATGTGCGCCGGACTGAACTCGGCGATGCGCTGGAGAAGGCGTCTATCATGAACAACCGTCTGACTCTAGATGGCCCACCGCGCCAGTCCATTGTCGATGCCATTCTGCAGGGGCGTATAGCACTATCGACGCGTATCGCGGGGACCGTCGTGATGCTGGGCTTCGTGATAGTGGCACAGTGGCACTTCTTGGAGAGCGGAGACGCAAATAGCCCTGCAGGGCTTTGGCGACATTTCTGGCGATCCCACAGCGCAGAAGAATCACCTCCTTATGCTCAGATACACCAAGCCCGGAGCCCAAGATCCTGGCTGCGTCTGCAAGACCACGAAACGGCCAAAGAAGTTATCAACGTCATCAAGCCCTGGGCTCACAGCTACGTTGCTCGCGTCCATGACCCGGTGGTATTCGTGCTCAAGGGCGCTAATCGGAACCCACCCGCGGGCGTGCGCTGGTTTCCAGACGCAGTCTATGACTTCACACACCATCAGATCACGCCTTTCATAGTTTCGGTACTCATTCTGGTGGCGATGGTCAGGCTCCTAATGAACTACCTACTCTGGGATGAAATGGCGGACGTCAGGGGTGAGGATGATGTCGACGAGGTGCCTCTTGTCTCTGTCAAAAGCTTGGCTAATGGGCACCATCTGGACATCGCGAGGCTGTTGGTCGCTCCCGACAGCCACGTGGTGTCCGCTGGGCTTGACCGAAAGATCAGGGTGTGGGACCTGCAGTATGACTTTGCAAGTCACGATGTAGATAAGCCCAGATCCCCGATGGACAGCCCGTTCCCTATACAGGCGATGGCAGTCGACAGTACGTCTAATTGGCTGGCAATCTTGTCGACGTACCGGGTCCTGCTCTGGAATCTCTCCAAACAGGAATGGGGTCCTTCGGCCCCTGTGGATCTATACGGACAGAAGCCGGAGGCCTTCTTCTTCGGGCCCACCAGAAACAACTCCCGTCTTTCGATTATCATCGTGAGACGGAATGGGACCATGACTGAGATGTTTCCCGATATTCTCGAGCACTCGGACCATTTGATCTGCAAAAGCCCTCTGATCTCTGCTGTAACCATCGCGGAAAAGCGTAAGTCGTTGTCTCAGAGTTCCCTTCCAACCATGACCACGGGAGACATCACCACCGCGAGGATTCGGCTAACCAATCCCCATCGCCATACAGCAACGTCTCTCCAGTCCGAGCCACGCCTTTCCATTGTAACTCTGTCACGACGCTCCTGCATACACCGTATCGACTACGTCGACGGCCTGTGGGTATCTTCGGAGGCGAGAATCGTTGGTAGCACCCTCAAGGAGCCGCAGGCCCTGTTGCCTGTCCAGGGCTTCGCGTCTTACATGGTCGTCGGGAGTCAAGACGTCGACCTCGTCGATCTCTACTCGTCTAGGGTCATGCACACTTTCCAGACGGAGGTGATACAGCCCAAGTCTCTCAAGTTTGTGTATCAGGGCCAAAGATCCGGCCCGTGTGGTCGAGGAACCATCACTTCTCTGACACTTGCCTACCTGGGCGGAGAGGATGCCGAGTGCGTACTTCAGACTTACCTGCCAGGGGAAGATTATGACAACATCTGTTTCTCGGACGTGTCGGGTGCGCGCGTACGGTCTAGTTGCGTGTGGGCGGAAACCAGGCTCATTACTCGGCGGATACTCAACCCTGGTGCATGGACACCATTACGGAACGGTTGCTTCGTTGGCATCAGGAGGAAGGAAAGAGAAGATCGAGGCTCTCCGATGAGAGAACGACTCCCAGCGTTTGCGCAATCTGGCCTCCGCAGACGTGGACAGGCCGACTCCTCGCCAAGAAGAAACAAGGCGGAAGAAACTTGGGAGATTTGGGTTATAAGCGGAGTGGAGAAGGACGGAAACGTCGAGACCACACCGTTGGTCGCGCCGGACGACCCTGCCGGGCTGATAATATCCACCCTTGGACCTACGACCAAGGTCGGCTACAGCAGTGCCGCTGTTGGCTTTGGAAACGTGGTCAAAATCATCACAGTCGGCCACGAGCGATTCGACAACGTGGACGACGAGGCGGCCGATGATATCAACTTGACAAACAGGCGGAGAAGAGCACCACATTCCAGACCTAGAGCATCGTCCTCGTCGTACAAGAAATACCAGCGTTGAAATGGAGTTTTGGGGTTGTAATATTACAGAACGGCAGGTCCCGGGGTTTGCTACAGAATACCAGAGATACCAATGGGCATTATACAAGGAGCACGGTGGTTGTGATTTGAAGATAAACGGAAACGGGGAAGGAACAACATATATATTGCTTTATCCAGCATGTTATTGTGTTATTTTCTGGTTATGTCTACTCTTTGTCGTAGGGGTACCACCAATCTCACGATAGCTGTGGCTCTATGTTTGCACCTAGCTAGCCAGCTGCAATAGTACCCGCGGTGATGTTATATTCCTGAACATACATCTGTGAGTCGGTACGGCACCAGAGGTGGAGACGCACAAGTGGGGTTACGGCGACAACTTACGGCCTCTCCTTGTTGTGATGAGGAATTGCTTCGGTACAAATGTGTCGATTCTCAATGCAAAGCCGTGGTACAGGATGAGCTCGTATAGCTCACAGCCTTTTTTAAGGGCCACATGTCTTGGGTGATCATTGTCTCCGTGCTTGTAATAATGCACTACCTCCGTCTTCCTCTGGGCAGCGTCAGTGGCTAGCCCTACATGTAGTGCATTATCCTCTTCCAAGATCACACTTCGCTTTTCCAGACTGAGTTTCCAAAATGTGTCATCACACCAGAAGTTTCTTTCCGATATTTCCAAACTCTGGCGGAGGGCCATCGGCCCCATTCCAAAGAGAGAGGACGCCATCGAACTGCTTCTACAGTCCGGCTCTGGTCGAATTTCTTGTGCTTCCACCGAGATCGCATGGCGAATCCTATGCCTGCTGCTCTCTTCAGTCGACGCCATCACGACACTTCCCAAGTCCCTAATTGCAAAAGCACAAAAAGGCGTGTGCGGCCGTGAAGACCTCGAACTTGATTGCACAGCCCTGACACTACTGGGTGCTCAACCGCACTGGTCAACTGGGAGCCTGTTCAATAACTCTCTGGCTTGTCTCCCTCTCCCAGCTTGTACTTCAACACCTCGACAGGGACCATGCGGCCGGTGAGATTGGCAAAGTCGGCCTGCATCTGCTTCCAGCGGTCGCCCTTCCTGCGAGCATCCGCAAGTGCCATGAGGATGCAGTCGTCCTCGTCAAAATTGTCGTCCGCCGCCGGGATGGCGCTCTTGTCTGTCAGGAGTCGTTTGGCGTAGCTGCCGATGAAGACCTTGGTGTACACGTCTTCGGAGCCGGACTCGTAGCCGGACTCGCCCCCGGCGGCGGCTGGTGAGGCCTGCTTGGGCTTTTTCTTGTCTTTCTTCTTCCCTCCGGTCTCAGTTTCCCGCATTGCAACAGGTGATGTCTTGGGCGCCTTGACAGCATCGTTTTCGTCGCTATCTGCGCCCTTCGACTTGTCGGCCTGGGCCTGCTCTGCCGCGGTGGCCTCCAGCCTGGCCTGCAGGCGGCCGAGGTCGAAGAGCCCACCAAGGGCATCGGTCGGCGCATCCTTGTCTGTATCGGCAGTGGTGGCAGCAGCCTCTGTACTCTCCTCGGGGCCGCTGGTGCCTGCTGTCTCGGCCGTCTTGCCGAGCTCCAGGAGCTCCTTGTGGCGCTTCTGGAGCTGCTTCTTTGGGCGGCCCATGAACTTGGCAATGACGCCCCATGACTCTCCATTCTCCTTCCTGGCTAGGAGCTGAGAGTCCTCTGACGGGTTGAAGTCGGGATTGTCTGTTCCTGCGCCCTTGATCTTGAGGCTCTTGATCAAGTGCCGGACTTGGTCGCTCGCGTCGGACACTGCTCCTCCGCTGGTTGATGCACTGGACGCTGCAGACACATTGCCGACCACGGAGTCGGACGTGGCGCCATCGTCGGTGTCCTCATCGGGCTCGGCTTTCTCGATCTGACTGTTGGTCGCGTGCTTGTGCTTCTTGGCTGCGTACTTTGCCTTGAGCTTTGCGATGTATTCCTCCTGCTCCTTGACCTGCCTTTCGAGCTTCTTGCGCTGCTTGGCCTCTGTCGCAAGCTTGTCCAGCTTGGTTGTCTTCTTGCAGGACTCCTCCAGCTTCTTCTCGGGCCTGGCCTTGATGTCTGTCTTGGAAGACGACTTGGACTTGCTGGCTCGTCTTGACTTTGTCCTCGGAATGACGCGCTCTTCATCTGGATCATCTTCCTCTCCAGCATCATACGAGTTGGTCGTAGTGAGTGGTTCCCTGGCCTTGATTGCCTCCTTCTTCTTGGCACCTGGCCATGCCTTGTGTTTGGGAACCATGACGGGAGCGCCGCCGGGGATGAGCAGGTTGAGCGGCTGGAGCTTACAGTCCGAGATGGAAATGCGACTGCCGTTGTCGCCCTTGATGGCGAGAGTGTCAGGCGGAGCCATTGCTGTCAGGTGAAAGCAGAGTGGTGAAGACTTCTGGAATTGAGGTTGTTGGTGGACGTGGGGTGAGCGTGGGGAGTTTCTTGGTCATTCCAGGTTTGAGGTAATCACAAGATCAAGAGTGCAAGAATGTGCTGAAGAAAACAGAGCTCGAGGCACTAGAAGGTGTCAATCTCCAAAACCTGAATCCAAACGCTTCACTGTTGATTCCCTTGGGATGGACAGCTGCGTGGGGCTCTGGAGGGTTCTTTGGAAGGATTGTAATCAGCTTTGAAAGTTGAGTGAAACAGATGATCCTTGGGTTGAAGAGCTCAGCAGTTGGGTGGTATTGGTCAAATTGAGAACAAGGGGAAAAGGACTCCCGAGATAAGATTCCTTGCCTTTGAAGGTCGACCCGAGAGTTGTGTGGAAATAGGTGAGTTGGACGGAAATGTGTCGCTGTGCGCATCTAGCCATGCAAAGTTGGAGTTGGGCTGCAGGAAGTAAAACATTCCTGACCTCAAAGCTTGCAGTCCATGTACGGATCTGCTGCAGAGATTAAAATATACTGTTTGGAGGGCTGCTGCCAACATCAAACCCTCTGCGCTTCTGTTTGTGCTGTGAGAGACTGAGACCAATTCAGCACATGAGCAGTATCAGCCACTCTCTTTTGTAAGCTTGCTTTTGTGGACCAGCAATACTGCACAGAAAGAAAGACATAGGATCAATTCTGGGCACAATCTGGTCCAGTGCTTTATCTATTACTACCTGGGGTCTAATCAAACATGCACTGAGTAATTTTCAATTTAATTTCTTCCAAGTTTGGTGGAGGAAAACGCTGCACAAATCAGATAGGTACATGCCCAGGTGGGTGTACTATATGGCCTTTAGGGATTGTGGCAGAATTTCCTTGGCATTTCCCACAAGACGATAGTGTGTACAATGTTATTGTACTCCAGGGCTTCCAGTAGATTGATGAGATCTTGATGCCGCGGAGACGTCTGCATCGGTAGTGCTGGTTGACTATGGCTAGGCCAATCACATGTCATTCAGATCTGATTAGTCAATGAGTGCCAATGGGCCGTTTCACGTTTTACCACTTCAGCCGTCGCGAGTCAATAGGAAGGTGCCTCCCCATGGACGAGATCACTCATCGGGAAGGGATCTCATATCATATGTAAGGTCACAATGGCGTCGCTACCGTCGCTCAGCACAAACTATTCGACAGCAATCAAGCTCATTGACGAAGCTCACGCCCGAGATCCCAACAAGACCACGGCGCCAGATGGCTCAGGCGAGGTGCCGTATGAGCTCCACTATGCCCAAAAGATGACGCGCTGGCTCGCCCAACGGTGCCCGGACGCTTCTCCTGCGCTGCAAGTTGCTTGCAGGGCACAGCATTTCAGACGGTCTGTCACTGCCAACCCGCCCAATGACGGCGATGCATGGACTGACAGCCCGGCAGCTGGGAGCTTCCACGAAGCAGCTACCCCATGACCAGGCCTGGATATCTCGCTTGGAGGACAAAGCAGAAGACCCAGGCTGCCGCCCAGGTCAAGGAACTGCTCCTATCCATGGACGAGCCGCCCCCAGAGGCGGACGTCGAGCGGATATCGGCCCTGATCAGCAAGAAGGACCTGGCCACCAACGAGGAGACACAGGTGCTGGAGGACGTGGCGTGCCTGGTGTTCCTCGATGACCAGCTTGATGGCTTTGAGTCGAAGCCTGACAACGACGAGGACAAGGTCGTAAGCATCCTGCGCAAGACGTGGAAGAAGATGAGCCCCAGGGGCCGTGAGATGGCGCTGCAGATGAAGCACAGCGACCGGGCGACATCTTTGCTGCAGAGAGCTTTGAAGGATGATGACGAGTAGAGACTCAATATGCAGCTAGGATTTGCTGAAATCGCAGTGTGCCCCTCGAGCAGCATCTTCACATCATGTTCAACCTGCTTTAGATGGCCAGTCTCCACTGGCTCGACGAGGGGAGGCTGAGACTTGGACTTTTGTGCAGCATATCTCGACGCCCTACATGCCCTGTTCTTCTTACAGCTGAAATGATCCCCCAAAGCTGTGCCAGCGTCCAAGCCGAGGATCTCACTGTCCGTTCCCCTGGTGCCGCCAAGACGCTACGGCATCCATCGTCCAGCTTTAGCAGCGGTGTCAGGATCTCGGAAAGTGCATGTGCTGCTGCCTGTTGGTGGTCTGTTGATCCTCCCGGCTGCGGGGTGCTTTGCTGCACATAAAAGGCACCGACAATCCTGTCTGCCTGTGTAGCGCCGGGTGGGCCATGCGAAACCCAGAGCAACCACAAATCCTGTAAAAATGGCCAGCCCTTCAACACTGATCAAGTTCGACGTCTGCTTGTACAAGAAGGACGATGTGTCTTACGAGGACTTCGTTGAATGGGCCACCAAGGTGTACCCTGTCAAGGCGAAACCAGTAATTCAGAAGCACGCGGTGAAGTGGACACAGGTCAGTCTCGAGAGAGAGAGAGAGATGTCGAGCTGACAATGCGCTGACTTGCTCGGATGTAGACGGTGAACCCGCCACACTTCCGAGAGCCTCTCCGCCACGCTCTCAAGACCGATATGGGCCGGCCCGGCTGGTCCATTCCTGACTATGACATGGTCACGACATACTGGCTCCACAGCCTTGACGACCTACGCCTGATGACCACGACGCCGGAGTGGGCAGAGCTGGAGGTGGGGGCGCAGGCTATCACCAACATGGACAAGGGCCACTTTGTCGTCGGTCATGAAATCGTCCATTTTGAGAACAACTCATGAGGGATTGACCCTTCCTCACCTCAAGCACGAATATCGGTCAAGACCCTGGTAGAAATGAAACCAAGTCATGTTGTGCAACTTGTGCATATTAAGGGCTGCCAAGCCTAATACTACTACTGCTGTGTAACCCGAGCTTCCGCTATAAAGGTGATATACATGGATCCATCCCAACCCTAACGTCTGTCTATCTCATAAGCACCACCCAACCTGATCAAGCAGCCTGCTTCTCGCGGCGCAGGAACTCGGGCACAACCTCAGGGAAGGTGTCCACCACCTTGCGCGTGGGCTTCCACCCGAGCCTCGCGATCCTCGAGGAGCGGATCTTCATGTTGACGCCGTACATGATGGCGATGTGCATGGCCCAGGAATCGGGGGGAGGCGGCGGGGCGAGCGGGTCGTACTCGCCGTCGGGCCCGGCGAGGCTGATGCGCGCGGCCTCGGTCACCGTCACCGACCTCATCTCGTCGCTCTCGATGACGCCGTGCTGCTTCAGCACGGGGGCCAGGCCCCTCATGAAGTCGGAGAACGAGATGTCCTCGCCCGTGCCGAAGTAGTACGCCTCGCGGCCCCAGAGCGGCAGCGTGCCGGCCTCCCTCTCGATGGGCTTGCCCGCCAGCGCCGCCAGCGCGTCCTCGACGAGGATCATGTAGATGCCGGCCAGGTCCATGACGTGGACCCAGGCGTGCCTGTTCTCGCCGGGCGAGATCTGGAACGCCGACTTGAAGGCACGCGCGGTGGTCAGGATGGCCGGGGTGGTGATGGGCGTCGGGTGCTCGGTCGACGGGCTCACACCCCCGACGAAGCCCGGCGACACGATGGCCACGTTGACCTCGTCGGCGGCCCCGCGCACGATGCGGTCGGTCACGGCGTGCGTGTGCTTCTCCTCCAGCGCGCTCAGCTCCGGCACGTCCGTCAGGTCGTCCCACCACCTCGACCCGTCCTTGCCCTCCGGCTCGTCCCAGATCAGCGAGGCGCCCGACGTGTGGATGTAGTACGGCGTCTGGCCAGAGGCTGCCCTGCGCGACTTCTGCCCGCGCAGGATGGCCTTGATGCCGTCGTCGTGGGTGATGTCCGGGCCGGCATTGATGACGATATCGGCTTGGGAGCTGGACTCCTCGATGGTCTTGTGGTCGCCGAGGTCGCCCAGCACCGTCTGCACCTGCGGGTATCGGGCCACCAGCCGCGAGGCCTTTTCCTCGCTCCGGACCACAACCTTGACCTGGACGTTGCTGCCATACTGCTCCAGGATCTTGTGCAGCACTGCGCCGCCGACGTGCCCGGTTCCGCCAATGCTATGTGTGGGCCACGCGTGTCAGGTCTTGGGCCCAAGGCTCGTCCTGGGGGTGTGATTCTTACAGTAGGATCTGAGGCATCTTGTCTTCACTTGTGGCTTTTTGACGTCTTGGGTACGGGTTGCTTCGTGTTGACAAACCTCCTGAACAGATCCGAACCGGCCTTTTAAACATGTTCTAAAGCGAAGTTTGTTGTCGCCCCACTTATGCGCTAGATTGCAGCTCATTGCAACCCATAGTCCCACATAGGACACTTGTCCTATATTGGCCGAGGAAGTGATTTGACCGTTGAAAATGTAACCTTTTGGCAGACCCTGTCGATCCCTGGCGTCTCTATTTCCGCTGTTGCCGCCGTCCCGGGTCGCCGCTCGGCAGCGGCCCCCGCGTCCAGCAGCTCGAAATACATATGCAGTGACTGTGGACGCTCTTCTGAAGCGCACATGGATGCTTGACGGTTACGATGATCAACCCTGAGCGCAGATCGTGACACACGTTCAGGGGATTTTGATCCGCTCTCTTGCCGTAGATCACTGGCGCATCCCGGTGATCTTGATCCTGGGGGCGGGGGCCGTCGCCGTTGATGTTGACATTCATGACTGTAAAATGAATTTCATTAAATCTGTTTCGCAGTCAGGGGATGAACCTCTGAAGTCGGAAAAATCAGAAACATGGTCCTTTGCTAACAATACAGGGTGGGCAGATTGAATGAGAATCAGATGTTCCTCCCCGTCAACTTTCCAAGCCCTCCAGGGCTCTCGAACCCACTTGGCAGCCCCGGATTTATCGGTATCGCCAGGCATTTTGCTTATACTAGACGGCAGGCCTATACACCCGGCAGTGATGCATATCTCACATATACAAGAGTCTTCATCTAGGCCAATTCCCTCAGCTCCCGGTCGCTCTTTACAGTGGGCATCTCGAAGTAATGGCCCCCTTCGTGCTGGTAGTATGCAGGCTGCACTGGGACGTGATGGCCAGGATTGGCATGACTCTCAGGTATCTGTTGTTGGGGGCCATCAAGTACGGTTGGCGAGACACTCAGTGTTGTGGGTGCAGGGCCGACATTGGTGTTCGTCGCCTGGTAGGCCGGCGGTATGATCCCAGGGCTCTGACTCGGAGGTGGAGGGCTTCCTGCTGCAGTTGAGGTATAGATATGCTGAGCAGTGCTGACCGGGCTGGGCTTTGCGATGGAGCTTCGGTTGTCCGCCCCGGGCGCTGTCGCGGCGTACCCGGCCGAGGAAGGCACCGGCTGGAGATGGGGCGGCTGAAACGGCTGTTGCATTTCTGGCTGCGAGGGGGGTTGTTGCGATGGGTTGCCCCCCGGGGACATGATTGGACCGTACGGATCGTTGGCTGGTCCTTGATGATGGTGGTGATGCCTTCTCCTACGGAGCAGGAGCACCAAGACGAGGGCAAACAGCGCAATCACAGCAACCCCGCCGACAGCTCCTCCAACAATGGCGCCGATTGAAGCCGGTGAATTTGTTGAGTTGGGCGCCGGAGGCGTGGTTGGGTTGTTGCTCGTTGTGGTGGAACCAGTAGTGGACAGCCTTGAGGTGCTGGAGGCACTTGTACTGCTGACCGAAGTTGAAGTTGATGATGTTGATGGTGCTGATGATGGCCCGGACAAGGTTGGGCTATAGACTACGCTGTCTGTTCCTGCGGCCACTCCACATCCTAGCAGAGTGTATCCAGTGAAAACATCATCCTCATAGAGGTGTGTCCTACAGTATGGGTAGTCGGATGACCCACTGGCAGGCTCTGTCAACACTTGTACCGCCCAAGGAAGGCTTATGGTAAGACCAATACGGGGAACCTACCACCACAAAGTATAGCCGTTGTCTGTTGTGAACAGGCTCTTGTCAGAGGAGTCGAGGCATGTCGTCCAAATGGAACAAGTGGTCGACGTATCAGGGCAGCAGCCGATGTTCGATCTCACTGAATTATAGACACACGCGGAGCCCACATTGCAGTACAGGGGAATGTCTTTGTCCTTGTCAGTGGTTCTCGGCAGACATGTGCCCGGCTAGACATACCTGGATCACCGTCGACATACGCGCACGTATTATCTTGGCCCGCCCTTTTGTGCTCCTTGGCTTCCCCAATCTCCGGAGGGCTGGTTGGCATCGGACTCATGCCGAGGAGTGGCATCACACCCAATGTCTCTTTTGCCGGGCTCCATCTTCGAGCATCGTTGGAGTCCCATCTGAAGATGGCTGCTTGGGCTACAGTAATGGAGCAGCAAGCAAACACTAGACCGAGGAGATGCTCCATGAGTAAAAAGTGCTACAAGATCAGAGGGGAGACCAAGTAAACGCAAATTTCGGCCCACACAAAGGGCGAACAGCAGATCCGGTAGGAGAGGATTGGAACAGCTGAAGAGACATTTTGCGGGGCTCGATACGCGTCAAGTACCCAGAGACCCAGAGGGTCAATTGAGGCTCTGCTGCCAACCTCAATAGGCTTGCTTCGGCTGGAAAGTGCTTCCGGGTGATGAAGCGCAGTGGGATACGCCGGCTTGCTCACAGACACGGGCCTTCGAGGCTGAGGCTCCAGGTCGTCTCTGGGCGGAAAGCGAGACCAGAAGCACTCAGCCGCTTCTGGCTCTCCGAAGCCTTGTCTCACATAGCTTCCCAAATTTGACCGGAAGGATGCCAGGGCAAGTCTTTGGGCCCCTTCGGGTTTCGCCAGGGCGAACAACCACGCCGACAGAACACTTGGGAGGGCATGGCAGCTTGCTAGGTCTAGCATGGACAGGTCTAAAAAGAAATGGGAAACGCAACTTCTGGGTGTCAGCTCCTATGAGCCAGCCTCAAGCGACGATGGTGGCATATAGCGTGCCGATAGACTGCGTGTTGGGCTGATTCGGGTTCACGTGGCGTCCAGCTGGAAGCACGTCTGCTCCGATAAAAGATGCCATCATGAGAGATCCAGCTAGATTTTACAGCTTTGTGGCACGCGACGCGATAGAGGGCGGCTCGGGTGCTGACGAATTATCGGCGGCAAGGCAGAGCGGCAGCTGGGAATAAGCACGCAAAAGGTTCCAAGGTTGGCTTAAACAGCCGCACTGCGCTCTAGACCGCTGCGCCCAAACGGGACAATAGAATGACGGCAGTGTTAGCAACAATGTCAGACATTTATGTGGCAGCTTTGGCAGCTCAAACCCGCATACTTCTCAATCCAGGGCAGGGCTTGCGGGGCCTTCAACTTTGACAACTTTGTCTCGGGTTGTCTTGCCCTCCGCCTGCTCGCAGTTGAGACGATTGCCAGTGTGAAACGCCTTCTGCCCTTGGAAATAATAGGTCGAATACAAATGATACCCAAAACTTTGGGTTAAGTTCAACCTCGCCGATACGCTTGAGAACAAAGCATACGAGCCCGACCACCCTGTGTTATTGGCAGTCTCCCAGCCGATGGCCACGGCGATTCTGGCCTGTCTGCCCGTACCCTCCCCAGCCTTCTCCTCTTGAGCCCAGATTTCTTGATGAATGACGCTTGTCAGTCTGCGTTGAGAGACACCTGGCCTGGCCAGACGCCTTTGGGGTAAGTGATACTTGTTAATGAAATGATCACACGCACGACAGCCCCAACTCATGGGGCTCCATGGATGCCCGAGGCTCATGAAAGGCTTGGCGATAAAAAGCACAACTGCTCCAACAACAGAATCTCCAGCTTCGGCAGCTTCGGCTTAGAGCGCATGGTTTAGGGAGCGCTTCCGAGATCAAGATTCTGCGGGATACAGGTCTGGTTGTATTTGCCTCGGGGCGGGCATCCGGAAGACTGATGCAACGAATTAGCAGCACTCCTGGTATATATCAGGAGAAGGTGGTGTGGCGGTCTTGGAGGGCGAGAGAGAAATGCAAACCAAAAACAGCCCAAGTATAGAGACGCAGTTCGTCTCACTGTGTGACATTCAAGACCAATTGCTACAACCTACCGACGAGTAACAACGCCGAAGCGTCACAGATCATGCCAATACCCCGCAAGATCGTATATTTCCAGCAGTCCCCTCGCCGCATGTTTAACGTCGGCCAGTGCCCCCACGCCGGGGGAGGGTCTCGCTCGAAAAGCTCACAGGACTATCATTTGACGACATGCCATCAGCGGTAATCACTGGTGTCAACAGTGGCATTAGCCAAGAATTTGCCAAAGGCCTGATCGATGCAGTGAGTCTTCAGGCCACTTGACCAAATCACAATTGTGGCAGATGGCCACGACTCGCTCGACGCCTTGAGCGACGACTCTCTCACGCGCACCTTCTCCACCAACACCTTCGGCTCCTCCTCCTCACGAGGCCCTTCCTGCCCAACATCCTCAGCAGCCGAGTGGGAAGCGTCGCGGACAACAGCTCTGGTGGTGACTACGCCTCACGCTCGTCAAAGACGGCACCGGACATGATCTGTGAAAACCTGGCGGTGGAGCTGAAGGCTGAGGGTGTCGTGGTGGTGATCCTGCACACGGGCACAGTGAGGACTGATTTAGTCCCAGGCGCCGTCGAGCCTGATGAGGCAGCTAGCAAACTTTGCAAGATCCTTGTGAGCAAGGAGATGGAGGATACGGGTAAAGTTCTGGCGCAGGGAGGGCGAGGAGCTACCGTGGTAGGGTGAGGAAGCGCGCGCATTGCGGTGTCGCGCAGATTATACGAGCAACGGTAGGTATTAGTCCCAGAACCCGGGCCTTTTCCACTGCTTGCTGGTGTCGACAACTGGAATTCTCTTCGCTCGCTAACCTCTTGGCCGCGTGGTCGGGGTGAAATTCAGATAGAGCGTCAAACTTAGAACTTGATCGCGTTACATACCATCGCCTGGACAGGGGGCTGGGGGCTTTGTTCTCGGCCGCTCGGCCCTGGACAATTGGGAAGCGCCGGCGCTAGCGTACCTACCAGACCATGAATTTTATTCCTGCTGCTCGGCTGTGACATGCGCCGTCGCCGGTGTTGTGTATACTTAGGTACCCAGGTAGATTGGATGAAGCCTGGGGGAGATGGAGTACGTACGTGCTTGTATACAAGTCCCACTCCAGCGCTTCATAACGCTAAGGAACATCCTGGATCGTGGTGGCAGTGTGCAAGACTGAACTCTGTCTCGATGGTGAATTGGTAATACTGTGTCGTCCAGGTCACTCTAGTACAGCAGTCTCCTGTTCGGCCTGCCAAAGTGCCTCCAGGACAGACTGAGATCCCTACCCGGAGAAGCTCTCGGCGTGTCTTCCCTCATTCTACAATGATGGACATGTCGACTGAGCCTGTCTCTCCTGCGAGGTCGCAAGCCCATCCTGTTCAGCGGAACATGCCCCAGCCGCCCGCCGATGTTGCCTTGCTGCGGTCCGGACCACGCACCCCGAGGCCCAGCATCAGTTTACTGTTGCGTGACTCCGCTGTGAAGTTGATACAACGTGGAAGCCATGTCGAGCCTGCTCTCCGCCCCCAACAAATGCAGTTGTGTCGCCGGACAAAAAAGACCGTTGCATGTTTTGGCATCAAGCCGCCACGTTACTAGCTCCCGAAACAGTCGTCCCGTGTTGTTGGGAGGCAGCACACGTTGCCCTCCACCGTAACGGTCACTAGTCCTCGGCAGAGATTATGCAGTGCACAGTCACTTGTGTTTCTTGGACGTTCCTCTGGAGTCCAGCCCGGCCAATGCTACCTGCGCCTCGGGCATCTGTCCAAGCCTGGGGCTTTGTAACTCGCTAAATCATGCCCACTTCCCGGTAAGCTCTCATACTGCGCCCTGGCATTGAAATTTCAAAGCCAAGTCAACTTACTGTGTGCCAGGTTGGGGAGGCAGGGGGGGTCGATGGCCTGAACAGAAGTTGAAGATTAGTAAATAGAAACATAAGAATTATCCAGCCCCTATGGCTGTGAGCTTGATGATAGATTGCTGATGTACCGCACGACCTGGTGAACCTCTGCAATGTGGACCTGTACGCGCAGCTCTGGAGGAGCAGATGAGCCTTGGAACGTAATTCCCCTCACAGCTCGTTTGTGTGGCAGCACGAGCCTGGTTGCAAATCTAACAGGACCCCGGCTTCAGTTAATGGTAGTCCACACAAGACGAGATAGCCGTTGACACTGACCCATGGCGGATGCCATGGGTATAGGAGGCACTCTACCGTGGAGGACCTGGGACCGGAGCTGCCCGGATAAATTCATGGGCTCCTTCGTTGTCAGGATTTCAAATTCCGGAGGCAGCCGCCGCAGAGATCGCATAGTCTCTCTGTGTGCCAGCTTAGAAGTACACAGTCGCGGCGACTCCCATCGTTTTTGTGTTCTCTTGCCTGGTCGAGGCACAGCTGTGCCTCGACCTCTGCCTGGCACTCACTGTCTCTCACGGCGCAGTCGTCAAGCTTCATTCCAACCGAGTCACTCGCTGCCTGGCCTGGCCGGTGAGAAAAGTGGTCAATGACACATGCTGGTTCGAAATGAGGCAACATGACATGGGGCCAAGTGTCGTTTTATGAAAAGAAAAAAAAAGCTTACATCCGAGAGGATCCTTACTGGCGTGAAATGCGATAGATCACATATCAGAACTCATAATGATGAAGGTGCTGATCATTCGATCCACATGCGGCCGTTCCTTCGCCCCAAATCGACGCGAGCATTGAATCCGCCTTTGAGATTGCACCACGCGGACACAATGAAAGTCAGTCTTCGTGCTGGTTGTGGGATATACGAGCTGCTGCCAGCTTCCATCTTTGGCTATTTTGGTTCCTGCTGGCTCGTGAAGTCAATAGACTGTCGCTGGATAATAGCACGCAGCAAGTGGCCCTTAAGCAACCAGTATCAGAAGAGGCACAGAGGAAGCTCTGCTCAAAGCCACGACTGTTGGTGCAACGTCGCGGAGCGAATTTAAAGTGAGGCGCCGGAACATCGCAATGACTTAGGTCAGCCATGGCTTTTGACAGCTCACAAGCGAGAGACCCAATATGGGAGCGTCCTACGGGCCTAAACGCGGAAAGCGTAGAGCTGTCGCACCGGTGACGAGGTTCTTTCGGGAACGAAGTAGTTCCCTCTTGCAAACAACGCTGCAGTCTCCGAGACAAATCAGGCCATGCTGACGACACACTGAGGCCGGAGTATGAGACTTGCCTGGGATAAGCATCATTACAGCTGTACGGAGTGACTGATAACGGACGCAGCCCGCCGGGAACACCCAGAGGGAATAGGGCAGAGCCTCAGAGGATCACCGGTGGCTGGTAACGCCTGAACCGGACCAGTGAAGCGGCGTTTCGACTGGGAATTAGCGGTGGACACCCAACAATAAGAATCTCAGGGACCATAGCGTTGTCCCACAAGGTGGCCGCTCCTTGTTTAGGTAGGACAAATGGTACCGGTGAGGTCAAAAGGGCTCCACACAGCGTTGTTGACCTGGGTTCGGGACGCGGGTGTCCCGAGCCTCGGAGCCAGGCACAAGAGGTTCAGTCTTGTATGCTGATATCCTATGCGAGGCGCCTGGAGACTGTGGTACAGTAGCGACATTCCATAATCCTACAAGGTGAGCTGGCTGGGACTACTGTAAGCATCTTGCCACCTCCGTGGGAAGGTTGACCTGCACGGTCCCGTCGGCATGAGGCTGTCGAGCGATGGAAACTCGTGGCCAACCCCGAATCAACCTGGAGGCGTCGGCAGCGGAGATGTTGGAGATGCTGGGACCTAGGACACGGTGATCTTGGGGTTGCTAGTGTATCATGCGGTGGCCAGATGCATCCAGGGGCCTCTTATGCACCAACTTTCCCCCAGTGGAAGACGAGACAAGTCTCAGCGAACGGGAGGGGGGATGCAAGTCAACCTTGGAGAGCAGCCATTCTGCACAGACTGGGTGCTCTTTGCCGGCTTCACCCTCCTCGAAGGGACACCTGGTCATCCCCTGGTATCGGGGATGCAGCGGTGAATACTTTGGGAACTGACAAGCAGAGAGCGCGGTCTGGCGGTCCGACAAGAATCGAGGCACCATGCTTTTTCTCTCAAAACTGCAAGTCTAGTCCAATGGATAGCCCTTGTATTCCGGGAATAATTAATGACGCACGACATTGGGCCCATCGAAGTCATTAGTCGTGTTTTGGTGTAACACATATCCGCCGAACTGGAAACATGCAGGGCCAAGTTCAGGAGCATGAGATCCCAAGGTTGGCTGGCTTGGGGGGTCAACGCGCGAGAAGAGTGTGTATCCCCGGCTACATGTATGTACAAATTCTCTATCGGAGCAATCTCAGAGCCCAATCGAACCACAGGCAGGTCCCCAGGAACTCGCGTCACCGCGCCTTGTGAGGTGGGGACCGGCCCTTGCGGCGGCCGTAGGGCGTCGCACAGGGGGCTCCTCTTGGTAGGGAACCCACGCTGTAGGGCGACGGGCCTCGACGAGGACGGTTTCGCCAAGTGGCCACTAGACTGTGTGCAGAATGCAATTGCCATTCGCCTTGTTCAAGGACAATTAAATGGCGATATGATGAAGCGATCGCCACGACCTGGTCGATTATACCTCGACGGGGAAGTGCCCTGGGAGGGTTTATGACGTGCAGCAGGACAGCCACTACAGCGAAAGGGACGAAGTTGATCCCAGGCCGCTGCAGAACGTGGCCAAGAGAGCTTGGTATCGCTTCTTCAGCGAGCAGTGCTGAGTAGTCAAGCGAGCAGACCAATGGAGTGCCCAGAAGCATGACTCAATGGCACCAGGCAGCGTGCTGAATGCTCTTGGGGTGAAGCATGCGTGGTAGCGAGACGCAGCATGCATGGAGCACCAAGGGCACCAAATCCGGCGTTTCCATGGTATGGAATGGTGAGGCAAACCTAGCACCTGGGGGCCATCGAAGCTAGCGTCGCCTCTGAGGTCAGTCTGCCTGTGTCGGGGAGACAGAAGCCGGAAGACGAAAGACGGAAGACGAAAGCACGACAGGCATGGAGGCTGGCCGCAGTGGCGATGGCCATGGATGACACTCGTAACTAGGCGTATGAGCATGGAGGTTGGAACGTGTGTAGAAGGACTCGACGGATAGAGATCATGGTTGTATCGGGCCGGACACAGCGCGTAGTAGTTGGCCACGAAGAGTTAGCATCGGGGCCAGTTGGAAGGTTGTGCATCACACACACGAGATTGGGATACTGATCGGCGGAGCTTGTGGTGCATGCGCGCATGATCTGGTCTGCCCTCACTGACCCTGTGGAAGATGTTGCGGGCTGCGTGGTGTAGGGAGCAGGTAGTGCTGTGAGTACTGCATATGGTGACAGGAGCGCAGGGGTTGCGACAAGGCTGAGGCCAGGCATGATGCCATCCATATCCACAGGCGGGCAGGCGGTCATGTGAGAGACATGGGCATGTGGTGAACCGACGGTGGTGAACCGTGGGCGGCGACACGGCGGTACGCGACGGGATGGACTGGAAGAGCCGTGTCTGACGGCTGACGGCTAATGGCTGAGGGTTGACGGCGGGATCTGGTGCCGGCGGGAGTTTGACGAAGTTTAATTGATTATTACCATCGGTATTATGCCGAGCGGATGACGTTCCGTCTATTATGTGGGCCCCATACCGTCTCTGAGTCTGGCCGGTGTGTGTGGTGGTGGTGGTGGTGGTAGTGGTGGTGGAGGAGGAGGAGGAGGAGCAGCAGGAGGAGGTAGAGGTGGACATGGCCGAGCATGGATGGCACCACCACAGTAGCCCCATACCCGCCCAGGTATGTACTGTGTACTGTAGCAGTGCAGGCTAGGAGGAAGGCCGGCCTGTGAGGATATTGGGCTGGACTAGCAAGACTAGGCAGACTACACCTATGTGAGGCTTAGGACGCGAATACGTGGGCCTAGCGCCGAGATCCTCAGAGGACGTTGCGACTTGTGACGGCGAGGGTTCCCATGGGGGGAAATGATGGCCGTCGAGTTGCGACGGTGGTCGAGAGTTAATGAGAAAGAGGGACATGACGGGGCTGAGGGCCTGAGGCATGCACCGTGCCAGTGCCCCAAGCTCGTGGCTAGCAGAGGGGTGATGTTGCAGTACGCAGTACTAGTAGTATGTAGTACGGAGTACCGTGGTTCGTGTCGTTGGCGGGTTGTCCGGACCCACGGCCGGCTGGCTGTTCGCCTCTTGGCCCCTACTGGGTCTGGCGCCCACGCCTGCCCAGGTTCCTGGCAGCCCTGGCAGCCCTGGCAGCCCTGGGCAGCCCTGGCAGATCAGGGGCGCTAGCCGTGGGCTAGCTGGTCAGACGGGCCAGACGGGCTAGACGGCATCGACATCGAGCCGGTAGCGCCAGATCCAAGGTGTCAGTGTCAGTCATTTCGGCGCCGAATCGCCCCAGGTGTTCGACCTCGTCCTTCCCGCTCGGCCCCCGGAGCCTGCCCTGCCTCTGCTGGTGTCCGAGCAAACCCTGCAGGTCGCTACGTACAGCACACTGCAATCCAGGACAGGCCAGGACAAGGCCAGCTGCACTGCGCTGTCCTGCGCTTGCGCTACTCCGTACCGCTGCCGCTGTCGCTGTCGCCACGCCTCCGCCTACGCTATCGCAGGAGATACCACGATAGTACTGCGTAGAGAAGAGAGTTCCGGCAGTGGTCAGCGACCCTGGCGCCTATGCAGAGCAACCCTTCAGAGGCAGTCTGGAGAACCCGGAGCCAACCCGGAGCCCCCAGGGTTTCGGGCCTTTCAAAGCGAAACAGATCCCAGCCCGCGGCACCTGGGCACCCAGCTGTCGAGATATTCCCGACCCTTCAGGGTTGCATATCGACTGCCCATGTGCCCATGTACTTATGTACCCATCGAGGCAGATCGCGAGCGTGCGGGGCGAGCAGAGTACTGTACGGATAATAAGTCGCAGATGTACTGAGCGCACTGACCAGGCGACGTACCCGCAACAGACATGATGCGGGACAGGCACAGTCCCGAAAGTACAGATACATCAGCTCCACCACGTTCTGGCTTACGTCCGGAAGGTACTCGTGCTGTATCAGAGCTCGGATCTGGGTTCCAACACCAACGGGTGACAACATTGAAGTTGGAATATCTTGCCATTGCGTCCTTTCAGGTGATGCTCGTCCCCACTGACACCAGTCCCAAAACCCAGCCCTCTCTACCACAGTATCTTGAGTCGCAACGATCACTCAGGCTCACACTGACAGCCCGACTGCAACCGTCTGATGGCTCGACCCGGGCCTTCCCATCCCAATAGACGTCCCATCTGTCTGTGATCCCCCAGCGCCAGGGCTCGACCCTGTGGCGGGGTCCAGAGTTGGCTACCGCCTCGACACACATATATCATCACTTACCAGCCAGCTATGCGTGTGAATGGGGCCCAGCCAGCCAGCCAGCCAGCCCGACAAGACCAGCCCAACCCAACCCAATCCGAGCTGTGACCCTTGGGAGTCCAAACCTCACGTCCATGACGGGTCAACCTAGGCGCCGCCACGCGTATGACAAGAGATGATAGAAAAAGACGTGGAGGGCGCAGGGCAAAAGAGAAAGAGAAGGGGGGGGGGACAAAGAAAGAGACGAGAACCGCTCTTCGTCTCGCCATAATTACCTCCTGTGTGCTGTGCACCTCTGCCACTCTCCGACCCTTATCCTTGCCCAGCCAGGCCCCACAACCAGCCATGGCTTCTACTCGCCTATCTGGACTCAGCATGTTTCCGAAAGACCCTGCCTGCGCCTCTTCAAACGGCGACCCCAGCCATTGGTCTTGGTCGGCCTGCAAACAACGATCCCCAGACTTTTGTCATCCCAGCCCGCACCCTGCCTCACCTCGCACGCCCACCAGATGTGGTCCCGTTGGAAGGGATTAGAATGGCCCTCTACCTACCCTGAAGCAGGTAGGTAGCTTGTACCTGCGGGTCCCATACTAACCTCCCTCATGGCGCCGCCTTTTGTTGCTGGCCCACGAACCTCCAAACCAGCTCGTCCAACGACTCCATGTCGCGCCTTCTCTGTGTCTGCGGGCGCGCAGCAGGCATGACCGGATGAGCTGCTGCCCAAGGGCATCCAAGCCCTCCCACGCCCAAGGCCCCCAGGCCCCCAGGCTCCCCGTCCGTCCATTCGCTCCTCCTCCGCGGGCCCGCACCGGCGAGGCAGGACGGCTGTCGTACTGTGGCGGCCCCCCTCCCGGGTACCCCCTTATCCTCAGCCCCTTGGCCAGGACAGAACAGTGACATGAAGGGGAGTTCTCTGCCTGTATGTAACCTTGTACTCTGCATTGCCTCTGCAGCCCATGCAACCTCATGGGCCTCATTTTCACTTTCGCGCGCACATCACCTCGCCGAGGATCCAGCACGAGACTACATAGATATAGCCCGCCGTCGAAACAACCCCAACCCATCTGCACAATTTATAAAACAAGCACACCATCTTTATCTTTCCTTGCTTCTCCCGGCCGTCCGTCCCCATCACCCTCGCGCCACCAGTGCTTTCACATGGCCCCCGCAGTCCCAACTCACAGTAGCAACCAGCAGGAGCACCTCAATCTCTGTCATATCTGATATCGACCACCTGCAGTCTGCACAGCTCTCAACTTTCCCAACGGCGCGTCTGACGCACCCAAACCCTTACTTGGTCACCACCGCCGCCACCGCCTTCGCCACCACCTCCGCCTCCACAACCTGACCGCGCCCAAGGAGGAGACAAGGGAAGACCAGGCCAGGACAGAGCAGTGTTTGTTGCTGTGTTTCCAGACACGCCAAGACTGGCATGTTCTGTCCCACAAGCTACCTGCTACCGGCCTAGGTTGCATCCACAGACAACGACTACCCAGTGGTCAAGACGAGGCAGCGGCACCGGATCCTGGAGCACACTATCTGCTAGATAATAGGTAAATTTTCCTGGCATCCCAGGACCGGCGACTTGCCAGCCAATGAGACCTTAAGGGCTCGAATGCTGATAGGATTGGTAGACATCACATCCTCAAGCAGATTCTGGCGTCCAGAAAGTAACGGTTGTGACGGAGGGCCGCCATTTGTGTCAGCCAGTGGAGCCCTTTGCTCCCTGTCTTGTTGCTCAGATACCATGGCATTCTCTGGTCGAATGGATGGGACGTCCTTCCAGCAGCCCCAGGTACATCAGCCCTTCCCTTGCACCGCCCGCGCCGCGCTCTGGGGCAAACTGCATGGCGATCTAATTAATGAGACCCGCAGCCTTTCGTCAACGCCCAGTTCGACATCTTCGAGTGGCATGGGGCGTTTCAGTCATGCGTGCGATACTTCCTGGATCACGCGCAACACTCTGGCCCTGTCCAGGCTGTTTCGGCCTTTTTGAACATACAGCTGCCTTACCAAAAGCAACCGAACCCTATATATTCTTCGAGTGGTGCAGTGTCACCTCAAGCGCACCAGTACTCGCACCAGTCGTCCGGGCTGCCGGGTATGTCTAGACCGGGCCCTTCTTCTGTCACCGCTGCCGGGAAACTGCCCATGCACTTAGGATCGGGCCAGTCTCAGCAACAAGCATACGCCACCCTCACCCCCTACATCAGACGCTTGGTGGCCACGGGCTTTGACATTCCTGGCATCCTCCACGGTTTCTTCGGGGACGACTGGGTCGCTGGGGTGGGACCTCTGCACGAAGCTGAGCGTCGGAACTACCTCTTTGCGGCAAAGAGTGACAACTGGCTCAGGGTCAAGGCCAACTACGACATGGACGGTGAACAGATGGTCCCGTTCCTGAAGCCATTGCAGAACGTCAGCGAGAAGGAAATCGTGAGCGCCGAGACGAGCTGGAGTGAGTGGCTGGCCATGCAAGATTGGATGTTAGGGCCCCGGGCGCCAGTCGATGTTGACGAGGCGGAGGCTCGGGGCCAAGAGCCGGGTTTCAGGGTGAAGCGAGAGAGGCGGTAGACCGCCGAAGCCAGTGCGAGGAGGAACAATTTATCTCACGCGCCCAGACCGAATAATTGGAAGAGCAGCATCTCGGCTCAGACGGCACTCACGAAAGCTGCGAAACGAGCCCCCACAGGTACTTGGCGACGAGCACTACAAAATACACTGCACCGGCTGTTGCCCTTGACAGGAAAGTTGTACCTCCAGAAGCAGACGTGGTTGGCTTCCTTTTCTCAAGACTGGCACGGGCGAGAGGGGAGGGGCCTGGATTGCATACAACATCACGATCACTGCATTGAGGTGGGGGGGGGGGGCTTAGTATGACTGTGTGGGTTCGTTGACAGCCGCTGTGGGATCAAACAGCACCGCGCGGCTCGTCTAGACGACGGACCCGAGAATGCATTCGTTTGGAAGGCTTACAAAGAACGATAGACATCATAGTACACCCATCAAGTTTGCGCCCACCAGGTCTGCCCGAGCACACGAAATTCGCGCCACGAGACGGTCGATGCGCATCCCCGAGCCCCGTTGACTGGGATGAATGCAGGCCAGCCTCGTGACTGTGATACATAAGCCGCAGGCACCGCGCCTCACCCTCATCGCGTTTGCTGATAGACCAAGCCTGGGCAACCCCGGAGCCGCAGGGAGTTTGTCTCCCAGGATAGCGGAGCCGCGCCACGACTCTTCGCCCGAAAGGCGTCGGGTGGAATGCCGTCGGGAGCATGTCAAAGCCCTGCCTTCTTGATGAGTGGTCTGGAACAGTTTCCTTTGCGGTGGGAGGTCGCAGGATCTGCGCTGCAGTGATAGGGTGCATCTCCAAGGGTGGGAATCTCTGGCTCCCCGCGGGCAATTGGGGTGCAGGCAGGCAGGGGGCGCCAGTCAGAGTTTAAGAAGTCGGGAACACAGGCACCAAGGGTTTGGGGGACCCTGACGCAGGCGCATCAGAATTGCAAGGCGAGACGTGCAGCATGCTGTCAAACGATTGACGGTGTGTATCCCTCTTCTGGACAGATTACTTGGGCTTGTGGCTCGTCCCGCAGCGAACCTTGGAAGAGCAATCACCCGCCCCGGCGGGATGAGCAGCCAGCCGCGCAACCCTCGCCGCATGCGGGATCGCCATGCTGGTGGCAGGTACCTGAGGTTGTCACTGCCACGATGGTACAACAACAAAAACAACAACAAGAACAATAATCATACTGATAATTGTGCAAAGAGGCAGGCACATGGGGCGTGCAGCTCGCGTGCCAGCATGTACTTATTGAGGCTGGTCGTATGTACTTGAAGATCAAGCCGCCCGTTGTTTGAGAAGCGTGGCATGGGACAGACAAGATGTACCGCAGATCATCTGGCCGCCACCTGGAAATGAGGCTCGCTTTGCATGCCGTGCCGCGACCTTTGCGCGCTGCTGCATGGGCTGGCGAGCTTACCCGGTAAGCTCGCCAGCGACAGGGATCCAAGACGGGTGCGCCATGGTGAGGACTGACTGATATGATGATCATGTCGATGATGACTCTTGGAAGAAAACAAGCAAGAGAATCAACCACAAGGGTAAGCGTGCAACTGAAACAAACCTGCACCGAGGGGTGATGCAGTGGGAGTTGCACTGATGAATGATCTGCTCTTGGGCGCGATGGCTGCCCTCTGACAGTTCTGGCCAGTGCTACATTGTAACATGCTACACCACCGTAACCCTCCCTGGCGGAGACACCCCTCCTGCGGCAACCCCCCACGCGGTGTAAGCTCCAAGGTTAGAGTTCCTGGTTTGCGGCTGGGATTTGCCTGGGAACAGCACTAGAATCATTCGGATCGTGCCGAAGAGGGACGTTGGCTCGGGACCTGCTCGATGGTGCCGAGAACCCAAGCACTACCTGCCTAGGTTGCACCTAGGCAGATCCATGCGTACCCAGGCAGGCAGGCAGGCAGGCAGGCTAGGCCATAACAACGTCGGCCAGTAGTATGCGGGTACTCACAGTAAGTAGGTCACAGTAGGTGCCGTGCTTGCGGCAGGCACGGCCAACCAACGCCCTCATGGGGCTGAGAGCTCCCTTAGTTCCCAGCTCCCAGCATGTAGCTTCAAGCCTCCTACTGCCGTCGCACGACAAGCGCCCTCAGACACGCGGGCCCCCGCGCACCGTATATGCTTACACTCTCACAGTCGGCCTCAATTGGCTTTTCTATAGGGCACCACTCATTCTGCAGGACCATATCGTGCCACTGGTCATGCAAGTTCTGCGCATAGCACACGCCCAATTGAGATTGAGCGCCTTGCCTCGCCCTCGAGTTTGATCCTGTGTCTTCCCGTCGTCGTCGTCGTCCTCCTCCTCCTCCTCTCGCCCTCACCGTCCGCCCGCCACCGACCGACTCCTCCTGGCATGAAGCCTCACCGCATGATCTACGCCATCAGAGCCCACGCCACAAGCCGTTAGACAGCCAGCCACACCCACCTGGGCAGCATGGGCGACTCCAGCGGCACCGACGTCGCCTCCCAGGCCGCCACCGCGCGCAGGGAATGGGGGCGCTTCCTGCAGCGCTGTCTGGTCCAGCGCCTAGACTTTGACAAGTTCGCCGAGTATGCGCCCCTGCTGCACGCCCGCCACCCCCTCGGCCACGGCCCCGTCGCCGACCTCGTCCTCCGCCCGACCTCGTGGAACAGGTACACCCTGGACCCGCGCGTGCCCCACTACATGCAGACGCTGCTGGATCTCGGCCTGGTCGACACCCCGGCCATCCTCGCCGCCCTGTACCGGTACTCGACGTGCCACGTCCTGCTGGCCGCACACCGGAAACAGGGCGACGGCGGCGGGGCGGACGGTGGCGGGGCCAGTGGTGGTGGCGACAAGTCGGCAGCCGAGGCCGGCGCCGGCACGGGCAAGAATGATGTCGCGCGCTGCTGGCAGAGCAGCTTCTCGTCCGAGGAGGTCATCTTCTACCGCCTCACCAAGGCGGTGGCGCAGGGGCTGGCCATCAGGAACAGCAGGGACGCCTTGGATGTCAGTGCCATCATGGCCCGGTGGATGACCCTGTTCACGGCTGCCAGCGCCGCATTCCAGGCTGACGATGAGGATGCCATCATGGGTGGTGCGGGCAGCAAGGCCTCGCAACAAAAGAGAGACGATATGGACAACTCTAGGGCGGCGTTCGTGATGCTGTTGTTGGGTGTCTGTGAGAACCCAGTCTTGCTGCAGGCCCTGGGCAAGCCGTTCGCGAAAGGTGAGTCGTGCGTGTAAAATGTGCCCCTAGTTGTTCTGTTTTCGGCGTGCGTCTTCCTCCTGAGTTGCGTTGCTGTGCGAGCATCTCGTCGTTGTGTTCCTGCTTGCGTATCCAGTTTGAATTGTGCCGTTGTTTATCTTTCTGCCTGCACTCATTCGTAAGGAGCTTGTCTCAGCAAGGGGTTGTCTTCCGGGGAATGACAGGGCTGATGTTTGCTCGTCAGGTGCGCGGAAGGGCCTCTCGCAGAGCCTTGCCAGCTTCATCCCATCCATAATGCAAAATGCCTCCCAGATTGCAGCACGCCTCGAACTGTTTCGCACCGAGACGCTGGCCGGGTTCGAGCCAATCGACAAGAAGAAAGAGGCTGCCAACGCTGAAATGGACGAGCTGCTCGACGAGACCCTGGGCCTGCAAAATCTCTCAATACCGGACCTACACGTCGACAGGTCTCGCGCAGGATTATACATTTACCTCAACGCGGCGGTGGGTTCATCCATGATGCCGGAGACGGCCTCAGGCGGCAGAGTTGATTGACTGACAAATGCCCGGCCCCTAGCTCATAGGAAGGCCCTTGATCGACGATGCAGCATTCTACAATTACTTGCATAACAGATATCAGGTTAGTAGCGTATATCCTCTCTAGCGATGGCGCGGCACAGACGACTGATTGGACTGACTGCTTGCAGGGAGACATTCAACTGACTGCGATCGATCTCATTCTCGCATCCTTTGACGTTCTCGCCAATGCCATCTTCAAGAACGAGGGCCAGAAGACTGCGAATCTCATAAGATCATACCTGATCAACAAAGTGCCCCTGATCCTGGCCTCCTTTGCCACGCAGGAACCAATGTACCAGTTCAACTCAGAGTTGTGCATTACGAATGCGCTAAGTCGGGTTGACACCAATACATTTCCGACACTGACATCTCTCTTCGAAAACAATATTAGCAGCAACCCGTTCACAGAATCAGTCCGCTCAGATTTCGTCACGGCGTGTTGCCTGCACGGCCTTGTGCCCGAGACAAGTATTGATCGACTGATTGGGGATTACACGTACCAGACCCTTCCGGCCGGGGGACGTTATGACAAGGACAAACTCGTGCAGGAGTGTCTTGCGGATCCGCTCCAAGAGCGTATCCAGAAGCTCGTCACCGAACTTGAAAGTATGGACGGCAACGTCGGTGCCTGCTGCCAGGCCTTGACGGAGGTGAGTTGCCATTCCCAGCCTCTATGGGTTGAGTCCTTCTTGTATCTAGGTTGTCAAGTGCTGACATGGAGCTCAACTAGATGCTTGGGAAACTTTGTGCAAATAAGGATACAATGTCGCTGAAGACGCTCTGTTCCAAACTGGTGGGGAAACCCCTGAACCTGGATGTTCTGTTGCTGTTCGACAAGCCCACGACTATCCTCAGTCCTCTTTGCGAGCTGCTGGACAACTGGGGATACGAGGATGACCAAGGGGAATATCAACCGGTCTATGAGGAATTCGGGTCTGTCTTGCTGTTGCTGCTGGCATTCGTCTACCGCTACAATCTGACCGCATCCGACTTGGGAGTCCGGTCGTCGGACTCATTCGTGGCTAAGCTTCTTGCCAATGGGCAGCTCAGCCGCCCGCTGGACGAGCTCAGCGACCAGGAAAGGAACCAGCTCAATGGTTGGATCCACGGCCTCTTCGACACGGACGGCGGGGGTCTTGCCGATGATTTGCTCTCATCTTGTCCACCCCAGGACCTCTATCTGTTGATACCAACTCTGTTCCACAACATCGTGCTGGCTTTTAGCACCGGACACCTGACAGAAGAGACCCTCAAGACGGGCATCGAATGTAAGTGGCCTATTCTGCATATGGTCTGTACCTGCCCTGACCGCCTGCCTATAGATCTCGTGGAGCCTTTCCTGGGTCCGTCCCTCGTGACGGGGATCATGTACCTTTCCAATTGCCTATGGACCGACCGATCTGAGGAAAACAAGGCTACGGTCAAGATTCTGCAGCTTATCGTAAGACCGAGCCAGAAGATGTCGCCAGAGTCCTCCGACATGCTCAACACTGTTAAGAACATTGTTGCCAAACCCCTGGAGAGTGGATTGCGCACGTACCAGAGGCAAAACCCCAGGAGCCAAGATGTCGAGCCGCTGTTGCAGGTCCTCAAAGGCAACGTCGAGCTTTCCAGGCGCACAGGTGCAGCGGGCGACAAGGAGCTGGAGCAGTGGATCAGCAGCGGTAGTGGCGGCCTCACGTCGAGCATCAGAACCACGTTCCAGAACCTCACCATGTGGTCACTGAACCCAGGCGTCATGCCGACTGCATACGCACACCGGCAGGTCCTGGTTGGACTGAAGCTGATGGGCGCCAGGCGGCTGCTCCAGGCCATCCTCGAGGAGCTCAAGCAGCTGACCGAGACCGGCAACGGGAGCATCGCCTACGACGTCGCCATCGCACTGGTCTGCGCTCCCGATGTATCGAGCAACGCGAACGACGCCCTGGCACCCACTCCGCCGCAGCGGCGGCTGTCACTGCGCGAGGCGCTCAAGTGGGAGGCCGAGGAGTGGAAAAAGACGCAGAAGAAGGACCCGGCCATGGCGGAGACGGTGGTCCGGCTATACCAAAAGGTTGAGGCGCAGATGGCGCCGGTGGCGACCTTGGCGACGCTCCCACACGACGCTGATGCCGCCGCCGCCGCCGCCATGGCCAATGTGCTTGTGGACGACGCTGCTGCCGTCAACGCCGCTGCGAGCCAGCTCGGAATGGATGACCCCATGGCGCTTGATGCTGGTGCGGCCGGCCTGTCGTTGGACCTGTCAGGCGGTGGCGGAGACCTGAACCTGGGAGGCTCTGGGGTGGATTCCGCGGGTGGGCTGGACCTCACCGGGGGCGATGACATGTTCAGCTCGTTAGGGCCGTTGGACGGATGGGATAGCATGGATCTGACTTAGGCAGGAAGTGAAATCTGTCACGCGGCCTTGCACACATCCCCCACCTCGGTCTTTATTTTTGGACGTTGGGAGTTGTTGGTAGGTGGGTGCTCTGGGCCATATGTTCTTTTTTGAAACGTGAATGTGGGCAATTTATACCCCCCCTTTCTGTCCTGGGTACGGACCCGAGGCTGGAATGCGGCTCATGATCGAGCTAGAAGAGCATTCTTTTGGTTTATGGGGCTTTTTGCTACAGAAACATGCGATGGGATATCAAAAAGGAATTTTACACTTGACAAAAAAGGCACTCCAGGCCTGACCTGGTGACTAGTTCAGTCATCGTCGTCCCAGCTACCGAGCGTGAACTGCGAGTTACACATGTTGGTCAGCTCCCAGTCCTCGGCGCCGAGCTCGCCCCTCATGTCCTCGTCGCCCTTGGCACCGCACAGGCCGGCGACCCACAGGGACGCCAGGAAGTGGTCGTCGGTGGCGTGGGCCTCGCGGTACATGGGGTGCTTCATCAGGGCGGTCATCTTCCTCCTCAGGCGCGGGCCGCCGACGCCGCGGGTACCCCTGCCGACCGTGCCCTTGCCGTTCCGCAGCGGGGTGCCATAGGCGGCGTCGTCAACGGAGGTCTCGGCGGTGTTGCCGGCGACGAGGGCGTCGATGACCTCCTGGCGGAAGTCCATGGCCCAGGCGGCAGGCGGGGTGGGCTGGGCAAAGTTGTCGCGGTAGCGCAGCATGGGCGCCCAGACGTTGCGGTAGAGGTTGTGCACGGCTCCTCCGGACCCGATGAAGAGGGTCTTGTGGGCGTCCCAGTGGCGCAGGGGCCGGAGGGCGGCGCCGACGGACATGTGGAAGTGCGGGTCGTACCTGTGCTGGGCCGAGATGATGGTGGTTGGGGGGCAGCCGGCCGGGAACATGCGGATCAGCACCAGGTAGGTGTCGTGGATCCAGTCGAAGCCCGGGTCGGGCCGCGAGGGGATGCCGGCGGCGGCGAGGTGCTGCTGGATGACGGGCACCATGGCCAGGTCCGGGTTGAGCTTGTAGTTTTCGTACTTTGAGGGGTGGACGTAGGCCACGGGCGACTTTCCCGGGTTCGGGTGTGCCGAGATGTAGATGCCGTCGTATGTTGTTGCCCAGTGTGCGCCCTGTGGGTGGTGTTGTGGAGCACGGGGGTCAGCTCTCGCACGCGCAGGAGACAGGGAGACAGCATGTTGTTTTGTCTTCTCTCACCATCATCACGACATGCTCGAGGCCGTTTGCCAGGGCAAGGTCGCCCATCCTCTTCCAGTAATCGGCTGAGCTGTGCTCCTCACCCAGCATCATGGTCGAGCCGTGGGAGAAGAAGTGCACCGGGGCCATCCTGCCCTGTGTGGTCTTCCCGACTGCCATCCTGCCTGGCGGTGACTCGTTGAGGGGCTTCTGATGGTCGTTTTACAGCGTGCAAGTCGCAGACACATGAGATACCCACGCAGGTATGCATTTACCAACCCGTGTTTATTAGTCGTGGTGGTATGAGACTCGACGTCTATCTAGCAGGCGAGATGGGCAAGGCAGGTGGGGCCGTTGCAGAGCCGGGAGAAGCCACCCCGGTCTTCTCGGGGGTCCGAATTAATTGCCCTCGTGCAAGATAGGGCGGGGTGGAGTGAGGCGGAGTGAGGCGGATTGTCTCGGTTTGTCTGAAGCCCTTGTGCGACGGCTTTCCTCGTCTGTCGCCATGGCAGCTGCAAGGCTGGCCCCTTCCCGTCCAGATGTCCCACCCCCCTCCACCCCCTTCCCCCCACCGTTCCGATCCCCGACCCGCATTCTTGTGTCCCCCCACCGTGCCACCACGAGACCTACCCCAGCTCTGCCCCTCCCCACATCCCACGCCCACCTGCAGGCTGCAGCAGCATCCCGGTGTTGTGGGTCATCTTCGGAGATCTGGACCCTGGCAGCCTGGCGGGGGAACCAGGGCTGAAAGCTTCCCGAGAATCGGGACGAATTGGGACGAACTAGGACAAACTCAATTCATCTCGTTTCCAAATGTCTCTGATTGTCTCGGCCAGTCTTCCGGCCACAGAACAATCCCCGAAGAGACCCCAAAGTACGCCAGAAAGTTGCAGTGAGATAGTCTATCGCTCTCTGATCAATATTGACAAAACAGACATGATTTCCACGCCCGCAGGTATCCCCAAGCCGGGGCTGGGGCCCGTCAGCGCCTGAGCTTGAGCGCGAATTCGACGCCTTTCCTCACTAGGAAGTAGGTTGAGTAACCGACCACGGGCAGAATCACAGACAAGTAAAGTGCCGCTCCCGTCAGGAGACCCTGCTCGAAGAACCCAACGCCCTTGTTGCTCGACTGCTTGACCGGCGCCAGAGGCTTGGTCGCCGCCTCGCGCAGCGCCGCCGCCGTCACGCCGCCCTTGTTTGGCCCGCCCGAGAGCAGCTCGTCTGCCTTGTGGAGGGCTGCCGCCGGCTTCCTCACAAACTGCGGGCGGGCCACCGAGAACATGTCGCGGCTGTATCGGTGCTCAAATTCTGGCGCGTGTGCCGTGGGCGCGGCCGGCCCGACGAGCAGGTGCGTGGGGATCTGGTTGATGAGCGCCACATGGCAGGGGAGGAACTGCGCCAGGTACTTGGCTGAGCCCGACTCGGCGAAGAAGTAGCCTGCCAGCAAGGGCTTCTCAAAGTCCCGGTTGTAGATGGCGTCTGTGAGACTCGAGCACGTGGCGATTGGCAGGTAGCGGCCTGTGATCTTGAGGTCCATCACGGGCGACGACCTGTTGTGAGGGGACAAGAAGCCTCGTCAGCATGGGTCTTTCTTCAGGCACTGACCGGCACGCGTACTTATCCACGATATCGACCAGCTTGAAGTCGTTGGACCCGAAGCTCGATACTTGCTCCCTTTCCTCGGCATCTTTGATAGCCCTTTGCGTTTCTCCGTCGCGGCCGCCGCCCGCCCGGTTTACGCCGCTGTCCTTGGCGAACGACAGGGTCGCATAGCGGGAGCACGCCTCGAAGAAGTCCCTCTTCACAAACTCGTTGACCAGCACCAGGTCCGGCGCGTACGGCGACGTGCCACCGAAACTGAATCTGGCGGTGGTGATGGCCCTCGCCGCGTCGTCGATGTCTGCGCTTCGGTCGACGATAGCCACGCAGCGAGCCTGCGACGAGGAGAGGAGCTGGTTTGTGAGAGTGCTCGGGGGCCCATTGGTTGTCTGATCAACTAGCACTGCATCGTCCAGAACTGACTGGTCCGTGGTGGTCTTGCTGGCGTAGAACGTGTTGACATCCAACGCATTTGTGAGTGCTTGGCGGAGCACCGAGTCCACCTGCGACGTCGTCTCGGAAAGCTACATTTTCATTAGCGCAATCACTTTACGTTTGACAGAAGAAAAGAAAAGAGAGGAAGGGAAAAAAGGACTTGTTCCGGGTGTCTCGCATGGGATGGATGCCCAGGTGGCGCTCACCTCAAGTATGATACAATTCCCTGCCGCGATCGCAGCTGCCAGCGGAGTCACGATCGAGTAGAAGCGGGTGTGAGTCGTCGGTCTTATCACCACCAGCCCGGCGCCGACTCTCCTCTCCAAGTTATCCTCGCCGCGCACCACATTGTATTCGTCCTTGAGATCCTTCTCAAAGTCCAGGCTGTCATAGAAGTGCCTTACGGCTTCCATGCCAAGGTAGAATTCGGCATCTGCCTCGGCGCTGCAAGACTTGGAGGCGGCCACGAGGGCTGCAATTACCTGGCTGGCCTGCTCGCGCAGGGTGCTGTGCAGGCGCTGGAGCTGGTCCTGGCGGTAGCGCCCGTTCTCTGTCCGCCCGTCAACGACAGAGTCCTGCAGGCGGTCAATGGCTGCTGTATCTGAGGCCATGGCAGCAGTGTTGACGAGGTTTGGGTCCGGTGTGATGTCCGTCTGAATGGGCCCTCGGAACACCACGAGAACGAGGCCGAGATGCGGGAATGGGTTGTTCGAGAAGCTTCAGCCGCGTGCAAGGGGAGTAAACAGGCCAGGTCCCAAGTGTCTTGACAGAGTCAGTCCTGGCCCTCTCCGTCGGAACCGTCGACCATGTAAAACTCCCGTTGCACGAACCGGCGGCTCCAATTTCATCCACATCATGCTAGGCCTTCCTCGTACCTGGCTGGCCCTGATCCTAGCTCTGCTCTCTCGTGGCCTCAGCTCGAGGTCGGGATGTCTGCGTCACCAACAGTTGTAGTCCGAGGGGCGGTGGCGCGGGGCGGAATGTGGGGGGGGGTGGCGTATGAAGGAAGGCGTCACGCCTGGTTTCTGCTCACACTGCTTGGCTGCGTGGGCTGAACTGAGACAGCAGCATTGGCATGCGGGCACTTCGGCGCGGCCGAGCGAGGTTCGAGCTCTCACAGCCCGACACCAGTATCAGTTTCCGCCTCGGTCGACTTCTTATCTCTCCGTGATCCGAGACATTACATTTACCCATGTCCAAACCGCTTGTGCTCACTTGACGACAAGCTCCCACATCCAGAAGCGGACAGGATGTCTGTCACCACAATAGACAACCCCGTCACCACGGCCGTGTCAAGAGCTATCCTCCAGGACTACGACATCCACCTCACGGGCGACGACACTGTAACACCACCAAACCAAGACAGCCGTCCACCGCAGCCAGCATCCACCGCAGCCAACCCGCCCGGCTGGGATACGCAGCACCGTGGTGTGCCTCCCTACAGACCCATCAACAGGGAATTGGACCTGGCCCAGCGACCATTGGGGGGAAACCCGGTCGGAGATGTCTTCATAACCACCATGTTCACCGGTGTCTTCATCAACGCGGTGAGTGTCGATCCCGCGGACAAGAGGATTTGATGAGCCCTCCCGGCCGTTGCTTCAGTTCCTGGCCTACTAATCACTGGAACAGAGTCTGAGGTGGCTGTGGGCCAACACTGGAGGGAGAGTAAATGACAAGATCTTTCATTACAAAGTCGGGGGTGAGATTTAAGGGACAGACGACGAGGCGTTGGGGCATGACGGGGGGGGCCTGCAGACAGCTACACAATAGGGGCCACAAGAATAATATTACAAAATCATATTTCCTTTCACAATACATCGGGCCATAGATCAGGACATCGCAAATTCGACTTTATCAGCAACGTCAAACAGTAGTATGAGAGGACTATGGACTCGGCATCTGGGTTCGGGGTCCACTCCACACAGCTTAACCCACCAGAACACCTGCTTGATTGCAGTCTTATTATTTATTAGGAATCGCCCATATTGCAAACTGACATTCAAAGTTGGAACATCTGCACCGAACACAAGTAAAATCATAGGCCTAATACCGTTGCAATGAAAAGACAGCAGATGCGGCCCGCGTTCTAAGAAGCATCTTCCCCGCCCCCACCCCTTCCGGGCGCCCACGCATGTTGCCGGTCTCAGGTCGCACTACGGAGTGCTCCCCTAGAGCTCCCATGAGGACGATGGCAAGCATGTCAGCTACGGGGAAAATGATTGTCTGTATTCTTCTGCGTTTATATTGATCTTGACCGTGAGATTTCTGGCAAAATAGCTAGCTCGATCTGTTCTTGCCTTCATCACAACACCACCTGTTGACTCTTGACGCCCAGCGTCTGACTTCCTAGGGTTCTATGGCGGAGGTAAAGACACCTCCCATCCGGGACATCTCCTCGGTGCACGAGGACCCGGAGAACAACCTCATCTTTCACAAGAACGTATCAATCCCACTCAAGGCCTCCGGCCTGCCTATCCGCGCCAATGTCTATCTCCCGCTCTCGCACAAGACCAATCCCGGCGACAAGTACCCCGTCCTGGTGACATACGGGCCCTACGGCAAGGACATCCCCTACGAAACCTTCTACAAGGGTTCTTTCAGCGAGGTCAACCCAGAGCACCGCTCCAAGTACTCGGCCTGGGAAACGCCCGACCCCGTCTACTGGACCCGACATGGCTACGCCATTGTCCGCGCCGACGAGCGCGGCCTGGGCCAGTCGCCCGGCCTGCTCGACACCATGAGCCGCGGCACGAGCGAGTGCTTCTTCGATGTCGTCGAATGGGCCGCCGACCAGCCTTGGTCGAGCGGCAAGGTCGGCCTGCTGGGCATTTCGTACTACGCCGGCTCGCAGTGGCGGGTCGCTGCCCGGCGCCCCAAGGGCCTGGCCGCTATTATCCCCTGGGAGGGCATGTCCGACTACTACCGCGACCGCTGTCGCCATGGCGGCATCCTGAGCAACCGCTTCATCGGCTTCTGGTGGAATCGACAGGTCCTGGTGAACCAGTACGGGCTGCCCGGCCGCTCCAAGCTGACCTTCCCGCCTGATGGTCCCGGCGCAAGGGGCCAGGAGGACACGGTCGAGGGTGACCTGCCCGAGGACGTTCTGGCAGCCAACAGGCAGGACCAGACCAAGGATAACGAGGCGAACTCGTTCCGCGACGACGACTACTACGCGAGCAAGGAGTACAACCTGGAGGACATTGAGGTGCCCCTGCTGAGTGTGGCGAACTGGGGCGGCATCCTGCTGCACCTGCGCGGCAACGTGCAAGGCTACCTGCACGCCGGGTCCAAGTTCAAGTACCTCCGCTTCATCACCGGCCGCCACGACCTGCCCTTCTACTACCACGAGGAGGTCGAGCTGCAGAAGAGCTTCCTGGACGCCTTCCTGAAGGGCGATGACCGCGTCGGTTGGAGCGTGCCAGGCAAGGTCGCGCCCGTCACCGTGACCCTGCGCAAGGGCAACGTCGGCTTCAACGACGCCGAGAAGGAGAAGGCGTACCCTAAGAGGGAGGAGGCTGCCTGGCCGCTTCCCAGCACGCAGTACACCAAATACCATCTCACTCCCGACCAAGGCCTGACCCCGAGCAAGCCCGCGCCGGAGAAGAAACAGCTGTCGTACAAGGCCCTCGGATCCCTGGACGAGCCCGAGCTCATCCAGTTCGCCACTGCACCATTCGAGCAGGAGACCGAGATCACCGGGCACCCGGTCGCTCATCTGAACGTTTCAGTAACACCAGAAGATGCCGGAAGCGAAACGGACATGGACATATTCGTCACGATCCGGCACATTGAGGCCTCGGGGCAGGAGGTGTTCTACACGGGCACGGCCGGCGACGGGGTCCCACTGGTCAAGGGGTGGCTCCGTGTCAGCCTGCGCAAGGTTCACGACGAGAACCCAAAGCACAAGGCCTGGCTGCCTCACCGCGAGTACCTCTCGACCGACGTGCAGCCCGTCAGGGCGGGCGAGGTCTACCCGGTGGATATCGAGATCTGGCCCACCAACGTGGTCGTGGGCAAGGGAGGGAAGCTGGTCTTGGAGGTCTCCAGTGGTGATACCCAGGGCGCGGCCATCTTCCAGCACAACTCCCATGTTGATCGGTAAGTCATTTCGAAGCCCTTCCGTGTCCCATGCAACTGCACGTATTGCAGATGACTGACAGGCCCCTCACAGCCCTGCCTCAAAATTCGCCGGACAGAATCACATCCACTTCGGGAATGGCCTCGAGAATTACTTGACCCTCCCAGTGATTCCCAGCAAATAGAAGTTAGAAGCTGAGGGTTACAAACCAGATTGCTGTCGGTGGTTGGGCTGGAGGATGCATCGTCTTTGCCTGCGGTTCTTGTGGACTTGGACTTGTTGTGGAATGCGGCAGTCTTCCGGTGGGGGTGGGGCACAATAAATGCTGCTATCTTGGAAAAACGAGAATTACCCCCCCCCCAGTTAAATACCCCTTATTCCTCAGTTAAACTAAAACTTTACTAATAAGGTAAAAACTCTAACATTTTTATTAAAATACCCTTATCAATTTTGTTAATGCTAGTAATAAGTTATCTTTATTACTTAATTAAATAAAAATAATACTATATTAGTTTTATATAATTAATTTAAGCCTAGCTTATAAAGGTATATATAACTTACTTACTTTAATATAAAGTAATATTAATTTAGTTAACTTTATAAATAATATTATTAAACTAATCTATTAAGCCTAAATTACTTAACACTTATTATATAAAACCTACTTAAAGAGTTAAATTATATAGTTTATTAATAAAAATACTATACTATTTAAATAGTTATATACTTAAAAGCTAACTATTAAAGTAACTAAGGTTTAGTAAACTACTTAAAAGCGCTTATAAATACTTTTAAAAATCGCTTAAAATAAAGCTACTATAATAAATTAAGTGATTTAAAGGGTGTAAAAAAACACTATTAAAGTTAATAATAAAAAGGATATACCTAATAATAAGAAAAAAAGGCTTTAAAAGGTACTAATAATAAAAACCCTTTTACTAATAAGGTGGGGTTTTTAATAAATAATAATAATAATAATATTAAGTACTTTAAAAGTTACTTAATTAACCCTTTAATATAAATATATTTAAATAAATTAGTTTTAACTTTATTTATTAAAATTTATAACTTAAAAGTTAATATTATTTTTATTATATAACTTAAAAATAAATTATTATATTAGAGAAGAAAAATAAAAATTAAAAGATTTAAGGCCTTCTATTAAATTATATTAATTTATTTAAAAATTTAATTAAAAGAAAATATAAAAATTATTTAAATATAATTATTAAATTAAAAGATATTTTTATTAAGGTTAATTAGCTTATAGGCTAAAAGTTTTTAACTTTATAGTTAAAAACTATAAGGAAAGATATTAATAAAAGAATTAAAGTGCTTAACTATAATAATATTATAAATATACTTTTTAAATTTTAAAAACCCTTCTTTTTTAATTTTTATATAATTATAAGATTATATTATTAATATAAAAGTTATAAATACTTATATTATAAAGTAATTATTTAATTAGGTAACTATTAATTAAAGTTTTTAGCTATTATTAACTATTTAATAAGTAGCTACTTTAAAAATGGCTTATTAGTAATTAGGTAGGTAGTAAATATAAATATATTTAATAGAAACCTAAACTTTAAAACTCCTTAACCTATATTAATAACTATTAAATAAAGGGTTAAAATAAAGGTAAAAGTAAACTTTATATAAAAAAGTATAAATAATTAATAAAAATATAACTATATCCTTTAAATAATTATTATAGGGTTAATTATTACTATTAAAATAAAGGATTCCCTATAATAATAGTATTTTATTAAGTAAAATAATATATATATTAATTTATTTAATAGAGACTTAAAGGATTAATCTAATATAATTATAGTAAATAATATTATAATTAGATACTTATTAAAAGTTTTTAATTATTAAATAATTTAAATAAAATTTAATAAAAAAGCTTAATAGTAATAAAATTAGCTTTATCTCTTTTAAAAAAAAGTAATAAAAGTAAAAGTAAAAAGAGAATAGTATTAATATAATTATTAACTTATTATTTAATATTAATTTATTTAAAGTTAAATATAATTAAATAGCTTTAATAGGGCTACTATTATTATTATTGCTATTAGCTTTTTTTTATAAATTTAATAGGGCCCTACTACTACTAGTAGTAATAATAATAGCGCCTAGAAGCTTATAATAAAGGTAGAAATTATTAGTTATCCTCTTATTATTACTATTATAAATAAAAGGAAATAAAATAGTTTTATATTAAAAATTTATTATAAAAGTATTTTAAAAGTATTTTAAAAATTTATTAAAGAGAATTTAACTTAAATAACTTATAAGAGTTATAAAATATAAAGGGTTTAACCTTTATAGGCTTTATAAAAAGGAGAATATTTAATTTAATAAATATAGCTTAAAAACTATTTTATTAATTAAAATATTAATTAAATTATACCTAAAAGGAAAGGAGAACTTTATTAATTTCTTTAATAATAATAATAATAAAAAAACTTATTATTATAATAAAGGCTATTAAATAGCTACTTAATAAATTGCTAAATAAATATTAAAAGTATATATTTTATAAAGTTTATAAAAATTATTTAATTAACTAATTAGCTTTATTTAATATTAGGCCTTATAATTAAATTAGCTATTTAATAAAAGAGTTAAAAGTTTATTAAAGTAATTCCTTTATTTAATAGGGTAAAAAGTTATATAATAAATTTTAAAGAACTTTTAAATAAGGAAAATAGTAATTAAATATATAAAAAATATAGTTAGTAATAAAAGTAATTAAAAAGGAAAGTTATTTATTTTAAATAAATAAAGTAAATTAAATATTTAATATTAAGTACCTAATTAATTAGGTAGATTTACTTATAGTTAATTTATTTATTTTAATTCTAACTACTAACCTAACTATTTAACTTATAAATAATACTCTTTTATTTATATAACTTTATTTAATTAAAACTTTATTAATTTTAATCCTTATAACTTTTAATTAAAACTATTATATTTATTTTATTTTATACTTTCTTTTAATATTTATATATAGTAGAAATATCCTAAATAACCTAGCTCTAAACTTAACCTTTTAAGTATAAAAAATAAAAATTAAATAAAATTTTATTTAAATTATAATTTAATAATTTATATTAATATTAATAATATAAATAATACTTTAAATTATTAAAATATACCTTAATAAAATTAAAATTAAAGGAGTATAAAGGTAAATATTTATACTTTATACTTTTATATTTATTGCTTAATTATCTTTACTTTATAATATTAAAAGTATTATTTATTATAAGGATTAACCTTAAACTTAAATATAAGTTTATTTTTAATAAAATACTTTCTTTTAGTTATTAAAGGAAAAACTCTTTTATTATATAACCTTTATATACTATAATAGTAAGTAAGCTATTTAATATAATTATAGGGAGGATATAAAGGTAAGTCCTTTACTTAAAAAGACTTTTAATCTATAGGGTATACCTAATAAGTACTTAGTCTATTCTTTTTATACTATTCTATTTATTAAAATTAAACTTATTAATAAAAATAAATATCTTTATTATATAACTTAGTTAGTATACTTATTAGAAGTAGTAATTATAGAGCTCCTTATTATATTAATAGACTAATATATATATTTATTTATTACTCTATATATAAGCTTTAAGGGTGTTATTTATTGTCTTTATAGTAATATTAATTTATAATTACTTAATAAAAAAGTACTATATTTTATTAAGGTATAGATTTAGCTTATTAAATAGAAAATCTTTTAACTCCTAGTTTATATAGCCTATATATTAGTTATACTTTATAGTATTATTATAAAAAAGTAGGTTAATAAACCTTTATAACCTATTACTTTAGCTTAATTATATTTAATAGTAATAATAATAATATATTTAAAGTAATTATATAAGTAGTAATAACTTTTTAATAGTATTTTTTAATTATAGTATAATTAATTTTAAACTTAATCTATAGCTACTTATTTAGTAGGGATAGGTTGAAGTATAAATAAAATTCTAATTATTAGAGTTTATAGCTTAATAGGTAATAACTTACTATTATTAGCCTTTCTTTTTCCTTTTTTAGGGTATAAATAGTATTAAGTATAGTGTTCTATTAAAAATATAGGGTTTTCCACTCTATCAGTGAAGTTTTAGTTTAACTAAGGAATAGGGGGTATTTAACTAGGGGGGGGGTAACTCTCGTTTTTCCGAGACAATGACCGGGGGGCCACCCTAAGGCCAAGGGTCCAGTCTACCTAGGTACCCGAAAGGTCCTCGAAGCAACGCGTGTATGAACCATAGTATAGAAAGAGAGCTCTGCGCATTAGTCTAGCTGGAGGGATTGCAGATCAAGGAGGCCAGTCGTCAAATACCTGCCGTGATGTTCATGCCGAATTATCGTCCAGAATCGTAGACACCCTTGGCAAAGGCAACAACAGTTCACGATGAGCTTCTCCAACCATTTCTCCATCGAGAACATCCCGTACGGGATTGCGACAAGCAGCAGTCACCCACAGAAAGCAGTTGCGACAAGGCTCCGCGATCACGTCTTCTTCCTCGGCGATCTGCCCATCCGAACCTCGCCAGATATCAAGCAGACGTTTGCGCAGGTGAGGAGTAGCGAGCGGGGTTGGAATGGCCCTCGGAACTGACAGGCTGGCCAATTGGCCCAACAGACGACGCTCAACGCTCTCGCAAGCATCCCCAAGGACAAACTGCGTGAACTGCGGTCAGCCCTCCAGAAGCTCCTCGCTGACGAGCAGTCCGCCGACAGGTATGGCGTGCCCGTGGAACAGGTTCAACTGCACTTGCCCATCGAGGTGAAGGGTTTCACCGACTTCTCTTGCTCCAAGCAACATCTCTTGAATGCAGGCGAGGCGTCGACGGGCCGGAGAGTGCTCCCTCCCGCGTCGGTGCACTACCCCATCGGGTATGGTGGTCGGGCAGGTTCCGTCAGGGTCTCGGGCACCCCAGTGGTCAGGCCTTACGGTGTGTATCAGCAGGACGGCGGCGAGGGCGTCACCTTGGGCCCATCGCAGGGCCTCGACTTCGAGCTGGAGATGGCAGCCGTGATAGGCAAGCCGTCCAAGTTCGGGGAGAGGGTTGCCGTCAAGGATGCCGACGACCACATCTTCGGCCTCGTGCTGTTGAACGACTGGAGTGGTGAGTGGCCCAGAGGGTCTGTTTCCCACCGTCACAATTCATTGACAAAGCGAGCGCCATAGCGAGAGACATACAGAAGCTCGAGATGATGCCGCTGGGACCCAACAACTCCAAGAGCTTCCACACAAGCATGTCGCCCTGGGTCGTCACGCTCGAGGCATTGGAGCCCTTCGAGGCCCCGCCCCCGCCCAAGGAGACGCCTGCGGCTGCATTCCTCCAGGACCCGAAGGAGAAGTCGAGCTACGACATCTCCCTCAGCGTGGATGTCATAAGGGATGGGGCTTCGACTACGGTGTGCAAGGCACAGCTGACCTGGATGTACTGGACATTCCGTGACCTCGTCGCGCAGCAGACCATCAACGGCTGCAGCGTGGACACGGGTGACCTGCTGGCGACGGGAACGGTGTCAGGGCTCGAGGATCACGAGCATGGATGTCTGCTGGAGACAACGATGGGTGGCAAGAAGAGCATCAAGCTCAGCGACGGCCAAGACCTGGTCTGGCTGCAGGATGGCGACGAGGCCAGGCTGACGGGCTTCTGCGGCGACGGCGTGGGCTTTGGAGACGTCACCGGTGTGATCGCACCTGCGACGCCTTTCGAGGCCTGATGGCCGTGGCACGTTGTAGGAGGGTAGACGAGGGTAGTGTGTAGGTCCAATCTTTTGAGTCGCACTGGTCCCAGACATGCTGCTCGGGTGGGTCCGTGACCCCACAATTTGTTGTGTATACCAATTGACACGAGAGGCCGGGTTGCCCCCGGCAAGCGGCGCATCGGCGCATCGGCGCGTTGGAAGGCCACATCTTCTTCAATTGGGACAGCTCCTCCCTCTGAACTTTCCCACAGCTCCAAACACTGCAAACACCGAGGAGCAACGCATCCGCCCTTGTGCACCCACCCCCTCTTCCCACCTGTCACTGTCTACGGCTTCGACTTCCGTCATGGCTCTTCTCAAGCTCTCGACCCTTGCTCTTCTGGCTCTCCGCGCTGCAGCTGTCTTCGCTGCCGAGGTAGATGTAAGTCAACGCTTTTTGTGTGTTGCACGAGACCCAGCGAGGAGTCGCCAGCCGCCTCCTGCTGTGCTGTTGCTGTGCTGTGCTCTGCTTCCCCTGCCTGGGACTGTCGCTGTATCTTTTCTGCTCTCAAGAATCTAACAGCCCTGCCTGTTGTAGCCTGAAGATGCGAAGGCCTCCCCCGACACCGCCAAGGAGGTTCCCGACCTGAAGATCGACATCACCACGCACTTCCCCGACTCTAGCCTTGGTGTCAAGCTCGTCAACGGGCATCCCACCAAGGCTGTCATCGAGGTCGCGAACAACGAGGATGAGGCAATCCAGCTCGCCCTCGTCGGAGGAACGCTGTCGACCACTCAGCCCCTGCCTGCGGATGCGCCCCCGATGGCCGGTGTCCTCCGCAACTTGTCTGCAGTCCAGTACAACATCGGTATCCCGGCCGGCGAGAGCCAGTCTCTGCCCTTCTCGTTCGTTTTGGACATGCAGCCTCAGGATGTTGTTGTCAACCTCCTGGCCGTCATCGCGAACCCCAAGGGTCAGGTCTTCCAGGTCGAGGCTCACAATGGTCTGGCCAGCATCGTCGAGCCTCCCACCAGCATCTTCGACCCCCAGATGTACGTCGCCCACCAGTCGAGGCCCTTGTCCTTGTGAAAACACACGTGGCTAACTGATGCGCAACAGTATCTTCTTGTACATCTTCCTGACCGGTGTCTTTGGTGGCACGCTCTACTTTGTCTACAAGACCTGGATTGAGTCCCTCTTCCCTCAGGCCAAGCGCGCTCCTCGTCCCAGCAAGAAGGGCAAGAAGCCCGTTGAAGCCGCTGAGCCTCTGTCCGGTCCCGAGTCTCCTGGCGTTACCACTGGCGCTGACAAGGGTTACGACGAGACGTGGATCCCCCAGCACCACGTCCAGCGCCCCGCGACCAAGCGGACCAAGTCCAAGAAGGCTACCGAGTAGGGCTCGTCAGTCACGGCGAAAAAGACCAGATGGGACAGGCGCCTGAAGACAAAAAGTCAACTCACAGGTGACTTGTGAACAGCTCGTCGCATAGAAAGAAGTTCGCTTCACATGGACTCGGCTGGGTTTCTGGGAGATGAATATCGGGTGACAATTGGTCTGGGGCAGACCGCGCATTACTACCGGGACATTGTACAGTATAGCATCAAAGCGTCGTTATGCGTGCTTGCGCGGTGTCGCAGCCGTTAACTTTTGGAGCACTACACAATGTATTCTTGTGCTGTGTAGTCACTGTCCGATGCTTCACATGCATATTTGTACCATGACGAGTAATGCACACAATACTGCGCCAAGTGTGCCTTCTACACCCGAACTACGTTATCGACTACTTGGCCTTTTTGAAAGGCTGCAATCGCAGGGAGGGAATCGCCCAATAGGTTTTACAGTCAAGAACGGGTTATGCTCTGTGATGCCAGCAGATGCCATAACTGACACGTTAATGCCGTGTGGGAGTTGTGCTCTCCCTATGTCAAGACCACCCAGAGGAGCCAAGGATTCCTCGCCGCAGCCACCGTAGTGCAGATTCAAAGCCCCATGCTGAAGACAAAGCCAAGACGCATTTCATACACATGGCTCAATTCGTCATCTTCTCCGCGCCTTCATGAAGAAAAGCACAAGCGGCCGAGTAGAAGTGAAATGTGGCCGGAGGACGGTCACAAAAGTAATGCAGAATGGAGGTTTAGTGATGGGTTGGTCACACCATCACCAACAAATATGCATCGACTCGGCTCGCCCCCACTGCATTTGTCTCTGATGCAAGTTCTCCAGGTAGCATCGATGTCAACGGTTGATCCGGGGGACATCGCAACGTGTCGCAGCTGTGTCAGCATCACTTGGCTTCAAGGCAGCAGTTCTCCATCGCATTTCACACATGCCGCCATGAGACACCCGAGAGCCCGGGCATGTATTTTTTCGGTCGGGAAGGTGGTTGATTCGTGGTTTCTCTTGAAATGATTTTTTGTTCGCAATTCCAGTGATCCGGGACTCCCTTTTCTCTAGAAACACAAGACCTCGAGGCCCCTCAGATGATGGTGGCGTCGCTCATTATGCGTGAATGAGGCGGGTCTCCCTGTCTGCCCCAAAAGAACTCTTCCCCGTGCCAGATAGCCGTGGCCATGGCCCTTTTCCGGTCGTGACCGGTCGTCCCAGCTAGATGGTGCTTGCGACCGACTCCCGATTGCCCTGTCCCGCCGTTTCGCCTGTTCTGTTGCTTATCGGAGACGTCTGGCCTCACGCTCGGACTCGAGCAGGCAGAGAATGTCGTTCTCGCGGACTGTGAAAGGCACAAACATCATGTCAGTACTCGTGGCCCCTGTACCGGCTATTCCAGGCTATAGAAATCGGTCTTCCGGGGCTGGGGCTTGTTCGTACCGGGTCCCTTGACGTTTCGGATGATCGATCGGGTCTGGTCGTCCATGAACTCGACGCGAACCTGGGTAACACCACCACGAGATCCTGTCGTCCAGCAAAGAAGCAGATTAGCCATCGCCCGGCAGTTTGCGACTGCTTGTTCTCGCACAGAGGTCAGGGCAGGTGTTGCGTACCGGTACGGCCCAGGACACGGGTGACCTTGACCAGCTTGACGGGCTGCTTCGATGCGTCCATTTTGGTAGATTTGTGGAATTCCTCGCGCTGAGATGAGAAATCGGGATCGAGTTCGGCGGGTGGTGATGTCGAGGGCGTTGATTGACGAGAAGGGCGCGGGGATCAAAGGTGGATATCAAGGCTCAAGGCTCGCTGCTGGAGGCACTGGGTAACTTTTTTGGTGCGCTCCGGTCGTGCTTTCCCTCGGCGAAAAGTTTTCGCTCCTGCCGGGCTGCTAGTGTTTGGAGTTTGGTTGGCTGGCAGTCCTGGCGTGTTGTTGAAAAGTGGGTCCCAGGCCGGTCATCATTGGCTCCCCCAACCCCCGAAGTACATACGGAGTATCTGACCCGACTGGGGACGTAGTAGAGAAGACTGTCCGGGTGGGCTTCTATCAATCTGGGTATCTACAGTCCTCCAAATTCACATATTATCTCGCAGCAGCCGCCCAACAATATTGTCATGTGGAGTGGATTGTTCTGCATGGCTCCCAGACCGTTCCAAGTAATGGGAACCACCCAACAGGCCACGTCTGCCTAGATCTGAGCGTCCCATCTTACAAGGCTGCATTGCGAGGTCTGACTGTTGATTCCACTTCCAATCACCCAGGCCACGAGGTTGGACCGGGTTCACCACCGCATCCGCGAACTTGTTCAGCTGAGGGTCGCAAAAGCACAGGGGTGCTTCGGTCTCAATAATGCAGGCCTGGAGCACCATCAAGTCAGTACCAGTGTGAACCAAAATCTGAGGAAGCTGGGCCTCTTCGAATGTATCGACGACAATGACTCTACCGGTAGTTCTCTTGCTGTGTGGAAGCAGAACGCCCGTCTCGCCGTTGGTGCTCGTCAGTATCTATAGAAACGGCCTTTGACCTTCTGAAATCATGTCACGTCAGGCGTCTCCCTAGAGCGCATCAATACTTTTCCTTCTAATTGAGAAATTTGAGCTACTGTTAGTGCCAGACTTCCAAGGTTCCCACTGAAATATATGGCCAAGGCAGCTTTAAGTGTGATCCAGCCTCATGCGGGATGTAGATGGCATTGAAGCAAAACAAGATCGGTGATATACACAATCATTGAGGCCCACGGCACAAGGACACTCCAATTGGGGACGGTCGATCTGGCTTTGAGGTACTGGTTAGAATTCCAACCACGGAACGGACCGGGCCACAGTCCGCGAAGCAATCGAAGCTGTCCTGGACGCGGGTGAGGGTGAACGGGCGCGCCCCGAGAGAGCCCATAGCATTACTTAAGTAGGCGCTTGACAAAGTGGCGGCGTCGCGGCAGATGGTTCTTCACCCGTCGGGCCGCCGTCATCCAGACCTAGGTACCCACAGTACATATGTATGAGGAGCAGGCGGAGAGTAACTAGGCGGCCGCTCTGAGCTCATTCTTTGAAAAGTTAGAAGCGTCGTAGCTCCGCGAAGCTTTAACCGAGCCATGATCTGGTCATCGCCCTTCTAGTTGTTAACAAAAGAAATGGAAATTACGGAAGCACCTCGTCATAACACTTCAGGGTGCTCTCTAATTTGGTTGTTGGGGAATAAAGCACATGGCACCATCAGCAAGGATCACTTCCCAAAATGTCGGACATCGCCATGACGGACACAATATCCTCTTGTGACCAGGGATCATGAGTCGAGGCGGCCTTACAACATTGAATCAAGCCCGACAATAACACGCGGCAAGTCTGATGCGCGACCTGGTCTTGCTGTAGATCACATCTGATATCATCAACACAAAGGCGACAGCTAACAGCATAGCAAATGAGGAGCGTTTCACTGGAGCTATGCAGCTGAAGGGAACACACGCCAATCTTCCCCTCAGAGCTTATTCTCAACTGACACCTTGGCACGTACCGATCATCGTATCTGGCATGCCTGAAGGGATTGTATTTAAGCACTTGATTCTGGAGCGTGTGATCCCATCCCGCTATTGCAGAGTTCTCATTTCGCCCGTCATGTGTCATGTTTCAAGTGCTACTCACATTTGCCATGGTTGTGCCGGATCTATTTGCTCTACATAATGCCCAGGAGTGCCCATGTAAATCGGCAATACTATTTTCCCACGAAGGATTCAAGTTTATGTCAGCATTGGTCGGCTGGGGCAAAATGTCCATACGAAGCCCCGCTGCAATGGAATTCAACGCGGTCCGGAGATTGAGCATCGGTGTAAGCAGCACTAAGGCGGCATTTCGCGCTCCAGGTGACCTCGGCTCGGGCTCAAATGGTTGAGTCTTACAAGGCCTTATCTGTTAGCAATTATGGCCTGGCTCCGTGGATTTCAATCGGACTAGACCGTATTGCGGAATTGCCGCTTGTAATCCTACAAGCTTACTAGGCCGCTGTGAAGGATTCTCTTAGCCCGCCCGCGAACCCACTTTCTCCCGCACTTTTCAAGCCCCAACCCGGGAGTTCTTGACATCTTCACTGCGTACAATCTTACTGACCATGAATGGCCTCCAATTGGGAACTCAAAAGTGGGGACATGTGGTCTGAAGAGCAGTATGCTTTTGGGGCGCAATGCGGGTGCTTCGGAGCGGAATGCGTCAGTTAGAGCAGGACGAAAGGGACTCTAAGCAGAGACCAGGTCGCATATCTGGCCGTTCACACGTTATACAGTTGCTGTGCCCATTTGTGGATTATTAAACTGGAGCCTAAGTAGTGTACAAAAGGACCACCGTGCATCAGGGATGCGGTGTGTTAGGATCATCGTAACAACCGGACAGTACGTCTTCTGACCCCTTTCAGTCAGGCCTACTGCATGCCGAGACAGGTTTTTGCCCCCCTGGCCAGTAAGATCTCATCTTCGCCGACCAACTACATCAAGTTCTTCCAGATTACCTCGATCGGGATCTGTCAGTCTCTCTGTTGGCTCATGTCGATGTTGGCTTGGATGAGCTGGCCGAGTACTCTTGTGGGCCTGTGGTACGCCACAGGTTTTTATTATTTCTGTTCCCTTTGAATCTCATGATTTTGAATCTTCTCAGCAACAGAGACATCTAAAGTGTGCGTCTTCCCCCTCTCTTGTGTGACAGAGTCGCTGCCGCCTCCCTCATCAAGGTCCCCCTCTGTCAACACACGACAGCGCTTATTAAGAAAGTCTGCCAGCGGGCGATCACCTCAACTTCCTCACCTTCGGTACGGGCCTTGACATTAGTACCTGAACTGTCAACGACCTTGAGATGGCTCCCAAATATGGTGTTGTTCACGGTGCGTCCATGTTTTAGTTGAAAGACGAAAGCCATTGGCCATGCAGTCATATACTAAGACAAACATGGATCAGGTGTTTTCCAAGATGACAACCGAGGATACTTTTCCTCGAATTGTGGACAGAGCTTTTCGACAACTACAGCAACAGATTCTCGCATTGGATCCCAGGAGGCACTGAGACTATTTGAAATCAAGTTAGCCAAGTTGAAGCAAATGGGCAAACCAGAACAAAGCATGGACAATTTTTCACAAGTAAGATTCTTTCGACGTTAAGGTTCGGCCATGACCAATCTCTGACCATCACCAGTCTGGACAATCCCAAAATCAGGGACAGAAGCATGCTCAGAAATGATACCAGATTGAATCTCATCACCATGAACATTTAAAATAATTAAATGTGGCCAACGCAAGGACTTGAAAGGCATTAGAACCACATAGCACTGGGGGGGGGGATGATGTTACCTAAGTACATATGTAGCCGACCCTCTTCGGCTATCCCATTTCAACAACTTTTCATTATTATATGTGTACATCACCACAAAGGAAGCAACCGCTCCCAACTACGATCTGATGTGGATGTAAGTGACGTTGGGTTGCTGAAATGAGATTGCAGGGTCCCCTGTACAAATCGATACTAAAATTATCTTCCGAAGTGGTTGCACATGGGACAAGAACGTACATAGGAGCCTAAAAAACAAATGCGGCAAGCCGCCTGGGCATTCTCAAGTTGGCTAGCTGTAATCTCAAGGCAGGCATGGTCTATCGCTTAAACGTTAGACCCACCAAAGTTACCAGGATATACTACCACATACCCAGGTAGTTGTCTGGAAGCATCGCCTGCAGTGGTGATAAGGAGTCAGTCTTTCGATTGAGTTCCTGCTTTGCCTCAAATTGCTGTATCATGAGGCTCTTTGCCAGAGCAGAGTCATGTTACATCCTATACAGCATGTCCAAGTGGTGGCTTCGTTCTAAGGTTCGTAATCCGTACACAAATATACATATCGAAGACGTCCAGCCCCTTCACACAGTAGGAGACACTCAAAGACCCAGTATCTTAAAAACGCACAATGTCACTAACAGTGTAAGAAAGACTGATCATGTGGTCTCAGCCTAATGTAGATGAAAATGTCTTGCAACTTATATACAGACCACAATTATGTCGTGTCTGGGCACATAGCACTTGAGAGTCGGTCGTTAACATCAGGTGCCCGGTGTAATGCTCCTCAACAAACGTCAATGAATGATCTGTTGACAACGACCTTGAATTACATACCTTGCTGATATACTCTCCAGCCAAGATTTTGACTGTAAAAAGGATTTCAACAGGCGAAGCACCTAGGTACCTAGGTAGTTACTGTATAGGAGAATATTACATGTGTATTCTACCCTCCAGGGCTTTCATAGCCGGTGATATCCTGGTCGCACATTTTGTGGTATCTTCTTTTCTAAGATCACGAAAATGACTAGCGCGTTACCTAGACACATATGTCGTCAGTGAGATTCGATCTACCCATTCTGAGAACGGGAGAGAACTTGAGACAGGTATAGCATGGCTAGAACTTAGAGCACGCATTTCTCGGCAATCTATCAAGATTACGTACCTACTTAAGTAAGTATCTATCCCTCAACACCAAGGCCACCGGTTGACATAGGACAGACGAATCTCAGCACATTTTACAAGTGCTTCTCTTAATAATAAGATCACATGAAAGATATAATTAGGTGGGTCTCCTGTGGATGTGTAGCATTCACATAAAGTGCAATAATTTGTCAGATGTCGGGGTGCGGTGCTCCTCTTTGTCAAACAATAGCAAATGCACGCTTTTAGAACAGTAACACAAACAAATAAAACTACAAGGGGGGCTAAAATGCTGATATTATTAAGAAGATGTCCATCAAATAGGATGTTTTCCCCACCCCAACTGGGTCATGGCCGTAGTGAAAGGCACTTAAATAGCATATGAAAGATGAAATCCACCCGGGAGCCAAAATTTCACCATCAATCAAGGTCGGAAACCTTCCTTACACTGGCCACATCGATTGCATGTCAGCAGAAGATTAACCCGGCAAGGTGCTCAGGCTGCTCAAGAGACACTTACGCATAGACTGACTGCGTCACCCCCACAGGTCTCGGAACTCGTATCAGCTGCGCAGACATACGAGACACCGGTTGTTGGATCGTCGTAGACCTCAATATTTTTGGTGCCCAAGGCACAGAGAAAGTATTGGGAATCACACGGGCCAATGGCGGTGTTGACTTGAAGGCTCTGGAGAGTCTTGCAGGTACCGTCGTAGATGTTATCTAAGCCGTGTTAGAGCCTGAGATGCGGATTGGTGGGAATAGCCCAGGTGCAGGTGCCGTAACGGGACAAGCTATGGAAGCCCCTGGCTGGCCGGGATGAAATTGTGCGGAAATCCGGGGACGGCCTTACATTGTGTAGAACCGGTTCCAAGGTCCTTTGCGGTACCGATGGCGAGGGCGGAGCCGGTGCAGACTGCGTGGGCGATGTCAAACCCGCCCAGCATGGCAACAAAAGCGAGAGAGAGTGTGGACGGTCTCATGTTGGCTGGTGGCAATCAATTACGCTTGAATGGGTCCTCAGCGGAATGGAGAGGATGTCCTAATAAGTTTGCTACCGTTCAATGTTCGAATGTTTCAGTGGCGATGACAGGCTCGACTTTATATAGCTTTGGGCGCTGTCTAATTGCCCGCGTCACATTTGAAATGCTGCAAAGGCAGAAGGGCTTGCCCAGCTTGCCCAGGTGGTCTCATGCTCCACCTCCTCGCTGCTACCCTCAGGGCTGATACAATCGCCTTTCCCTTTTCAGTAAGTGATCTCGTATCACACCGTCGTCTGCTCGGGAAGAAGTTTGCTGTGCTCACGCCGTCGTGGTCCCTGCATGTCCAATTTAAGCCACAGCATTCCAGCGTTATTACAGGCCAGGTCCGATTGGGTAGCGACCAGGCACGGTGCCCCTTTCCGCTGCAGTGGCTGGCGGCTGCTTTAGTGGGAAGCGGCTAAGACGGCAAGCGAAATGCTTGTTTCCCGCCAAAAAAGCTTGTCTCGTCCCGAGTAGCTTGGGGGTTAAGACACGGCTCGTGTCCATGCTTTGTACTTAGTAGGCTTCAGGGCCTTAGCCGCGGACTGAGCGATGGCGTCGTCTGAGCTTTGTGGAAAAGGAGAGGTCGCCAGTTCCTGAATGATCCTCTCGACTGGAAGGGTGTCGCTGCGCACATGTGCACCCGAGCTGACGAAGGGTACCACATTAATAGCCCCGGAAATACGGGGCAGACCATGCACGGGAACCCTCGGTCGGGAAAGTCCCTGTTCCTTGGATCCCAATGCGCCGGGCACTTGAGCAGATGACCGCGCCCCAATCGGCCGGTTGATGCAACTCGAGCTTGGACCTGAGCTGCCTGACCGGGACCACATGCATCTTGTCATGGCTTCAGGGGCCTGTACATAGTAGTAAGACTGTCCATCTCTTCCGTGCACTAGCCAATACTCAGGTAGCGATATTCCAGCCACTATGTTCATCAAAAGTTTATGAGTGCTTGATCCAACCTGAAGCACACCTGGGCATGCTGAGGATTGATCCACGCACACATGAGGCCATGTACATCTATTATCTGAATCTAACAAACAGAAGCAATTCTGGCTGGTGTTTATTGAAAGAATTCCTATAAACTCTGCTCCTTCTGAGAACTGTTGATAAGAAAAAAGCTTGACATGACCAAGACTCTCTCTCTCTCCCACGCCAGCATTTCTGTCTCCCAGGGTTTAATATGCCCCTAGGCTTCTCACAGGGCCCACTTCTCTAGAGGCTCCTTGCTGCAGTGAGCCTCAGCTGGAATCTACTTGAGTATCTCACCTAAGGCCTTCCCTTAGGTCGATGAACAGTTGCTGATGTCAAGTGTCATGTGCATAATTCTAAGGCAACATGTCCTTCCCGAACAGAGCACAAGTATCCATATGGAAATCTGTCTGCTTGACTTGTCTTCTTGGAATCTTTCTCTTCTCCTTCCAACCCATAGTTCTAGATCAATCACTTTGCCAAGCTCCTCAGTGGCTCTGAGTATATCTCCTGACCAACATATCCCATTTACACAAATACTAATAACATCCCCAGCCTACATTCCAACAGTCCCTTAAATCCAACTATCTCCTCCTTTAACCACCCTTTTACCTTAACCCTATCTATATTATTACTATAATTTTATCTTCCTTAATAATTAAAGTCTTTAATTAATTATTTTTATTATTTTTTTTAAATATTTATTTAACTTTAATTTAAGTTTATTAAACTATTTTAATATTTATAAATAATTTATTTAAATTAAATTAAACTTTTTTTTTAAATTATTTTATTAATTTTTAATTAATATTTTAACTTTTAAACTTTTTTTATAAATATTATTAAATTAATATTTTTTAATTTTAATTTTTAAAATTTTATAAAAGAAATTATTATATAAAATTTAAATATTTATTATAAATATATTTAACTATTATATTATATAATTATTATAATTATTTAAAAATTTTAAAAATAATTTTTAAAATTAATAAAAATATTATTTAATATAAAAATATATACTACTTTATTTAATAATAACTTTTCTATTTTTTATTTTAATACTTTATTAATTTTTAATAAAATATATATTAAGAGTTTTATATTTAAAAATAATTATAAATTAATTATTTATTATTTAAATTAAATATTTAACTTTATAAAAGTTTTAATATATATTTTATAATAATAATAAAAACTTTTTTATAATTATTAATAAAAATTATAATTACTTTAATATTATAAATATTTTTAAAGATAGTTTTAAGTAAATTAAAAATTAATATATTAAATTATTAAAGTATATATAAATTAATAATTAATAAAAAATAATATAGATATTATTTAAAAGTATTTCTATATAAAGTTAATTATAATATATATATAATATTTATTAATTATAAAAGGTATTATTTAAATAAATTTTTAATATAATTTAAAAGGAAGACTTTTTAATTATTTAATTATAATAGATTTTTATTTAACCCTTTTTATTATTATAAACTATTAATTTATATAATCTTTAAGGATTATAAAAATTATTACTATTATATATTTAATTTTTAAAATAATAAAAGAGTTTAAAACTTATTTATAATAGATATATACTTTATAAAAGATTTATATATATAAATTAAAGTTTTTAAAGTAACTTACTATTTTTAAATAGTTAATTATAAATATTATTTTAAACTTTTTTATTAATCCTTTTTATTAATATTTTAATAATTATTTAATTTAATAACTTTTATAATAAGTAATTATATTAAATTAAATTATATAAATATATTTTTTATTATTACTCTTAATTATTTTATTTTAATTTATTAATATTTATAACTTTTAAAAATAAAGTAATAAATTAAAAACTTTTAACTATTTCCTCTTTAATAAAAAAGTATTAAAAAAGACTATTTAACTTATTAAAACTTATATTTCTTAATAAATTAAAGTATATTTTAAACTACTTTAATTAATTAAAATAATATTAATTAATTTTTTAAATATTAAAAAAGTTAATAAAATTTATAAATAATAAATTTACTTTATATATTAAAAATAATTATAAAATATAATATATAAAATATATTAAATTCTAAAAACTTTTATATAAATATTTTATCTTTAATTACTATAAGTATATTATAAATCTTTTTTTATACTTTTTATAATAATTAAAATAATATTTTAAAAAAGTTTAATAATTAAAAAAGAATTTCTTATAAAATTATAAAGAAATATAAATAAAGTAAAAATAAATATATATATATATAAATATAAGTATAGAGTAGTTAGATTTAAGGGACTATTAGAATGTAGGCTAGGGATATTACCTATCTATTTAGGTAGGTAGGTAGTTAGGCTTACTAATTAATTTATTGCAACTGTGGAGTCTTGGTCTACTCACTGAAATATAATTGACATTGGAGAATACCCTAGGGCACCAGTTGCAGGCCCTGTGAGTAGTATTCTTGAAAACCCTATGTATAACTCCAAATCAATGAACTTATATGGCCTGGTATAGTTGCAATACTAATGTGCGTCAAGGAGGAAAACCAAGCAAGATAACTTCAGAAGGCAGCAGTGCCAAAGCTTCATTCTATTGGACCCCTCTTAACGCTGTTTATGACTTGAAACCATAGGGAAAAGATCTCCCTGCTAGAAACTGAAGACAAGACAGCTGAAACTTTCACAAAAATTCCCGTGGTGGGGGCAAGCCCTCTTCTGTGAAGGTTACTTGCTGACATGGTATTAACTGAAGCCCAGAACTAGATGTAGGGTCAAGAACGGCACTGTCATAATCAACTGGCAGTGGGAAGTAAAAAGGACTCGAGATCTCAGTCTCTTTGGTCGCTGACTGAGTGCTGTCTAGGGATGACTCAGTAGGAAAGGAGAAAAGACTTTTGCTCATGAAATGCCTGTTCGGGTAATTGCTCCTTCTGGCTGCCCCAGGGCGTGTTTGAACTCAGCAACTTGTTCCATGTTCTGTCAAGCCCGAAGCAAGACCCTTACACTCCTAGGTACCTAGGTACTTGAGTGCCTCCCTCAGTAGGCTAAGTACTTAAGTAGACAAGAAACTGGGCGGGGCACAGAAAGAAAAGAAGCTCCAGTGCTGGAAGGGACGTACCCCGTACCCAGGCATCGTCTCCTGGCGCTAGATGTGCTTCCAACAAGCTCTTTTACACATTGATCTGCACCAGCCCACCCTTCCTCAGAAACATCAAACCAGGACATCACGAGGATTTGGCAACTAGAAACCATCTCGACCAACAAAGGAACTCAAACAGTTGCCATGATGGTGAGACCATCAATTCTAGTCGTCATGAGACTTGTCGCCCTGTTGTGCATCTTGGTTGGTGCGCTCGTGGATGCCATCCCCGCTGGCGCGAAAGGTTTGTTTTCAGTCTTGCCTGCAAAGCCTCGTCACATACTCACCGTTCGTGTTCATTCTAGTTCGGGCGCAACACAGTCGAGCTATGGACACCGCTACACCTACACCTTCTCTGGGAGGAGCTTCCTGGGAGCGTATCACGGAGAGCCAGGTTGTACAAACCATGACTGTCACGGCCGAGTCGACCACCACAGTCTTTGATGGGGTGTCATCCGCTTCTACAACCACTTCAGCCTCATCATGGGCACAACCTTTCCAGCCAACCACCTTTGTGGACACTATCTGGGTTACACCACCGCCTGTCCTCAGCACAACTTTAGTGACTGTTACAACTGATCTGGTTCTGTCATCTGATGGGTCATCGGACGTACAAACTTTGACCTTGTCAATCTCTACGCTGGAATCATCACAGCCTGGATTTTCACAGACATCCTCTATGAGTTCCATGACGAACAGTGGGACGTCTTCTTCTCCAAACATGTCTTTTTCGCAGATTTCCCATGAAACAGGACAGTCTAGTACTACAGCTTCGACCGAAGCCAGCTCACCAGACCATTCATCAAGTGCTCTGGTGACATCTGGCTCGAGCGATGAGATGAGCAAGAGCGAGGAGCCATCCCTTTCGGGGACATTGACCAAGGATCCTTCCTCGTCCTCTGTTTCTCCTGCCCCAACTTCTGGGTCGAGTCAGCAAGAGTCTCCTCAAATCACAACTACCCAGTCTTCCAGGAGTTTGTCTTCTTCTGCCGTCTTGAGCGACAGCCCCTCCACCAGGAATACAGACACCATACCGAGCTTATCATCAGCAACAGAGACGTCAGCAACAGAGACGTCAGCAACAGAGACGTCAGCAACAGAGACGTCAGCAACAGAGACGTCAGCAACAGAGACATCGGCAGACCAGCAGTCACCGACAACTCAGCCTTTGACTTCAGCAACAGAGACGTCAGCAACAGAGACATCAGCAACAGAGACATCGGCAGACCAGCAGCCACCGACAACTCAGCCTTTGACTTCAGCAACAGAGGCATCAGCAACAGAGACATCGGCAGACCAGCAGTCACCGACAACTCAGCCTTTGACTTCACAATCCTCTGATACAGCACGAAGCAGCTTGACCTCAGCCGTGTCATCTATCTCTGCGGGCCAGAGCCAGAGCAGTGGAAGCAACAGCATGACGCTCACCAGCACCTCCGACAGCCCTGTTTCCACACAAGACATTAGCTTCGAGGGCTTTTCCTTGTCGAATGTTACTCTCACTGTTGATGGGGTAGACTACCATCCACCACTTCCCGGTCAAGACCCTTTGGTAATCATATTGAGCGATTCCTCAACAGCCACGATCACCTCATCGGCCATCACTCGAGATGGTGTATCTCTTGCTATTCCAAGCTACCAGGAGCTTAGCCAGAACGGTGGCTCCTCAAGCCAGCAGCTGTCTTCTTGGTCCGTGCAGTTTGGTGCGAGACATTTCCAGCCTTCAACTTGTTTCCTCGGCATATTTGGGTGCTTCCTGCAAGCCCAGGCGGATTTCATCAGCGTTGCAAGCTCAATCGGGGACGCTTTCCTCTCGATCGCGGCTAGAATGATGCAGGCCGGTATTGTCGATGCTGCCACCGCCGCTGGCTATGCTTCCGAGGCCAGCAGTTACAGCGTCACCGCGAACTCCATCCTGGATGGCTTGAGCAATGCCCTGTCCGGACTTGAGGGGGCAGCAGAGGCGCTGGATGGCGCTATGCAGGCAGTCAATGAGAATCTGGCATCCTTTACCTCTATTGAGCTACAAGAGCTGACTAAGGCTGGTCGCATTTTCAGCTCCTATCCTGAGGTGTCGTTAGCGAAGGGAATGTTCAGCAACCTCGCGAACATAATGAACCTTGTCGGAGCAAACTCGCCTGATGTAATCCAAAGTTTATGGAACCTTTGCTCGGCCCAATGGTTACCGATCACTGCAGGTGGGGCATTGGTCACAAGTGTCTGGGTCCTCAATGAGATTGGCGCTGGGGAAGAGACCGAGGAAGAACCAGATGAGGAGCGGGTACATTTCATTCTACTCGAACAGGGCTTCTCTATCCCTATTTTCCAACTCTGGACGTTTACACTAGACGAAGGTAGGGGGACCAAGACCGCTACTGATGCCTCTGTCAACGATGATCTGACGCAGAGGGGGCTTGAGCCTGCGTACGGCCCAGGGTATACGACCTGGATCACAATACCAAAGGCAAGGATCATCCGGGCACTACCATTCGTGCGCATAGTGTACATGCACCCGACTTTCGATCAGAAGAAGAGATGGGGCCTTCAAGTTATTTTTGAAGATTCTGAAGGAAGCGAGGGAGGCTGGGAAAGCGGAGAAAGCAAGGCAGGTCAAAATCGCCCCTTTGAAATGGCATTTGCTGCCACTCGAAAGCGCGAGCTTGAACAGAGTCAAGCACAGAGAAATCTAGCAGCATTCTCCCATCATAAGGGCGTGGACGACCAGTTTACGTACACAAGAGACTCGTCTGGGGGCGAAGGCGTCACCATTTTTGTTACGGATAGCGGAGGTTCCATTGATGGGCCTCTTTGGCAGGTAAGTCAGACATAAGGTAGGGGATTGCTGCGCGAGACTCATACTGACGAGATATAATAGAGCGAGATGCACAATCCTGAGTGGTACTTCGTCTCGAATGAATTAAGTTTGCCGAATGTCCCGGAGCAATATCGCGCCCCTGCAGACATGACCGACTGGTCCGGTCACGGAACCTCTATGGCATGCCTAGCTGGTGGGCATACGTACAGTCTCGCACCCAGGTCCAAACTGTATCTCATCAAGCTTACAAACGCATGGCTTGACGACAGCCATGTTATATTAGGGCAAGATGCTACCTGGGTAAGCAACTTCTCAACTTTTACAATTTTCACTCATTCAAGTACAGACAAGACACATTTTTTCAGCCTATAAAACAAAGCTTTAGCTTTTGAGACAGCCCATGGCCGCCTTGTGTCCAATCCCCTGATATGTTACTATGAAGTCACTTCTTCGGTTCTTTGATAGCTAACTCCCAAGATTGCAGATACCGGATATAGGGACCCCAGATGCGCTACACGACGGCTACTTTCATATTGTGCAGACAGTCAAGGATCGGGGACTGCATGGAAGATCAGTCATAAGCAATTCAAACGGTGAGTTTTTGAAGTATCAGAATGACCAGTCTATTTCCCCAAAAGTGTTGGGGCTAACATGGGATCGTTCAGGCTACCATTTCTCGCGTTACCTCAACGACAGGTCGACATGGGAGTCTTTCGCTGGCCGCAGGTACCCTCCATTGGAAGAAGAGGATGTGGAAGACATGATGAACGACTTGTCTGAATACCTCAAAGCCGTGAAGACTGTCCACGACGATATCGAAAAAGCAGCCAGGTCGAATGGCATCATCTGGGTCCAATCTACAGGGAATCAAGGCGCTTACCCTCCTGGGCCTGATGACCCGAGGATAGTCCCAGACGTTATCGCGGGAATTGGAGATATGATTCCGCTGTTCGGAAGTACGAGCGACAGCGAGATGATTACCGTTTCGGGAGCCCTCGAAGACGGAACCCTCTGGCCGGGAGCGTGTCCCAGGGGAGTCCACGTGGGAGATGTATTCATACAGGATGATAACGACCCCAGACTGCCAGCGGGCACAAGCCTTGGTTGGATCGATGTTTATGCGCCTGCATTTGAAATACCTTCATGTTCGATCCATGATGGGGTGGTGACGATGAATGAACAACAGACAAGCGGTGCTACGGCTCAAGTGGTAGGTTCCGGCTATTTTTTCTTACCCCATCCCCCTTTGGTGTGAATCATCTCAACCAGCATCAGGAATTCAGCCTCCTAGTTCGAGAGCCAGAGAGCACACCATTTTGAACAGTCAAATTGTTAACACATGCGGCGAAATAGGCTGGCTTGACCGCATACTTTCTAGGCTTGCCGGAAAACGCGGAGAGATTCGCCTGGAGTGATGAAAGAAACCAACATGTGCCCTGGGGAGTGCGGATGAAGCAGTACATGACGGCCCTCTCCTACCAGTGGACGGACGGGCCCGCTGGGGTGATCCAAGCACAATGGTTGGGGAGGCTGCCGTTCAACCTCCCCAGCATTGTGAATATGGCCTATAACGGCGCACACGGGCCTATGAATACTTGTCCAATGCCGCCAATCAAGATTCAAGACGAGGGAACAATGACGGTAGACGCGGAGCCGTGTCTCCCTCATGCAAATACGAGTCAAGTTACCAGTTGGGACTCGACTTGGACTCCGAGCTCGATTCGGCCGACCGATCATTCCTCGGCATGGACTACGATGACAACACTTTGGCATATCAGCTCCGTCACGGCAATTTCAAGTTCTGAGGAAGTCACCGAGTCGGTGTCTCCGTCCCAATCCACAACGCAGGCTTCCTTCGCGCTGACTCTTACCACTTCCCTCCCTATAACGCGCACAGCATCATTCACCTTGACTATTGGGAAAGGTACCGTCCCTCCGAGCAGTTCCATAGCATCCGAAACGTCGGTCAGCACTTCGGTTGCCACGAGTGAGCTTGGGTCCAGTTCAGCGACGGCATCTCCCTCATCTCTTCCGAGCAAGACCGAAACACCAGAAACTTCAACAGTGGAGCCACCTCCCGACCCAGAGACAACTACAGGCCCAGTATACACAACAACGATAGGCTCTGAATGCTGCCCGTACTACCCCAGGTGCTGTCTGAACCCTCACGGTGATGGATGCGGCACCTTTGCGGCACCAACCTTTTGTACTGTGGAACCTTGGGACATGCCGCCCTGGTGAGAGCGCAGAGAGCGCAGCACAGCTTGCTTATACGAGATTGATGGTTCGACGGACATGTGGTCCCTTCGAATATTTTTCAACCACTTTGCTGCTGAAGTGTACAGTACATACTTGTCTAGTTTTCGGACATAGATCTGTGTGCCAATGAGAAGAATGAAACGCACTGTCGGCGAGAAAATCGTAGTGCAGCGTGCTCATGTTGTCGTGCCCGAAGGTGCATCAAATTATCAGACATGCTATCGGTCGCCGTGTGGCCTACTTCTTTTAAACAAGTGCCAGTGATGAGCGGCCCCGGCACAGCACCGTATATGTGCGATAAACTGCTCGCGCGTGCTACATGCGTCGCCCATACATGCTCGACACGTAAAGCTCTCCTGAATGTCGTGAGTCTTGGGGTCCAGGTGGGGGAGCATCGTGACCGTCGTGAACGAGAGTTGATGGCTATGCCTAGACAGGGGCAGGCGGCAATCCCAAGCTTGTTGCAATTGGTGAGCGTGCTCGGCTGCTACAACGTACCGCCTCCTCCCGATCTGAAAAGTCCCAAGTCAGATATCAGATCACAGAAAAACGACGCACTGCACAAGCAGGTCCTCAGATACGGTGCTGCCTGCAAACGACCCTTTCCCACGGGCAGCCAGCTGAATCAAGGTCCAATGCCAGCAGAAAAACAGCAGATAAAAACGGGCTCGGGGGGCTGCTTACCGCTTTCTGGCTCCAACCATAAGTATTAGGTATTGTGCGCAGGACTGGAAAGTCTCTCCTGACAACTTTTGCCGAGGGACACCCGGGGACACCTCGGGTCAGGTCAATCAGGTACGAAGGCATCAATAAGCCGCGTGTAAAACACTTCATACAGCAGCGACGGGCGGTTGGGATGCTCAAGAGATCAGCGGACCGCCGACAAAAGCTGCAGGTGCGTGTTATCAGGGCCGAGTACAGCGTGCGCACTTCCACATGGGGAGCAACCTGTGTGTTGAGGTAAAGCCATAGACAGCCCGCGGCGTGCCTCCCAACCAGGCGGAATTCCTTGATGCTGGCGACTGCCTCGCGAGCATACCGGCTTGAGTGGCTGAGGCTGAATGCTGAGGCGATGTCGAGGCTCATGCAGACATTCTCGATGAGTTCCAGAGGCAGCAGGCCGAGCAAGCCTGGCTGGAAGACCGGGGCGGAGGATGGGAGGGGTTGGAAGACAGTCGTGGGCATTTCGCCGGGTGGTGGCCGAGCAAAGGCCTGGTTGACCTTGAACGGGCGTGAGAGGACGCGGCAGGCCTCATCGAGGTCGTCAGCCGATATCCAGTCGGCACTCATGCTGAACGACAGACAGCAGCAGCGGATCGCGGTTGATCCGAGGACTACGGGCACAACTTGAAGATGTCAATTAATGAGACAGGCCGCAATATGTGCTACCTACCACATGCAAGATTAGCGTAATATCCCCCAAAAACAAAACAAAAAAAAGGCATTTAACCTCGCAACAGAGTCACTGCGGCCTGCCTACCTCTGATGTGTTGTCTTATAGGAAGTTGTGAGGGTATCATATGAGAGGATATCGATATCCTACGGCAGGTGAGAAGGTTGTCATCATCCTGTCATACGGGTGGGGGAAGGGGGAGGGGGAGGGGGTAGGTACACCCGAGCAAAGCACCTCGTTTGTTGCACGGGAGAGAGTAAGCCGTTCCTGATATTACGAACGCCTAAGCTACACAGCACTACGTGTAGTACCAACGTGCCTGCCTACGCCGCAGATAGGCCAACCTTGGAAGCCAACATCAACCGACTTATACCGCAAAGCAAGACGGTGAACAGGGTTCTGTGTACGGGCCATACTTGGGTACCCGTTTTCAAGGGTCTAGGTCAGCTGCCCCTACCCCACAGCTTGCAGGGGCGAGCTCAGGAGCAAGCGGCTTACCTAATAAAACAACAGCTGCAGCAGCTCGACGCGTCGCGTTGTTGGAGCTTCTTACAAGGTTCAGGTCGCAGAAGCATACTCCGTACCTCGCGTCCCTGCTTTTCCCTCCACCCATCTCCATACCCAGGTAGGTACTCTTTCTGTCTCTCCCCCCCTTCTCTTTTTCTCTCTCTCTTACATACACACACGCACCCTCTCTCCATACCTCCTCTTTAGCTCTAAAAACATTCATCAACTGACTAGCAAGTTGTTTTCAAGCAATTGACTGCAAACACGGCACGTCGAGCGGGTTATCACCAAACCCCACTCTTCCCCTTTCCCCGTCGGCACTTGCACCTTTCAATCCATCGACCGTCTTTGACCGTGACAAAAGTCACCTTGAGAAATGGCACCAACAAAGACCGCAGCTAAGGCGCGTGGCCGCGCCAGAAGGAGTGAAGGTGGCGCCGAGTCGCCCCCCGCAGCAGCCGCTGCCGACGAGACCCCCAAGCGTCGCGGTCGCCCCAAGGCGTCCGAGTCTGGAGTCTCCAGTGCAAAGGTCAAGAAGCCCTCGACCTACGTGCCCACCGGACGGCCCCGCGGTCGCCCCCCTGGACCAGGCAAGCCGAAGGCTCCCTACGTCCCTACTGGACGTCCCCGCGGCAGACCCCCAGGAACGGGCAAGAAGGCGTCCGCTGCGAAGAAAGCCGCCGCCGCCGCGACCAAGAAGGGCACCACCGTCGCTCGCGGCGGTCCCAAGGGCCGCAAGTCAGACGCGGCCAAGGCCGAGGAGGCTGACGAGGAGGAAGAGGAGCTTGGCGAGGAGGACGCCGACATGAAGAGCGACGCCGAGAAGGACAAGGCTGGCGACGACGAGCAAGCCTCCGATGAGGATGGCGGTGAGTGAAGCGGAAGATGGCAAGTCTTGGATACCAACCCCTTCCCTGGTTTCCTTACCAAATGTCTCGCTCTACAGGATTGATTTTCTAACAACAATGTGACACTGCAGATGACGGGCACGGAAACCCAGATCGAGGATCTGGACCTCTTGTAGAGGTATAGCTTCCATCCACTTCTCAATCTTGTTTGGTCGTCTTCTCAACGCGATTTCACAGGACACCACAACGAGCAATCGCGGTTTCTTCACGATGGTCGGCCGCAAACTCGGACTTCAGTGATCATTGAGGGACGAATTTGCGTGTGGGGGTCGGGCGATAGCTGGTCATTTCTTGGAACAGGCTCAACTATCTGACTAGTAATGAATTCTTTGGCTGGTGTCCGGTTGTCGGTTGACGACGTCGATTGACGACCTGCAAACGCGCAAGGCTTTGATGTTGTTCTTTGCGAGTGTAAATTGATTTTGACGGAGTTTGTTGTTTTCCATAAGGGCGGCTGTACGACAAACAGGGGAGGGGTATCAGTTTCCAATTAATGCTCTGCCATCATGTCCTGACACCAGTGTCGACCACCATCCTCGTGAGACTACTTAAGTAGGCATCATACCGCGAACCCCCAGCTCGTCCAACTACAAGGGAGTAGTCGCGACACTCATTCCCTCACCCACTTCTCGAACTCCTCTGCGAGGTGCTTCTTGAGCTCCTGAAATTTGTTGCCAAAGTCGCGCCCGCAGCGCCAGCAGTGCATGGGCTTCTCGTGCCAACCAGCCTGGTCCCGCCGCGGGTCGTCGGCCGCCAGAGGAAAATCGTCCAGCGGCACGAAGAAGCCGGTGGTAAAGGAGTTGTAGTGCTTCCTAACCTTCAGCCTACCCGAATACATATCGCGGCTGATGACGTGCACGTGCAGATGGTTCATGCTCGGATGGGCGTGTACGCCGACCTTGACCTCTGCCATCCAGTCCCTGCCCTTCGGGAGGACTGCCCTGCCCTCTGCGTCCGTCTCAGGCTCGACCTCACCGTCCAGGACGGCCCGCCGGGGGCCATCGGCGGCGCTGTGCTCGCCCACCAGCCGCTGGAGCTCCCTGGCGACGAGGTCCTTGAGCCTTGCCGCCTCCGCCCGCGTAGAGGCGAGGAAGCCCGCGTCTTCGAACGCGTCGAACGGGTGGACCAGGATCTTGTCTGGGGACCGAGGGAGGAGGAGGCAGTGCACCGTCGCTTTGGGGTATAGGTCGCGGATGGCTACAAAGCCTGGGTTCGCGAAGATGACGCTGCTCGAGGGCAGGGTCTCCGCATTTGCGATGTAGTAGCCCAGACCGTCTCGTCTGGGGAAGGAGCTGGTCCTCACCGCTGGGTTGACGGGCTTGTCCTCAGGCTTTGGCTTGGGTCTCGGCGCCATAAGCTCCGAGACTAGAGCAGACGGCGGGCGCGGTGGTCAGTTAGCTGGCCGTGGACAGATCTCGGAGGATGAGCCTACAAGCATTGCGGACCTTGCCAGAACTGGCGTCGTCCGGTGCCAGCGCTGCGCCTTGGATCTCATCCCGGGTGATGGCATCCTCAGGGTCGGCTGGTGAGGCCTCTTCACCGACAGGTGGTCGTTTCTTGTTTGGAGTCTCAGGAGATGCTGGCAGGTGCCTCTTAGGCCGGTGGTCCCAAGACTCAGAGCCCATCGTGACTCTGGTCTTGCTTTTAGTTCCAAGAATGCATGTAGCATGTAAACGAACACTTGCAAGTGGCCTCAATTGGTGACAAACAGAGAGAGCTTCACATCCCCTCAGGTTTTCAGAACCCCACGTCCTACGTCCCACGGCGCGTCCCACGGCGCGTCATGGGACGTCATTTGAGGCGGCACACGTCAAGCTCCGAAGCCACGACCACCACTAGCTCAGATTAAGAGGCTCACAGGCATATTTGTACACACATACTCGAGTATCTAGGTACCTAGGTACCTACTTATACTTACATGTGTGCCTTCGAAGCCCGTTGACCCCCCTGGAAACTGAACATGGAAGGCAGTGAAGCAAGCGTACATCACCGGGGGCCTCCTACAGGCCCTGCAATCTTATTATTTCCATCCACGGTGCTCCCTGTCTGCATGTCCACTAACTGGCTACCGAAACGTATGAATCAGTCTCTAACTCTTCTCTGATGACGATCTAGGTCCCGGCAGGGGTTGTCTGAGCGGTACGGCAGCTGACACTGCCCATCCGCGTCAAGCATCATACTGGTGATATATACTGGCGGGAAAACACTCCCAGCACATACGACCATAAGTACCAGAAAATTCGGGATCCCGTCCGCTCTCCCATAGACAAGCTGGTAACTGCCGGATTAGTAGTTGGGTCGGTGACGACCAGCGAATACCTGGTGTTGTATGTTTTTTGTTTTTGCCTCTTCTTGCCTACTGATACTGTTGTTGCTGTGCTGCATGGATATCAATTGATCTTTGGAAGAGAGAGTGTGTCCAACTAACCCTGACAGACAAAGCTAGGAATACTAGGCCCGCCAATGAATGAATGTTTGTATTTGTGAGGAATAAGCTGTTTTGTGAATAGGTAAGATTCTTCTCTGCAAGTACAGTACGAGGGCACAGTGAAATGATAGATGATGATTTCTATGGGTCTCAAATACACGGCAGGGCAGGCCTTGTAGAAGATGACTATGTACTCAAGCGCCCAGTTGCACTGACTTTCCTTGGGCCAAAGCTTCCGGCTTCCCCTCATAATAAAGGACGCTGCAGGGTGGTGCAGCAGGCACTTCAGCCCTATGAGTGCAGGGCCTTCCCCAACTAGTTGGCCAAAAAAGGCCCCCAACTCGCCTCCCGCTAGTGAGAGAGACAAACCCTGATCTTTACCCTGAGCCACCCGTCGCCAGTACTCACCCGCCTGGACAGCGACAGTGTCAACGACCCATGGAACCATACAACACCATTTGGACTGTCTGATTTCCTCGTTGTGAACATGGTGAAGAAAGGGAAGGACAAGGCCGGTACCCCTGCCCCAACAGCCAAGGCCCCAGCGTCCAAGGCCCCAGCCAAGAAGGCATCAGCTGCGAAGAAGGCCGCGCCCCCGGAGGATGACCTGCTTATTTTCACCACCGACAAGAAGAAGAAGGGAGGGCCGTCTACTGCTGCCGAGGATGGGCCTCCTGAGCCACCAAAACCAACAGTCAAGCAGATCATAGGAGGCCAGTCATGGACAGGGAAGCTTCCAGTGAACCTTCTCTCAGAGCACTGCCAGAAGATGAAATGGGAGAGGCCCGACTACCACCAGGTGAGAACTATGCCCATCCTAAATTCGGGGCGACTGCCCACCCCACAGCGCAGGACTCCAACCATGAGAGTGTCACGTATGGGCTGTTGGGCTATGCCGGGCTGTCTCAGGATGCCATCCTTGTGAGATGAGCCTGCAGGGGTTTCTCCAGCAGCTACTCAGTTCACTGTCCCACAAGAGATGTTCCATGTGAGGTTATCCTCTGTGAAATCTATCCGTGTAAATAGGATACTATTTGGGGCCCTTCTTCGCGGAACGTTGTCCCCCTCGCAGCTAGGAAATGGCAATGCTGAACCTGACCGGGGAAGGCCATTTCCATTCCAATCATTTGCCCCAAATATAGAGCTATACTGACGATATCTTAATAGCGACACAACGCCGATGGCTTCTCCTCCATGGTCACACTCAGTGCCAAGAACCCAAAAACCAAAGAAACTGTCAGGCTTGAGCCGTTTAAACTACCCCCAAGCCATGTGCATTTGGCGTACAAGCCCACGGCCCTGGAGGCCAAACACTTTGCAGCCACGTATGCTCTATACAGGGTGTGCAATATGAAAAACATGAGCATGATCCTCCCTCCAGACTATAAGTCGTTGTGGAAGGAGTTTGACGCCTTGAAGAAGCAGGATGTCAAGGATGGCAAAGGCTGGATGTACGAGGCCGACCCCTTCAAAGCAATGGAGGAGAGGCAAGCTGCAAAGTTGGCTGCGGAAAAAAAGAGAAAGGAGCAGCAGGCTATCAAGGAGAAGGCCGCTCAGATGCCAGGTGCTTCCGGTCTGGTGCTCAGGGGCAACGCCGCAGCGGCCGGTGGTGGCGGCCATAACCCGATGAAGGGCTGGACCACTGTGCCCAAGATGGAGATGGGCACCAAGACAAGACAGCATTTGGAAAGCCTCCTCAGACGCGACACTGTCTGGAACCCACATGCTGTCGTCATGAGCCAGGACCAGAAGGTGTCCATTGTCAAAGAGTTCAAGGATCTGGGCTTCCGGCCGAGTCACGTCGATGAGGCAATAGAGGAATGCAAGGACCGCGAGGAGGCGCTCGAGTGGTTGTTGATCCATGTGCCCGAGGATGACCTACCGAAATGGGCCCTGCCCGAAAAGTACGGTGCGGGCATAACGGTTGGAGCCACAGATCTGAGAAGAGAGGGTGCTGCGACGCGCTTGGCACAGTCCGGCTACTCCATCGAACTCTGTCGCAAGGTGTACGATGACGCTGGAGACGAGGGCAAGGCGGCCGAGGCGCTTCAAAAGATCCTCCTGAGCAGCGGGTCGGATGATGACGCATTCGCCATATCAGATGGCGCTTTGTCGCCCGAGGACCGTGACCAGCAGTGGGAAGATGAGCTGGCAAGTCTTGAGTCTCTATATGGGGAGCAGTACTCCCGCCTGGGGGCAGATGTCTGCCAGGTGCGGCTAGAATCGGTCACAAATGGAGCAAAGAAAGATGTCGAGGCCTTCATTCAGCTCCGCAAATCACCACACTACCCGTCTCAACTCATCATATCAGTAGTTGCAGACCTCCCGTCCTACATCAAGCTAAGTATCATCAAGAAGACCCTAGCATATATGGCGGAGTCCCTCCAGGGTGAGGAGACGAAGATGTTCTACACCATCAGCTGGATGCAGGAGAACATCAACGACATTGTTGAGAGGCCGGGTGCACTTCGCGATATTGCAGCTGTCTCATCCGCAGCCTCGGAGGAGAAGACAGTGTCTGTTCGCAAGAGGGCCAAGAAAGCATCGCGACATCCCAAGCCCGTGTCCTGGGTCCCTGAGAGCGATTCCATCAAGAGGTGGATGGAGAGGCAGAAGACACCGTCCTTTCAGAAGATGTTGGCGCAACGCCGGAATCTGCCGGCCTGGGAAGTCCGAGAAGACATCGTTGACACGGTTGAGGCAAATCAGATTACCATCATCTCGGGCGAGACTGGCTCGGGCAAGTCGACACAATCTGTGCAGTTCATACTCGACGATCTTTATGGACGAGGTTACGCCAAGTGCGCGAACATGATCGTCACCCAACCTCGCCGGATCTCTGCCCTTGGTCTGGCGGATCGAGTGAGCGAGGAACGCTGTATGACTGTTGGTCAAGAAATCGGCTACTCTATTCGCGGTGAGAACAAGACCAGCAAGGACACGAAGATCACCTTCGTCACGACTGGCGTGCTTCTCAGGCGCTTACAGACTTCTGGCGGCCATATCAACGATGTAGTGGCTTCTCTCGCAGATGTCACCCATGTCGTGATAGATGAGGTTCACGAGCGATCTCTAGACACGGACTTCTTGCTCAGCATTTTGCGCGACGTCCTGACGAAGCGGAAGGACTTGAAACTGATCCTTATGAGTGCAACCTTGGACTCTGCAACGTTTGGGGATTACTTCAAGGCCGACGGACTCCAGGTTGGATTTGTTGAAATAGCTGGCAGGACCTTTCCTGTTCAGGATTTCTACCTGGATGATATTATACATCAGACTGGGTTCACAGGACAACAGGATTTCAACGACAGCAAGGGCCGCGCCCTGGATGATGAGCAGCGAGTTTCCAAGGTGATTCAGAGCCTTGGCATGCGAATTAACTACAACCTCCTTTTGGAGACCGCGAAGTGCATCGACGGGGAGCTATCCCAGACTCAGAAATCAGGTGGAATACTTATATTCCTGCCTGGGGTTGCAGAGATCAACCAGGTCTGCAGACTGCTCAGCTCTGTCACATCCCTGTACGTGCTTCCCCTACACGCGTCCCTCGAAACCAAGGAACAGAGGCGTGTGTTCACGGCTCCACCCCCGGGGAAGAGGAAGGTAGTCGTGGCAACCAATGTTGCTGAGACATCTATCACGATCGATGATATTGTCGCCGTTATCGACAGCGGCCGAGTGAAGGAGACGAGCTACGATCCACAGAACAACATGCGCAGGCTGGGTGAGGCGTGGGCATCTCGCGCCGCTTGTAAGCAGCGTCGAGGACGTGCTGGTCGTGTACAGGCCGGAAAGTGCTACAAGCTCTACACTCGCAATCTGGAAGAACAAACCATGCTTGAGAGACCGGACCCCGAGATACGACGAGTGCCGCTGGAACAACTGTGCTTATCTGTTCGGGCTATGGGCAACAAAGATGTCGCTGGTTTCTTGGGCCGTACTCCCACACCACCCGAGGCATTGGCTGTTGAAGGTGCGGTCAAGATGCTGCGTCGGATGGGAGCTCTCGACGGAGACGAGCTCACGGCCCTTGGCCAACAGCTTGCCATGATCCCTGCAGACTTGCGCTGTGGTAAACTGATGGTGTACGGTGCAATCTTCGGGTGCCTGGATGACTGCGTTACTATCGCGGCGATTCTGAGCACGAAGAGTCCGTTCTTGTCACCTCCAGATAAGCGAGAGCTGGCAAAGCAAGCGAAGATGGGGTTCTACCAAGGAGACGGCGACCTCTTGACAGACTTGAGGGCTTTCCAGGAGTGGGACGAGATGATGCAAGACCGGGTGCCGCAGCGCCAGGTGCGCGGATTCTGTGACGACAACTTCTTATCATACAACACCATGTCAGATATCGCCTCAACGAGAACGCAGTACTACTCATCCCTCGCCGAGGTAGGCATTGTCAACTCAGCAGACGTCTACTCGGGCAAAAACAGAACTCAGTCCCCATCTATGCCGCTCCTCCGAGCGCTGACGGCCTCGGCCTTCAGCCCGCAGATTGCGAGAATACAGTTCCCCGACAAGAAATACATGGCATCGGTGTCCGGGGCCGTTGAGCTCGATCCCGAGGCCAAGACGATCAAATATTTCAACCAGGAGAACGGCCGAGTATTTGTGCACCCCAGCAGCACATTGTTCGACAGCCAAGGATTTTCCGGCAACGCAGCATTTGTGTCGTACTTTACACTTATGGCCACGTCCAAGATATTTATTCGGGACCTAACCCGTAAGTACCAGACCTCACAATCACATCTTTGGGCCTGGTTCCCTCACCTCCTGCCACCATTTGGCTTTTCACTGACTTGCCCAGCTTTCAACGCCTACACCCTCCTGATGTTCTCCGGGGCTATCGAGCTAGACACGCTGGGCCGAGGCCTCGTTGTGGATGGGTGGCTGCGCTTGAGGGGATGGGCCCGCATAGGCGTCCTGATCTCAAGGCTCAGGGGTATGGTTGACAATATCATCGCCAGGAAGGTGGAAAACCCGTCAATAGATCTCCGGGACAATGATGTTATCAGAGCGGTCACGAAGTTGATAGAGCTAGATGGGCTAGATGCGTGATCATCCGCGCTCACTCGCGGCATTCCGATCCGAGATCAATAGCTGTTTCATCCTCCCGCAGCTCTCATGAACTCTGGTGGATATGCTGCTCTATGGTTGTCTGTCTGCCGCCCGCCCGCAGAAGTGTACAGCGACACAGGAAAGGCGAGACTGTTGTTAGGTCCTTTACGTAAGGAGTAGGTAGGTACCGTGTAGTTTAGAGACGGGGTGGCGACCGTTATCCCGAAACGGTTTACCCCGCACGTGATCGGTGGAATGGCACGGCAAAAACGGCGCCAGAGGTAGAGCCTCAGGCAGCCATGGTAGGAGCCCCCTTCCCCTGCCGGTGCACGTCCCATCGCGCCCAGTTCAATCGGAGGGACGCGGTGCATCACTTGTTTATCACCACTTTTCCCACTTCCTTCCCCCGCTCTCGACGCGCCCATTACCCGTCCAGACAATTGGCCTCCGATCTCTTCGATGCCAGTCGTCCGGCTGCCCCTAATGGACACTTCAGAAAACACCGCGACGCCGTCTCCGGCTCCGGCCTCCCGCCGCCGGTCTGGCCGTCAGACGCGAGTCCCCGAGAAGTTCCAGCCCGAGATCACGATCGCGCCGAAACGCAAGAGGGGCGAGCATGACGAGGAGGAAGATGTCGAAAACCACGACCCGGAAGGAGAAGAGGGAGATGAGGAGTCCAGCGAAGACGATTCCGACGACTCTCCTGCCGAGGAGGAGCGCGCCAAGCCCAAGAAGAAGAGGACCGCGTCGCAACCGTCGCGAGCCAAGAAACCAGCCGCAAAGAAGCCCAAGATCAATGGCGCAGGCCCTGGTGCAGCTTCAGTGACATTGGGGCTACCTAGTAGGCCGAAGGCGAAGAAAAGCGTGCGCGTTATGACGGGCGACAGGCGCGACGGCGATGGAGTATATGGTGAGCATTGGTCCACCTTGGAGCGCGCATGACCCCCATTGACACCATGCAGCGGACATATTCGGATCCGGCGATTCATCGAATGACGTAGCAAGTCGGTGGTATCAGAAGTATAAAACCGACAATGAGGCAGCCGTGACAGACCTCGTCAACTGCGTCCTCCTAGCCGCGGGGTGCGATGAGCAGGTGACTGAGGACGACATCCGGGATCCCGACAATATTCAAAACCGCCTGTCAGAACTGCAGGATCTATACCAGGAGGTGCGTCTGAGGCTCGCTGCTGCCTGAATCTAGCTGACCAGTAGTAGAAACAAATCACCGACTACCCATTAGCGAGGCCAAAGGAGAGCAGGAGCTTCCGGGACTTGCTTGTCAACTTCTTCGAATCATTGATCAACGTATTCCACGAGACAGATGTACTCTACACGGATGAACCACTCATGGAGAATATTGCGCGCTGGTTGTACACCATGTCATCATCGACTTTGCGCCCATTTCGACACACAGCCACAACAATCGCTCTTGCCATGGAGCTAGCCATGGCCAGCGTCGCCAAGAAACTTGACGACAGGATCACCAAGACCGCGCAACAAGTTGACACCGAGAAGAGCCGGAAAGGCAAGAACAAGAATAAGGAGATGCTTGCCAACCTGCAAAGGTCTCTCAACGAGGCAAACAACAACCGTGAGATGTGTGGCAAGTACATGCTAGACAACTTTGAAGTTGTATTTGTTCACAGGTATCGTGATATCGACGCGCGCATCCGGACAGAGTGCGTCGAGGCCCTTGGGTCATGGATCTGGGTTCTGCCAACAGTCTTCATGGAACCTGAGTATTTGAGATACTTGGGCTGGCTGCTCTCAGACATTGTACCGTCTGCCCGCCAGGAGGTGCTCAAACAGCTCTCGAGGGTGTTCAAGCGTGATGCCTCCAAGCTCGGCCATTTTATCGACAGGTTCCGACCTCGTCTGATGGAGATGGCTACACAAGACCTGGATGTCAGCGTGCGTGTTGCAGCCATCGGGGTGATTGAGACCCTTGGGGAGGCAGGCATGCTTGAGCCCGATGAGATTGATGCAGTTGGCAAGCTCATTTTCGACTCAGAGCTGCGGATCCGGAAGGCGATCGTCAAATTCTTCTCCGATGCAGTCCAAGCTGCGGTCGAACAGAAAGTTGAGGCGATCGGCGGCGAGGAGGCCGTCGAGGAGATGTTTCCCGAAGGCGAGGATGTGGATGACACTGCACCCCGGGCCGATTGGCTTGAGGTGAAGGCATTGGCGGAGACGCTCGCAGTCTACGAATCACAGCTTGAAGATGCAGACGAAGATGAGCGACGCGGACTGGACATATCCGCGGATATGATCAATGCAACCGCCCCAGACACACGCATGTCGCTTGCGTCTCAAGTGCTATACGAGAAGATGGAGACGGTCAAGAGCTGGGAGCTGCTGGCTGGCTTTCTACTGCACGATCACTCAACAAGCACGAAATCGAGGTCCAAATCAAAGGCGAACTCAACCGAAGCAGCAATGCGACAGCACATCGCACCCACGACACAAGAGGAGGCCATCCTACTCGAGGTGCTGGTGGCAGCTGTCAAACAAAACCTGGTTCATATTCATGACGCCGAAAAGGGGAAGAAGAAACCAACGAGGGGCGATGTGGCCGAGTCTGCGGAAGAAGTTGCTTTACATCTGGCACAAGTGATTCCAAAACTCCTCAATAAGTTCGGGGCCGACCCGAAAACCGCCACAACCGTCCTGCGCCTTCAGCACCTACTTGACCTGGATGTGTTCCAACAACTTCGACAGGAGTCCTCGACATTTGAACACCTCCTGGACGGGATATGCACGCAGTTTACGAGGCATGGGGACAAAGACGTGGTCTCGGAAGCAACGCTCGCTCTACTTCATTCTCGGAAGTGTGAAGAATACGAAGAGACGGTGGATCTCAAAATATCGGCACTGTGGGAGAATCTGATCGACTCCTTGCGTGTCTTCGACAAATCTCATGATCTCTCAAGACGAGGCGGCCTGAGCGGATCAATCCTCCTAGGTCTTTCCACGACGCTTATGAAGATTAGCAGCCTGGCAAGAGTCAAGGACTGCATCGATGTTCTGGAAGCCGAAGGCACTTCTGAGGGCTCTACGGCTCCAGCCATTGAGATTTTGACCAGGTCGGTTCACCGTGGTCGCTTCCAACAGGCTGACGAGGATCTTGATGACCTGGAAGATGAGGCCACTTCATATGCGATCAAGTGCTGCCACTTCTACTTCATGTGGAAGGTCTTGTCACTTACGAGCGCCATCGAAATGCAGACTGACGTGTCAAACGAGGCAATAAGCCGCCTCGCAAGCCTCCGGAAAACGTACCAGGCGAACTTGATTCACACGCTATCATCCAGAGCTATCAACGACGACCTGCGTTTGTTTGCTACTGGCAGCCTCTGCGACCTGCACATTACTTTCAGCTCCATTCGGCGCACCCTCGAGCGGTGGTCGGCTGTTGGTGCGGCGAAGAAATACGCCGGTCTCTTGCCCTTGGTCCAAGAGATTCAACCGGGCCTCATCCCTGAGCTCATTAATGTTTTTGACGGAGCTGAACGTACATTTGCCAAGAAGACCAAGAGGCATCTCAACGAACCCGCCGAAGACGAGGACCCAATCGATGATGATCAACTCTCTGATGCAGAGGACGAAGAGGAAATGTCAGCAGAGGAGAAACGAGCATCGGAGCTCCGAGCAGAGAAGGCCTTGTGTGAGCTTACGGCCAAGTATGTCGTTGCCATTCTGTCGAAGACGGTGGACCAGAACGGGCCTCATGCAGGCAAGCTCAGGAAGCGACTACTACGCAATTCAGTGAAGCTTGGCAACAATTTCAAAGAGACGGTTGCATTCTTGGACGAGAAGAAGATGAGAGACATGGAGGAGGCGAAGAAGAAGAAGGCCGCCTCAAGAGCGAAGAGCAAGCAGCCCGCCGCGGCGAAGCAGCCCGAGAAGCCGGCCCTCAGCGCCGAGATAATAGTCGCGGACGACGACGATGACGACTCGGATGCTGAGCAGCCGGAGGAGCCGGAAGAGGGCACGGAGGAGGACCTGCGAAGGCGGGAGCTGCTGGAGGATCCTATCGAAGACCACGACAGCGAGGTCGACGGGCAACCTGCCGCTGATCATGGTGCTGATGACGAGTCGATCCTGGGAGACTGAAAACACGAAAATGAAAATACAGAAAGTCTCTTCTGAGCCTGGCGTTTTGGAGAGCTGGTGGGCGGGCATGGTCGAAAGGGTTGGCGGGTCGACGGACAGACCGACTTCCTGACCGGTATGGATAGTGACAACAACTTTTGCATGATTCTTTGGCCGCCTGGTCTGGTCTTTTGTGTTTGTAATGAATCTCTTGTGGCAGGCTGGCGAGGGTTTTAGAAGCTCTAGCACACAGGGGGAAAAAACGGGAGCGGACAGGCCTTGAGGGGAGGGGGCAGTTTCGCTTGGGATGAATGACGGTAAATACTTTTCCTTCTACACAACGGTCATGAATGCCCTTGTTACATACCCTTGAAATCGACGCTGTTTTTTGAGAGTAGCCCTGAACGGGCAATCAAGTCGGCCCTGATTCTATCTGACATTAGTGACGTGGTGGTATCATAATCCCCTTTCCTTACTCAACTGCGCCCGACGAAAACAAAAAGCCGAAGCAGGCTTGGCCCAAGAAGCACAACGGACTGTTGCATCACCAAGCTAATCACTGGCAATCTTCGTCCCGAAGAGCCCAAATACCCTCTGCCACCTCTTCCCCTCCCCGGCGTCGTCCTCCTCGCCTTCCTGGACCTCGACCTTGACACCATACTGCTGTATGCAGCATGCAAACGGCTTATTTGAGACCTGCTCGAGGCCCGGGCTATTCCCCGCGGCCCCATCCACCTCCTCCCCGCCAGCGCCAGAGCTGGGCGGCGGCATGCCCCGCTGTACCCTCTCCCTCGCCTCCCACTTACGCGCCTCCACATCCACCTTGCGCTCCTCCAGGTCGCCCCAGAGCTTGAACATCTGCTCGCGGAGCCTGCCCAGGGCCTCCTCCCCGTGCGGGGCGGCGCGCAGGTCCTGCGCGTCCATGCCCGTGAGCAGCTGGGCCTGGGGGTTGCCGACGAGGACCCAGACCGTGGCCGGCCTCCTGTCCTTCTTGGCGACGAGGGCGGGTGGGCGAGCCTCCTCGAGCTTGAGGGCGAAGCGCCACTCCCAGACGCGGTTGCGGCTGCTGTGTCGGGCACCGCTGCCCTGGTCGTCCGAGTCCGAGTCCGGGTCGATGTCGTCCGCGCTGTTGTCGGATAGACAATCGTTATCGGTGCGCCGACGGCTGACCGCAAAGTCCTCGAGCTTGGACGGGTGGAAGTCCACGACGCGGGCGTGGGTGCGGTCCTTGGAGCAGTTGAAGGGGAGCTCGAGGGATACCGACTCGTTGGCGAGGGTGGTGGGGTAGGTGACTGGCTCGAGTATAGACGAAAGAGGCCTGGGTTTCGTGTCCGGGTTCTCACATTTGACTGTTATCATACACGGTCAGACTACGGGTGAAGTCGCATAGCCCATTCGGCATGCAAGGGTGGGTGGGAGCTTACCCAGATCATTCAGGTCCGGGATGGACTGCTCTCTGGTTTCCTTTGCCTCAACCTCCTCGAATGTCCTCTGTTTTTCGGCTCGTTTTTTTGCCCGTTTGGTCTTCGCATTCTCTTTCTGCGAGGATTCCTCCGCCTTTCGCTTGGGCACGCTCTTGGGTTGGCCATTCTTTTTCTTCTTCTCATTCTCGTAGTCCCGCTTCCTCCTGATGGCGTCACGTAGGCGAGGATCCACTTTGTCACTCGCGACTCCCTGGGGGTCTAGGATTTGGACCTTGATTTGGTCCGAGAAATTCGAATGTCCTTGCTCCCCGCGGAGGAAGCCCTCAAGGTTTGCAGAATTATGGCCATATGCAATCTGAACTTTTCGCAGGTGCACCCAGTCGCCAACGTCGACCTGGTCTCGTATGTAATCGGCATGAGGCTCCCAACAGGTGAGCTGTAAAGAACGCTTGCCGAGGGGGCCATGCCACTTTCCTTCGACTTCTCCATTGTCTGCCGTCTTCTTGGACTTGCTTATATAGCCGTATGGGTCGCCGTCACGCACAGGCGTGCCGTCTGTGCAGCCTGGGCTGTCATCTGTCTTGTGGAAGAAGCTGGCGTTCTCGGTCCAGTCGGAGACCCACATGGATACCCTATCGCCCTCATCATATGGCTTCCGGACAACCTGCACGATGAGGTCGACGAACTTGTGGTCCTGGACGTTGGCAAGGAGACTGAAACGGTCTCTGACGTTCATGGACAGCTCGGCCCGGGCGGCAAATTCCTCTCGGTCAGGGATGTGCTGCTTATCTATGGTGTCGTAGAGCCATACGACATACTCGTTCTCCTTTTCCCCAAGCTTCAGGCTGACATCGCGTCGAGGGCTTCTCAGGGCGGCCGCCACGGACTGAGAAGAGCCTGGCCTGGGAATCTGCCTGGCCTCGTAAATATGCATGTTGGTGCGATATGAGGTGAGCAGGGAGGGATTGCCTCCACGATTCTGGCGTTTTACCCTGTAGGCCACGACTACATCACCGGCCTCGACTATGGGCATTTCATGTGACGGGCGGAAGATGTTGAGCTCGATGCCCTCGGCATCTCCTTGGGTGGAAAGGTCATATAAAGTGAGAGAGCTTTTATGGTCTGGAGGAGGACAGGTCAGTATTTTGCTGCCCAGGAGATAATGAGGATTCGAGCGTCGTTCCTCACCCCCGCCTTTAGTTGGAATGGGTAGCTTGCAATCCTTGACCACCCCTATCAAGCTCACTTCTTTGCCCTGGGCCTGACTGTCATCAAGTAACTCGCTGATGGAGATGAAGTTCCGAGGCAAAGGCAAGACATCTTGAGCCCTCCTACGACTTGATGAGTTGGACTGATAAAGAGGCATGGCGAGTTCAACAGGGGAGTGTCCTGTCGGGCATCAACGAAAAAGATGGTGGAACAGAGTTGGTGCCATCAGTCTTGCAAGGAGAACTTGGAATGGCAGCTGAAATGACACAAGATAGATTGTGCCTCAAATTAGAGAGCACTGAATACAGTGGGCATGGATGCTACCTGGCCGTGCTGTGGAATTGTCTACCAATTCTGTGAATGGCTTCACTTAACTATGAGGCTCAGACGCGTCGACGCGCCAGCATGACAAATGAAAGGCTGTTAGTTCATGTACCTTGGTACCTGACGCAGCAGGGGCGGGGCCACTGCTAGGCACAGTGGGTGGAGCAGATATGGGCAGGGGCAAAGCATGAGCCTGCCTTGCTTTGTCTGTTAAGGAGTGGGGGCGGGTACTTGGGTTTACCCAAGCTGCTTTGGAGACCCCAAAGTGGGATCTTGAGGCCTGGATTCTCAGGCTCGAACATGCCCTGCACCTTGGTGGGTAGAAGGTTCCTTTGAGAGCTCTGAAAGCTGGCTGGCAGGTGCAGGTTTCGAAATTCGCCCTCACGGACTGACTCTTAGCGGCAAGCCCCACTGAAAGCGGCCCAAGCCTCAGACGCACATGCCCACAGGTGCCCCGCGGGCATTTAGACTACAGAGTACAGAGTACAGTCTTCCCACTCCCCCTCCACAGCCCCCCAGCCTGCAGCCCTCCTGCCGGCCTGACCACCCAGACCAAGCAAGCGGGAGCCCAAAGCCCCAAACCCATACCTTCTTTGCCGTTGCCACCCATTCCATCTCCAAAATTCTTGCACCGCGACAACACCAAAACATCTTTCTTACCCCGTTGTTGTCATCCACCTGACCACATCAATAGGCACGTACCCACTGCAGTACAACATCCCCGTCCATTTGTATGCATCCAGCAGCCTCTAACAACTTGTTTCCGCAACAGAGTTTTGGTCTCGTCTTCCCACCAAGTTGACCACCGACCGCGTTGACACACACACGTAACCCGACCAACCAGCTACCCGCTACCCGTCTTGCTTGTCTCCCCCGCCAGCAAAGGTCAACACACACACGTCACGTCACAGCATAGCGCAACACCGCAACCATGGCTGAGCGCTACATCCCCGAGCACAGACGGACTCAGTTCAAGGCAAAGAACACCTTTAAGCCAGATGAGCTTCGCCGTCGCCGTGAGGAGCAGCAGGTGGAGATTCGAAAGGCAAAGCGTGAGGAGAACTTGGCAAAGCGACGAGGCATCGGCACAGGCGAGAACCGCCCTGGTGCCTCCCTGGGTGCCGCCCCCGACAGCGAGGATGAGAACCCTCCCACAGAGTCCCAGGTATGTCTGCAACCACTTCCTCGCATTCTGCCTTTTTCCTCTTCCCCAGTCTTCTTTCGACGCCATGCATCTTCCCACACCAAAACTCAAGGCCCTTGCTGCTGCTACTGTTGCTGTTGTGTTCCCCGCGTTTTTCAGCATCGCCATCTGGCGCCTCAAGCCCCTCACCTCACCTGAACTTGTCTTTGCTGCAAAGGGCTGGCACACATTAGCAGCCAGCCAGCACTTCCCACAACAAAATCGCTCATCACCAAGCATGCCCCTCTCCAGCCCCTCCTGGCCCACTGAACCGAAAGATAATTCAAAACCGTTTCCCACCCATCCTGTGAATTGCCACACTACATCTCCAGAGTCGCCAGCATGCTAACCTGTGACAGTTGAGCGAGGACCTTCCTCAAATGGTGCAGGGAGTCTTTTCCGACCAGATAGATCTGCAGATTCAGGCTACCACTCGATTCCGGAAGCTGTTGTCCAAGGAGCGCAACCCCCCAATCGAGGAGGTTATCAAGACTGGTGTCGTCAGCCGTTTCGTCGAGTTCCTCCGATCGCCCCACACCCTGGTGCAGTTCGAGGCTGCCTGGGCCCTTACCAACATCGCCTCTGGCAGCGCTGCCCAGACCCAGGTCGTTATCGAGGCCGGCGCCGTCCCCATCTTTGTCGAGCTCCTTGCCAGCCCAGAGCCCGACGTCCGCGAGCAGGCTGTTTGGGCCCTTGGAAATATTGCTGGTGACAGCCCACAATGCCGTGACTACGTCCTGAGCTGTGGCGCCCTCAAGCCCCTGCTGGCTCTGCTTGGTGACAGCCGGAAGCTCAGCATGCTGCGCAATGCCACTTGGACCCTCAGCAACTTCTGCCGCGGCAAGACTCCCCAGCCAGACTGGAACACAGTGAGTTTGGATCTGCCAACCTGGCCCCCACGTCAGAACCAACCACCCAGCTAACTAACTGCAACAGATCGCCCCTGCGCTTCCCGTGCTGTCCAAGCTTGTCTATTCCCTGGACGATGAGGTCCTGATCGACGCGTGCTGGGCCATCTCCTACCTGTCCGATGGGTCCAACGATAAGATCCAGGCCGTTATTGAAGCCGGTATCCCCCGCCGTCTGGTCGAGCTCCTCATGCACGCCTCCACCTCTGTGCAGACTCCCGCCCTGCGCTCTGTCGGAAACATCGTCACTGGTGACGACGTCCAGACCCAGGTCATCATCAACTGCGGAGCCCTGCCCTGCCTGCTGTCTCTACTGAGCTCCAACAAGGATGGCATCCGCAAGGAGGCTTGCTGGACCATCTCCAACATCACCGCCGGCAACTCCACCCAGATCCAGGCCGTCGTCGATGCCAACATCATCCCGCCCCTGATTCACCTTCTCTCCAACGGTGACCTCAAGACGCGCAAGGAAGCTTGCTGGGCCATCAGCAACGCCACTAGTGGAGGTCTCCAGAAGCCCGACCAGATCCGCTACCTTGTCGCCCAGGGCTGCATCAAGCCCCTGTGCGACCTCCTCGGCTGCCCGGACAACAAGATCATCCAGGTTGCTCTTGACGGCCTCGAGAACATCCTCAAGGTCGGTGATCTGGACAAGCAGGCTGCCGGCGATGCACCAGACGCCATCAACCGCTACGCCCTGTTCATTGAGGAGTGCGGTGGCATGGAGAAGATCCACGAGTGTCAGACCAACGCCAACGAGGAGATCTACATGAAGGCTTACAACATCATTGAGAAGTACTTCTCTGATGAGGACGAGAATGCCGATGACGGTATGGCGCAGGCCCAGGGCCCCAACGGCACCTTCGGCTTTGGGGCCGGTGCCAATGGTGGCCAGGGCGGTGCTGCACCTTTCAACTTCTCCAACACCAACGAGAACGAGTCCATGGAGATGTAGGGATCGCATTCCTAAGCCTTGGTGGACTTGATGTACTAGCCAGTTACTGGCCGTCGGCGGACAGACGGAATGTCACTCAATTGACGACACAGCACAGGGCCAGGTTGAGAACTGCCCACCCTATATTCACATCACACAGCAGCGTTGATTGCTTGTTTCCCCCAATCACCCAGGAGAAAGACATTTCGCAGACCCCGGCACAGGAAGAGAGATAAAGGGAAGAACAGGAGCTTTAGGGGAGAGTGGGTCAAGAAAGGAGGAAGACAGAGGTCCTATGGTAGCTTGAAAGCCCCAGCCTCATATGTTTGATCAGGGAGAAGCCACCCAGAAAGGAAGCCTAGGGTCAAGAACCGCAACATAGGCATGCGTGGGTGTCAAGGGTCGACAATGGTAGCTTTAAAGCTCCAACCCTTTGGACAAGGTGAGGGTGTTGAGCCCAGCAAGCACATTTTCCATGATGGCTGGGTAGCAACAGGGAACTGGGCCGAGAGGATTGTTATTCCACGGGCACAAAACCAAGAGCAAGTCCGCAGGGATTAATCATTAGTCCAACAGACGGGCTGCCATTGCTAGTGCATGACAGCCTGGTGGAGTCTAAACAAAGCATCGTGTGTCCCGACCAAGTGGTTGGTGATACAAATGTCAATTATAGCCGCACGAAGCCTTTTTAAGGCATCGCATAGAAGAGGTAGCTCAACAGTTACTCAAAATGCGACCAAACTCACCCCCTGCGCTGAACTTGATGGCTAATGTTCTGCAGACTAGGCCAGCTTAACTTGAGGTAACTACTGAAGTACTTAGTCTTGTGTTACAAGCGGAACATGAAGTAGTTCCCAACAATCCATGAATACTAGAGCAAAAGAAATGGACGAAACAGGCAACTTTCACTCTATCTTGCCCCTTGCCAGTCCCCTAGTGTCCCACTCCTTCTCTTTCCCCTCTTTTCCCAGCCATACATACTAGTACTTGTTGAATCTCATCTCTTTAATCAGGGAAACACTAAACAGCAGACAACTTTGAATGTATAGTACCTCAACATGCACTACCACAACGAGCATCACCTCAACTCATCCAAAAATGCCACGTCAAAAAACTCAGATTTGTGGTTTTTGTCACAAACATGGACACAGAGGAAAATTTTCAAAAAAGTTCCCTACTCTGAGAGATGCTCCCAGGGTCAAAGAATCGCTTGATGGCAAAGTGGGTGAAAGCGCCCAGACGTGTATCTGCGGGACTCATCCAGTCTGACTCTACGGAAAATCGGGAATTCCAAATACCTCCCTAGCTGTCCAGCTTAGCCCTCGAGCTACAATCTCGGTATATCAAAGACCATGTCCCGTGTAGGATGAAGGCGGAAAAAAGCTAACCACATCTTAGGGTTTCGACGTTGGGTGTCCTGGAATGACAAATCTCAAGCGCCTCAGCTTTACAATCGATATTTTACACAAGCAACGTCTCTCTAAAGCGGAGTTGAAAAGTTTGCACAATCAAGACGGAATATCCGCCTTGAGAAAGGCGTTTAGCGTATTTGCCAATCTTGAAGAGCTGTATTTCGGCGCTGGTAAAAGGGGGAGGACTTGGTCTACTGCCGAAAAGCTGATGTTGCACATGAAAAGCCCATGAAGGTGTAAAGTTCCGTCAATGCCGTTTACGCCACCGAGAGTTCAGAGGGCAGCCATGAGGTTGATCGATTGTTTTAAAATTATTCATGTGCCGGATACATCCATCGAACCGTTTTCATATTCAGACCCGAGCCGAGGATCGAGGGGCCAGGAAGCAGTTGCGGCTCATGATACCCGGAGTTGGCCCTATGCTGCGCACTCAAATGATTCCTCACTGCGAAATTCTGTAGGTTTCCAGTGACACATCTGAGATATTTTTGTAATTGGGATGCAGAGAAAAAGTACTTAAATCGGGTATTTCGTATAATGAAAGCATGTACAAGCTATTAGAATGAAGATATTATGCTTATAATTTTCCAAATAATTATTACTAGGACAAAAGTGTGTAAGCAGCATCCCTTTATTATTTTTATATTATAATATATTTGCTCTATTTTCTTTGATTATCAGTCGATTTAGGGCCTAGCACTATTAGATGCATGGATCTTGGAAGGATATTACTACCCGGGGGGCAGGCCTTCCCTGCCCCCCTACGCCAAGGGCGTAGGGGGTGCTAAAAACCCGCAACGGCCAAAACCTCGTAATACCCACACCTACCTATTTCTACTATTTTTACCTATAAAAAGGTACTTTTTAATTAAATATATCTACTTTAATAATAGTATTATAACTATAAAATAAATACTTTTAAAATCCTTATTTTATAAAGATTAATAATAAAATATTTTTAAATTTCTAGGGTTAGGGTTTAAGATTTTAGTTTTTTTAGTTAAAGGTTTTTTAAGATTAGTATATTTATTTAAATAAATTATATTATTAAAAAGTAAAAATATTAGAATATTCTTAGATTTATAGACTTTATATAAATAATATATTAAAAATATTTATTTTAAAATTAAGGTTATTATAATCTATTTCTTTATAGAATTTTAAATATTATAAATCTTTTTAAAACTTTAATTTTTAATCTTCTTATAATTATATTATAATTTAAAAATATTTTTATATAAAAGAATTCTATTAAAATTCTATAGGTATTATATTTTATTATATAATTTATATAAAGAAATATACTAATCCTAAAAAACCCTTAACTAAAAAAACTAAAATCTTAAACCCTAACCCTAAAAATTAAAAAAAATATTTCATTATTAATCTTTATAAAATAAGGATTTTAAATATATTTATTTTCTTTTTATATAAAATTTAATAAAGGAAATATACTTAATTAAAAAGGAGGGTTTTATAGGGGAAAGTAGTAAAAATAGGTAGGTGCGAGTGTTGCGAGGTTTTGGCCGTTGCGGGTTTTTGGCACCCACTCCGCCAGGAGTGGGTAAGTGGAAGCCGAGGCCCACGGGTATGCTAATTAGTAATGAGCACTTGCAATACTCTTGGAGTAGCCATTGAGTCATCCACGTTAATCAGTCTTTCAGGCCCTTAGAAAATATAATAAGCCACAAATGTCTCTCAGCTTATCTCCCGGCAAGCCATTTGTCGCAATAACCATAGTCAGGGCACATGTAAGAAGGCGGCACATATGGGCCTCGCAACCAGTCAAAGTTGTTCATCCTGGGCACATATTCATCTGTGTGTGCTGTGGGTGTATAATTTTACTGACTCCTCTGTCACAGGCACAACAGAGATGAACTCATTTGTGGCCATTCTCTAGAGCTTGCCCAGGGCCATAAGGCAAGCATGGAGGTTGTGTCTACCTTACTGAGGACCTGTGGAGGACTAGGCCAGACATCAGTTATTCAGGTCCGAAATTAGGAGCTCATCAACTCTATAACGTCACTTGGGAGAAGAAAATGGATACAATAGGTATATGTTGTAGAACAAGCAGGTTGGGAAGGTTGGGAAGGTCAAGTCACCGTTATGTTTAGAGACAATGGCAAAGTCTTCTGCAAGCCATTTGTCAGAAATTGAAGAACAAGAAAGACCATGTTGTTGCCCGGGAAGTGTATGCTGCTATTCTGACGAAGGGATTAGTTGTAGATTGACCACCTAGTAGTAATGTCCTCTTGGCAGCATATGTTATGCATGCTTGTATGTATCTTGCATGACCACACAACGGCCGACTCATGTGCCCCCGCGGATCTGGATTTCATTCTCTCAATTGGCCATGCTTCACATCAAGTCGCACATCAAGTCTCATCCAGGGTATTTTTTCCTTTTCATTTTTTTTTTTTAAAAAAAAACTGAATCAGCTTTGTGTTCAGGTGGCCATATGCACCTTCAGGGATGCCGGCTGGCCCCAGCCAAGTGCAGGCCCCTCACCCTCATTCGGGCATGGTACATACTTACCTAGGTAGACAGACAGCCCTTGTCTGCCTTTTCCTACACGTCAACCTGATATAATTCTGTGCAATATACCCTACAATCTGTTCCGTGCACCCCTTGCCCCTCTGAGTTGGTCTCCTCGGCCCTGAGACAGAGTCATAACGTTCAAACCCCCTCCCCCCACAATTTTTAACCGAAATGCTCCCGCGGGCTGGCCGGTTGACCGGCATGTGGCTACGGCCACGGCCGACCCTTCGTCTCGGGCGAAATGCATGCCATCTGCCGCCTGCTGTGCTGCGACCAGTTGAATCGGCTCAGTCCACCGTCCCCCTGGCTCTGTGCCAGACGCAGTTGAGCTCCCGATATGGCTCTTCCAAAGCTGAGGACCACACTGCCAGTCGCAACGGGCGCGGCGAGCCTCGTGGTGGCGACGAGGCCCGCGGGAGCACCATCAGTGCCCCGAAGAAGCCGTCCCATCCCGATGGAATTGGAAGGCTCGCGAGAGCGTTCGTGGCGCATGATCCAAGGGACATCACTGTCGAGTTCGAAAAGCTCGGTGCGCCGGTCACCATATCACAGCTATGGTTGAGGGATGCGTGCCAATGCCCCTCGTGCGTGAGCGAGTCATCGGGACAGAAGCGCTTCGCCACTTGTGACATACCGTCCAACCTCAGGGTGGACGGCCTGAAGGTCCTGGAGGATGGGGGTCTCGAGGTGTCCTGGGCCAACGATATCGCCCCTGGCGGCGCCGAGCACGTCTCGACATACCCACCCGCGGTGCTAGACGAGGTCATGGCTGCTCGGAACCCGTATCGGCGATCCATTCCAGCCCGCGAGATCTGGGACTCTGGCCATTTTGCAAAGGACAGCAGGTCGAGGGAGATCAGCTATGCGCAGTGGATGGAGGACAGCCCGCGCTTTGCTGAGGCCTTCCGAAACCTGCACCTTTGGGGCCTTGTCGTCATAAAGGGTGTGCCTCAGACAGAAGAGGCCGTCGCGCAGGTAGCCTCGAGACTCGGTCACCTGCAGTCTACCTTCTACGGGCCAACGTGGGACGTCATTTCAAAACCACAGGCCGAGAATGTTGCCTATACCAACGAGTTCCTCTGCCTTCACCAAGACCTGATGTACTTGAAGGAGCCTCCGAGGATACAGGTGCTTCACTGCCTCGAAAATAGCTGCGAAGGAGGCGACTCACTCTTCTCTGATGGTGTCCGAGCCGCCCACGACCTGCGAATCAACAACAGTAGCGCCTATCATTCGCTGACAAGCATACCAGTTGACTACCACTATGCCAAGGGCGGCAATTACTGGCATAACTCACATGCCACCATCGTCGAGACCAGGAACGCGACTGAGGTGGAGGCAGATCCGTTGAGCGTGCGCTGGTCGCCTCCTTTCCAGGCACCGTTCTGGTCGGCCATTGCCGCTGGCAACAGCCATTCTTCTTGTGGTAAACGAGCCGGTTACCTGGCAGAAGTGTGGCAGAAGGCAGCCAGACTGTTCAAGGACACTCTGGAAGACCCCACCAACATGGTTCAGTTCAGGGTGCAGCCGGGGGACTGTGTCGTCTTCGACAACTGGCGGGTCTTGCACGGGCGGCGCGCGTTCGACACAGCATCCGGCAGTCGCCATTTAAGGGGCACCTACGTTGAAGACCAGGCCCTCACGAGCACATGGCTGCGGCTGCAACGTGAGGGTCTCATGTTCACAAACACAAACGGAGATGGAAAACTGGCCGCTTCACAAATTATAGAAGCGCAAAAGGCCGAGCGCATTCTAGGTGCACAGCATGATCCTGTTGTCCTGACTGGTCGAGAAGCACAAGCTTGAGAACAAAATGCCGTGGCAGAACAAGGAGAACTCATGTCTGGGCCAGTGGTGTGTAAAGTATTGGTGTAAATACGATTAGGCTGGACCAACCGGCACCCCGAGGCGTTCCCAAGTGAGATCATTAGGCCGCGGTCTCCCTCGCTGCAGACAGGCTTTGAAATCGAAATAGGGTCACTGGCCCCTCAACATTTCATCGTGAAGTCGCATCCGAATCCCTTTCCGTTCCCGGACCTTCAAGGACAGTACCTGGGACTAACAGCCACTGATCAAAACCAGGGGGCTGGCTGAGGCAAGACGATTGAATCGATTTGTTGCTATAGCGAACTCAACAAGCAGAGTGCCATGCGCACGAGATTTGCAACTACGCCTGTGGAATTTTGGGCTGGCAACTGTTGACGAAATACATTACTGTTACCACCAGCTCCCGCCTCATCGCACACACATCAACGCCTGGTCCCCAAATTGCTCCTCAACACTGCCCTCCTTCACGAGCATGGACCCGATCCACATCCTGCCGGCCTCGACGGTGGCAGCCCCAAACTTGACGACCACGCACCCCCTCACGCCAGCAGCCGACCAGAGCACCTTCTCCCGCTTCTCCATCTCCAGCCTCTCTTCGCGCCACACAACGTGGGGGTCCCTGGCCGCCTCGTCCTCGGAGGGCTGCTTGGCGTCCTCGGTCCTCCAGTCGCGCGCCCCGATGCGAGGGAGGGCCGCGAACTCGGCCACGAAGAACTCTCCGAGGGATTTGGTCAGCGGCCCCCGCAGAATGAGGGTGCCGAATATGCCCAGCCCGTGCATCGTGGCCCTGAGGTCCTTGGCCGCGGCAGAGGGGGAGGCCCTGCCGTCGAGCTTGACGGCGTCGCGCACGAGGAGCCTGCCGCTGCCGCTTCCCTGGCCCTTTGTGGCAGCGGCGGACGACCACCACACCTCGTTGCGGCCGAACCACCTGATCAGGTCCCAATCCTCGCCGCGTGCGCTGCGGCCCTGCGTGACCCAGTCCAGCAGGAACAGCGACGCCCCGGGGCCCCTGAGCCGGAAGACCTGCGTCTGCTCGTAGACGCTCTCGGCGAAGGGCTGGACTGGGTCTGGCAGTAGGCACAAGGCCGCGCCGTCCTCGATGCTGACGTTGAGGGTCTGGCGGGTGACGATGTCTGGAGTGGCCGACTTGAAGATCTTGGTGTGGCCCTGTGTGACGATGCTGAGCCGCGCATCGCACTGCACCACGATTTTCAGGTTGACCGTGTCCCCGCCCACGAGGCCGCCTCCGTACGACAGCAGGAAGACGAGGACGGATTTGTCTTGCTGGTGGTTCCGGGGAGGCGAGATGAGTTTGAGCGGGTACTGGTAGGTGATGCACTCGAGGTGCGAGTGGCCGTTTGGCAGTCGCTTCACTGTGATTGTTCCATCTCCGGGAGCAGAGGCGGAGGCAGGAAAAGGAGAGTTCATGGTGGTCTTATCATGGTCATCTTGACATGTGCAGTCCAAGGTGAGGTTGGCCGACTCTGGTGGCTAGGGAATCGAGGGCACCGATATTAGCCAGTTGAGAATCCTCAATTCTTAGAATATAAAGAGATTTATGTGACTGGGTGGCACAAGGACATGAGAGGCCTTTGGAAGCTCTTTTGGGATGAAGGTGGTATATAAGACATGGGTTTGATAAACCAATGTGGGATTGGAATCTTCATAATGCAGATACTACGATATTAGTCAAAAGCCAGCCCGAGCCCGTCTTGGTAGATACCTAGGTACCTAGGTACCTAGGTACTAGGAGCTACCCCTGCCGTCCAGCGACAGGGGTCCTTATCGATAACTATTTTTCGATGCTGGGTCGCCGTCCCCCACCAGACTTTGTTGCTTCTCCCAGACCCGACTGGCACTTATGACTCTTCGGCCAAGAAATGTCATGACAACGACTGCCTGCGCTCAATTCGCATCCGACCATTGACCGTGCCCAACCCAGTCGACGCCCACCGAGGGATCCACACGGCAGAAAACAACGAAAATGGCTCCAGAAGGTCGTGGTGCCCCTCGAGGCAGAGGCCGTGGCAGAGGTCGCGGAGGTCGCGGCGGTCGAGGAGGGGCAGCAGCAACTGCTGCTGCTGCTGCTGCTGCTCCAAGCAGTGGTATTCAAGATGCGCAGGCCGGAAGTGCGTCCTCAGCCCCGGCGCCAGCCCCAGACACGAAGCCGCCCGTCCAGGACAGCGGCGCTGATGCCTCCAACTCTCAAGCGACTCCAGCGCCCGGCGCCAGCACGACGAAACCAGCGCCAGCAGCCAGGCCAGCCGCTGCGACCCGAGGCAGCGGCTCTGGGTTTGGCAAGTTTCTCCCCAGAGCTGTGCGGCGGTCACAACTGGACAGAGAGGCGATCGCCCAAAAGGAGACGCAGAAACTCGAGGACAAGGCCGCCCAAGATGCGCGCATGAAGCGCGCGGCACGGGGCCGAGGCGGAAGGCGCGCTCGGGGTGGGCCCGCGGGCGGTTTCCAAGACCGCGTCATCAGGGGCGGTGCTGGAGGTTTTGGGTCGATGATTGAAGCGACTAGCTCGCGTGAGTCTTACACGAGTCATTTCTACTCAATTTCATGTGCTAACAACAACCAGGAGGGGGTTCGGGCGGATTCGGACGATTATACGACTACGGCGGCGGAGGCGGAGGCGGAGGAGGAGGCGGCGGCGGCTCGGGTGGTGGTGGCTGGTCCGGCGGTGTCAAATCAGAAGGGGGCCAGGGCTTCAGCGGCGAGTCGAGTCGACCAACTGGCAGGCGTATGAACACGGACAAGATCGTTGAGTACGTTGTCATCGAAGATGAGGAGCAGCAAGTCAAGAGCAAGGAGGGCACACCAGTATTGCTGCCCAAGGGTATGCAGCGCCAAGAACCAAAAGAGCCGGATCAACCAGAAGTTGCGACCGCGGAGGAAGTCGAGGCTGCAGACAGGGGAGAGGACGTGGTGCACATCTCGTCGGGCGACGCCTCAGAAGATGACGATATCTTCCTCAACGAAAACGATGTGGAGATGAAAGACGACGACCGGAAGTGGCCAGGCGCGAAACCAAGCCGTCGCGTTAAGATCGAAGGCGAGGAGGTGAACGAGATCGACACTCTGACAACGAAAAAGGCGATCAAGAAGGCCGAGGAGAAGGCCAAAGCACTCAAGAAGAAATACAAGGATCCGGAAGACCAGCTTGCCGCAGAGAACCTGGCCTTTCAACGGCGGCTGTTCGGCGTCTCAAGCGGAGAAGAGGACGGCGACTCGGATGTGCAAGAGACCAAGCCCCCTCGGAAAGCCGCAATTATCGACGGAAACCTCTACATGTTCCAGTTCCCACCACTGCTACCACCACTCCACACTGTCGAGCGAGCTCAACAGCCACAAGGCCCCGTTAAGAACGAGCCCAGCGACGACGTAGTCATGCTCGACGCACCAGCCCACAGCGCAGACAAACCAGTCGACCTCACCGCCAACGACGACGCCAACGTCAAGCAGCAAGGCGGCGCCGACGACCAGGCGCCGCGGGAGCCCGAGGGCCAGCCAGAAGGGTTTGTCGGCCGGCTCATCATCCGCAAGTCGGGCAAAATGCAAATCGACTACGGCGGCATGCTGTTCGATTGCGAGTCCGGCATCCCCGTCGAGTTCCTGCGCACGGCCGTCCTCACCGAGATGGACGATGAGAAGAAGCCCGACGGCTACGCCGGCACCGCGTACGGCATGGGTCAGATCACGGGCAAGTTCGTCGCGGTGCCCAGGTGGAGCGAGGAGGACGAGTGGAACGTCGGCCCGGACGAGCTCCCACCCAACGGCGTCGGCGCGGCCGAGGAGGACGGTGCGGGTGCGGCTTAGAAGGCCGGCCGCCCTGCTGCCCCCTTCCTGCGCGGGCGTGGAGCCAGCTCTGCGGGGAAGAAGCCGCGCACGAGACTGCCATCTAGGGCGCCGCGCCGCCGGCGCTGATGGCCACGGTGCCCAGCCCACGACAATATTGAGGGAGGAGGAAAGGAATCATGTTGTACGATTTTCGCGGGAAGGAGTTAGCTGGACTGAGATCCAGGCTTTCAGGGGGCAACTCGATGTTTCGGAGGTCAATTGCATCAAGCAGGCGTTTGGTTGGACTGCACAGAACCCAGGACACGGTAGAGGTGCATGGCCGGGAAGGTGTATTATTTTTGTAGGGTGGCCCGAGCAAGTACCAAGGACGAAATTCGTCAAGACGCAACTAGAGGACATTACCCTAGGGTATCCATCACATTACAAAGTGCAGCAACATGAATATATGCGAATTCAGGATTGGTGGGGAGGCACCATAGTCTCGTCCGCTCTCGGACCAGGACGATCAGAACGGCGAAATATTCCGAGACGTAGATTCAACATGATATGGTCTATGTAAGGTATCAATTCGTCTGATCCGCTCACATCTCGCATGCACATGCCACACATGATCAAATCACAGCCCATTCTCAGCCTTGAATTTATCCCAACTCTCGTTGAGCGTGGAGAACACCGTCGCCGCAATCATCCGCGCCTCGATGCTCGAGTCTTGTGCCAACTGCAGAAAAGGGTTAGCGGGTTTCCTCTTGGATCGATTGCCTTGGGGATGCCCACTGCCAACTCACCTTGTCTGGATGCGTCTTGGCAATGGCCTTCATGTACACGACCTTGACGCGGTTGGCCATGACGAGCTCATGCAGCCCGACCTTCTTCCATCCGCTGCCCTCCCAGAGCACCTGATCCAGGCTCGCCAGCAGCGCCCGCAGGTTGTCCCTCTTACCGTCGCGCCACGCCGCGATGCGCGCATCCACCTGATCCGACAGCGCGAACTTCTCCGCATCAGCCGCCTCGGCGGCCTTGTTGGATTCTTGCAGCCGGGTGACGGCCTCTGAGTCCTTGGCTGGTGCTGTGGGCCTCGGTCGCGGCGGCGCCCGGGCTGCCGCTGGCTTAGGAGTGGCTTTGGGCTTTGGTGCAAGAGCCTTCTGGCACCTCTGGCGTCCGGCCGTGGCAGTCGGGCCGCCGACGCCGCTCTCGACACAGCTCTGCCAGACCTGACCAGCCTCGGCCCATCTCTCCATCTGCTCCAGAGCCTCAGCCTTGCGTGTGAGGGCTTTCCCATACAGATCCTTCATGTCTCGCTTGTCGCCCGTTTCGTCTTGAAGCGGAATGTTCTCGCCCTCGCCCTTCCCGGCGCCGATCAGCTCCAAGGCTGCGTCTGCATCAGTGACAGCTTGCCTCGGCTCGCCCGTCTTGAGAGCAGTCAAGGCACGGTTGCAGAGAATTACTATCGCCAGCGGGTGAGTCTGCGGGATTGCAGCTAGTGAAGAGGAGTAAGATGCGTGCGCTGACGCATAGTCACCCCTCTTGAAATGGGCAGTGCCATCACTGCGGTGTCGCGTGGAAAGTTGGAGTGCCGAGGGGTCTAAAGGAGGTATCTGGCGAGCAGGTCTCGGAGTAGGCGCCTTGCGAGGAGGCTGCGAGGCAGGGGGAGGTCTGGGTGATGGTTGCTGGGATCGAGTAGGCGGGGTCCGCGACGGTGCCGGTGAATTGAACAAATCGGGGTCTTGTATGAAAGGTCTGGGGTCCGCAGGCGGTTGAGGTGTGGTCTTCTTCCTTCTTGCTGGACTGACGTAGGCCTGAGAGCCTTGCTCTTCGATGACCTGCTTGTTTAGTCGGCTCTTTGGGTCGGAGAAAGACGGTTGCTGGTTCTGCTGCCACTTGGGGACGGACGCGCTCCTGGACGATCCCGCTGACAGTGCGGGAGAATGATCCCGAGATAGATCCCGGTGAGGCTCTGGCCGAGACGGCTGAGCGGGCCTACGAGACTGTCTGTCGGGCCGTGCGCCCGAGTCGAGCATCATCGCTTCGTCGGTTACTTCGCTGGGTTGTGCTCGCCCCTCGCTCTCTCTCGTCAAGTCCTGCTGCGCCGACCTCATCCACTTGGGCTGGCTGGGATCGGCCGGGCCTTCCTGGAACTCAGCCATCGCTTTTTGTACCTTCTTTTGCCCCACGCTCCAAAATTTGTTTGCGCTTTTAAGCAGGTTACTACCGACTGCGGCAGCCGTCTTTGCCAGATCCGCATCATGGGCGGCTGGAGACCGATTATCTCGCCGCCCGGGCCTCTCCTCGCTCGCCCAAGCAGGGCTCCCGTTGCGAGCGCGACTCGATGACCTGTCATCACTGACGCCTGCCGAGGTTCCTCTCTGGGACTTTTCTCTCGCCTTCTGGTGAGCAGCATTGAGCAGGTAGCTAACAGCTGCCTGCACGTTCAGGCCCTGGCCGCTCTCCGTCAAGCCTCTCGCAGCATCCTCGGCAGAAAACCCCATTTCCATGATCTGCGCGACCGCCTTGTCGAACGGATCACCGCCATGTGGTCGTCCTTGCGGCCGCCCTGTGGGTCTTCTTTGCTGCTGTCTTGGCGCCTCTTCGTCGCTGGAACTTGAATCGTCCTCTATGGGTTTCCCTGGCTCTGGCTCCTGTTTCGGGTGCGCTTTTTGCTTCTGCGCCTCCTGTTTCTTGCGCACTTCGTCAACCGGCCTCCCAAGATCACCGAGCAGATCATCGAGCTCGTCGTCATTGCCCGCCGGGGCGGGAGTAGGGGTGGAAGCTGTCGCTGACTTGGCTTGAAACTGGTTCAGCCCGAATGGATCGTCGTCGTCGTCGAGGGTCAGGCTACCAGTGTTGCCGTTGAACGTTGGCGCGGGTTGACTCCAAGCACTCGGATTGCTCAGATCTAGAGCCGGTGTTGACTTGCCCGATGCGGGAGGCGGATAGTGGCTGGCGTTGTCGACTTTCGTATCCTTGTTGAACGCAGCAAAGAGATCGTCGTCGGATGCTGACGGCACGCCTTGCGGGGAAGCATTGATCCCGGGTGCGCGCAATGCTGGTGACGCTGTTCTCGATGCGGCGCCCGACGATGAGCCCTGGCCGAGGGCATCCCAGAACTGGCCGTCGCCATAGGCGGCGCTCTGCTGCTGCTTCTTCTCCTGTAGCTTCTTCAATTTCTCAGCCTCGAGCTGCTTCTGGCGCTCTGCGAGGCTCATTTTCGCGGTGCTCTTGGGGGCACTCGTGGCCATGAGGTTGCTAAAGGCATCATGGGCGGGCTTTGTCGGGGCTGGGGCTGGGGCTTTGGAGCCGGCGCCTGAGACGTGCGAGGACAGAGGTGTATTTCGGCCGGAGTTGACGGGGGAAGGTGTCGGCTGGAGGGAGGGAAAGGATGCGAATGCGCTCGAGGAGTTCATGGGTGGCTTCTTCTGGTTGGAAGTGGACGAGGTCGGGGTGGACCAGTCCATGCCGGCAAGATCGTCCATCTTGAATGGTTGTGGGTGATGAAGGAGGGAAGTCTAGGGGATCTTGTTGATTCTGTAGCCTCTGAACATGTCATATATCGCGGAAGGTGGGCTGTGATGCACACATGAAGGAGTGGCACGCGGATATCTGGGGTCCGACACGAGGGTTTGCCTGAAAGCCGATGTGACGGATTGTTGCGACAAATGCTCGTTTGCTGTACTGTCGGTGGCCACGTCAGGCTGGGAGTCGGACGACAGCAGGGGCGATTAGCTCCTCCGTATTACATAACGTCGGCAGAAACGGTGGACACCAGGGGGTGCCCGGGTAGTTTGGCAGGTACGATAGATTAGGTGCGGCCTAGATACAGAGACGTGCATAAAGATTGTAGTATACGGTGCACCCAAAAGGTCGGTTCTGCTGTGAGAAAGAATAAGACAAAAGATTTCAGAGCTGCACCCAATCAAAATTTCCGATGCCCTCAAAAGCGGCATACTGCACTTCAGCGTGGGCAGCTTGAGAATCAATGAGATGTGGCGCTCTCAAAACCCGCCAATACCAGGGACTGGAGCGTATGCCTTGGCTGGCGTGGTGCCACGGTGATGAATGGGCTCTCCTCCGATGACAACGTGTGTTGAATAGACACAGATCGTCTATTGATATCAGAATGCTCCCATTGCCACTCGTGCAATCTTGCTGCTGCTGGGCCACCATCACTTCACTTCTCACAGGCACAGAGCAGCAAACGGGCTGGAACGGAGTACTGTGTGGTCAGACTACCTGAGCACCGGGGTATCTAGGTATCTAGGTACCTAGGTACCCTTGATACCAGACCAGAGAGACTGCAGGGCGCTGCAGGGCGCCCACGGCTTCTAGTCGAAGTTCTAGAACTACCAGAGCACCTGGGAAGTTGCCATCCTTGCAACTGCCCAGGCAGCCAGGCTGTCAGGCTGTCAGGCTGCCAGGTACAGTATGTTGACTGTCGCATTCCGTTGCTGCAGCACATAGTTCCATCCGCCCATCTTCAGGGGACCGACCGTTGGGCCCCACCCCTGATTGATCTCGCCATTCCAAGCTGGATGAGATGATCCACCTGTGCATGTCAGCCCTGTAGCCCAACCAACCCCCTGTCCGGCTGTCTTGTCAGGCTGTCAGCCCTCGCAGGCCCAAGGTGTTTCCAAAGTCCTGCCTTTCAGTGGGGTTTCGGGCACCAGACCCTTTGTTTGCAGCCTCGAGTTGCAAGGTTGAGGCCCTGGAACCTCTGGGGAACCCATCCCCTGCCAACCCCAGCGGGGAGGCTAATTTTAAGCTGGTTACGGCAAATGTAGTTAGTCACTGCACCCTGCGTCACTGTTGGGAGAGTCTTCCTGCTCCTGCTCCTGCTGCTGCACCTATGCTCCAGGTCCGACTCTTTGCTCTTGACCAACGACTCACAACACCAACCACAAGATCAACGCCACGCCACGCCACACCACGGCCGCGTAGAAAAGGTCGCCGAGCCTCGCAACCTCATGGCCTACTAATTCGTTCAACCAGCATCCGCTACTGTCCCTTCCCCTCCCCCACTCTCCTCTCAACTCCACTGCCTCATTTGCTGGTCTCGTGCCCCCCAAGTGAGCACAACGTTCTGCGCACCCGACAAGAAAATCATGTGTCGCTTTCTGGTAACTACTGCCCTCCCTGGTCGCTGTGCTGCACGCTCAGTGCGACGACTTCTATCGGCCCGAGCTGACGATGCACTCCGTCATTCCAACAGGTCTACAAGGGAAGTGACGAGATCCTGCTCTCCAAGCTCATCCTCGAACCGTGCCACTCCATCCTCAGACAAAGCTTCGACTCTCGCCTTCGACTTGTATGTTTCCCATGAGTCTTGCCTTGGGTGGCAGCTCAAACTTGATTCCCCGACTCCAAGCACGCCATCGCAACCGGCCCCTTCCTAACCTTCGTACAACGGCCTTCGGCCATCTCTCTCAGGCGCGCGTGTAACATTGGCTGACATGATCATCACTTAGGACACGAGACGCGGAGCAAACAATGCCGATGGCTTCGGCATAGGCTACTACACCAGCCCCAAGCTGGGCGCAGAGCCCTGCATCTTCACCTCGACCACACCCGCCTGGAACGACCCCAACCTGCAGCGAATCGCCTCAAAGACCGCATCGAATCTCATATTTGCGCATGTGCGAGCCACCACTGAGGGCTCCACGTCCCCAGACAACTGCCACCCTTTCGAACATGGCAGCCTAATGTGGATGCACAATGGCGGACTCGGCGGCTGGAAACACATCAAGCGTAGACTGGCTGAGCGTCTCGCCGACAAGTGGTATCTAGGCGTGCGGGGAGGCACCGACAGCGAATGGGCCTTTGCATTGTTCCTCGACACGCTGGAGCGCATGGGTGTCGACCCCAGCTCGTCCCCGAAGAAGGGCTTCGGTCCCATGGTGCTCAGGAGGGCCATGTTGAAGACCATCGCGCAGATCAACGACCTGATCGACCAGATTCCTGAGAGCACCTTGCACAGCGAGAACATCGACACACGAAGTCTTCTCAACTTCTGCGTGTCAGACGGTCACAGCATCATTTGCACCAGATACATCAACAGCTCCACAGATGAAGCCGCTAGTCTGTATTACTCCTCGGGCTCCCAATGGGAGACGAGGCAGCATGATGACAATGAGAATTATCAAATGAAGAGGCGCGACAAGGGCGCAGATGTGGTGCTCGTCTCCAGTGAGCCTCTGACATTTGAAAGAGGTCAGCCGAAACTCACCAGCCAATTCTGTATCAGCAATAGACTCACTGACTGACTGTACTGCAGAAAACTGGATCAATGTCCCCACCAACTCCATCCTGACCATCCATGACCAGACCGCTTTCGTTCAGCCGATAATAGACCAGTTCCATCACAAAGACCCCTGGCATCGTCGCTCAGCTGGCTTCGTTCAGAGCAAAGGTCTCGCCGCGAACGAAAAGGCACCCACGCCTCTCTCGATATCCACTCCGGCCATGGTCGTCCCCGGGGCCAATTTGCAGGCGGACATGTTTCACAGAAGAGCCAACTTGGTACCAACAATACCATTCATGAGGTCCATGACGCCTCAAATCTTGAGGACCACGACTTCCGAGGCACCCAGCAGCATTGCCACCGCATCGCCTCGACCTTCTTTGTCGACCGTCGATACTAGCAAAAGCACAGATTTCAGAACAGTGACAGGTCCACCAGTGAGCAGACAGGCGTCTACCTCGAATCCGCCGAATCCACCAGTGTTAGGAAACATCAAGAAGAAGAGGATGTCGCTCGGCAATCTGGAGCAGCTTCAAGGGCCGTCTTCGTCGTCAGAAACAGAGCCGCCGACCCCGATGAGTCCGCTAGACAGAACATCTTACGGCGATCCGAACAAGATCGCACAATACTTTCCAGAGCTTACTCTTTCGCCCTGAGGGCTGGGCACTAGCTTCGGAGTCCATGTGTTCGAAATTCCTTGTCCCTACACAATTTTCAGGTCCAAATTTGAGATATAGATCGCAAGCTCAATCCTTTTCGGATCAAGTAAGGCGCTCAGGAGTACTAAAGCATTTTGTGGCAAGGCAAATGCTTGAGGTTGTATTTATGCTTCTCTCGCGGCATATTAGACTATTGTTCAATAACACACAAATACATGGAGATTTGTTATGAACTTGGACTTTTCCACAAAACCGCGTTCTTATTGTCATTCTCGTGGTTTCCAACGCAGCCATACTGTATCTGCTCGCAACTCTTGTCAGCAGCATAAGCAGTTCCTCAGTAGACGATCTTGACAATGAAGGGCCGGAGGGAAATGGGAAGGGCAAAAGCAAAGATGGCTCCAACGAGTACACCTGTATCGCCGTGGGTGTGCACCGTGCAGCGAGCACAACACAATCTCTGGGCGAGGGGTACGATTCGGGCTGTGAGAGAGAGAGTGAGAGGTTAAAAAAGAAAAAGGGAAAAAAAAAACAAAAAGATGAGGGTGTGTCCAGGGATTGAACTGGGCACCTTTGACAGGGAACTATAGCAAGCATACTCCATCCAAATTTCTGTGAATGTCGCGGTGCACCTTAAGACTACACTATAGGCCCTTTCTTTGGTGAAAATCAACTGGTTTTGATTTCTTATGAACTGAGGTCTCATGGGAGACAGTGTGGTCTGAGCACCTAGGTACCTAGGTACCTAGATCGACCCCCTGGCGGAAGTTCGGGAATCGGAAGACGTTGGGATGAGCGGATCTAAGCGGAGGCCGGCCCGGCACTAGCTTCGGATGACCGCCGGCCCCAACTTGCCAGTTGCCGCCGCCCTCTCCTTGGTTGCCTGTCTCGTGCACGTCACAGCCAATCACCTTCTACTATTGCAGCTTTGAACCGCCTCCATTTGCAGTTTTGAGAGAATTCTTTTGAAGCGGAAAATTAAAGGTTGGACGGAGTGAGGAGCGAAGAGGGCGGGAAGACCAACCATACCAACCATTCGCTGTCCAGGGCCAAAGCCAACAACACCTGAGCAGAACTTGCAGTTGGCCACCACGCCATCGAATCAGCCAGAATGGAGTCTTTGAAGAGGACAGAATACTACTACGCAAAAGAGAATGTTCTGCAAAATGTTGCCGTCTGGGAGTTTCCAAAAGACAAGGACAAGGCGGCACAACCCGCGCCAGGGACGACCAAGTGGCTCATGTGAGTCAGCTCCTCCAATGGACATTTCTATCCTGCTCGGTCAATCTCACACAACCTCGCCCAAACTGAAGATTCATCCATGGCGGGGCCTGGCGCGACCCGAGATCCACCTTCAGCGAGGCAGAGCCGACCATCAATGCCCTGCTAGACCCTGCCTCCAAGTGGCACATGCCCGACGCCCCCTCCCGCATCGCCGGCTTTGCATCCCTCAACTACCGCCTCTCGCCCCACCCGGACTTTGCTCAGGACACAGGCACGACGCCCTCATTCGCAGCTCGTACCGCCCGCCACCCGGACCACCTGGACGACGTGGTGTCGGGGCTGGGATTCCTGCAGCGGCAGTTTGGCTTTGGCGGCGACTACGTGCTGTTCGGGCACTCTGCCGGCGCGTTCTTGGCGTACCAGGCGCTGCTGGGGCCGGCTCTTTGCTCGCAGCCGGGGCCAGGCGGGGATTTCGCGCTCCCCGCTGCGGTCGTAGGGTTCGAGGGTATCTACGACCTGGTCGGGCTCGACGGGCGCATGGGCGGCGGGTACGCAAGCTTCATCGAGGCGGCGTTTGGGCGGGATCGGGATGGGTGGCGGGACGCGAGCCCCGCGACGGCGGCGGGGAGCTTTGGGGAGTGGGCAGGGCAGGAGGGCCCCCGGCTGGCCGTGCTGGCTCACTCGGCTGATGACGAGCTGGTGGATATGCCTGAGCTGGGGACCATGGAGGAGAGACTGAGGAGCGATGGGGTGCGGGACCTGTTGGTGTTTCGGGACCTGAAGGGGGGCCACATGAATGTTGTGAGTGATGGGAGCTTTGCGAGGGTGTTGGTAAGGACTCTGGATGAGTTGGCAAGGTTGAAGGGCCAATAGGAGGAGACCTAGAAGCATCTGGACGTTCTCATCCTCAGGGTGGCTTTTGCTGAGTGGGTGTTGATCGTGAGCATGTAGGAACGGTGTAAGTTGTGGCCCATGAGCGAGCGGTGTGGGCGGTGGGGCTCATGTCGTCACGGTAGGAATGCCACGGAGGGGAAGCGATGCTCTCAATAGGAGTTCTGCTCGATCAATCCTCCGACGAAGCCCTGGAGGGCTTGCCAGTCTACACCAGCAACAGGCTATAGGGTGGTACCAATTTAGAAAGCTGAGTATGCCCTGGTAGACGATTCGAATCGATTGTCTGACTCAAATGGGCATCAAATATCGTTGGGAGGCATTATCACAGCCTTGATCGATTAGTGCGTATTCACAGCTCATGGTTCATCTCTGAATGTGGACTATCAATACACGAACGATCCCTAATTTCATGTTGGAGGCCAGCTGCCTCATTCTATACAACAGAAACTGTATATTTATTGCTCGAACATACACTCACATTGTCAAAATACCCCCGAAATACAGAACTGCAGGCATGCGGGCTCCGGTCTTGTGGAGAGAATCCTGTGATTTGGCGGACGCCAACTACTAGCTCATATAGCCTCTTTCCACGTCCTCTTGAGCATTTATGGCTCTCAATTGAGAATCTATGCAAATCAAACTTCAATTCTAGCTGGTGGCGGAGGCGGCGGATAACGAGATGGCGGACGAGCACATGAGTGAAGATGATGTATATGGGGGGGAAGAGGAAAGGCGGCCTACTTCACCCTCGACTTGATCCATCTAGGTATTTCATCTGGACTTTTCGAACAGTAGTCGTAGTCAATGACCCTAGCAAGGGGGGATGGTGTATTGGTATGTTGTGTAGGTGCAAATGTGCAAAACGTACTTCGAAACATATAGCTCTGGTGCCGCTTTTATGAGACGGCGGGACCTATTAACTACTATAGCGCTCCCCTAGGGGTTTTTAGAAACTATCACTAAACCATCCCTTCCACTTTAAAATAATACTCTAAATAGTCTTTAATATTTTAGAATTATTCCTTTATTAATACTCTTTAATAATAATTATAAAATATATTAATACCTTTCTTTAAAATTAAATTTTCTTTAAAATTAAAACATCTTTTAAAATTATTTTTTAAAATTTAAAATATAAAAAAAAATATTTAATTAATGTTAATTAAATAAATAAAGTAAATAAAAAGTTAATTAAAAGTTTTTTTTAAAAAAAGAAATACTATAAAATAAATAAAAAAGGAATTCTTTTTTAATTAATCTTTATATTAAAATAAAAGTTTAATATTAAGAAATTTTAAAGATTAATACTTTTTAAAAACTTAATTTTTTTTTTAAAAACCTCTTTTTTATTTAAAGATTATTAAAAAAGAAAGGAACTATTAATAGTTATAATTATTATTAAATTATAATAGAGTAGAGATAATTTTTAAAAACTTTAAAGTATATAGTTTAATAGTAGTATAATTCCGCTTAGCTAAAAATACTATAATCTCTAATTTAGTTTCTAGCTGTCCCTAGTAGTTAATAAGGCCGTATTGTCATATTGCCTTCCCTCCCTTGGCCTTTGGGAGCTATAGACTAGTAGCAGTGAGGATGTGGGCCAGAGATAACTGCGACGGTAGGCAAAGACTGCAGGTAGCCCTTCGCCATCGAGCACATGCACCCGGCTCAGGGCCCATGATGAACAATCTGCACATTGCTTTTTCGTGTCAGTATATAAGCCCCCGTATTGTCACAACAACAAAGGCATTTTGAGTTGTGGAGTAGTCCATTTATATTGGTTCTGGTTTCGTTTTTTTTTTTTTAAAAAAAAAAGAAAAAAGCCATATCTTAAGTGTTTACAATTGTATAAAAGCGCCGTGTATAGCTTGTGAAGTATGTGTAATAGAACTAAAACCAGGTATGAAGGTGGCGCATATGAGACCACCGCTATATTTGTTTGTACAGGGTGTGTGTGTTCTCCGTATCACTTCGGGCGAGTGTCCGCCACAGGGAATGGGCGATGAGTGAATGGAGTATGGGACTATTTGTACTCCTTGATTTCACCTATTAGTTAAGCTGGAACAGTAAGTGTCCCAGAAGGACCAGGCAATGTATCTTTTCAGGAGTGAATGGAGTATATGCACGTTTGGAGGATTGCCTCAAGCTGCAAAGCTACCAAGCTGCAGAGTAAGTAGACATCGGAAGTCCACGCCCACTAGGATTGAAATCATCATTGTTTCTGCCAGTCGCCATCAAACCTGCCCCGCTGCCCATTATACAGTCCGCAACCTCAAACAAGACTGAACACACGCCAGCGGACACATGACTCCAAGGACCCCACCACGTGCGTTTATGTAGGGCAGGATGTCAAGCAAATGTAACGAGCACCGACCATCGCCGGGCCGCAAAAAACGTTCAAGTCCATATACATCCCCCTTCCAGTGTCGTTGACTTCCTAATCCGTCAAGCATAGAGGCTCTTCCTCAGCGCACAAAATCGTGGAGAGAGGGGGACTCGGTTCCGCAATTGGATGAGTTGTCTGATACAGCTTCGACAGCACTGGAACCTGCGCAGTTAGCTCGAAGACAAGTGCTATGCTGAGCGATGATGTGAGGCTACGACGTCGGGGCAGGAGTGGCCGACCGCCGTCACCGCATGCCACGGTTTAACAAAACAATGCCAGCTTCGACGGGACGCCTCGGCCGCACGGCACTAGGATGTCGAGAGTAGAGCACGCTATGTTGACAAGAAAAGAAGAACCGGTAGCCATGTGGCTTGTATCTTACAGATGACACATTTGTCCGAGTCCATGCCATACTAGTAGCTACTACAAGACACACCGGGGCTGTCCCAAAGGGTAATACAGAACCATGCATGCAGGATCGAAACGCCTTGTACAATACTCAGTAGTCCAAGCGCAACATATGTCCATGCCTAGGGTTACATTATTCCACACTCTGCATTGCCGTGCCGCTCATGTACCTCGACAACATTGTGGGGTAAAACAGGACCCCCCCTACATCCCCCCAACTGCACACTCTCCCCAACCCCAAAACCGAACGTCCCGCCAGGCCGCAAGAGGGCGGCCCACTAGCTTTTCCCCAAAACATAAACTGAGCCATTTTAAACTTTGTGGTCTAGCCAGAAGGGGACAGTTTGCAGGGATTCTAATTGGTCTTGGCGCAGGCGGGCTACCCCCACTACCTACCCCACCATTCCTCTTTCCCTCTTTTGTCGCCCCTCCAGGGCCCTCCTTGATTTGCTTTGCGTCGCCTGCGGCAGGTGCCGTTCGATTCCCGCGCCAGGGATCAGGTAATCTTGCTGCTATTAATGGACACCCCCCAGGAGGGGGGGTAGCTGGGCTTCGTCGGCCAATTGGTCGGCGAGGCACAGGGACACGGGAGCACTGCACGCGCAGAGGCAAAAAGGACAGGCGCTGCCACCGTTTGGGCCAGGGATCGGCACAACACATGCCATATTGTGCGTGCACATCTACACACAACGGCTCGGCTCTTTCTCTGGCTCATAAGAGGTCAGGCCATAAGCCCAATGATTACATCACAGCCAGTCGTTGCCTTTATTTTGCCCATCGCGCTTCGTTCTCAGAGTGCAAGGGTGGTATGATCAGATCCTACGGAAAACCAGAAGACCCCCCAAAACCAATCTTCCGTCCGGGTCCTTTATTAACTTAACTCGCACCACAAGTGATCCCGGATGGAGCGGCGAGTAGGGATCTGAGAGCACCGACGGCCGACAGGGGGCTGTCGCAAGACGCTTGGAAACGGCCTGGGGCAAGGGGGTCTGCGACAAACAGCATGTCAACGTAGCAGGCAGACGAGGATCGCATGCTCTCGCGGCGGTGAGGACGACGGAGGCGCAATGCGCCCATAGCCAACCAGCATCAACAGGATATCAAGGCCAATGCCGGCAGGTTGGCTCTGTAAATATTTCAAGAGCAAGTTCTTTTCACGTCGGAAGCAGCTACCTTGATTTGAAGGTTTGATCGTATTTGCTCCGGCTAGAGTGGTGCTCAACCTCGTCCGGGTGCAGCTCACAGCTTATTGATGTCGTTTGTGATTTCAATTCGCCGACATAGTGCGCGCCATCAGTCCAAGAAAAGGAAATGGAAAGCCAGAAAACAAAAACAAAAACACGAGTAAGCCAGTTTGAGACAACAATGCCCGCCGCCCATAACAAGGAAAGGTTTTCAAGGAAAAGGGGAACTCCAATAGAAATGTTTCCGACTCTGGCCAAGTTTCGTTGGTTCGATCGCAGGGCACTGAAAGCAGTTTTCTCCGTTGCGACAGAGCCAGGCGAAGAGGCCAGAGGCCAGCAGGGCAGGCTCTGCCGCTTGACCGCCACCCCCCAGGCTGCCAACACACCGCCCATGGCCCGAGCATTGTCACCACAGGGCTCGTTTCTCCACTTCAATTTTGGCAGATCCACTTTGCCAACCCCTGGAACATCTTCGTCCTCGAATCTCCAGCCGCGCCCCGACGGCCCGGGACCGACCAGCAAAAAGCTTCTGGAAGCCTCGCCGATTTTGGTCTGGCGAAAGATGACTGTGTGGTCGTAGCATGGTGTAAAAGCCAGCCCACCTGCCCCGACACATTGACCCAGCCGACCCAAGAATGGGAAAGGGAAAGGAAAAGGAAGGAAAATGTGACAAATGCGCGCGCGCCATATGGACAAGACAGGAACCCCTGGATGAAAACAGATTGCCAACAACGCCTGTGCCCCGCCGGGTATAGTAAAGGAGTGTGACGACGGCAGCTGTTGAAGCCGTCAAGATATTCGCTGAGCGCTGTATGCTTAGCAAGCCTCCGGTCGTGAGGCCTGAGATAATAGACACAATAGATCCACACAAGCACTTTTCAGTCCCGTCCTGTTAATTGTGTGCTTTCCTCCCGCTTGCTCATACACAAAACTGCGCGCGCCCTCCGGCGTTGTCATCGAGGGTACGCCGTGCGAGCGGAGCCATGTATCGCTGTGTTGTTCGGAGTAGACTAAGACGTGCGGCCCGAAGGGTCGAGAGCCCCAGCAGGGGCCCGTAGCCCGACTACCTCTTCCGCTTCTTGTTCTTGTCCGCGGAGCTGGCGGCTGTCATTGTGACCATGGCCGTGGCAATCGGCGCGGCAGGGAGCAGAGGGTTTGCTGGTGCTGGCATCTCCTCCTTGGTCCCGACGACGGGTACGCCCATATGCCGCCCATAGCGACCTTTTCGGCCGTTGCCCTCGTCTTCGCTGATGCACAACTCCGCGGGAATCCCAGCGTCTCGGCATCTGCCACAGGGGCGCTGTCTATCACACCCTTTCTTGCTCTTCCGGCAGCGCTGGCAGCGTGGCTTGGTGGAGAGATCAGGGTGGTCCTCGTCACCGTGCACACTGCTGGTTGCGCCTTGGTTGGACGCGATGGACGGCTTGCGCGATGCCGGCAGGGAGGTAGGCGACATCGGGCCGTTGGGGATGATACTGCCGGACTTCTTGACCTTGGCGCCGTTGGCAGGCTTGGTGGACTTGCTTGCCTTCGTCGTCTTTGGCTTGATGATGCTAGTGGACTGAGTCCGAGGCTTCTGGCCGTTGGCCGCCTTGGGTGCCTTCAGCTTGGGGGCACTCATTGTGCCCTCTCCACTGTCAGAATAGACGTCTTCATCCTCGCTCGGCTCGAATTCGGCGTTAGCAGGGCTGAAGTGGGTCTCGGTGGTAGGATATATCTTCTTGACAGCACCAACCGCGTCCAGCCTTTGCTTCCTCGTGGGCTGCTTATCGCCGTCGCTCTCGCTGTCGCCGTCGCTAGTCGCGCCAGTAGACGAAGCTGCATCCGCATTGCGACTGAAGGTATCGTCAAGTGTGGAGGCCGAAGTACGGCCATGGGAGATGTTGGAAATATCGCCGAGGCGCATCAATTGGATGGCTACATCCTTGTCCTCCTCCGACATGCAACTGCCGACGGTGGGATCTGGCGTCGGCAAGATGCCCATGCTCGGGGCGATGCCAGATGCAGTAGAGTAGCCGATGGTGCTCCTAGCACGGCGGGTATCCGTGACAGGTGTGGCATACATGCCAACACCGTTGTAGCCAGGAGTGTAGCTCTGCGGCGACTGCAGCAGCCGGGGGTTGGTGAAGGGATTCTGTCCGGGCTGTACGAATGGAAGGGTTGCACGATTGTGCTCAACACGGCGGGCTGGGGAGACTGAAGGATTGGATAGGGCAGCAGGCATCTGAGGAGGTGCGAAAAGGGGCAGCTCCTGGGCACGCTGATGTTAGCCATCACTGCTGAGATAGCTTCATCAACACCAGGGACGCAAGCGTGGGACTTACAGAGCTCTCAAATTTGGCTCGCTTGCGGCGGCCGCCTTCGACGATGTTGTCGAGACTGATCTCGGTGCTGCCGATCTGCTCCTTGGACTTCCCGGAGGAAGAGCCGGGGGCATTGTCGCCGCTGCTGTAGCCGTTCATGCTATCACTGTGTGCGTCGTTGTGTGTTTGAGAACCGGGCCCGCGGCTCCTGTTGGAACGGGGGCGGGCATGCCTGCCATTGGTACTGGTAGACGCACTTCTTCCTTCGTGGAGGTTGGCCGGTGACACGCTCCTCCGCCTGGACGATCTGGAGCCTGGCCGTGACGCATGCAGTGGCTGTTGCGACGGACCCTGGACGGCAAGCCCGTCCTGGGTGTAAAAGGACTGGGCGCCTGGCTGGCTCGGCTGAGCGGCGTGTGGGCCAGGGGTGGGAGGGCCGTCGCGGACTCGCACGTATACAACCGAGTTGTGGCGGAAGTTCTCATACCTTCCGATGATTGTGTTGCCGTGCTCATCCTCGAAACTGACGCCGGGACAGCTGGTGGCACTTGGATACAGACCATAGAAGTTCTTGACGGTGGTTATGATGGACTCAGTCGTGTCATGGGGGTAGATCTGTACCCTCATGGGTAATCGCGCCCGGTACTGGGTAGAGTCTGTGACCAATTCGAACTTGACCGACCGGGGGACGGCGGGAGTGTGATACTGGGGCTGCGTGAACTCCATGACCCTGTCCTCGCGGCTCATAGAGGCGAGGATATGAGCTTCAGTTGGGGTGGGAGGGGAGTGGTGCTGGATAGGATATGCTGTAGCCAGCGAGCTGACATGTGCCCTTGGGGAGATGTCCGACACGGGAGATTGGGACGACATCAGACTCGGTGGTGCCATTCCTATCGAAATGACTACCCTTCGAGAATGACTGTTCCAAAAGACGGGGATTCCTGTCTTTTGTCCCTCCTCTTGGCTTCGTCTTGACGGATATGAGTGTGTGTTTTTTTGGGGGTGTTTCTGAGCCCGTGTGGATGAAGCCTGCGTGCCCACAGTCTGTCCCAGGTGCTGGGGCGGTCAACCCGCGGTTCTCGGCGCTGAAGGGGGGGAGGGCGACCGGGTCGGAAGATGGGAGCAGGAGGGGAGCGTCGTGGGTGGTTGGATCTGAAAACACAGGGAGTAATTAGCTCTGGACAGCAAATGCGAGCAGCAACAATGCAATAGATGCCGGGCGGTGGCCTCTGTTGCTGTCCAACACAGCTCACGGATTGCACAGTGGGCGGCGCTGGAGCCCAGAGGGGCGACCGAGCCGGCAGGAAGTTTCTCGCGGGCGGATGGCAGGGAAAGGCAGATATCATTGTCGAGAACCTCGATCGCATGGACCAAGAGAACAGGTCTGACTTACCAGTCGAGGATAGGGAGGCTGTTGTTGTGCCTGAAAGGGCTTTGAAACTCGGGACTCGTCTGTTCCCTCTGAGGCGGAGGCGGCAGTCTGCGACGAGATGGCATCAGACCCGGGCGATCTTTGGATGGGGACAAATGAGCAAGTAGGGAACGGCCGAGAATGCTCCCAATGCCTCAAATGATGGGTGGAAACGGCTTACCAGGTGATTATGGCGTTGTTTGATGGGTGTGGTGGGAGAGTCCGGAGGGTTAGGAGGGAAAGAGGAGAAGTTCGCAGCGAAGAGGATGGATGGGTTTGTCTCGACGGCCTCAATAGGCGAATAGCGCAGAAGCCCGCCTGCCCGCCTGCGGGTCACCTCACAAGCCAGGACACTTGCCAGTTCACTCACTCAACATTTACATAACACAACACACTCACACAGCACATAGCACATGGCACATAGCACACGCACCACACATACAAATTCACACACAAGACAAGACAGCACACAGAGACAGCGCAGCACCATCTTTGGCCTGTTTTCGTTTTCTCGCCTTGTAATCGCAACTCTGCAGGTGCGGCCAAATGCCCAGGTCTATTGCGGCCGCCAGGTTGGCGCATTTCCCGGCCGATCGATACCTCTCTCTTGTGGCTCTGTAGTCTATTTATCTCGCTCTACCTGTTGCGTATAGGTACAGGCGCTCTGCCGCTAAAACCTGCTCCATGGTACAGAAAACGAGGTCATCCTGAGTCTTGTGCGTCGCAGAGACCTGGCTGTGTTAACCGTGGGTAGCATGCTCTCTCCGCTTCTTTCATGCGCTTCCCAGGTCACTTCTCGATTCGATACGTAGCACATACCTAGAGAGCTCGGGCGAGTGAGTGTCTGCTGGGCCCCCAGGCCGCAAGAGGGTTGTTTACCCCGAATCTCGAGTGAAACATACGAGCGCAAACCTTCTTCCCCTCGTCCCGGCAGCCGTCGGCCATGTCTGCAATAGACTAAACTACTACTTCCTCCTCGGTCTGCGTCCTGCGAACCGCACCTGCGCCGTGAATCACTGTGCGCCCAACACGCCAAGCTGCAGTGGAAGACTGCGTCTGGCCTTGTCGCAGCGGAACGCACCATCTCGACGTTCAATTAAATGTTCCAGCGCATTTCGTACCGAGGAATAGGCAAACAGAACAGGGGCAGACCCGGGCCTGCCCCAGGACGCCCAGTGGCCGGTACGGGCTCTCTCAGCGTGCCCTTCATCAACCACTCGAGATTGGGTGGAGTTGTGGCAACCTTGACCAAGGCATTCCAGGTCGCGCAAATTGGGGTCTGTCTCGCTCGGTCCTGAACCCAACCCGATCGGCGGGCCGCTGCCCTCTGCGAGAGAATGGAACTGGAGGCATTAAGCCGGTGCGAGACCCAACGTGCGCATCTATCTGTAACCTCCCGGGACAAGAGAGGCGCGGGCGCATGCTCTTTCATAGAGCAGGCACACCTGCCACCGTTTCCCAAGATGATGGGAAACAAACGATCACCTGCGCATCTTGACACTTGACTGGCGGGAGACTCCACGAACACACCCATCCATGCAAGCTCCGGGCTGGAACGGCTTGGGTTGGCCGTTCTCAGACCCTCACCCTCCCGAGGGTCTAGATCAAGTATTGCTCCAGGGAGTGCCTGACTTTAGAAGGTTTGAGGGCCCTTGGACATGCACATCATCTCCGACTCGAGACCCCGTCCAGCCTCCGCTCCCAAGGCTTGTGATTGCGAGGTATAGCTGTTGCCTCTGCCGGGCCGCACAGACGGCGTGCTTTCTCGCTGTCAATGTTCACACGAGTGCCACGCACGCTTCGCCGTTGGTCGTGCCGCCCACACCCCGACACTCAGTCCACTGTGCGGCCCAGACAAAAAGCCTGGGCCCGATTCCAGCGAGCTGAAGGAGGATGGGCATGGGCAGGCGGCGAAACCCCCCACAGCCGGGATGTCGCTGTTGCGTTGGTGCGCAAGCTTAAGTTGTCAAACCTTGCCGGCTTGGGTGACGGCCAGGCGCTCATGGGGGGGTCGCACCCAATCCAAGTGGCCCGCGAAGGGGGGTGGGGGGCAAGCCAGGCGCATCGCCGGATTCCTCATGCACATTTAGACTAGCAGAGGAGGATGACGGAGCGTTCGACTGTTGCGAACTTGTCTGTCATTGTGCAATATGCCAATGGCCAGGCCAGGCAGGTTCTCGTCACTACACAGTAGGCGGGCAGGTTGCAAGGTTGCAAGGCGCAAGGCGTGAGGCAGGCGAACAAACGCTGGCACCTGTTCGTTGCCCGCTTGCGAGGCGCAGTGTATCGCGAACCCCACCCATCCCATTGGCGCTTGCGGACCGCGAGAGACCGGTCGCCTGCCAGTTGGTTGTGAGACAGGGGCTCTCTGGACTGGTCGGATGCGCCTAATCTGTACTGTGGTAGAAACAAACAGGACTTTTGCCAGTGCCGCCGGGGTTTGAGTGAAGGATGGCAACATGATGGACCGGCGCAATCTGCTCCTGTCGAAAGCGTTCTAGGAACAGCCTATGAGGCTTGCTTGCCCGCGGGCCAGTCCTGGGCTGTCCAAGCTCCCGCAATCTTTTGTCGCGCGGCCCCGTCACCCATCGCCCTGGGGCGACCAGGACCTGTCAGTCAAGTCAGACACATCGGTCGATGGATCGCACACAGTCACATCAGGCGGGCAAATGGCAGGCCAAGCGCGAGACGCACGGCACGGCAAGCACAGCATTTCCAACGAAGGGCGATTGAGTTGGGTGCGCGAACCGGATCGGGCCAAGAGCGAGCGTGCGTGGTCAGGTACGCGTGAGATAATACATACTCCGTGCTGCGTCTTAATAATGACGGCCGGGGCTGGCTGGACACACTGCAATCTGAGCGCCGCGATCGCCGAGAGGCATTTACTCATTTAGTGGTTGGTGCTCTGCGGGTGCGCTGGTCGGGTTTCAGGTGCCAGCCTCAGAATCATATGTACCATCCTCAACCCGTCGCGCGACAGCTGGAAAGCACCTCGCGAGAGCCCTCGATCCAACAAGGAGGGACACACACAGAGAGAGCTTCTTGCCCGGGTGCTGTGGGTGTGTGCGACTGCAGCTGGCACAAGGTCAAGCTTCCGAGAGAGTGGTGCGGGCCCGGTCTCGTGATTCGTTGAATCAGAGTTCGCCGTCTCATGTCGCTTCATGATGCGAACCTGACCTCGGACAGCCGGTGAGACGTATTCTTGCCCAGGGCGACTGACGGGACTTGACGTGCGCATGAACGAGAGGGCTGGACGGTCTCAGGCAGGTGGCATTGAGCTGAGGAGGGGAGATTCCCCGCCGTTAGAACAGCTCAGCTCTTGCCATGGGGACTAGAGAAACTGTCTTCGCACCTTGATGTCCGGATGGCGGGAAAGCCGTCATTGAGGAGACAGACCGAGAGTTTGACCAAGTAAGCTGGCAAGCTGGCAAGCTGCCCGATCCGGGCTGCCGGGCATGGTTGCGATTCAGACGAGGGCCGTCATTCAACCATTAGCGGCTGGGCTTGGGAATGCGACCTCCAGGATCTGTCAACCTCAACCACATGTGAGCCAGTGGTGAATTGGTGGTAGATAGATGGTGTCCCTAGATCCTTGATACGGACCGTCCACACCACATGCAGCGCTACTACGAAGCGCAGGCATCTGGGAATTCAGCCTGCCATCGACCAGAGGGCCAGTCAGCCAATCCACCAAGAATACAGAGGGCTCTGCTGGCCGATCCGTGGCCCGAGGATCGCAAATCCACCAGGTACCAAGAGAGAATCCCATCTGAGCCTTTGCCTGGGCAAGCAAGTGGCCAACAAGCAAGACCTAGCAGCAGGCGGATGGCCCACGCAGCAGAGACAACAAGCAGCCCCCTCTAAAAGGAAGAGCCTCGACGCTGCCACGCTGCCACGCTGCCACGGAGCCCATGAGTGGAGCTGGGTCGCATGCAATGCAAGACAAGTGCCGTAGCGCACATTAGCTGAGTCGCAACAACCCCCAGGAGGCGTGAGGACTCGGGCTCCCAGGCTCCCAGGCTTCCAGGCTCCCCAGTGCCTGCCTGCTGTCGACGGGGACCACGATTGCGCGACGCATCAGACAACTCTCGTCCACTATGGGGCTACGGGTCTCGCGGATGTTGAGGGCTGGTGGACCCGCCTGCCTTGATGTGCTGTTTGGCCTGCGGCCGCCGGGGTGAAGGGGTGACAGAGGGGGGAGGGGAGGGGGGCAAGCGGGGAGAGGCATGATGGAGAGAGCTGAGCCGTTTTCAGTCACTGCTGACCCCCCCTATTTTGCTGAGCGCTCTTGCGACGGCCTGTCGCATCCAGCGCTTCGCAACATTTGGGGGCGACGGGGCCTCCTCAGATACGACGGATGGGCAACATTGCATGGGCAACACTGCAAGGCCAACTCACTCGACGTCTTGTCCAGTATGGTTTGGTCCAAAGGCTTTGTTTCCACTGGGTTTTGCGGTGGGGATAGGGGATAGCATGTTGTTCCCGCGATAGTGCCATGATCGCAATCGACGCAGACCATTTCCGGCTGGTGATTGATTGGCATGATCACGAGAGAACCCGGTCCCGCTTTGGCAGTCTGGCAGTTTGGCCGGGCGTCGTCGTCACTGTGGGCAATTGATCAGGGCAGACTGGCCGAGAGACGAGGGGCTGCGCTTGCACTCGGTAGTGGGGCCCCCAACGGGCGCACCCAGCCAGCCAGCCAGCGTCGTCGATTGAACGCAACGGCCGTGAGGGATCGCCCACTTTCGAAAAACCCAAGGCTTCTGGAAACCAAGAGCCGTTATTTCTACTGTGCACCTGCGCCCAACAACGGGTCGCGCTGGGATGGGGGATCATCAAAATTCAAAAAAAAAACATTGTGCTTCATGTGGCCCCGGCCGAGGGAATGCGACGGCGATCCTACTGGCCAGCGGTCCAGAAGGGGTCGGCCAGCAACAAGGGCCCAGGGGCAAGCGGCAAGCCAGCAACGGCGGCCCACCTCCAGAGCCACTGCACAGCACAAGCACCCGTTTGCGCCAGCACCGCCCAGCCGCAAAAACCAAAAACCTTGGGTGGACAATCCCCCTCTTCCTGGCGACAGGGCCATGCGCGGCCCGGATGGCACTGCCAGGACCTCGGGAAATGCTGGGTTACATGGTCCGACTGACTCTGGAATGCATGCGACAAGATGTACCTGGGGACGGCGGGTTTGCGACAGCGATTTCGAGAGGTAGCAGGGTCGTGCACGTGACCAGGCGCGGGGCTCGCGCGGCCGGGCGGGACGGGTGACGCGGTGCGGGTCAAGCACCGACTACCCACCATTTCTCCACCCCCTTTGCTCTTATGTGGCGACAAGATGGTGCATGTGATTTCCAAAGTCTATGAGCTGGTGCTGATTGCATTTTGCGACACATCCAGAGGGCTGAGGTGGCTCTCATCAACCTGTCGCAGTTTGCAGGTGCTCGCTGGGTGACGCGACAAGAATCAGGCGGGCCCCACCGGCCCTCGCGCTATTGGTCACCTTGCGGATCGGCGTTCTAACATGCCGGTCGCCGGCGCGACGACAGATCCCGGTCCGTGCACGCATCCCTGTCACGGCATAACAAGCAGATAAACAAACACACGCACCTGGCAGCCCTGTGCCCTGCTAACCCACCAGACGGGTCCCATTCGTAAGGCTAGAGATTAAGTTGGATTGTTTGCATCGGGAAACCCGCCTGTTGGGATGGACAGGAACTCGATCTGACGTGTGTGTGCCTGTCTCTGTATCCGTCTCCGTTTCCCTGTCTCGCTGTCTCTCTCTCTCTCTGCCACCCCAGCATCCAGCAGCAGCAGCAGCAGCAGCCCCACGCATCCGGTCGACCCCCCCCCCCCGCTTCTGATCTTCAGGAACGACCCTCTGCATCGGCCTTGTTGGACGCTGACGGGGCAATCTCGCAGCCAAGCTAGGGGACTGCTAATCTTAGGAGCTCGCCCTCGACTTCCTTCATTGGCCCGGCTGCTCTGTACTTACCAGGTACCCTTCTGGCGCGCCGTCAACAGATCAACCACACCAAGCCCCGTCCCAGCCTGCCAACCTGCGAGCCTGCCAGCCAGCCCAACACGTACTTGTACGTACTCGCACACGCGCGGCGCCTCTCCCTCGAGGTACGTTCCAAGGTCGTGTTTTTTCCTTACTGATTCCTTGCCTGCCCGACCTCTACTCTTCATGCGCGCATCGTCCCCTCGTGTCGTGTTGTAGTGGCACCTGCCATCTTCCTCTGCAGCTGCGTCTTCTACCATCAATGCCTTGTTTACCAAATAAACTTCTCGATTAATCCACTTGTTCGATCCCTCCCCAGCTCTAATAATCCCTGTGGCACCAGGCATCTCGGGTCCCTCGCAGCTAGGGTGCGGCTGCCATCACCCAGTCAACCAACAGCCGCTCGCCACTCGACATCCAAAACTCGCATTATCGCAATCAAACTTGACCACTCCCGTTCTGTTTTGAACACTACAGCTCCCCACCGGCGGCAAAGACGGACGCGCAACGACTCACACCCCCCCCTCCCACGAGTCACTCTATGATATCGTGCGCGCCAACTCATCCCCAGCTTTTGCGATCAAGGCCCGGAACTTCAACGCGCAACGCCGACTCATTGTATCGCGCTACAACAGCAACAGCCAGCATCTGATACCGTCAACAAGTGCCTTCCGCCCTGGAGAGGAAGCTTCATCATGGACGCCAAGGTCAGTGACTCCTCCCCCTCCTGCAAGCCGTCAGATCTTCCTTGTACGAACCCAGTTGTGATTCCATTTATTCATCCACGCGTACCTACCGGTCTCGTTGCAATCGTTTGCGCCACTGCCCGAGCAACGCCAGGATCACTAACCCCCTCTTCCTACGTAGCCTCAGCGCCCGTTGCGGCCATTTGCAGCTCAAGTTCTTCACAACGAAAACTTGCCCCTCAGTACCACCAGCAACGCTCCAAAAAACGGCCAGAAGCACCAGGGTGCGTTGAATGGTACCACGAATGCTGGAGGGCTTAGGGGACCTGTCAAGCGAGCTGCCTTTGGAGACCTCAGCAACACGTCTGCACCCACCTTCAGCCAGGCCACCAAGAGTCTTGTGAAGCACACAGCAAACACGGCCAAGATGGTACCTTACAAGGACGACAACAAGGAGAACGCCATCAAGGCCGGCAAGGCCAAAGAGGCCTTCCTGAGGCCAGCGCATCGGCCTACCAACGGACCGAAGCCGTCGTCGAACACAGCAGGCTTCTCGCAGACCGAGACTCGAGGACATGCCGTTGTGAGACAGACTGCCGCCAAGAAGGCAACTTTTGTCTACGCAGATGAACCCCAGCAAAAGCAACAAACCCTCAGCCGCCAATACAGGAGCCAGCCCTACCTCAGAGCCGCCGACGCGCCCATCTTGCGCCGGACACAAAGCAAACACAACATGCAGGAGGAGAAGCCGTACGATGTAGAGGACGACCTCGACGAAACGCCCTACGAGGACGCGGTGGAGGAGCTCCCTCGACGCGACGTGTACTTCCCTGCGGAGTTGCCATCTGCGGAACATGTGCAACCGCACACGACTGCTGATGCAAAGCCCTCGCAGAATCCACCCGCGCCAGGTTCCCTACACTCGCTACAAGAAGTGCCTGCCGCCACAGAGACGGAAGAGTACTGGGACGAGGACGACGACGAGGATCTGTACGATGAGCAGGGGTACACGACGGCCCATTCGTTCAGGTCACACGGCGACAATACCACCACCGGCGCAACGACCCTCCTTGTGCCCAAGGTGACCTCCCGCATCCAGGAGGAGCTAGAAGAGGCAAAATTCTACGTCGAGGACAATCGCCTGCAGGATGACATCGACGAGGAAGAGTGGGACGTGAGCATGGTCGCAGAGTACGGCGAAGAGATCTTCCAGTACATGCGGGAGCTCGAGGTGGGCCGCCCAGAAGACCCTCCTCCACGTTGTGGTGGCGCTTAACTGACATCGAATAACAGATCAAAATGCTGCCAAACCCTCATTACATGACAGAGGTCCAGGCTGAGATCCAGTGGTCCATGCGCTCCGTGCTCATGGACTGGCTTGTTCAGGTCCACAACCGATTCTCTCTGCTCCCCGAGACTCTCTTCCTTACCGTGAACTATATTGACCGCTTCCTTTCGAACAAGATGGTGTCGCTCGGTAAGCTCCAGCTGGTTGGTGCCACGGCCATTTTCGTTGCAGCCAAGTACGAAGAGATCAACTGCCCCTCCGTACAAGAGATTGTCTTCATGGTCGACAGCGGCTACACCGTGGATGAGATCCTCAAAGCCGAGCGTTTTATGCTGAGCATGCTCCAGTTCGAGCTGGGCTGGCCTGGCCCCATGAGCTTCCTGCGTCGGATCAGCAAGGCTGATGACTACGACCTGGAGACACGGACCCTGGCAAAGTACTTCCTGGAGGTGACCATCATGGACGAGCGCTTCATAGGCTGCACGCCCAGTTATCTGTCCGCCGGTGCCCACTGCCTGGCACGCTTGATGCTCAAGAAGGGCGATTGGGTGAGTTCACACCCAACCTACGGTCACCGTATCGACGGCCATAAGCTAAACTCCCTCTGGTCGCTCGGGCATATCCACTACTCCGGCTACACCTGGGCTCAAATCAAGCCCCTTGTGGCCATGCTGCTCGAGTGCTGCCGGTCTCCACAGAAGCACCACACTGCCGTCTACGAGAAGTATGCCGACCGACGGTTCAAAAAGGCTTCCAGCTTCGTCGAGGAGGAGGTGAACAAGGGATTTGTCCTTCCCTTTGGCCACTCGGTCCCACGGCTGTCCCTGTGCGCTGCTTCCCATGAGCCCTCTGCTTCGCTGAAGTTCCCCCTCCCGGACCTGGTCCTTGCCGAGTCCTGAAGGGCGGCCCTGCCTGCGCCTGGGACCAGGCGCCGATTCAAACAAACACATTGCATTTCCTCTGTATATGCTTAGGAAGCCACATACGCAACCCACATCTCGGAACAGGTGTGATTTTGTTGCTCATATGGCTACCATCCACCGCAGCGGCCGGAATGGAACCAAAACTTTCTTAATATTTCTTTGGCATAGACGACCTCGAGTAGCGAGGCACAATGCGCTCTCGCCCATCTTGTCCAATCCTGTGCTCGGAAGGGCCAGCGGACTGCTGCCTGCGAGCGATCATGGTCTTTCTTGACCGTCCCCGACCTTCGGTTTCTTCAAACGGCCACCACGCCTTGGCCGGCTGCCAGGCAAATCATCAGTCCACTACCGCCCGTGGCTTGTAGCCTTCACGCTTCTTTTCCTCTGATACCTCTCACGATACCTCACGATACCAATTTACACCACCTGATGACTCGACGATAAAAACGATGACGACATGCGAATGATTCTTTCCGATGGTTCTGTTGTGCGTTGCATTCTGCTTTCCAGCTTTTCCTACAACACTTTAATGGCAGAAAAGGGCTGTGGCACTCTGCGTTGGCGTTAGGCTTTATGAGGGGTGGTGTTAGATATAGGAGTGGACAGGAAGAGCAGTGAAAATCTGTGGCCGGGCGTTTTGCCATGGGCCCATGGTGGGTAGACGGACCTGAACTATGGCGGTGGTCCGGTTATCCCATGCAGCTTTTGCCTCGAGTGGGCCAAGACAGAAGAGCTCCTGGCAACGGCTGGTCAGGCTGTGAGTGGCAGGGAAGGTTGTGTATGAAGCATAGTTGAATTTAGAAGGAGCAAAAGAATGGTGTTATATTGTTACAGTGTGGGCTCTGTGACATTTGGTGTGTCCCCGAGCTTCATTGTATGGGTTGAACGCCTCTAACCTGCATGCGTTGATGCATTCCATTGGCCTATAAACTTGCTAAGATGCAGTTGAGGATTGTCATTGGCGGCAGCCAAGTAAGCCCAAGTTTTCTGGTGCTCATTGTCTTCCTGCCTCCTTTCTTTATAAGATGGTACATGGTGTCACACCCCCATGGCTGGCTATATGCATCAATTGACAACAACAGCCAGCTTGTTTCCCTTAGAAAAGAAGCATTTTGAGACAGCTGCAGAGCACACAAGAAGAAATGCCAGACTCTGATGATATCAATTGATAGACAAGGTGTCTAAATATTCTGCTGTGTTGGGAAACTCCCGTGGATCCATTATTGCTTCACCTGTGAGTACTTGACTGTGAGTGAATATCTATCCATCTATCTATCTACCTGGTGAAATATGACTTGGCATGACCGGAAAGACTTTCCTTTCTCTGTTGGTGACAGTCAGCGGTGCTGAACCCAGCTGGGCACGCGGGTTGCTTGGCAGATCGGAATGGTCTGGAGATCACAACGCCCCAAGCGCACCAGTCCAAGCACGAGATATGCTGAACAAAGACCCACTATGAGGACTTGTAGGGCCCGAGTTCTGCCGGGCCAGGGCACTCACTCATACTGTGTACTCATCACTGATGCTGTATGCTTGATCAACCTGTAAGGGATGAAGGGATTATAAGCAAGGCTCACGAGAGGGAGGTAGGATACATCAAAGTCCTGGCATATACCAGACAAATGGTCTGCCTGCAACACTTGTTTATGCAACTACTTGGATCTGTTGTCTGGGACTTGACCAAAGATTCGGCCGTGCGGGATGTTGTCATTCTCCAAGGTTGACTGCCGCCCTGAGGGATATTTAAGCTTTCTCCACCGACGAGTGCCAGGCTGTCGGGAGAGTCCGGCCTTAGCGAGAGGAGGTCCCTTGGGATGATGATCCTTGGGTTGTGAGCGCTCCGCGCGCTTTGTCTCGTCCTCGGTTGTGGGACAGCAAGCAGTGCGCGGGTTAGACAATAGGTCTGTGCTTCAAGTGGTAATTCCTGGAGAGGCGGAGGACAATCTAGCAAGTGCCACCTTGGTATGCCGTACCCCATGCCCCTTGGATCTGGGGGAGCGAGGCACACCCGCACGAGGCCATGTAAACTGGGCCAGAGAAAGCACTCAGCCAGGGCCCTGGCCCGGTCTAGCGCGGCACCTACCGCCTTCTAGCCCAATTCCCCGAGCTACTCCGTGCACTCCGAGGATCGCTCTGCTTTTTGAAAATTTCCAAGCAGCCTTTGACCACCCGCTGGCCGCACCCGACACGTCGTCAATCACTCACATTGTGTCGCACAAGTCATCCTCAACCTTATCCACGGTCGCAAGCACCCAGACATTCCTGGGATACTGTCTTTTGCCCTGTATCCATCCTGCACCGGGCCTGCTGTGCGCCTGTACGTTCCGCCCCAACCGGTGTGAAGAGGCCAAATTATCGTCAACCGAGAAAATAGTGGACTCTTAAGCGGACCACACACCCCCTTTGACACGCTCGAGTCAACAACGATATTGGGCTCTCCGTCTTGACAAGACTCCAACAACGTCGGAGTGAATGCCTACCACGAAACAATCCAGACCTCCTCATGTGCTCGCGATAACCTGGCTCCCATTCACAACCAGCCCTCTATTGTTTTGAGCCCGCTCACCACCCAACCAGCCCCACCTGCCACCAACACATACCCTTCTTGTCCCCGACACAACGCCAATCCCCCCCACAATGTCCAAGGCGGTCGCTGTGAAGGAGGCTGTCAAGGAGACCCTCATAGGCTCTGAGGAGCCTGTGCAGGTGTCTGCCCAGACAAAGGCGCGCTTCAATTCCAATGCCATCAAGGACCCCGAGTCCGGGGAGCTGTACATGGGCCCCGAAGAGTTCATCAATGCTGTTGCGCCTTCAGATGAGGACTATGTAAGCCGAAGCCCTTTGCCCTCTCCATATCCCCACATCATGATACGGGGGAGCTGACAGTACGTCGGGAACACAGCACAAGATCAAGCGAGACCAGTACCGCCTCCTCTTCTCCGTCGCAGACCGTCAGGACAAGGGCCGTGTTACCATGCCGGACTGGGCCTACTTCGAAAACCTCTTGAACAAGCCAGACGCCGAGTACGAGATCGCCTTCAGGCTCTTTGATGTTGAACGTCTCGGTACTGTAAAGTATGAGGACTTCCGCCGGCTATATGAGTTGAACAAGGGGCCCGACAGCATCTCATTCGACTGGGACTGCGAGTGGGCCAAGCTGTATATCGGCAGCACCAAGAAGAGGCATGCCATGGACTATGCGCAGTTCTCCCAGATGCTTCGGGGTCTGCAAGGCGAGAGGATCCGCCAGGCGTTCCTGCAATTCGACAGGGACGGCGACGGCTTCATCGAGCCCGAGGACTTCGAGCGCATAATCCTCGAAACCTCCAAGCACAAGCTGTCGGACCACCTCCTGCAGCACCTCAGCACTCTGTGTAACATCTCAAAGGGCAGCAAGATCTCTTACGCGAACGTGCGTGCTTTCCAGAACATGATTAAGGAGATGGATCTGGTAGAGCTCATTGTCCGCCGCGCGTGTGCCAAGAGCAAGGATGGCAGGATCACCCGCACCGAGTTTCTGAACCAGGCCGCCAAGGTCACCCGCTTCTCCCTCTTCACGCCCATGGAGGCAGACATCCTCTTCCACTTTGCCAGCATCGACGAGCCGTCCGGCCGCCTGGCCCTGAAAGACTTCGCCAAGGTGCTGGACCCGTCATGGAGGAGCCCAGCATACGATGACTCCGGCTCAGGTGCGGCTCTGCAGGCCAAGCCCGCCAGCTCAGCACTGCTCAGCAAGGTCCTGGAGTCCGGGTACAACTTCGCGCTCGGCAGCCTGGCTGGCGCCTTTGGCGCCTTCATGGTCTACCCCATCGACCTCGTCAAGACCAGGATGCAGAACCAGAGAAGTGCGGCCGTGGGGCAGCAGCTGTACAACAACTCCCTCGACTGCTTCCGCAAGGTTGTCCGCAACGAAGGCATCCGTGGCCTGTACTCGGGTGTCATGCCCCAACTCGTCGGAGTGGCGCCGGAGAAGGCCATCAAGCTGACTGTCAACGACCTCGTGCGGGGTTTCTTCACCGACAAGAAGACAGGTACCATCCACCCACTAGCTGAGATCCTGGCCGGTGGAAGCGCTGGTGGTTGTCAAGTGGTTAGTATTTACATGTGAACAAAGCTTTCGCGTGGTTCGGGCGACGCATGCTGACCGCTGTTGCGCCAACAGGTCTTCACGAACCCCCTCGAGATCGTCAAGATTCGGCTCCAGGTACAAGGCGAAGCCGTCAAGTCAGGTGCTGAAACTGCGCCCAAGCGATCGGCGATGTGGATTGTCCGTAACCTCGGTCTTGCCGGCCTCTACAAGGGAGCCTCCGCCTGTCTGCTCCGCGACGTGCCCTTCTCCGCCATTTACTTCCCGACATACAGCCATCTCAAGAAGGATCTGTTCGGGGAGTCGCCGACTAAGAAGCTGGGCATCGTCCAGCTGCTGACAGCGGGTGCCATCGCCGGTATGCCTGCGGCGTATCTCACCACCCCGGCAGACGTGATCAAGACCCGTCTCCAGGTGGAGGCTCGCAAGGGCGACACCACCTACAACGGCCTCACCCACGCGGCCAAGACCATTCTGAAGGAGGAGGGCTTCAAGGCATTCTTCAAGGGTGGGCCAGCCCGTATCCTGCGGTCCTCGCCACAATTCGGTTTCACCCTCGCAGCGTATGAGCTTCTCCAGCGGACGATTCCGTTCCCCGGTGGCGCAAAGAGCTCGACGGGCGGTGGTGTGTCGGAGGCGATGGCGACGCTCAAGGACAAGATCGACACAAGCCCATTTGCCAGGAGCAGAAACTCGCTCAAGATCATTCTGGATCTGGACGAGGACTTCGGGCGTGCGAAGCTGCCGGACCAGAAGGGATGGAAGAACCTCCCCTCTTATATGCAGGGCAGCTCTTCCAACGGCAAGGCCTGAGGTGGTGGCCAGAACCCACGAAATCGGACGATTCTCTGCCGTCAGGCCACCACGTTCTGGGCCGGAATGTTACCCTTCCACCCTTCCACATACGACCCCGACAACCAAATCCACCCACACATGCTTGCTGCATGCAGGCTTCCCCACATCTGAGGGGGACAGGGTCACACAACATAGACCCGGGCAAGCCACACAACAACCAGTATCGTTCCGATGCTTGCTGCAATTGGCATCAGAGGAACAACACATTCGATGATCACAACGAGCATATGCGTGCATGCCTAGGCAGGCACCTTCGGCGTTTCAAGGAGATCAACTTTATCATCACTATTTTCCTGCTTTACACAATATTTTTAGAGTTCTATCCTCTTTTGTTTTTGATTTTCAGATTTCTTCTTATGCAGATGTTTCAATATTTTCCCCCATCCCCCTGCTGCCTTATTGATGAGGCACGTTGTCTTCCGGTTTTTGTACCACACACGACTGATATTTGTTCCAAAGGTCCTGGTGGAGCATGCCATCTTCAGGGCTATATTGGCACAAAGCCATGTCAATGACAGAGAGAGAGACAGAGAGAGCACCGATGTTTTTCACACGTTCATGTGTGTGCACGTGAAAAGAAGAGAGAAAAGACAAAGTTGCAAGAAGGCTTGCATAGACCTCAGTTGGCCTGAAGATAGATGGTTTCTGCATCATCATAGAGGCATTGTCAGATTAGACTAGAAGGTTGAGATCCTGCCCCACCTGCTTTGGGGCAGTCCACTTTGTGCCTTGGTAGCACACCCTTCTTTAGGTCATGTATTCACACCATCAGGGAAGAAATGTCAGGATAGAGTTTTTGAAGATGGATGAGCCTGGGAGCTCTTGTCAGGCTAAATGAGCCAGACACATGAATGACAGCAGATTATGATCACTTCGTCCATGCTGTTGTAGAGATTTGAGTGCTTGTATTTCTCTGTGACTTGTGCAATTGTGCTTCTGCTACCAGTTGACCTGACACCACCTCTGAGCAGGACTCTTGGGATTTGTCACACCTTATCACATGTTGTTTGCAGGAGTCTAAGTTGTATCAGGCCAGCAGATATCAATGAGTGAGTGACCTTCAGAGCGTACTACTTGGCACGATTGAAATCCTGCATTCTTGATGAATGGTTCAGGTTGTCAAGAAGGCAACGGCTAAATTACTGCGGGCATGGACACATCAGGGAAGAGTTCCGGAATGACGTTGGGGCTCGACTCACAATGGAAAAGTCTTGGTTCACAGGCCCCGTTTTCTTCCCATTTGCTGTTGCTGTCTTCTGAGCGAAGTTGTACAAGGAACGCATGGTCTGCAGAATATGATGGCCACATGCTGGAAATGACCAGATTTTCATAGTGTTGGCCCAGTACCCCATTGGGAGCAGCATAAACTGAGGGATATCTATGTCCATTTGATCTGCATGTCTGCCCCTGCAGAGTATCATCTAGGGTTTCTCCCCTGGTGTTGATCAGATCCAGGGTTCGATAAGATAAGGACTGATCGTCAGGTGGGGCTGGGTCGCCTGAGGGCCTTGTCATTTCTGAGGTCACCGGAGCCCGAGCTGCTGCGGCAGTAGCACGCAATCTGAGACGCCAATGCTGTGTGCGCATTCTGGACTTGTGAAGACTCCCACTCAACGGTTGTCCTGACTCCTTACTCTCCTTACCACCAATGCCACCATCTTCGGCAAACGTATGGAGCGACAGTAAGTAAAGAGGCGGCAAAAATGGGAGTTGGGTTTTTTGAAGTCCTCTCGGGCCTCTTTGGCTGGGTCTACACGCTGTGTTGGTCGCTCAGTTTCTACCCGCAGCCGCTGCTCAACCTCAAGCGCAAGTCGACGTCCGGCACCACAGTCGACTTCCCGCTCATCAACTGCCTGGGTTTGTTTTGCTCCTCTTCCCTGGTGCCTAGTCATCTTGTCTTTGTCTTGAGTGTGCACCTGGCTGACCGGCCACTGCCTGCGCCCAGGTTTCCTATCCTACCTGGTATCCAACCTAGCCTTCTACTACAGCCCGGTGGTGCGAGAGCAGTATGCGGCGAGGCACGACGGCCACACACCTGCCGTGGCCTTCAACGACATCGTGTTCGCAGCGCACGCCCTGCTCCTCTCGTTGATCACGACGTCGCAGTACATATTCCCGGGGCCGTGGGGGTTCTCGCCGTCGGCGGGCAACCGGCCCAGCAGGTTCATCACGGGCACAGCTTTGGGGTGCGCAGCTGGGGTCTTGGCGGTGGTGGTCCTGATCGGGGGTTCGGAGTCGCCCAGCGGGTCTGACCGAGCGGCCACATCGTGGTGCTGGCTGGACGCCGTGTACGCGGTGGGCTACGTGAAACTGTGGATCACGCTGATAAAGTACACGCCGCAGGTGGTGGCCAACTTCCGGAACAAGAGCACGGTCGGCTGGAGCATCTGGCAGATCCTGCTGGACTTCTCGGGCGGCGTGCTGAGCATTGCCCAGCTCGTCATCGACAGCTCGCTGCAGGGCGACTGGGGCGGCGTCACGGGCAACCCCGTCAAGTTCGCACTCGGCAATGTTTCAATGTTGTACGACCTTGTCTTCTTTGCGCAGCATTACGTCCTGTACAGAGGAAACGACGGCGGCAAGAACGGCGAGAGGGAAGCTCTGCTGGAGAACGGGGAGGCACATGGGCGGATGGACTGAGGGCATCTTGCAATGCTACGCCCGACGGCCGTGGATCTAGTGATGTGGAATGTTGCACAGTGGATCTTTGCATTGATGTTCGCAAGTTCCTACAGATCTACACCCAATGCTGTGACGATAGACTGTTTAGATGGGCGGTTCTTTACAGTACTCCTGGGGCATATAGCCTGGATAATGACCCTACTGTTCCACTATCTTGCCGACATATGGACCATGGTGCTACACCGGAACCAGATCCTGTTTCACATGACAACAGGGACAGAATACTGCCCGGGCTCCTGGGCTTTGGGGGCCCCCTGCCGCGATCTTGTCCCGTCTTAACCTTTGGCCTTGCTTCCTCTCTCGCCACTCCAAAGCCCAGGAATCAGGCCACTCTGACCGCGGCAAAACCACATGCCTGCATCTCTATGAGTCACCCCTCAACCCTCCAGCCTGCTGGGTCGAGCATCAGTCCCTATCCGGGGACGTGCTGGCGGCGTGGTTGTGGAGCACGTTAAACAGCAGCATGCAGCAAAGCATGGCCGTCCACATACACACACGGGCGCCATCATTTCCAATAATGCGCAGCACCACGGTCTGATTGAAGGCAAATTGAAGTCAAGCAGCTGCCAGTTGGTCGAGGGCGACCTGCCTGCCTGCATGGCCGGGTGGTAGTGCGCCGGAGCAACCGGACTCACGAGGTAGAGGAAGAAGAAGCGGTGCGCGGCTGAGATCCTAGGCTGGGACGTCCGTGTTAGATATTTTGGTTTGGAAAATGTCGTGATGGCGGTGCTTGATTCGTGGCTTCCGCTATCCAAGACGATGTCTCATTTGGGTGATATAATACTCTATCTGTGCATATGATCCCTCCCACCCCCCGGCTTTTCCCCAACCGACGCGTTCTCTCCCCTGGACTTTTATCTCTGCGTTCCATTCAGGCAAGCTTTTCCTCCCGGACCAGGCACTGTCACATCGAGCCGAGCCACGGTCGACGTTGACTCTGGCGGAATTAACTTTGAGCTCGTGAAGTCGACCGCAGACTGCTCCAGCGGACACCCTCGCTGATTTATGCAGTCAGCGTTGCGCCCGGCATATATTCAGATGAATTAGATTCGCGGAACGTCTGCCATGCGTGGTCATCCGATCTGGACCAGCCGGTGTAAGTTAAAGAAACAGAAGAAGAAAACCCAACTCGTCCCAGGGTTATAGCAAACTTACAGCCTGACAGTTTGTCTGATCTATAGATAGTCGTGAACAGTGATCAACAAAAACTTTGGGCACAACACTTCGCGGTAGTCCACCGCTGACCGGGTCGAGGTTGCATTCGCGGAGTGGGCCCGGGAAGTTTCTCACCCGCAGAGGACCCCTGTGCTGCTCAAGCCATCATCATCACCACGGCCGCGAACATCACCAAGACCATGACCATAGCCATGGCTGTGGACCTCGCTCGCTGGCTCAAGTAGGGCCCCTCTCTTCTCCATTCGACTGATCAGATCGGCAAAGACCAGATCCGATCTTGACGGGACCACAGCACGAAGGATGCGAAAATCTGTGGCCCCGGCTGAAGCACCAGCGCCAGCAGCCACTCGATCCTCGAGCCGAAAGACTCTCGAGGTCGGGACAGTTGGTAGCCTTTCTTGTCCCGTACCACCGATACATCTCGACGTCCCGAGCATTGGTTGTGTCACCCAATCCACGGTTTTAGGCTGCGGGCCAGCTCCCCCGGCCGTCCAGATCAACCAATCTCGCCTCAAGCACGCCTAATTAACGCAGCCACGGTGGGTCCCCGAAACGGGATGGTACTGTACCCAGGTAGGTAGCTCAGTGTGACCGGTCTAGCATGTACATACGTGGATACCATGTGTTTACACGGACGAGTAAGGATGGATATGTAAGTAAGAGCACACTAGAGGTTAACTCAGCCCTTGGGATGCCCCATTGATGATAGCGCATGATGGCTGGCTGGATGGATCCGTTCCGCCGCTTTCTTCGCAGCAACTCTGTCCGCCAGGGGGAAAGAGACAAAAAGGCAATTTGACGGCTGCACCGTTGCGTTTTGCGCACAGGCTCAGGCACGCACCGCTGCCACGAGGGGTCGTCTTGGAGCCTGAAGATTTCGGCACAAAAAAAAAAGACGAAAGACGCCATACAGATCTGGCTCAGACTGTCAGTACCACAGTAGTACATACACTATCACATTCTCGTGTCGAGGGGCAAAGTTCACCCCATGTTGCCCTGCATAACCTGCAGCTCAAGTGAACATGATGCCACGCCCACCTCTTCATGCAGGAACAATGCCTCCACCACCCCGATCTTCCTTGGCGCTCACGCTACCCGTCAGCCCGTGCATTTCACCCCCTCTGCCCCTCCATCCTTCCCCCCTCCATCCCAGCGCGGACAGGGAGGCCCAGGGCTGCCGTCTCTCCCGATCATGGCAAACCTCGATGCCCGCATCTTCGGGATGACCAACCGGTCAGTCTCAAGGCTCCGCTTGAGAAACGCCCCCCACCTGCCTGCCCCCCTGCCCCCCAGACGTCGTCAAGGGCCCGGCCAATCTCGTCACTCAGGATCCACCCAACGAGATGCACGTCGCGGCAACATATCGGGCCGCCATTCTAAACATGTTGGTTCGACGACGTGGGCAGGAGCTTGATGTTGTTGGTTCGACGCGTGTTTTCGAAGCTCGCAGGATCAACCCCCATTCCTGCGAAGCACCCCATGCAGGCCATGCTGGCGAAGCTTGCTGCCTTATTACCACAGTAGGCTTAACCCAATCACCTGGCGCTACTAGTTTAGGCTGGTTGTTGGTCACTCGGACCTGGCATGCCTGGCATGTTGCTTGCGCGCTGGCGAGCACATCGCGGAGCGCACGTCAGTACCAGGCTGCCAGTCGGGCAGGGGGTTGGGACTACCACACGCGGGCTCGCCCTGTGTCGTCCCATTCCGTTGCGCGAAGCATCGCCTCATGCAGTCAGCTATACCGGAACCAAGGCTGACTTACACATGTTGTAGCAGAAATGATCCTGCAGGAAATCCACGCAGTGAAATCCACTCAGTAAAGCCCACGCAAAGGCTGCGTCTGCGCCATCTGCGACTTGGTGGACCGATGTGCCATCCGAAACTCCCAACAACTTCAGCTTCACAACCTCATTCGGCGCTTCGCCCCGTGTGCCTGCATCTGCTGGTACAGATGGGAGCCCCAAATGGTCCACAGAGCCACAGTACTATGTAGCCCTCATCTCGGGCCTGGCCATGGACTCTTGCTGTCACATGTTTGTAAGCACCAACAACATGTCGACCCTTGCGACACCCAGAGATTCCCCTCTCCACCCTCGGACGCACGGGATGGGTCTCGGCCTCCAGCCTGTTGCCAGTTGGGAATTTTGACGACACCCTGGGTTCCTTTTACACAGTATTTGGCTGCGTCCTGAGGCGGCTCCAAGCCGACAGGGAACCATCGTCTTACTGTGTACACACACCACGCCCTCATTCCTACACCTGCCGTCTGACGCGCCCTCCACCCTGGCCCCTTTTTCATTTATCCTAGCGAGGCAAGAAACAACTAAGCTTTCGCCTGCTGGAAGGAGCTCAGAAGTCCCATCTCTCGATGGTAACCCCCGGGTGCCCAGCTAGGTACGATGTGGGCAAAGGAACTAGGCCCTGGTCCAAGCAAGGCTGCCCTGGGCTTCCAAAACGTTCCTCGAGCAGCCGCAGCAGGGTAGCATCTCCTGCGCCGAATGGCCCTGTCTTCTCGCGTGGCAGTTCCTCCTCCATCCCAGCTCTTTCTCCCCTGTTGGCCTGCTTCTCCTTGGGGAGGCATGACGGGTCCATCTCTTCCTAGTGCATGCACGCGGAAGGGAGATTGCGGCGGATGTGGTGTGCGAAGTAGTACTCCCTCCTTGTTGCCATCGCGCCGCCCTGCCACCCGAACAACCATATTAGATCTGGGCCCTCCCCATGCGATATCACGCCGTGGTATCTCGTCCCTTTTGTTGTTCCTTTTGATCTGATCCCTTCCGGTCTGCTATACTTGGGTTGCCCTGCTTCATGTGACCTCGGATTCTCCGCCCAACTCGCATGGTTTTATTCGCACGCAACCCCGGGCTCACCACTTTTGGTTGAACGGACGCTGCCGCCTCTATGAATGCAGCAGGCTCTCATGGCCGACAATGCTGCTTACCTTGCTGAATACAATGGCGGGTCCCTAGTGGGCACTGCCGTGTCGTTCTTGGTTTTGACCTTCTTCTCCGTCGGGCTCCGCACATATGTTCGAGGCGTCTTGACCAATAGCTTCATGGCCGATGACTGGCTCATGCTGGCCGCTCAGGTATGGGCCGAAATATGGCGGCGGTTCCCGTCGTGACACCGCGTTGTGGACTGACCAGGTTGCCAGGCCGTCTTTACTATATCGTGCACATTTATATTGCTCGGCATCGACACGGGGTTGGGGAGGCACAACAAGGCGATGCCACAGGACCAGGAGATCCAAGCACTGAAGGTGAGGGAACCCTCAATCGCAGTCCGCCCTCTAAGGTCGTAGGCAGGCGGGTCGAACCTAACTCTTGTGATAGTGGCAAGCCCTAGCAACGGCCACATATGTCCTCAACATGATGTTTATCAAGCTTTCGATCGGCTTTTTCCTGCTGCGGCTGGCGGTACAGAAGCGCTACCTCTACACGATCTACGGAACCATGTTTGTTGTCTTGATCTGGTCCCTAGCCCTGTGGTTCTGGGACATATTCCAGTGTAGCCCTGTGCCTGCCCAGTGGGACTACACCATTCCGAATCTCAGATGTGTTTCGGCGCAGGAGGTTGTCAGCGCGGCCTACGCATTGTCCGTCATGACCATTGTCACGGACTGGCTTTTCGCGCTACTTCCAATACCCATGATCTGGCATGTCAACATGAGCCCACAGGCCAAGGCCACGGTCTTTGTGATATTGGGGCTGGGTGTATTGTGGGTCAATCCGGTTGATTACCACGTTTTTGTTCCCAGTGGGATATAATCAAGGCTGACTTCCTCCCCCAGCGCATCCATTGCGACCCTGATCAGGCTAAAGTTCCTCGCCGATCTGACAGATACTTCCGACATCCTATGTGAGAATTCACACTGTCTCTCATTTTGTTCAATGAGAAGATGATTGCCCTGCTGACAAGACGCCAGTTGCCGGGACCGATGCAATGGTCTGGACCCTTGTCGAGCCGGGCGTGGCCATAGTTGCATCAAGCCTCGTCACTATCCGGCCCCTCCTTCGCAAGATGCGCCTCAGGGGTTTCGAGTCAACAGAGCGGAGCCGGGGCCTCCAGCTCGAGGGCCAGAACGGCAGCCTCGGTGCCATTGGGGGCTCCAGGGCCGGGGCTACCACACGTTCCGGTACACGACGGGCATCAGGTATGCCGGGCTACGGGCGAGGCAGTATCAAACTTGCAGACATGGACCCTGAATCCAACAAAGGTGGCAGCGGCTATTGGTCGCAGGAGACGACGCTGACATCGCGAACATCGACACGCGCGGGCAGGAATGGCTGGGGTGTCGGGGTTGCAGTCACAGTACAGGAGGATGATGAGGCCGGCGACAGGATCTCGCCAGCTGTGGGAAGGAGCGGCATAACGACACCTGAAAGCGACGTCTATGTGATTGAGGGCCCGGCGAGGACGCAACTGGGGAGTGCTTGGGGCAGCAACTCACCCACAAGTGCTGAGGAGTCCGAGCACAGCCAAGGACTGAGACATGCTGCTCACCACGGAAGTGAGTCGACGGCCGCTGCGCCAACCGCCAATCCTCGAAACACCTTGCCTTGGCCACTTCCTAACTAACCCGCCCGACCCTTGGTACAGCTGGCCCCCGGAGGATGCCGTCACCTGACTTCCCCATCCAAAACCCCTGACAGGATCGATTCAAACGGCTTTTATCCGGTCCAGTCGGGGCAATCCAAAAGTGAGCGAAAGGCGCCTGGAGTTTCCTGCTAGACTATTGATCTGAATAAAGTTCATTTCCTGTCCCTGGGTCCAGTTCGTGCCGCGTACATCTGCGTCTACTGGCCTGTGAAGATCGTGGCCAGCCTCAGATAAGTCCTCGGTTTAAACATGACTTGATCGTGGGTAAGCTGCTATTGAAGAGCTGCGGGGATGGATCCAGGTCACGGACATTCGACCTGTTCTCCCATATTTGCACGTTCCCCCCCCCCCCCCTTCCGCATCCCATTGGGAACGGCCAACTTTGTGGTGGTCTGCAACGGATGTGACCAAGAAGGCAATCAATTTCATCAGATCAGATCACATGTGTATTCTGAAGTTGAAGACCAGGGTTTCTTCGCGCAAAGCTGGCTTACACACACGTGATCCCATCCGCATTCCACACTTCTGCCAACCCTTTGATTTACCATGTCGCTGTGCTCCTTTGAATCGACTCCCCCAACATCTGCCACCAGGCTACTGCGCTGCGCATTGGACCTTCCACTGCTGGATGGAATAGTTGAAAAGCCACGCTGACTCGACGAGAGGTGAGCAAGTCTGCTGCATATGCACAGATTTGCCCCCACCATAAATATCATCGTGAGATCTTTTTACAAGTCTATTCCAAGGAATACAGAAAATAATACCACAGAACTTTGAGGTCGGCGCCAAAAACTCCATGCTATGACACCACTAGGCGCTTATTCCATGTCTAGCCGACTCGCTCCTTGGGGCGCTGCGTTTGTCACCTTGGCCGCCCTTGACGCGGCCTACGCATTCGTATCTTCAAACGATGAGGAGTCGCATTCGATCGTTAGAAAACAGGCTCATAAGAATCCGGTGACGCTGTTGATCGGGGTCTACTCTTTGGACGAGCCATGCCGACGACGACCAGTCCCAGGCCCCATGATGCGCTTTTCAATGTGCGGGAGGCCAAACTCATAGCCCCAGGGACTGTCTGACGCTCTCCTTGACCCTCCTGTCGTACTCCTGGCGGTGGTCGCGCCACATCTTGGCGGCATCTACGTTGGCGGGGCTCTCGTCGTTGGGCTCGGCGAGGAGGTTCATGACAGACAGCAGGATCTTCTCGACGGACTGGATGGGCGACCACCGCTCGGAGGCATGCTCGTAGTGGTTGGGGTCGTCGCCGGCCGGGTGGAGGATGGAGATGCATACCAGGCCGCTTGGGTAGACTAGGCCACGGTGTTAACATGTGCGCGCGTAATCCTGAGCTGGTCTGCAGAAAGGGGGCACATCCTGTCCCGTACGTACCGTTTGGGTGCCATATCTCTCCCAGGAACTTCATGGTCGGCGGCGCCAGGGGGTAATCTGCCGGGAACTTGAGCTCGGCCGGGAACACACCACCCTCGAAGGGTGTCCCCTCGGGTCCCTGGATCATGGCCTCCCAGTGCAACAGGTCGTCCTCGGAGACGGGGCCGGCTGTGATTCCGTCAGGTGGGTTCTTGGTGAGCATGCGGTATTCCTGGAGCAGGCGGCGGTGGGCGGTCGACGACATGGTGGCGCCTTGGGAGAGATGGCTTGTTGTTGCAGGTGCTGTTTGAAGGCGGGCGAAGGAAGTAACGAGCTGACGGAGGTGCTGCAAAGGGGCCTAGGGAAAAGGTAGAGGCAACGTCGGGTGCTTGAGGTCAACGTCTGGTCGGGGTTAAGTCGATGGGGCGTGGGGCCGCATCTACACTAGTAAGTGGACAAGTGATGATGGGGAGGAGACATGGGTGACGCTGGGCAGCGGCATGATCGGCGGAGAAAGTACCTGCGCTAACCCCAAACCCAAGTCTCCGGGTCCAAGCTCTTCTGGAAGCTGCCCAGGTGTGTATTTGCCCCGAGCTCCAGCCCCCAGCCCCAGCTCCAATCCCGACTCAAGCTTTCACTCACTCCGCGTGCCCGTCCAGACGTCTATTCGTCGCGCGCCATGCCACCACGACTGAGCCTACGGTCTGTCGCAGGCTGCCGCCCAACTTCCCTGCAGAGGGTTGCCACGAAGCCAGCATCCAACGTCTGCTTGTTCTGTTCCCTGGCGGCCCGTCCCAACTCACCGGCGCCTCGAAGGCCGCGGCGCAAATCTCTGGCGACGCGTCGGAGCCAGTCCACCACCGCCCCCGGCCCCTCGTCGAACCCGCGAAAAGAGCTCCAGGATGCCCTCCAGGAGCTCCAGAAGCATGCCACAAACTACGTGAACCTTTCGCGGGTGCAATTGGCCCTCAACGCGCTGCGCCAGCAGGCCGGCCAGGAAACCGTGAGGGTAGCCGTCCTCGGGCTGACCAACGGACCCGGGTCGGGACAGACAGCCAAGGAGGTCCTGCGGCTGCTGCTTGCAGACCCGTTGTCGCCGGAGCAGGACTGGGAGAAGGAGTTGATGAGCCATGACGCGAGACAACCTCTGATAATCCGCGTCGGGGCAGATCAGGAAGCCGGTGCAAGCGGACACGGCGAGGGAACCATGACGTACGCGAGGGGCGGTCTGCTGCACGAGTTGGCTGTCTCCTCGCCGGGACTCAATGGCAGGAACCTCGAGATCCTGCTTACAGAAACCAACCCGCTCGCCGACTCGACTGGAGGTGCGTTCCAGAATTTCGAGGAGACCGCGCTGGTGCCGACTGTGGATATTCCTACATCCAACACCGGGAGGTTCACCCCTGTCACGACACCAGTCCACAGAGCTTTGCTCGTCACGGATGGGATACTGGGAGCCGCCTCGTTGGCAAATCTCCCTCTACTCCCTGGGAAGGGCGCAATAGCCGCCGCGGTCAACACGCCTGGATATCAACCCGAAGACCAATCGGCTTTGCCTTTTGCGACCATCGACGTCACAGCGGCTGCCGAAGGCTTGAATGCGCTGCGCCAGAGCGTAGACCGGGGTTTCGAGTACGAAAGGCTATGGTTCAAGAGCAACCTGCCATCTATCACGGCCTGGCTCAGGTCCGGGGTCACGGCGGCGGGAGAAGGGGTCACGAAAGACGCTGTCCGAGAGTCGATTGCGTCTATCCTGTCCAACACTCACGCCAAAATACAGCACGAGGAAGCCCGCATGCTGTCCTCGACACTATCGGTCCAGACGTCCACCGAAATCCCTACGCTAAACGCAGCGCTGGCAGAATGGGCCGAGAAATCCCATGCGGAGCTACAGGAGCAGCTCGACAGGGCATTCACAGGCAGGCGGTGGCGGAAGTTGAACTGGTGGAAGCTCTTCTGGCGCGTCGATGACGTCGGCGTGCTGTCGTCCGAGATGCTCTCGCAGAGCTTCCTGCCGGGCGCGGAGCGGAACGTCATTTTCCTCGCCGGCAAGATCGAGGGATCCGGCATTTTCGGTCAAGACGCCCGCGGCAAGACGCCGTATCTGACGCCGACAATAGCTTCGACCGCGAGGCCAGCTGACGCGGGAGCAGGTCGAACGCCCGCTTTGCAACCTGTCCAGGATGGGCTGTCTGGTACCAAGTGGCCAGCCCACATCACCTTCACTCGCAACTATCTGCAATCCCGGACGGTGCCAGCCCTGCAGGCCCTGGCGCAGAGCCTCGTGTTCCAGTCGGCCGGCTTCTCGACCCTCACGACCTCGCTCGGCGCGCTCATGTACCTGTCCACCTTTGGGGCGTCCGAGTCCGGGGCGGTCGCTGCCCTGGGCATCGTGTGGAGCCTGCGCCGCCTGCAGAAGAAGTGGGAGACGGCGAGGGAGTACTGGCAGAGCGAGGTGAGGGAGGAGGGTCGCAAGGCCGTGAGGGCAGTCGAGATCAGCGTCGGCGAGGCCCTCGACAAGGCCATGCGCGACGGCAGCAAGGCCAATGAGGATGCCTTGCTGTCCGAGCTGAGACAGGCCAGGGAGCTTGTGCAGAGGGCCGAGGAGGCATTGGCGAGACTGAAGTAATGGGCTCACTCTGGCTGAACAGGGGTATCATCACTGTATATCTCGTGTGCAATAGAAATATTTGTAAACAAATGGCCAGAAGACACATCTTGTCTGGCATCTGAAGCGCTTGAGTTCTAAGCATACAAAGCGCCCCGAACTTTTTGTGATTTCCTGTCAGCGCCGACTCGTATTGTGGACATTGGCTATACGTACGGACGCATCCCCCCAACAGGAGCCCTTTCACGTCCTGCACGGTGTCTCCTTGGTCTGCCCGCCCGTGTAAGCGCCCGCCGCCCAGTCTGAAATCTCTAAGCCATTCATGATCCAACGCCATCGAAATGCTCTCAATATTCCCCGTCGAGGATATATCTCCCAAGTGAGTAGTCGCATCGGTCGTGAATCTTCTTTGTCGTTCCAAATCGGTCCCGTTGCCTCATACACTCCTCACCCCATCCTGGCCTGAGCTTTGACTCCGACCGTGGGGCGCCATTCTCGTGTCGAATGCCCGGGACGAATCTCGCCTTCGTTGCCTCCACACCACGCAGAGTGGTGAGATCAAAAGGACTCCGTCTTCTACCTCCCACCACGGCCGCTCGCCCTGGCCCTGCTGACCGTGGCACGGCCTCTGGCCAGGCCAACACCACGGCCGCGGGCGTTCCGGCTCTTGAACATGGGCGCATTACTAGAGAGGCGGGTAGATACGTTAGTTACTGAGGCTGCCTGTCGCTGTCGCCCTCGTCCGGGGTCCCCGCTGGAGGATTGGAGTCCCTCTGCATACCGTAACATGTCTGGCACGATGAAGAAGCGAACGTGGCTGCCGCGGATGTAGACCTGTTCCAGGTGGCTGACACGGCCATCGCGCGCCGTCACTGTGATGTCCTTGAGCTGGATGTTCATGTTGTCCTCGGCTGTTCGTGGCGGGAGGGTTGTTAGCATGGCCGACACGGTGACGACTGGGACGAGTGCCAGAGCAAGGGGGAGGAAGGGGTGGTGTTGGGAGCGCTGCCTACCTTCGATCAGCTTGCCGCGGTAGGTCGTGCCCGAGTCGAGCTCCAGGGTGATGATGTGACCCTGGGCCTCGTTGAGGAGCTTGATTGGGATGCCGATTGTGGACGTCATGGTCGCGACCTGTCTTTCTTCCGAAGAATGGGCTGAGAGAAGTCGTGCCGGCTGTCTCGGTCGTGGGACTCGAAATAGGGTGGGAGCTCGCCGCGTCGCAGAGCTTGGGGAGGCGCGCTCGCTACCTACCTGGGCCGGAGGCTGAGATGCGACGCTGCAAGCAAGCCAGGCAGGCAAGCAGGGGGGAGCGCGGCGGCGCAGGATTTTCCGGGCCGAGACGCTAGATCAGTAAGTTAAGTACCTAGGTACTTAGGTAGCTGTGACATGGCCCCTCCATGCTCCGTTAGAGCCAAACATGACAGGACCATGCACATGGCTGATTCTTGCGCTGTCCATGGCCCTTGTTAAAGCCGGTGCCATCCAGAGCCGTCAGTTCACAGGTGCCGCTGGCGTGCACATGTGGTCGATGTCTTTGACTACAGCTTGAGCACTGCGGATGGCGCCGGAGACGAGCCAACTGTCAAGATCAGAAGTTGGTTCAAAGGCTGCATATCAATGTATTCGATTTTATCAGGTTTACTCGACGGTCTCTTGCTCATACCTTGAGCCCGGGCATTCCAGCCAGTTGTGCAAACACTGGATCCTGTACCTCAGATACAAGGAGAATGAACGAGTGACTAGACAACGTCTTCCTCGCCCTTGACTCGGTTGTCATACCACTGACGATTGTACCGATGGCATTGACATTGCACAGTCCAGCGAACCAGGTCCGATGTGCTCCACCAGCCCGTCCGGAAACTTCTGGCTGTCTTACCAAGTCTCATCGCCCAAACAGTAGGAAATGGAAGGAAAGACTGCTCGACTTGATGATATGAAATAATTGCCCGAGACTATTCGCCAGATCAAAATCGCTATGACCCTGCTATCAGGAAACTGTAGAGTGTTTTGAACACCGGGCCTGATGGGTAGTGCACGATGAGGAGCGTCTGGCTTCGGTCGCCTTCTCGGACGTTTGAGCATATGTTGAAGATGCATCTGAACAGACATGTGAAGACTATTCCTCATATAGGGAAGAGTTCCAGAAGGATATTGTGCAATTATATGAACCGAGAGCCAAACGTGGAGTTGATGTCTGCCAGATCAAGTTGTTCTTCAGGGACATCTGGATATAACACGCTCCCTAAAATATAATTCCAAGCGATGACGACCTGCACAGAGCCCGCCAGCCATTAAGGACGCTCCACCGTGAGGCAAGGGCCCTTTTTGCTTTTCGTCCAACTCCCCTTCTTCAATCTTCCCTCCTTTTCGTCACGCGCTTACACATCCACCACGATCCGGTAAGACTCAAAGGCCCCGGAATCCGTGCACTTGCCGGGCTCGATCACCTGGCAGAGACCTCGGCGCCCCGCTGCTGAAGAGACAATCGGCCTCTTGGTAGACGACGCCGTAGGACCATAGCTCGTCGACGTAGATATAGCAGTACTCGTACTTGGAGGCCGTTTGTGCACGCAGCCCCCGTCAATGTGAACTTTGACCCGGTGGTGACTGCTGTGCCATCGCCGCACGAGTCGCCGCAGTGGAGGTTTCCAGGTATTTGCCGCGGCACTGGAGGTCAGGGCCAGGAGGGTGGTTGATTTCGTGGAGATGTGCGCCACTTCTTCCTCTCTTATGAATGGGATCAGGGCCTTCGGAGGTTATGGTTGATAAAAAGGTGAGTGACTGCGGTGCGAATGAGAGTAGGGTTCTTTGTACCAGCCGGGCTGCGTTTTTTTGTCTGGCCTTTTGTAACGAGAGCGTACTGTAATGAATGAGTGATGGTTGGGGGAGATGTATGGAGGTGTGGTATATTATTGACTGTTTTATTTACTAGTGACCGATGATGAAGCTGGTCGGAGGACCCGTGAAGAGTGTTCTGTACGCGTCGATGCCGCTGATGAATCCTAGCACACAAGACCCCCCCTCCACCTACTTGGTTATTTTGATTAGCTGCTCAAGTGGTGACTGGTAACTTACCAGAATGTACGCATGTCAAGTGTACCCACTTAACTTAGGATACCCTCATAGTCCATGCCCAGCATCGCCCCCCATGCGACGCACGGGAAGCTCGAGTCAAAGACGGCTGGCCAGAGCTGGTGCTGCGTAATCATCACGACTGGGCAGGACGCGACGATGGGTGATGTGGCGTCCTGGCTCCCAAGACCTTCTAGGATCGGCGTTGACGACCGTTGTGCCCCCGGTCTGTCTGGGACACCACGTCTTCCGGGGCCGAGGTGCTGGGTTTCCTGGTACCCGCTCTGATGGGGATGGGGGAGATGGATAATGGTGGTGGTCCGCCCACCGATCCGATGGCCAGAACTTGAGAGCACGGAAGGTTGCGGGTCGACGAAGTAGCTCAGTTTCCCGGGTTGGAAAGAAAGAAACCAAAAAACCAAAAAAAAAAAAAAAAACCAAAACCAAAAAACCAAAAAAACCAAAAAAACCAAAAAAACCAACCAAAAAAAAACCCCCCACATGCCAGATTTGGGTGGTATCGCCAACATCAATCAGTCAACAACTACTTAAGCACTTGGCATGTTTCTAAAAATCTGCGAACGGCCCTCCCCTATCTCGACGCAATCTTGTGGACTTCCAGGTTACTTCAAAGAAGGGAGATATTCAAGAACCCAAAATAAGGTTGACTCAGGCTCATATCTGGTAGGGTTCAGCACGGCCATGCTAGCAAGTATTCTTATCTGTGGACGTCACCGGCTGTAAGGTTGGAGGCTGACCAATGGTCTTACACTATTCCGTGGTGTCTGGAAGTGGGCAACTCTACTCCGTAATAGTATCTACTAAGTAGGTACTTACCTACCTAAATATTCATCCCTTACTTAAAACTACCCTTAAATTTAAAATAGGTATAAAGTTAAAGTTTAATTATATTAAAAGTAAAGTAAGGTATATTTAAAATAAGTTTTATTAAATATAGTTAAATTTAATTAAACTTATTTTATTTATATATAAATATTTAATATTAAAATATATTAATAGTTTAAATTTAAATTAAAATTAAATTAATTTATATTATAATAATTAATAATTTAATATATATAGTTTTTTAAAAGTATAGTATATTAATAATAAGTTTATATTATATTTTATTATATTATATAATAAATATTATAAGTTTTTTATTATATTAAATTATATTATAAGATTATTAGGTAAGTACCTTTATTGTGATGAGGAGGAGGATTATTGGATATGGAGGAGTATGATGATGAGATGGGTTGATCTGGAGGATTAGAGGGTGTCGCTTATCTTAGGTCTTGGACAGTATAGAATCTTAAACAGTTAACCGTGAGGTCAGGGGCGAGGGGCCCCCAGACCCGAAAGCTTTCCTTTACTCCCGGCTTCAACTGCTGTTGGATCTAAGCTGCTTACTGTACTTGAACTGTGTAATTATCTAAACCGCTTAATAACGAATTGATCATATTTTCCAAACGGTCATTAAGCAAAGTTTTCATACTGTAAGTTTCAACTCTTTCCGTAAAAGTATGAGGCTCACAACCTGCTGAGAGTTGACATGTTTCTGGCACTCAGATGCAAAATGACGTCAATGTCAGTATTGAGGGACAAGTCCTGCTTATCATTTACCCCATCTTATCTATGATTTCTATAATGCCATACTCCCCGTCACCATGACTGCGACTCCAGCTGTAAGTAAATATCCTGATTTCCCACCACACCTAGAAGCTCGCGATTCCCTCATAGGCTCAGTCGAAGCTGGGATCATTCTGTCCCACAAGCTGTCCAGCCGCGGCGGCGTTGTGTATTGTCTGAATACAAGTCTCCAAAAAATCAAGATCCCTCTGGTGCTGAAGGGTACCCTGAGGCGTCCAAGTAATACAGTCCAGCGTCACGGCTTGGTTAGTATGTATGACATGATTGTTGTCAATGTATAGCGGGGGTGTATTCGCGTTGAACGGAATATTCCCAGCTACTGGTGAGTGGACTCTGTTGTCCACGTCCCAAACAGTACCCCCATTGGCACTAACGACACTTAGGGCTTGGCCTGGAGGGAGTCGCTGATTTGGGTTCCACCAGAATATCATCCAGTGAAGGCCAACGTTCAAAAAGAGATAGATTGGTCGGTTTGGATGGGCAACGTTCAGTCTTCGGACAGCTTGGCCCATAACCTCCTTCCACGTGCTTGGAATGTCATCGGAGGGTGCCTTGCATTCGACCCAAATCAAATCTCGCTTAAAGATCTGATGAGTTGGTGCTGGCGGTGGTGTGAGGACGTGGACGGACGAAACAACGACGACATCAGGGATTTGTGTTCTATTTGCTGATAGCGGGATGCCTCGGTAAGGGTGCACACAGACGTCGTACTTGGTGCCACCCAGTGGGTTTCTCGGGTAACCTATGCGGCAGCAATGTGGTATCAGAATTCAGAACTCATGCGATAAGGGGAAGCAATGGCGACCACAGTCGCAGGACTGCGCCTTACGGTCCGGGAAATATATGCGTAGTATATTAGCCCAAGTATGCTGGTTAACATCTTCTTTCGAATAGTCATTTTGAGTCCGCTCATAAAGCTTCAGGATCCTATCCCAGGCCATCTCCTCAGGATCATAGAAGTGGCTTAAAGATGTCAGTGTACGTGGTCTAGGAGGACTTGTGCTTTTTAAAGACTCACCGAACCGGCGCAGCCATTGAGAGTGAAGGTGATAATAATAGCTTGGAAAGATATTTGGCTTTGCTTGAGTATGACTTCGTTTACTTTGTAAGACGGAGAAGAAAGGTTTTTGATGATGATGCGAATGTATACCCTTTCTGTCGTGACCTCCCGTATTTAAATATTCCGAATGACCATCTCCAGCAAACCGCAACTGTGAACAATGCTTCCAACGGCGGGCCAACAAGATCCAGAGATCATGTATATTTAGCACGGATGTTGGTTGATGAGTACGCTTTGGAAGGCCTGAAGGATCGCCATTTGACGGGACGATGAATCCTTCATTACTAGGACCCAATAGGAATCCGTAAGGCTGAAAAAACCCACTCTCTGACCTCGGCCCACGCCGGCACAACGCGACCAACAAGGACAACTGAAACAGATGGGGGCCGACAGTGCTCCAGAGAAGGCCACGAAAGTAAAAATAACATTGAATGGTTCTGATCGTGGGCTGCAGCGAGGCCTTCTCTAAGCTACTGGGTATAAAGTCGAGCGAAGTTGGCAAATGTCGAACAGACTGTTCTAAGTCGAGCATCAACTTGACTTGCAATCAATTACCAGTATCTCTAGACTAATCATTAGGTCTGCATCCCTCACATTTCTATTATCGTTGATATCACCAGCCAAAATCATGTCAGCAAACAAACGTGAGTGAAAACTCCTCCCAGTAGACTCAATCGCCAATATGGCATGACGATACTGAGGCTGTCGTTCTAGTGTCGAGCTCCATGAAAAAAATGGCCTTGGGCCCACCTGGCAATGCATTGCCCCCAAAGTCAACATCCACCGCTACCAGGCCACCGCCCGCGAAAGCTCGGCCCACGGCCCCGGCCCCGGCAACTACCCCGGTCATGACCACGGCGGTCAAGCCAACTCAGCAGCGGGCACCTGCGGGGATCGTGATCACGGACAAGGACAAGGCCAAGGCGGCTTATAAGAACGCGGTGAAAAATCGTTTGTTCAAGCAAGTTAATGTCCAGACTACTGTCATACCACCGATCTGTATTCGCGAAGGCATGGTTGTGTACGACGCGAAGACCAATAAGAGTGTTTTCAGGCCGGCGAAACGCTGAGTGGCTCAATCTCAAGAGGCTCAACTTTACAAGAGGGACGGGTGAATTCTAGGAGCACGTAGTCGTCTAGATGGGGTGAGATGGGAGGGATGGAAACAATACAAGGTCGCAGGTCGATGCAACCCAATACGCCCTTGTGTGTGAAAGGACGCTGGTGACGAACCCGAAATAAACAGAGGTAACCTTTGTAGTGGGGCACATGCCGGTCGACCCGCACCCGACCTGTGTAGGCACCAGACCCTGGCCACTCCTGCCTGCCCGTGCCGTACTGTGCCGCACTAGGTTACAGGCAGCCAAGGCCCCACACGCGTCACTCATTCGTTCATTCACTCATTATATAAATGTGCCACTCACCCAACGTCGGCTGAATTTGTCCAAATGTTTTTCTAGACCGCCAGTGCACATCCAGATCCAACCTCCCCCAGCACAGTACAGAATCCATACCCCGACGCCATCATGGCCGGCCCAGATTTAGTCACCGCCCTCCGCGGCTTCAAGATCCGCACTACCACGCTTAATAAGTTTCTAATCGCTTATGGCAAGCCCCTTGGAATAGACTCCGCATATATCCCACCGGCCTATGACTATGATGATAACGGTAACGCTACCGATGAGATCTCGGAGGTATTACGTGCAAATAGCGGTCTTGCTAGTGTTCTACTCGTTATGCCTTCTGTTGAGGGCCACTCCCGCTCCTCCTGGGCTTATGTAGCCTATAGCTACGCACACATCTACGCGCAGCGTAACATTACTCCCCAAGATCCTGCAGAGCAGATCCCACAAGGGTTTGAAGAGCTAAGGCAGGATGTGCTCAAGCACAGCTCGAGCTTAGAGGAGGGCGAAGGCTTGATGGGTCTTTTCGTCGTTCTCACGGAGGATCGGCCAGGTCCAACTCCGCGAGAGCTCCAAGAACGCAACCGGGTACGAATTGATTTTTGTTGACCACTTTTTAACATGGCATTAGGTGAACCTGTTTCGAGCAGTGCCAGCTAACTTGTTAAAACTAGACCCCGATTCTATGTGGTCTTTGCGATCAGACTTTCGATATGTGGTCAACTCGCCAGGGGCATCGAAACAAAGTACACGGGATGCATGAGGAAATTGATGCCTTGCCAGATAATGCTTGATTCCGGGATTTCTAGTTGTAGGGTAGGATGGACGGCGCGGAGGGTTTTGATGACATCGCTCGACTTGGATAACCAGCGCCAAGAAGTCACTCGCTAGCTATCAGCTATCTAAGAAAGCCGGAGGTTCACGGTGCTCAATCGCATACCGCTATACTTTATGAATCCTAATGATAAAAAATTTTCGTGAACCCGTTGCAGGATAGGTTCCGGTGCGAGAAGCTTGTGGTCGACATTGTGACTTGGTCTTGTGCCCACGAGCCCCAGCGGGGATGATGGAAATCCGGAAATATAGAGATCCGCTGGGAGAAGGAGAATGCATGTGTACCCCTGAAGGGTGACGAGTTGAAAGGGCGCTGCGAGAAATACATTTCAGTCCAATTGTCCTCATCTCTGTGAGCTTGAGAAATCCATTTTTGAACATGAATCCTATCCGAGGTCTGCTCTAAAACTTAACATTATTGAATCACACTACCTAGGTATTGAAACTGGTATAACATTACAATGCATATGTCCTTATCTTACCTATCTGGACCTTGGTAAAAATGTATTGTAAATTGGGTAACCGGCCACTTGAAGTAGTATCATCATTGATTGGAGATGTACTAGTTGACTTGTTTCAACACCAGTCATCACTCGACCTCGGTTCGTGCTCCCCTGCATCTAGGCCCGCCGCGGATGAGTGTTGACATTATATCCGTACTGGCACGACATGTTGTCGGGAGCGATGCCTTCCAGCCTTGTCTGTGCGGTACGAGGCCTTGAGCCACGTGCCCACGTACTGTATTCTCTTTCCACTGTTATTGGCACTGTATTTCTTCAAACGCTAGGTCTTGAGCGTTTACCACTGTATGAAGGCGCTACGTACATTTTACATGTATGGGGATTAAAAACGAAACCACTTGGCACGACATGTTAGATTGCGTGCTCGGACCTATACCCGGCACGGAAGCGGACCCAGCACCAGCAGTCCACGGGTGTTGCACCGTGTTGGTTACCAGGAAATCGTTACGTGATGAGAATTGCCAACAGCACATTCCGTCTCTTTCGCTTACAGGGCCTCCCTATTTTCTCGCCCTAATAGCGTAATTGTGACTCAGTATTGTGCCCTTTATATATATATAAAAGTTAGAATATATTTTAGGTAACTCTTTCTACTCTCTCTATGAGCCGCTTAATTCTTTATTTATTTAAATATTCTTTTATCTATAATAATTAATGTGTAATAATCGATGAACGGACTATTAGTATTAGAGTGAATAGAGTTAGATAATTTAAATTATCTTTATAATTAATTTATATAAAAATACTTATATATAATTAATATTTCTATACTTTTTTATATTAATATATAAATATTTTTAAATCTTTATTTTATTTATAAGTTATTAAATTATATATTAATTAATATAAGTTTTTATAATTATTTATTTATACTTTTAAAGTTAATAACATTTTAAAGAAATTTAATATTTTTATATTATAGTTTTATTTAAACTTTCTTTATTTCTATAAATATTTAATTTTAAAATAATTATTATAATATTTATTAATAAATATTATAATTAAAGAATTATATATTTTATTATTATACTTATTTTTAAGTTTTTATTTTAAGTTTTAATTTTATATATAATTTTATAATATTATTAATATATTATTTTTATTAAACTTTTAAAATATTTAATTATTTAAATTTATTAAATTTATATATTTATTTTATTTTATATTATTATCCTTTAAATTTATATTTAATATTTCTTTTATTACTTTTTTATAATTATATATTCTATATATTAATTAGTTTAAGTTTAATAATTAAAAGTTACTTAAATAAAATAAAGAGCTTTTAATAATTTAAATAGGTTATACTTTTTATAATTATATTTAATTATTTTTACTCTTACTTTAATTTAAAATTTATAAGAAAATAATTTTAATAAAAGTGTAAAGGTGAAGAAGTTATTTAAGGAATTTTAATAAAATATTATAAAGTTTATACTTCTTTTAAACGCTCTAATTTAATATATCGTCTTTAAATTATTTAAAATACTTTTATTAAATTTATTATTTTATTTATAATTATTTATATAATTCTTAACTTTATTATTTTTATAACTTTTATTATATTTTTATATTTATTTTATAAATATTATTACTTTATATTTAATTAATAAAGTTTTATTTTTATTTTTATTATATTTAATTATATTTTAAGTTTTTATAATAATATATATAACTTATTATACTTATTTTAATTTAAATAATATATTAATATAAGTATTTTTAAATAAGTTTAATATTAATAATTATTTTTTATAATTAAAATATTATAATTTATAATAATAATATATTATATATTATAAACTTATATAAACTATTATAGAAGGGATATAGGAGAGGTAAAGCTTTTAAGTCTTACTTAAAATTATAAAACTTTAAATAATATTTAATTTATTTAAGAAAGAAAGGAAGGGAAGAAGGAAGCTTTTAACGGTCTTAATATTAGAAGAGCTTAGGGCTTTAAAGGCTATAAGTAATCCGTGCGCTTAATTATTTACCTTAACCTTTAGTTTAATACGATTATAATATAAAGTATTATATAATATAAATATATTTAATATAAATAACTTTTAAAAATATATTATAAAAGGTATATTTTTATTATTTATAATATAAATATTTTTATTTATAAAAATTAATTAAATAAATAATTTATTAAACTTTATTTTAATAACTTTAATATTAATTCTTTAAATATTATATAAATATAATTATAAAATTAAAGTATATAATTAATATATTATAATTAAGGAGTTTATTTTAATTAAGGAAATATTAGAGGAGGAGATTAATATAGTAAGAGAGTTAAAATAATGCTAAGGCGGGCTCTTAATAGGCGAGTTACATTTTGCACCTACCAGTGTATTAATCGAGAAAGTATGACCCCGTGATTATTTCTCTTGGCACAGTCAATCTGGTTGGCCATTGTCCCAGGGTTGTCTTACTGTGACCTAGAATAGTCAGCGGGTCCCGACTATGTAGAGTCCTTTCGTCAGCCGTCTTTATTAGGACTGTTGGGAACTTTGCAAGTGAGTTCAGACCTTGGATAGCTGAATCAAGCTTGACTTCGTATCTGCCCCCGCCCCCCGTAGTTTCCAGGATGCCACGCTGCTGATTATGTCCGGATAGTTCCCCGGCCCCCCAGGAGAGGCCGGTCACAAGCGCCACCACTGATCTGCTTGTTCGCCAGTGCGTGCGGGAGGCCGGGGAGGTTGGCCTAGATGAGTGGGACCCTATGTTTCTTTGGTATAGGAGTTCGAATCGGTACTCTATGTGAATCCCTTTTATTAAGAAAGTAATAAATAGTAGTAGAATTTATTTAATTATAAGTTATATTAAATCTTTTAATTTAATATATAATAAAAATAAATATAAAAATAAAGTTATTTTATTATTAATAATAATATATAATTTTAAATAAACCTTTTTTATAATATAAATATTAATTAATATATTAATAAAATTTAAATTTTAAATATATTTTTATAATAAAATATATTTATTAATATAAATTTAGAAATTATATTTAAATATTATATAAATAATATAATAATTTTAAATATTAATATAAATATTATAAATAATATAATTTTAAAATAATAATATTAAAATTAATATAAATAATATAATTATTATTATAAATTAAAATAAATATATTTTAAAATATTTAATAAATTTAATATTTTTAAAATAATTATATAAATAATATTAATATAAAATTAAAATTAATATTTTATATTTTTAAAATATTTTTAAAAATATAAATTAAATTATTTTAAAAATATAAAACTTTTAATAATAAATAAAGTTTTTAATATATATTATTTTAAAATTAAATTAAATATATAAATTATTTATATTTTTAATTTTATTATTAAATTAAAATAAATAATTAAAGTTTTTTTAAAATAGTTTTTAAATTTAATTTAATTAAATTTATTAAATAAAAGTTTTTATAATAATTTTATAATTATTTATAATATTATTTATTATTAAAGAATATTTTTATATTAATATATTAAATTATATTTAATTAATTTAATTTAATATTATTAATTTATTAAAAATTAAAATTATTATAAATAATAAATAAATTTAATATTAATAAATATTATATAAAGATATTAAATTTATTATATAATTTAAATAAATTAATTAAAATAAATAAAAATAAAGTTATTATTATTTTTATTAAATTTTAATTAAAATATAATTATTTAAATATAAATATTTAAATATAATTATTTAATTTATTATATTATTTAATTAAAATATAATTAAATAAAGTAATTATATTTTATTATTATTTTAAATTTATAATTTTAATAAATTTATTATAAGTAAATAAAAATAATTATTAATAATTAAATTTATAATTATATAAAATAAACTTTTATTTTAAAAGGTTATAATTATTTAAAATAATTAATATATTTTTAAAAATTAAAACCTTTAAAATTTTAAATTTAATTTTATTTTAAAATAAATATTAAAAATTAAAATTAAAATAAAAATAAAGTTTAATAAAATTATAATAATATAATATAATTAAATAAAAATTAATTATAATATTATAATTATAAATACTTTAATTTTATATTAAAAGAAAATAAAATATATATTTTTAATATTTAAATTAAATAAATATATATTTATTTTATTATAAATATATTTTAAAAGAATTAATATTTAAAAGAAAATTATATATATAATAAAATATTATAATTTTAATTATAATAATAATATAATATAATTATAAATTTCTCTTTATAAAATAATTATAATTATATATTAAAAACTTTAAATTAAATTATTAATATAATTAAATTTTTAAACTTTTAATTTTTATTTTATTAATAAATTAAAGTTTTATAAAATTAATTTATATATATATATATATAAAATTAATATTTATAATTATTAAATCTTTATTTTTATATAAAGTTTTATTTATAAACTATTTATATTTTTAATTCTATTATTAAACTAAAAATAAATAATTAAAGTTTTAAAAATAAAATATAATATATCTTTTAAAAATTAATTTAATTAAGTTTATTATATAAAACTTTTATAATAACTTTATAATTATTTATAATACTATTTATTATTAAAAATACCTTTTATATTAATATATTAAATTATATTTAATTTATTTAAATTAATAT